CCTAACCCTAACCCTAACCCTAACCCTAACCCTAACCCTAACCCTAACCCTAACCCTAACCCTAACCCTAACCCTAACCCTAACCCTAACCCTAAGAGGAGCAACGCAAGGCTTGCTGGTTGGCTGTGCTGTCAATGGTCCTGGAACAGCTCTTGGAGGGTAGGCGCAAAGCAGCAGCAGGATGTGCTGCACTGCCTGTGCTCTGACTCACTGCTGCTGGTCAGGTGACTGCTTTGCACGTGACCGCAGTCGAGTCGTGCACGTTCGCGCCTTTCCGCCTCGCCGCTGCATGCCTCCCTCCACCACCACGCCTCGCACATCCCGCAATGCCACACATTCCCGTTGCCACGCTTTTGCTGGGCAGGTCGCATGCTTGGAGTACGCTCGTTGCGCCGTGTCGCACTCAGGCACGTTGCAGCGCCCCGTCCGCACAGGCACCCGCCGTACGTCTAGAGGCAACACGCCGCCGAGGCTCTGCCGCACGTCTTGCCGGCGCCGCATCGCTCGAGCACGCCCGCCAGAGCGCACTCGCGCGCGTCCGCCGGCTCTGCAGCCCGCCACGAAGCTCATCAGCTCGCACGACGCTCAGCGGCTCGCCACGACGCTCTGCAGCGCGCTCGACGCTCAGCAGCTCGCCATCGCTGTTGGCGCTCGCCACGTCGCGCCGCAAGCTCGGCAGCCCGCCGCCCGCTCAGCAGCCGCCCGCTCAGCAGCTCGCTGGACGGGACAGCACGCTACGCCCAGCGCGCACGCCCCGCAGCTGGCGATGCTCCGCAGCGGGCCGCATCTGCAGCGTGCCGCACGCGTCGCATTGGGCCGCTCATCCCTGCCGCAGATGACGTTCGGACGGGGTATATTTCTTCGTGGTGACAAGAGGCGCCGCGAGCAGCAGGTGAGCCGCGTCGGGGCCCGGCAGGTGCGGTCTATTGGGGAAGGAGTGTACGTCTAGAGAGTGTGGCAGCGCATCGCTGCGTGCGGGGGTGAGAGAAAGGGGATCCTTGGCGAGTGCGGCGGCGTGGGTCGGCGGATGGTGTCGGGCTGCTCGGCGTGGGCTGCTCGACTGGACGCGTCGTCGCCGACGAGTCGAGCCGCGCACGCAGCCGCCGAGCGAGGCGCATCTCGAGCACGCTCTGCCGCGCTCGTTGCTTTGCTGCGCGCTGCCGTCGTCGCTGCGCGCTGCCGTCGTCGAGTGTGGAGTGCTGGGCGCTGCGCTGCGCTGCAGTGGCGCAACCCGCTCCTACTTCTTCACGACCTGGAAGCCGATCTCGGCCGGGTCCGTCGACATCGCCCAGATGACGGCGCAGCCCTCGACGACGGCCATGAACGGCTGGATGAAGATGAGCGCAATGGCGTGCGCGGGAATCTGCCACCACTGCCACCACTCGTAGCCGTAGTCGAGCTCCTGGAAGAGCAGCCCGCCGATGTAGAGCCACTGGAAGGCGCCGAAGCAGAAGCACGCGAGGACGTAGATCCAGTACGGGCTCGGGCCGCTCCACTCGAGGAGCAGCGAGAAGATGACGTTGAGGACCGTCGCGACGAGGCAGAAGATGCCGGCGGTCCACAGCTTGATGGCGATCTGCGGCAGGTGGTAGCAGCCCTTGATCTGGCAGATGCCAATGTACCAGCGGCGGCGCTGCTTCATAAAGTCGAGGAAGCCCTCGGGCGACTGCTCGCGCACGATGCCGTGGATGCGCCCGAGCGTGAAGCCCTTCTGCCAGGCCGCCTGCGAGAACTCAAAGTCCTCGGCGAGACTGGCAAAGTCCCAGCCGACCTGGTTCTCGGCCTCGCCGTTGAGCAGCAGAAACGAGCCGTGGATGCCAAAGATGGGCCGCTGCACGATGTTGCCCTGCAGCGAGAAGCGCGCCAGATCGTCTGGAGGGGGGTCAGCGCCTGCTCTGCCGCACTTCACACGTCTGCACTCACCACCGACGCGAATCGTGTCCGCGATGCCGAAGCACCACGCTCGCCAGTCCTTAAAGTACCGGTGCCCATTGTAGATGATGATGCCCTGGCCGATGTGGTGCGGCGTGTAGCGCACAAAGTCGAAGCAGCCGCGCAGCGACTCGGCGTCCATCGTCGACTCCTCGTCCATGTGCAGCACAAAGTCGTACGGCGAGAGCTTCATCGTGGTGCGGAAGTAGTCGAGCGCCTTGGCCTTGTGCTTGGCGAGGCCGAGCGGCGACTTGTAGTTCTTCGGCGTCATCATGTTGTCCAGGTCGGGGTACGCATACGGCTCGTCGGTGAGCACAATGACACGCACGGCCGGGTGGTACTTTTCCAGGAGCTTGAGCTTCGTGTGGGCACGGCGGGTGGCGTCCTCGTTGGAGCCGCGCGTGACGGACACAATGTAGAAGTGGCGCAGCTGCTCGCGGCACACGGGGCGCTTCTTCATCGCCTCGGGCGTGCGCGTAATGTCGGGCGTCATGTAGCCGATCCAGGTGATGAGGCAGTACGGCAGCGCGAGCAGCCAGAGCAGGCGCCAGAGCGTCGAGAACGTGGCAAAGTCGGTGGTGATGTAGTTGTGCCACGGGTTGAGCAGGCCCCACGAGAGCGCCATGCCGGGGATCACAATCGCGTTGAACGGCCAGATGTACGACCAGGCAATGAGCAGGCGCCGCGTGCGCACCGCCTGCGGGTCCGTGCTGATGTCGGCGTCGAAGAGCGTCGAGTGCATCTCGGCGGGGTCGAGGCCGTAGGCGAGCGGGTGCTCGGGCGGCGGGATGATCGGCACGGGCGTGCGCCAGTGGCGGATCTGCGAGCCGAGCTTCTTCGTCGCCGCCCACTTGACGCGCAGCTTGCCGGGGATCGCCCCGGCGCGGGCTGGCGCACCGCGCACGGCGGCGACCGTGTTGCGCCAGCCCTGCGTGAACACGGCGAGGAAGCCCTCCTTGCGCATCGTGCGCGAGAGCCAGCCGGAGAATGTCAGCGCGGGCGCGTCGACGAGCTTGTTGAGCACCCAGCCAAAGGCAAAGTTCGCCGCAAACGTCGCGAGATACGCATTGACGATGCCCTTCCAGTAGAGCTGGTCGCGCGCGGCGTAGTGCATCGCGACCGGCGGCACGACGAGGTAGATGGCGCTCATCTGCGTGACGTAGATGCCGAACGCGTGCCGCCCGAGGATCTTGAACATAAAGTTGCCGACGAGCCACTGGAACGTGTTCGACATCTCGAGCCAGAGGAAGAGCAGCGTGGCGCGGAAGATGATGATCGGCTGGCCGCCAAAGTCGCCGGCCTTGGTGTCGACGCCGACGACGCCGTGCTTGTACGTCGTCGGCGCCCATGCGCGCACAATCGTGCCCTCGATGGTGTTGTAGCACAGAAACACGAGAAACACGCCGGCGAGGGCGCACTCGGTGGCGAGGTACGTCACGCGCGACGTCGACTGCCAGCGCTTGAGGATGCCCGTGCACTTGAGGTCCGCCATGATGACGCCAATGACAAAGGGCAGGTTGAGGTTCTGCGTGTAGCCCAGGAACGTGACGAGCAGCGCATAGAACGCAAAGCGGCGCGACTGCGTCATGTGCGCGACGACGGGCATGAGCATGAGCACGTAGAGCATGCCCCAGATCTGCGGCTGCATCGACCACAGCATCGACGTCTCGCGCAGCTGCTCGGCGTTGTCCGTGTTCGTCATGAGGCGCAGCAGGGCCGTGAGGATGTCGCCGGGCGTCGTCCAGGCGTCGGTGATGCGCAGCGTCTTGGGGTCGCGCGTCGTCGGGCACCACGACGGGTACCACAGGTTGCCGTCGGTCTGCAGCACGGCCTGCGCGTCCATCGTCGGGTAGAAGGCGCCGCCGGCGCACTGCGCCTTCTGCAGGAGCAGCATCACGCACGACAGCACCGAGAGGCGCAGCGTGCGCCGGAACATGGCCTCCGGCAGCGTGAACCACTGGATCGGCGAGTCCGTGCCCAGCCGGCGCATGTACGACGTGACGTTGAGCCGGCCGGAGAGCGCAAAGAAGAGGACCAGACTGATCTGTGGCGAAGGTCAGCAGAGGCCAAGGGTGGCGCGCTTCCCACTCACCTTGGAGCGCAGAATGTCGACGGCCGTGCCCGTCTCCATGACCTTGGGGTGCGTTCCCTGCGCGCGTGTCAGCCGCTGTGTCCGTGGTGTCGCTGACACTACTCACCAGCCATGTATTGTCGGCAAAGTGCTGCGTGAACACCATAATCATGACGAGGCCGCGCAGCCCGTCGAGGTAGCCCGTGTCGCCCTCGCGGAACGGCTTGCGCGCCTTCTTCTCGGGCGCCTTGGCCGGGGCTGCGACTGGCGCGGGCGGCTCCGGCACGGGCTCGAGAACTAGCTCCTTCTTCAAGTCCTCGTCCATGGCCAACTTGTCCAGCGGCGAGATCTCCTCGTCAAACGGCGAGACCTTCTCGGAGTAGAGCTCGGGCCCCTTGCCCTTGCCCAAGCTGCCCGCCGAGAGGCGCTTCTCGTAATCATCGGCAAAGACGTTGCCGCGGTCGAAGAAGAGCGCGTTGCTCTGCTCCACTTGCTGAAAGTCCTTCTCAAACACGTTGCCCTTCTCAAAGAGCGACTCGGCCTTGCCGAGTGCTGGTGGCTCGCGCGCGAAGCGGCAGTGCGCGCAGCACGCGCCGTCGTCGGCCTCGAGCTCGAGGTCGGCGTACGTCTCGCCAGCCTCCGGGTCGGCGTCGGTCTTCTCAGGGTCGGCAATGTAGTCGACGTCCTTGCCGCTCGACGTCTCCGACTGGCTCTCGTCCTCCTTGACGCTCGGCATGTTGGCGGGCGCGACGAGTGTCATGACCGACATTGCGCGGGCGCGGGCGCGCGGCGCGCTGCTTGCTTCGCCGATGCCGCTCATGGTGGCGGGGATGGATGTGGTGGAGAGGAAAAGGGCGCGGCGTCTCGCGCCGTCGATAAGGCCGGCCGGGCCTGCTGTCAGAGCTCCCAGCCGACCCGGCATCGCGCTGCCGAACGCTGGTCGCCGCCGCGGTAAGGGCGAGCGAAGCCACGGCAGCGCGCGGCGCGCCTCAGGCGAGACCTGCTGCCCTCTCGCTGGCAGCGCCCGAGCTTGTCGCTGGCCCCAGCCATCCACAGCAAGGTTCCGCGCCCGAGGAACGTGCGCGCGAACAGAACATGTCGCGCACTGGCTGGCTAGGTGTTGCTCTCCTCCGCGGAAGAATGTAGAGAGCGAGCAGCCGCTGCAGGGCATGCGCCACGGGGAGCCGCCGGCAGCGGCAAGGGGCGCCGCGAGACACGAAGCTCTCGCCGCGCGCGCCGCCGCCTCCCGGACAAAGAACCGCCCTTCAGGGTCTCTGGAGCCGGCTGCGCTGTGGATTCGCCGCACAGCCGCAGCATGTCCATCCAGCACATCCGGACCAGGAGGGCAAGTCGCGGCGCCCGGCAGATGCACCATGATGAGCGCCGCCGAGCTCCGCCGCTGAGGTGGAATCTAGACGGCAGGGCGGAGCACGGCACCGTGGTCTTGGGAGCGGACGCACACTTGCTCGTCGGCCGCCAGGGCCGGGCGCGCCAGGCGAGGTGTGGCTTGTGCGTGGCGAGGAGCAGCGGCGAGGCTGGACGTGTCGCGCCGGTCGGCCGTGGACGCCGCACGCATCCGGCGCCTGGACATACCCGCCCCTGACCCGGCTGGGCGGGCACTTGATACTCGGCTGCCGTTGCTTGCCCCCGATACTTGCGGCGGCCCTGCGCAGAGGTCGTGCTGGCGCGCCCGCTCGCCCCCTGCGCTGCTGCGCGCGCGACATTCCCGGCGCGCCTCGCCAGCCACGCTGCACGCCCCGCATCGGCGGGCGCCGGCGCTGCATCCCGCCGCTGACGTGCACCTCCGCCCGCATTGATTCGGCACCGGGACGCCCGGCTGACATGTCGCTCCGCTGCACCCTGCAACGCAATGCTCGGCAGGCCCGGCATCGGGTCGCGCTCGGAGCGCGCCGCCGCCCGCGCGCATCGCAGCGTCCGCCCTTCTCGCGCAACGAAGGGTCGCCGCCGCCGCTGCGGAATTGAGGGCGGTTCACACTGCGCGACATCATCGCACTTGGCTCTGGCGGTCCTGCAGGCCGGATGCTGCATCTGGCGCAGCGAGCCCCACCCCTGCGATGCTGGATGCTGGCGGCCGCTCCCAGGGCAGCGCGCGCGTCCATCCGGTGGTGCGCGCACGGCGCCGCGCAGGAGGCGACGCAGCGTCCGGTCCGGCGAGATGTCCTGCGCGCATGCATTGCTCCTGCGCTGGTACTCACCACTCGGCACTGCAGCCCTGCGTGTGCCCGGTGCCTGTGGGGCGGGTGGTGCACCTGCCGCTCTGCGCTGGCCTGCGCCGGCCGCCTGCGCATGAGCAGATGCTGCCTGCGGTGCCGCCGCCGCCGCGTTGCGCAGGCAGCCCCGAGCCAGCACCATGCCTGCCGGCTGTGCGCTGCTGCGGTGCCTGGGCTGAGCGCTCGCAGGAGTTGCCCTCGCGCGCTGCATCTGGAATGCGTAAAGCCCCGGTGGAAACCGCACACGGCGGAAGGGGCGCTTGCGCCGTGCTGCTGCCGTGCCCCGTCCGTCGGACAGCCGCAGGTTGCCCGCGCGGCCTCTTGCCCCTTCGACCCATAGGCCCGACGCACGCTGCCGCCCAGGGTCCGCTGCTCCGCCGCTCCGCCGTTCCGCAGGGCAGCAGCGCAGCGTGCCGCACACTGCCATTCCACCGGCGCATGCACGCATGAATGTGGCGCCCGTCGCCGCGCAGCGCGCACGCCTGCAGGAACGCACGCCAGACGCGCAGCGCCGCCCGTCAGCCCCCAGAGCAGTGCCGCGCCATCAGCGTGCATGCACGCCCGGCAGCGTCGCAGCTGGGCCATCGTCGGGTGGGCAGCCCAGCGTTGCTGAGGCAAGCGCTGCATGCGCAATGCTGCTGCCGCATGCTGTTCCGGGCGCTGGCCGCGAGGTCCCGGCTTGCTCTGCGCCGCCGCGGTGCGGCACCTCCGCCGACGGCGCACGCAGCGCAGCGACTCGTCGACGACGACGACGTCGGCCGCCGAGCGTGCGCCCCTCGCGCGCCGCAGGCTGCCGTGTCGCGCAGCTGGCTCCCACGGCTCTCCCATCGAGCGGGCCGCATGCTGCTGCCGCGCCGGCAGCACGGCCGGCCAGAGGCGTGCTCGGCGCGGACTGGACCGCCAGCCGGGTCCTCGACCTGCGGGCTGCGGGCATACGCTGCGCATCCGTCTTGATGATCCTACGCTTCCGGCCGTGCCGCTTCGAGCAGCAGCAGGCTCAGGGCAGAGCGCCACTCGCGCTGCTCGCGCCGATCAGCGCATGCTCGACAAATCGTCCGCGACGCAAAGATACGCACTGACACAGGCCCGCGGCGCCACACCGCTCGCCTCGGCACGAAGGATGACAGCCGGCCTCTTATACACCCAGGCGCCCCGCTCACCCGTGCTCACAGCCCCACCACCCCCATCTGTCCGTCCACATGGCCCACCAAAGAGCGCGAAGCGGGTCGACCGTGACCTTCCGGGAGCAGCCGGCGCCAGACCGCTCGCAGTTCTCGCCCACGCGGCCGACGCCTTCGAGCGAGGCGTCGTTCGAGTCGGCCTCGGGCGCCCATCCTCGCATGGGGCGCCGCCGGGCCTCGACCGTCACCTTCGTCGACCGGCCCGCGCCATCCCCGGCTGGCAACAGCCGGCCCCCGCTTCCGAGCGCGGCAGACTCCGACTCATACCTCAAGGCGCCCCCGAGCCTCGGGCGGCGACGTGCCTCTTCAAGCGCGACGCTCTTCCCCGACGAGCCGTACGGTGACAAGCTCAAGTCCTTCGAGAATGCCAAAGTCAAGTCCCTCGATGACGACGAGCTCGGCGAGGACGACGACAAGCTCGGCAAGTCCCTCGACGATGACAAGCTTCGCAAGTCCGTCGATGAGGAGAAGACGGAGGCCGGCCCTAGCGTGTACGTTCCCGCGAGGCTGGGCCGGAGAAGGGCCTCGTCCATGACGCTCGTGGCGCCTGCGCCGCTGAGGCCGGCCAAGTACAAGCTTCGACGACCCTCCTCTCTCACACTCGCTCCTTCCACCACGGGCATGGAGGACGCCGTCGACCTGCTGCCGGCGTTCACACGCGGCGACACGTCCGACCCGCCGCGTGGTCCGAAGCTCAGCGCACGCCTCCGCGCTTTCTGCAAATGGCCCGGCGCGCTCGACTGGACGGCCGACGGCGGGCGGCTGCGCTACCTCGACTCGCTGAAGCTCATCGCCGCGATCACACTTCTCACTGCGACCGTCTTCACCAGCGCCACGCGCGAGTGGGCCGGCGCCTCGACGCTTCTCTACCCCGTGCGCTCCGACTTTGCCCTCTCCGTCTTCATGGTGCTCGTCGGTCGCATCCTGCCGCTGCCCTGGCTCGAGCCGCTGGCGTCCGGCAAGGCTGCGGCACCCACCATCCCGGCGTCAATGCGCCAGTTCGGACAAGCCCTTCTCCGGCGTCCGTTTCGCTTCCTGCCCGTGCTGCTCATCAGCGGGCTGCAGTACGCCGTCGGACGCGCAGGCGGCCCCTTCGCCACGTCGGAGCCGCTGCGCCAGCTCTTCGGAGGCGTTGCCGAGCTGCCGCAGTGGACACTGTCCAACGACCGAGCGTGGGCAGGGGTCGCAACGTCGCTCTTCGTCGCCAGTGACATGTCCGTGCATCTGCGCAGCACCTCATCGACGCTGTACACCACCCCGTGGCTCCTCCAGGGCAGCCTGTACATCCTCGGCGTCGCAACGTTCTCCGGACTGTTCAAGAACAGCTCGCGGCAGGCCCTCTTTGTCTTCCTCGCCGTCGTCAACTGGTGCACGTACTCGTTCCTGACGCCGTTCATGCTCGGCCTCATCATCGCCGACCTGAGCGTGTGCGGCACCCTAACCCGCCTCAGCGCAGGGGGCACGAGCAACAGAGCTCTCCGCACAGGTCTGCAGTGCGCCGTCGCGGCCCTGCTCGCCGTGTTCCTCTTTGTCGCGCCGCTGCGTGAGGGCCTCTCGAACGCACTTGCGCACGCGCAGGTGCTGCATGGCACGGAAGGCGACCCTCTCACCTCGGGCCATCAGCTTCTTCGCTTCTCCGACGTCATCAGCGCAGCACTCATGGTGCTCCTCGCCGAGGTGGCGTGGCCCGTGCGCGCGGTCCTCTCTTTCCGGCCCCTGGCAGCCCTCGGACGCTTTGGTGCCGCAGCCGTCGCCATCTCGCATCCTCTGGTGCTATTCTACCTCGTTCCTCGGCTCTACCAGCCCTCGTTCGATGCGGTGGACCATAGCGCCGGCTCGGTGCTTCTGCGGCTCTGGGGCCTGACGCTTGGCCTGTCGCTTGCAGCCGCGCCGCTCATCGCCATGCTCGCAGAGCTGCCGTCGGAGGTGATGGCGCGCCTGTGTGTTCGCTTCTTCCTTCCGAACCTCAGCGCCACACCGGAGTCGCCTCCTCCGCCCCCTCCGGAGGCGCCGCAGAAGGCCAGCCCAGCCGTTACTCTAGTCGCTCCGCCCACTCCGATGGTCCTAGTCAAGGACAGCCTGCCGGACTCCCCCCTGCGCAAGAACAGCTTCACGTCAACGCTGTACAGCTCCGACTCTCCGCGAAAGGACAGCATGGCGCCGACGCTCTACGACTACTCGCCCCGCAAGGACAGCTTCGCACCGTCGCTCTACGGCAAAGACTCGCCGCGCCGAGACAGTATGGCGCCGACGCTCTACAAGTACTCGCCTCGGAAGGACAGCTTCGCCCCATCGCTCTACGGCAAAGACTCTCCTCGCAGAGACAGCTTCGCGCCGACGCTCTACGGCACCGACTCTCCGCGCAAGGACAGCTTCACACCCAGCCTCTACGGCAAGGACTCGCCTCGCCGGGACAGCTTCGCGCCGACACTCTATGGCACCGACTCGCCCCGCAAGGATTGCTTCGCACCGACGCTGTACACGCCAGAATCGCCGTACCGCAGGGACAGCCTCGCGCCGACGCTGTGCGAGCCGGCGAGCCCGTACCGCAAGGACAGCTTCACACCGTCGCTGCTCGCACCGCCCTCTCCCCTGCGACGCGACAGCCTCGCACCCACACTCTTTCCGCCACCATCGCCTATGCGAAGAGACAGCCTAGCATTACCCCTACACCCTCCGCCTTCGCCCCTGCGCCGCGTCAGCGTGGCCCTGCCGTCGGTCCAGCCGCCTTCGCCGCTGGGGCCCGGCAACGACGGCCCTGGCAGCCCAAAGTAGCCTCGGCGGAGGCTCGTTCTGTATCACACTCCCTAGACCTGCATACCCAGCACCACTATCGCCCGAAGCGGCACATAGAGAATAGACCACAGTCACCAGCCTGCGCGACCCTCCGAGCTCTGACCTGTTTCGCGCCTGAGAATCCCGGGGGCTCCGCTTCCTGCTCGGCCGCTCGGCAAGGTTCCGGGACGAGCCTCGGCTGCCGTACTCTGCTGCTTCGGCACTGACTGCCGTGGTTGGGCCGCAGCGAGGCCGATCGAAGCGGCGGCCGGAGTGCCCGCTGGACGTGCAGGACAGCAGATGCGGGCGATGTTGCGGCGTGCGTGCCTCCGCGGGAGGGCGGAGCAACGTCCGGGCCGGTGGCTTCGGTCGCATCCGTCCATTGTCGCTGCAGCACGCAGGACGCCGTATGGACGGGCCCCGCAGGCTGGTGCGTTGAGTCATCCGGCGCCAGGCACCTGCACGTCCCGCCAGGCACCCCTCCGAATGCGGCCGCTGCGATGCGTCCCGCTGCACTGGCCGTCCCCGCGCTCCCGCTGCACCCTCCGCCGTGCACGCGCGCATGCTCCGCACGCCCACGTTCTCCGCCGCGTGCGCCTGATGAATCGCACCGCGACCCGGCTCAGTCAAGAGCACGCTAAGGCTGGCCCGAAGAACCGGTCTCGCTGTTCCTCACACTCTGCACTCCTCCCACCACCTCTACACACTCTCAGCCATGCTCGTTGCGCCGATTCGTGGCCCCAAGGGCATGCTCCTCAATATGGTCACGGACGCGGAGCCGAGCCAGCCAGCGCCGACGCTCGAGGCGCTCATGACGCTGATGCTGAGCGTGCAGCAAGAGGTGAGTCTTCCCTCCCTTGAGCTACATGCGCACAGTTGCTCAAATCCATCGTAGGTCCTCACTCTACAGACCTCCGTGCAGGCGCTGGAGCGCGCCACGATGGGCCGCGCCATGAGCAGCTCGCTGGTCCCGCCGTTCAGCCCGCCGGGCTACTTCTCGCCGCTGCCGTCGCCGCGGATGGTCCGGACGCCGCTGCCTCGCCTCAGCACTTTCACCGGCGCCGAGACCTCGCTGCAGATCGCCGAGTCGCCCAGCCCAAGAACCGCACGACCGCAGCCCGGGCCGATCGACGTCTACAGCGTCATCCCCGCCGGCGGCTCCGGCACGCGGCTGTGGCCGCTGAGCCGCGACGTGTGGCCCAAGTTCCTCCTCGACGTCGAGGGCAAGGGCTCAAGCCTCCTGCAGACGACCTTCGCACGGCTCGCACCTCTCTGTGGCGAGGAGCGCGTCCTCGTCGTCACCGGCGCAGGCCACCTCGATGGTGTGCGCTCGCAGCTCGACCAGCTGCGCGAGGAGAACCTGCTCCACGAGCCGAGCCCCAAGGAGAGCATGGCGGCAATCGGCCTTGCCGCAGCGATTCTCCACCGGCGCGACCCCGAGGCGGTGCTCGCAAGCTTCGCGGCCGACCACGTCATCGAGACGGTCACGGACGACTCCTTTGCCGTCACCGTCGCCAGCGCTGTGGCGGCGGCCCGCGCCAGCCGCGACATCGTCACCATCGGCATCAAGCCCACCGAGGCATCGACAGCCTTTGGCTACATTCAGCGCGGAGGCCTGCGACAGTGGCCCAAGGGTGCCGAGCCCGCCGCCATTGCGTTCGACGCCGAGACGGCGCCGGCGTACTGCGTTGAGCGCTTCAAGGAGAAGCCGGCCGAGGCTGCTGCGGCCGCCTTCGTGGCCTCCGGCGAGTACTATTGGAACGCGGGCATGTTTGTCACGCGCGCCTCGGTGCTCCTCGAGCTGCTCGAGGCGGAGAACAAGGAGCTCTTCGACAAGCTCACGCTCATCGCATCGGCCTGGGACGTCAAGGAGAAGCGCGACGAGGTGCTCGCCGCCGTCTGGCCGACGCTGCCCAAGATCAGCATCGACCACGCGATCGCCGAGCCCGCTGCGGCCCGCGGGCGCATGCTCGTCATTCCGGCGCCGCTCAAGTGGACCGACGTCGGCAGCTTCGAGGCGCTCGCCGAGCTGGCTGCCCGCGAAGAGGCGCCGTGCGCCGAGAAGCACGTGCAGGTGCTCGGCGACGCGACCCAGGTCTTCACGCAGGAGGCCTCTGGCCTCATCGTGCCCGCCGGCGGCAAGATGATTGCCTGCCTGGGCATCGACGACGTCGTCATCGTCGACACGCCGCACGCGCTGCTCGTCACGCTGGCGAGCCGTGCGCAGGACATCAAGAAGCTCGTCGCCGCGTGCAAAGCCGCCTCGCCCGCGGTTGCTTGACCGCCTCGAGCCTCTCTCCCTATACCCGTGCTGCCCTCTCTTCAGTGTCACTACTGTCTGCCGCGCCTCCGCATCCATATCCCGGGTCTCTCTTGCTCCCTGCTCTGCATCAATGCCACATTCTTTCACAATCTGTCTATTGCTGCTGTGCTGTGCGTGTCCGACGGCGCGACTGCGGCTTGCTCAGGACGCATAGCGCCGGGTATACTTGAGCACTTGCCGCCGGACCGCGCTGCCGGCGTAGCGCAGGCTCGGGACGGCTGACCGGCAGGCACCGTTCGACTGCCTTGCTGTCAGACGCTCGATGAAGCGCTTGAACGGCTCGTTGTAGTCGTCGTTCGGTGGATCGACGATCCGGTAGTCGTACTCCCTGAGAGGCGATGTGAGCAAGCGGCGGGCAGTCTCGGCATCGCTGCACTCACGACTCGACGTCCACGTTGTACCACGAGAGACTGACGAGATTCGGCATGGCTTCCCGCACCGACGAGCTGGCCAGCTGGCGCAGCCAGTCGATGCGCGTCTGCGACGTAACGTTGAGCTTCAGGCTCGTCTCGGCGATGATCATCTTCGTCGTCGAGTTCTGCGTGTAGCGGTCGTGGAAGGCCTGCAACTTCTTGATGTACTGCGCAGCGTGACGTGAGCGTGCATTCCGCAGGCCGCCCGAGGCTGCTCACATCTGCTGCGGTGGCTTGGTTCGCCACGTCTGGGTAGTAGTCCGCGGCCACGAACTGGTACTGCTCCGGTGAGGGCGCCCAGGCGTCGTACACGGCATCGTCGGGATCGTAATTAGGCGAGTAGACAAGACGTACGTCGGGCGCAATGTCTGCGCATGCCTGTGCCACCTGTCCGAAGGCCGTCTTGAAGTCCTGCATTGCCGACGACCCGCTGCCGTAGATCATGCCGCCCGCTTCCGACGTGTAGTAGTTGACCTCATGGGCAAAGCTGGCAGGCGTGTCAGCATGGCCCGCCGAGCGCAGCACGTCCTGCAGCTCACCGCAGGCGCACCTCGACGCCCTCGTCGGTGAACTGCTTCAGCACGCGCGCAATCGAGAGGGCGTGCGAGTTGTTGGCCGCCGTGTAGCCCGTCCAGCCCTGCAGCGGCATCACGGCCGGCTCGAAGATGGCGCCCGAGGCGACGACGTCGTCCTTGACGCGCAGCAGCTGCTCGCCGTCAAAGTGCTCGTGCGGGTACGTCTGCGCATACCAGCCGTACGTGGCCGGGCGCAGCGTCATGTTCAGCGACGCCGGCGTTGCGCTGTCGATGACGCGCTGAATGTCGGCCATCGGGGTGGCCGACGCATGAAACTGCGGCACGAAGCCGACGGGCAGGCCGCCGACACTCAGCACCTGCTGCGCCGTCGTGTTGCTCATGCTGGGCTGCGGCTTGGCTGGGCAGCGGTGCAGCGGCGGGCGGGGCGTGGTGGTGGTTGCGAGGTGGGTGTGGCGTCGGGGGATGAGACGAGGTGCAGCTGTAGATGCTCGAAGCGGCCGAGCGAGGCGGCGCCTGCATTTCCGGCTCCCACGGCCGGCGGCTGCGAGGACGACAGCTGCAGGGTGCTGCCTCCTGGGGCTGCCGCCGCAGATGGCGCGCTGCCGCCTGGCGCATGCATGAGCGCTGCATGCTGCTGCGGCCGTGCCCCCATGCACGCGAATATACTCCGACGCCGGCTGCATGCACATTCCGCACTGCGCTCGGCGCCGGCACCCGCATGCGCCCCGCTGCAGCAAGACGGGGCGCGGCGATCTGCGATCTGCGCCGGGGCCGGCAGCGCGCTGTCCGGACAACAGCGCCTCCAGCAGGTCATTCCTCCGCGCGAGCTGCATGCTGACGCTGCGATGACCACCCGCAGCACCACACAAGCTCGAGCTGAACTGTGGCGTGGGCATCCGCTCAATGGGTGAGCACGACAGGTTCCGCGCGCTGCCCTGTGGCGTGGGTGTCGTCGGCAAGCGCCGCACAGCACAGCGGTCAGGCTGCCCGATGCAGAGGCCCTCGGGAGGCGACTCTTGATTTCGCCGCTGGACTCGGCTTAACCTCGAGGAGAGCTGCACCCTGTGTTGCTGCTGCTGCTGTGAGCAAAGGGATGACACGCGCTGCAAAGTCTTGCTGCTGCTGCTGCTGCTGCTGCTGCGTCGCTGCAAGTGAGCGGCTCTGGTATTGCTCAGGGGTCATGCGCGCTGCGCGCTCGGTGGCGCGTTGCGCGGCGCAACGTGGAGCTGACGGCACGGCGCGCGTGCGAGACCGGTCGCCGACACGGCCTGAACCTTGTCGCCGCCGTCAATGCCGGCTTGCGCTCTCGCAAGGTGATCCCTCTGTCTCTCCTTGGGACATGGCCTAGCTCAGCCTGTGCGATTGTGCACCGCTTTGTGCTCGGGCGCAGCTTGATCGCGGCGCCATGCGGCGCCGAGGGCATCACCCGACGAGCAGGCGAGAGACACGCAGCGCGCGCATGCACCTCTGCGCCGCGTGGCCTGTGCTAGCCTTGACAGCCACCTGGCCTAGGCACCCGCACGCCGTCGATGCCCCACTGTGCCTGGACGGAGGCCATCATGCAAGCATCCTCTCAATTTTGAGCTGAACAGATGACTCTCGGGTGCGCTCTCGCATGAAGAACGAGCGCCGTGTGCGAGGCGACCGGGCGGACCATCGCGTGGGAACGGGCACAGCGCGGCGCTGTCCCTGAGGAGCCGCGCGTGCAAGGGCGACGACTCGCCTCCTCGGCCAGCCTCTAGAGCATGCTACCAGGGCGGACCCAGCGGCGAGCCAGCAGGGTTCGCCTGAGTCCACACGGCAGTACCCACAGACAAAGTGCGCTGTCGCTGTACTCGGCCTGATCGAGCACAATGCAGCTTTGAGGCGTGTCACCGCAACACATCGCACGCGTTCTCCCATCTGTCAAGCTCAACGTCGCGTCTTCCTTCTGCGGGCATCCCGGCACAAGTACACGCCCTTCGCTGGGCGTTCGAGTCAAGGCGCCAAGCCAACTCTTCACGGATCGCGTTGCATTGCTTTCCCCAGCATCAGTCCAGGAAGCCCTGGGAAGAGGCACGTCAGCACGGTTCAGCGGAAGCTCTGGCGCGGCGACGCACCTTGAGAGCGCCGCCCACGTTGGCCACGTCGATGCTGGGCTCGGCGTCAGCTCGGCTCAGGCCCGCAGAACTCCAGCGATCTCTCACAGGAAGCTGTCGTGGCCGTGCGGTGCGTCGATCTCGTAGTAGCGCACGCGGTCGTTGCCATTCATGCGCAGGCACTCAGCGAGCTCGCGCTGCTGCTCCACGGGAAAGAGAATGTCGGTCTGGGTGTGGCAAGACGTCAGAAGTGCAGCCAGCGCCACGCTGGCGGACCGGCTCACCTGGGCGCCGAGAATGAGCGTCGGCGTGTTGCTGAGCCGCTTCAGGCCGCGCGCCAGCGCAGGCAGGTAGGCGTGCGCCGACGGACTCGACAGCGTGTGGATGTGCTGACGCCGCGGCATGCGGGGCTCGTCGCCCTGCCCAGACTCTTCGTCGGCGAGGCAGCTCGTCTCCCGCGCATACTGGTCCGCGTTGCCCGCAGTGCTGCCGTCGGCTGCGCTCGCGACGGCGGCAGCGCGTCGCCGTCGCGCCAGATCTGCGAGCGCAAAGTCGGACATGTCGAAGAGGTCCATCGCCTTGGAGATGTAGATGAGCGAGTTGGCGTCGTACTTGAGGCAGAAGCTCTCGCCCTGGTGGTCGAGGTACGTCTCGATGAGAAAGTCGGGGCACAGCGCCGGGTCCTGCTCCTGGTCCTCTGGCGAGCGGTCCGAGACCCGGCCGGCGCTGGCCTTGTTCTCCTTGCGCGGCGCGGCCAGCCGACGATGGCGCCCAAAGCGCTGCTCCCACTCGGGCCCCGAGCGGTAGGTGATCGTCGCGATCTGGCGCGCGAGCTTCATGCCCATATGCGGCGGTAGCCGGCCCTCGTCGTAGTAGAAGCCCCTGTTCCAGTTCGGGTCCGCCATGAGCACTGAGGCTCAGAGAGTCAGCGCGGGCCCGATCCGCCAATCCGGACCCATTGGGCAGCCTTTGAAGGCGCCGACTGCCGCGCACTCTTCCATCTGCCCGCGCCCACTCACCACTTCTCTGAGCATAGCGCAGTGCGATGCTGGCCGGCGCCGAGCGTGCACAGCCAGAGATGCTGACCACACGGGCTACGCGGTCGGGGTGCATGTGGCAGGCAGCGACGCTCTGCATGCCGCCCATCGAGCTGCCCACCGAGGCATACAGCCGCTGGATGCCGAGATGATCGAGCAGGCGGAACTGCGCCCGCAGCATGTCGAAGAGCGTCAGGATCGGGAAGCGCGACGCATACGGGCGGCCCGCGGGGTCCAGCGGGTGCGGCGACGACGGGCCAGTGCTGCCGTAGCAGCCACCGATGACATTCGTGCAGATCACAAAGTAGCGGTCCGTGTCGATGGGCTTGCCTGGGCCGATGAAGGCCTCCCACCAGCCGGGCGTCGGATGGCTCGGCGTCGAGGCGGCGTGGCTCGAGGCGGACAGGCCCGTGTGCAGCAGAATGGCATTGTCGGCCGCAGGCGAGAGCGTGCCCCAAGTCTCGTAGGCAATGTCGAAGCGCGGCAGCTCGCCGCCGTAGTCGAGCGACATGCTCTCCTCGCAGGCGAACGTCTTGTAGCCGCGCGGCGCACCGTACATCGGCTCCGGGCCGCTGTCGACGGCCGTCGGCGAGGCCGACGCCGGCTGCAGCGACGGGCCCTGGGCCAGCAGGCGTGCCGTGCGCGCCTCGTTGGCATCCACGCAGGGGAACGAGGGTGTCGAGAGGGCGCGCCGCGCAGCAACGTGCGCGGCGACTCGCAGACGAGCCCGCTGCGGCGAAGCGGCGCCGGTGAAGAGCGTGCGCTGTGCGCCACTGGCCGCCGGCACCTGGCGGGAGAGCACCAGCTTGCTGGACGACGGCGCAGCGCTCGCCAGGGCTGCAGCGACGTTGGCATGGCCGAGCCGCATGTCTGCGAGCGAGAAGAGATGGGCGCAGTGCAGTGGTGCAGCGCCAAGGCGAGGCCGAGCTGGCGGGCGTTGCTCTGTCGCACCGAAGGAATGGAGGGAGATGGTGGTCGCGACGGTCCTTACGGCCGGGAGGATCGGCCGCGAAGAGGCGCCGCGGCGGGAGACGGCATGGGAGCAGCACGCCATCCGCATCCCGCAGCCGCCGCGGCGGCTCGTGCGCAGCGAGGCTGCGCAGAGTGCCATCCATGCCTCCACCACAGCAACAGCCGCAAGCCGCCTATCCCGATTCTGCTCGTGCCAGCTCAGCATAGCCCACTGCGCCGCAGCACACAAACTGCACTGTTCGCTCCGACACCGGCGGCGCTGTGGCCTCGCACAGGTCCTCCACTCTCCGAGCATCCCAGGCGCCTCCCGCACCGGCGCGAGCGCGCGGCCCGCGGCGGCTTGCTCTTTCTTCCGGCGCAGGCGGGACGAGCACCACAAGCTGAAGCATGAGCTCACAAGGAGCACCAAGCGCGCGGCGCTCAGGCGAGGGCATAGCTGAGGCTACCTTAGGCTCTGCTCTCGACGGCGCCGATAGCGGCACACCGGCGCGAGCTGCCGGCGCCTCATCGCCGCGTCCCTCCGCCGCTCAGCGGCCCGCGTCCTTTGCCGCCGTCTCCGCCTCGCTCGCCTCATTCTTCTCAGGCCACTCCAAGCAGTCCACCACCGAGAAGTCCGACCGAGAACCACGCTCAGCTCCCGCTGTGGCGCTCCAGGCGGCTGTCGGCGATGTCGATGTCTTCCCGCCGCTTCCGCCTGCCGCTGTGCTTGCGGAGCTCTTCCCCGACGCAGAGATCCGTGCTGCCGTGACAGAGTTCTGGCACGAACGAGCACTCGAGTGGAGCATCGATCCTCGCACGCTCGGCGGCGAGCGGACGGCGAGCAATCGCGGAGCTGCCGCACTCCTGCGACTCGTCTCCTCTGCGACCTTAACATCGCACGCGGAAGGCGCAGAGCCTCGGAGCTCAATGGCCAGCTCGCGCGATCTCGCAGCAGGCGAGAGCGACTCTGAGCACGATCAGGTGTCCTTTGCAGCCGAAGATCGAGCGCAAGACCATGCCGCCGCAGGACAGAGGAAGTTTCAGAGAAACTACGAGACGCACGACGTCTTGCGAGCGATCGAGCAGAAAGACACCGAGCTGCTGATGCACATCCGCGACGTCAACTTCGACCTGCTGCTCGATCTGCAGGGCGGCGCCAGCTCCGGCATCGGCGGTGGCAGCGGCGGTGCCGGAGTGAGCACGCCTCTGGGTTAGTGAGTCAGCGCGATGTGATGCGCTCTGCATCGCCCCATTAACGGCTTCTATGTGTTCCAGCGCGATCTCGCTCGGTCCTGCGCATGAAGGTGTAGCCATCGGTGCGCTGCCAAGGAAGCTGTGCGTAAAGGTCGGCATCTGACACATCTTCGCTGCAGTCATCCTCGGTGCCCTCAGTCGCTTTGTGAATCAACTGCCCGACGACGTAGCACAGGCGCACGGCGGAAAGCCCAAGCGCGCTCGCCTCGACCCGCGGACGGAGGCGCGCCTGCGCAAGATCAAGGGCTGTCTCAAGCTCGGCATTGAGTGGGTCGCATGCTTGGCGCAGCGCTAGTGCGGGCCGCTGGCTGACTGGCTGGACAACAGTCATTCTCTGGGCAAGGAGCAAACGAGGCTCATCTCGAGCTACTGTCAGGTGAGGACGGCGGGGCCGGATAGTGTCGGGCAGGAGGCTCACGCTTGCGCAGGTCTTGCTGATGATCGAGGGCGAGGGCTTCATCCACGACACGGTGCAGGCTGCACAGCGAGCCTTGCTGCCTCTGGAGGGCGCCATCTCGCCGCCGCCCGTGCAGGTCGCGCAGCAAGCCGTCGAGCGCTTTCTCAATGCCGGCCTGCGCACGCGCACGTCTGCCGCCGAGTTCGCCAAGGGCGCCGAGCGCATCGCAGCCGTGGAGGACCTCGTCGCGAACGCCACCGGCGACGTGCTTCTCATGGCACTGTGGGACCTCGTGCGCCTGCGCCCGTCGGAGCTGGGCGCGCTCGCGGCCGAGCCGACGAGCGATCAGCAAGAGCTCTCTGCGCCGCTGCCGGCATACTTCATGGCGCGCGACGATCGCATCGCCAGCACCTTCTCGGCGCGTGTGGGAGAGCTGGCCGCCGCGCTCGAGACGCTCGGCACGCAGGCGTCGGGTTCAAAGGCCCGGGACCAGCGCGCATGGAGAATGGCGCGAGACGTGAGCACGGCACTCGCCGACGGCATTCGTCGCAAGGACAGCGCGATGCGTCTGGCCGCCATCCAGAGCCGCGTGGCGCGGACGCGCTAACGTGACGCTGAGTAACACGCCTTCCACTGGTTGACGGATGCATTCGTGACGAGTAAGGCCTAGATCTGCGCCAGCAGGTCCTCCCACCCAGTGAGATCGTCCCACGCCAGAGCGTTGTCGCCGAGGAGCTGCAGCAGGTGCGTCGTGTCGTCGGCGCCCGCGGCAGTGCCTGCACGCTCGGACACAAACGGGCCCGTGTCGGCATCGAACGCCTGCCACACGGCAGGCTCGAGGCCGCGCGAGGGCAGGCCGGGCACCTCGAGCGGCAGCGAGGATGCGTGGCTTTTCGAGTCGTTTATCTTGCCGCGGTTGCGGTGCGACAGCAGTCGTGTCTGCTCGCCGACCAGGTCGAGCTCGGCTGGCTCCTCGTCGCTCGCGTTGCCGGTGCTCGTGCCGGCGTCGCGCGCCTGTCTGCCGCCGGACAGCGCACGCTCCGCGCGCCGCAGCAGGCGGCGCAGAATGGACAAGGACAGCGAGAGCGCAGCCTCCTGCGGCGCAGCTAATTCGAGCAGTGCGATGGCGTTCTGCAGGTTCTCGAACGCCGTCGTGCTCATGAGCGAGCCCGGCGCGCGCACCACGTGCAGTCCTTGCACAGCTGACGGATGCGCTCCATCAGCGGCTTGCCTGGGCCGCGCAGCATCGCAACTCACCTGCGGCGCTAAAGACTCCGTTCCACAGGAAGTAGAAGCGCGGCAGCACTGTCGGATAGTGGTAGAAGAGCGAGCGCACCAAAACGATGCTATGCAGCGCCGGCTCGTCAGCGCATGGCTAGCTAGGCACCGCGCGGCGGACGCTCACACTTTGCTTGCAGACTCGCTCACGGCCACCATGCTCTTGGCAAACGGCCCGCTGAGCGGGTCGCCGTCGGACTCTTGCAGTGACTTGACGAACCACGCCCGGTGCAGCAGCAGGAAGGCCTGGTGCAGGTTGACGCCGTGCGTGTGCCGCTGCAGCTCCTCGCGCATTGCCGCACTCGTCGCGTCGTCGATGAGGCCAGACTGCAGGGCTCTAGAGGGCGGTGCCTGCGCCTGAGCATGGCTGATCAGGGGCTCCATGCACGGCAGTGTCTGGTGCTGCAGCTGCCGCAGCTCGGCGTCGAATGCGAGCGTCGAGGCGTACGTCGAGGTGTTGCTGCACAGGCACTCGTTGAGAATGCGCGAGTGAAGCCGCACCAGGCTGCACTTCATTGCGCTGTGCACTGCGTCAGTGCTGCCCACGGCTACCTTCGCTGCTCTGCTCACTGGAAAGCTGCGCCCAGCGGCGCGCCCGGCTCGCAGTGCCAAGCCTGTGGCAATTGCACGTCCAAGTGCCCTTCCTGCGTGAGGATAGCGCGTGAGCTCGCGCCGCGTGCGCTGCAGGGCAAGTAACGCACCAAGAGCGCCGGCGGGCGGCAGAAGGCCAGGTTGCGAAACACGTCAAAGGCGTGCAGCTCCCAGAAGATGCGCCGCCGCCGTTCGCGCATCTCCTGCGGCAGATTCCAGGTGCCGGGATCGCGGTGCAGGCCCATGGCAATGGCGAGTCGCATGGCTAGGCCCATCAGGCCGTAGAAGGACTCGGCGTACCGGCCGCCCTTGCGGCTGGTGAGGTAGAGGCCCATCAGGTGCAGTGCAGTGAGCGCCTCGAGCGACGGGACCTCGGTGAAGTTTGAGAGGCTCAGCGCGCCCCACGCATTGCTGTACAGGCTGCGACTCAGGATCGAAGACACCTCGGTGCGCTCGTCGAAGTGCGCGCCCAGAGACAGGACCATGAAGAGCACGGCCAGCCGGTGCGGCTCGACGGCGGACACCTGGTCGCTGCGCGCATCGTAGAATGCGGAGAAGATCTCGTCAAAGTCGCTGCGCGGCAGCGGGTCCCACATATACGTCCAGGTCGCGAAGTAGATGGATGCGAGGCGCAGCGCCTGCTCTCTCGGCGGCAGGCGCGGCTGCAGGTGCGCCAGGATCGCTGCAGTCGAGTGCGGCGAGCGGATGCCGGGCGTCACCCACGTCATCGCCGTATGCTCGATCTGGTCCGGCGGCGTGTCGTACTGCCATCGCGAAGGATCTGCCGGCATTGCGGCGGATGCGCCGGCCGAAGCCAGGCCATCCACCGGGCTGCCGGGGCGCGTCTCGCGCCCACTGCTCCCTTCGTTGCGGTCGCGAGCCAGGTAGATGCTCTGCGCGTTCGGCCCGACGTAGTGCGTACGACCATCCTGCGCGACAGCCAGAGTTCCGTGCCCGCGCCGATCGAGGCTGAGGGCTGCCGGGTCTCGGGGAGAAGCAAGCGCAAGCTGCGGCGACGCAAACGCGGCCGTGCTAGGTCCAGCCATGGCGGCGTCTGCCAGAGAGTGCAGCGCAGAGGCGTGGCTGCCAAGTCCGGACAGCGCTGACGCCGAGGATTCGGGGCGAGCGCTGCCCGCCTTCTCGGAGGCGGAGGACTTGGCCGAGAAAGGCAGGGATGTGGCGCCGCTCGTCGACGGGCCGGCCGCGCGAGCAGTCTGCACGAGGAAGTCGACCTTGCGTTGGAGATCCGCCAGGCCTTCGAGCACGGCATCGTCCACTCTGAAGAGCAGTCAGTACAACGTCCCTTCCGCGGCGCCGCACGTCCGTGACACTTACTTCGAGCGGGGTGCCTTGCGGCTCTCCTGGACGCCATCAGGACACAGACTCTCCACGCCGCGCTTGCGACACATCGAGCACGGCCACTCGCGGTCGCACTTGAACTTGAGTCTGCGGCACTCGGCGCACGAGAGCGTTCTGTCCGCTGTCGACCTCTTCAGGCCGTCGGACTTCGACGCGCTCGCACCCGGCTCAGACATCGGCGCCGGCGGCGAAGATGGGCGCGGCTGAGACGTGCCAGCCTGGCCCATTCTGGCCTCGGCCGCCAGCCGCGACGAGCGCAGAATGTCGCCGGGCTCGACGGCGCCCGAGAGGTTCGAGACCGACGAGGAGGAGGAGCGAGCTCGCTTCATGTCCACATGCGCGACGCGTAGCCCGCCGCGTGCAAACGGAGCTGGACGGGCAATGCAGTGCGCGATGCGACGCGGCGAGCAGCGAGAGCGGACGTCTCGACAAGCGCGCAGCTGGTGCGCTCTGCGGTTGGACGAGGCCGCGGACGGCTACGAGGCAGACTGCGCGCCGGACAGCGTCCCTCGAGACTAGAAGGTCGGGTCACTCGCGTTCCCAGATCGTCTGCGGCCGAGGTTGCGCCGGCAGACTGGCCTGCAGATGCGAGCAGAGCTGAGCGGTGCGCGCAGAGGGGACGGAGCGAGGGCGGATGCGGTGGTGCGGGGTTCGGCAGGTGGGCGCGAAGGAAGGTGGTCCGACCCGGAGCGCCCGCACCCGCACGGCAGCTCAGGCAAGAGTCGCACGCTGCTCGCCGCGGTGCGGCGCCGCCTTACGCTGCCCGCGGCGCGGCCGCGGCGGCGCTCCCCGCTGGCCGCGCAACGCGGCGCGGCTCGCACGGGGCCCCTCCGGATCATCCCGCTCCTCCACCACCTGCAAGTGCTCGTCGCTCATCACCTCGTATCGCTTCCTTGCGCCTAGACCAGTGCCGCCTGCCCGCCTCGCAGCCGCCCAGATCACCCACCAGCCATGTCGGCACCCGCTGGCAACCCGCCGCCGGCGCAGGGCGACAGCGCTGCCGCCGCCGCGCCGCCGCCCAGCTCGCCCGCGCACTCCTTCTCGCGCCTGTCTACCAACGAGGACGGCGGCGTGCCGCCGGCGGCCGCGACGTCGCCCTCGCACGTCTCGGCGGCCGTGCCCACGACGGCCAGCGGCGGCTCGGCGCCCTCGGCGTCGCCGTCGCGCGCCAAGGTGCGTGCGCCGTCGCGCCAGACAACTGCGCCCTCGCCGCCCGTGCTGTCGCCCACGTCGCGCACCAGCAGCAGCGGCGCCCTGCCCGGCGACGCCGCGGCCGCCGGAGAGACGACGGCAGCGCGCCTGAGCCGCAACCGCTCGCTGCGTCAGCACCACCCGGGCGGCTCGCTGTCGGCCTCGCACTCGCCCGCCTCGCCCGAGATGCATCCCGCGGGCCCGCACTCGCACGGCCCGCGCCACCTCTCGCTCTCGTCCCACTCGCGCCCGGCGCCGCAGCCCTCGGGCGCCGAGCGCGACCTGTGGGAGTCCAACGTCGCCTCTTCTAACCTCGCCAGCTCGTCCGACGGCCTACAGGCCCTGCTGCGCGACCACCCCGAGCTGGTGAGCTCGAGCCTCGCCGCTGCAGCCGGGAGCAAGTGGAGCGGCGTGCAGAGTCGCGGCACGCAGAGCGGCGCGGCATCTGGCAACACCACGCCCGCCGCCGAGGAGGAAGAGGAGGGCGAGGAGCTGAAGCGCATGAGCGCCAGCACGACGCTGGGGCCGCAGAACCCGAACTTGGGCAGCGCAGGTGAGTTGCGGTAGCGGCCGCCGGTACACCGCGGCACTGGCCCTAAAGCTGCCTCCACAGGTGCACCGCCGGACTACAGCGAGGCCAAGATCGTCGTGGCCATGGTCGGCCTGCCCGCGCGGGGCAAGTCGTATCTGAGCAACAAGCTCATGCGCTACCTCCGCGTGCGTGCCGCGTGGCCTGGCCTTCCGGAGATGCGTGCTGACATCGATGGCTGCAGTGGCTGGAGTACGACGTGCGCGTCTTCAACGTCGGCCAGATGCGCCGCGCGCTGGCCAAGGCCAAGCTGAAGGAGTCGGGCGTGCGCGAGGACCACACCGCGACGTTCTTCGACCACAACAACCCGACTGCGTTCAAGCTGCGCACGCAGATGGCCGAGGAGTGTCTCGAGCAGCTCATCGGCTGGCTCAAGCGCGGCGGCAACGTGGGCATCCACGATGCCACCAACTCGAGCATCAGTCGCCGCAAGGCGATCGCGGAGCGCGTCGCCAAGGAGCCGGGCCTGAAGCTCGTCTTCCTCGAGAGCGTGTGGTGCGTCTGCGTGTCGGCGCGGCGCTGACGTGCTGCTGACGCGCGCGCGACGACCAGCACTGATCCCGCAGTCATCGCCGCAAACATCGCCGTCAAGGTCTCGTCGGGCGACCCCGACTACGCCTCGATGTCGCCCGAGGCGGCCAAGGCCGACTTCCTGAACCGCATCAAGAACTACGAGGCCAACTACGAGACGGTCGACGCCGACGGCGAGGAGAAGCACCTTGCCTACTGCAAGATTCTCGATGTGGGCCGCAGCGTCGTCGTCAACGGCTTCAGCGGCTACCTGGAGAGCAGAATCGGTCAGTCGGCGGCAGGCACATGGCTGTGCTGCTAGTGCCTCCCGCTCATCCGCCGTCGCACAGCCTTCTTCCTGATGAACCTGCATCTCACGCCGCGCAACATCTACCTCTCGCGCGTGCGTGCGCTGCTTGACTGCTGCTGGTCCCTGCGGCTGACGCCTCGCTCGCACAGCACGGAGAGTCGCAGTTCAACGTCGAGGGCAAGATCGGCGGCGACGCCAATCTCTCGGAGCGCGGCTGGAAGTACGCCGAGGCACTGCCGCAGCTCGTCAAGGACGCCGTCGGCGACGCGCCCCTCACCGTGTGGCACAGCACGCTCAAGCGCACCGGCCAGACGTCCAGCCATCTCGAGTACCCCAAGCTTGCGTGGAAGAGCCTCGACGAGCTGGACGCCGGCGTCTGCGACGGCATGACGTACGAGGAGGTAAGCATGCACTGCCCCTTCGACTGCGCGGGTGACTGACCCGGCCGCGCGGCAGATCGAGAAGTACTACCCCGAGGACGCCGAGGCACGCGACGAGGACAAGTTCATGTACCGCTACCGCGGCGGCGAGAGCTACCGCGACGTCGTCGTGCGCCTCGAGCCCATCATCATGGAGCTGGAGCGCCAGGAGAACATCCTAATCGTGGCCCACCAAGGTGCGCTGCAGCGGTGCGCGTCGCCCGTCTTGACCTGACCGCCCCTCTCTGTTCCCCGCACTGCTGATGTTGCTCTCGCTCAGCCGTGAGTCCTGCGCCATCTCGTTGCCTCCACATCAGCGCTGACTCCGCACCCAGATCATTCGCTGCCTGTACGCATACCTGCACGCCCTCGCGCAGGACGACCTGCCGTACCTCAAGATTCCGCTCCACACGTGCGCAGCGCGCCGCCATGGCCGTGACACTGGCCTCCGCGACTGACTCGCACACGCACAGCCTGATCTGCCTCACGCCTCGAGCCTACGGCTGCGACGAGAAGCGGTACAAGGCGCCCATCGAGGCGTGAGTCCAGGCACTGCCGCACCGCTGCACGCTCGCTGACCCGCGCCCCCAGCGTGGACACGCACCGCGGCCGCGTGACGGCGCGCGACACCGACGTGCAGGCGCCGCCCGCGCCGGCCAAGGAGCAGACGATTGAGGAGGCCATGAACGCTCCGCCACCGTCTCAGCGGCGTGAGTGTGTCGCTGCTGCCTGCGCTCATGCTGCCGCACGCTGACCGTGCATTGACAGGCCCGGGTGCTTGAGCGCTAGGTTGCGCTTGTCTGTAGCAGCTGTCTGCTGCGCGCTGCGTGCTGTGTTCCGCAATGCCACACCATTAGAGTCAGACCCCGCACGGCCACGTGCATAGCTGCCGCGCTCGAGTTCGCTACTGCTGCGCCGCGACATGGCGAGCATATCGCTCTGCGGCGAGCGGCGCGTGCGTCAGCGGCAAGCTGGCGGCCGCTTAAAGGTGCTTGTGCTCATCATCGCCTGTCGCTCCGGCTGACATGAGGTCAAGCAGGGCTGTGCCTGTGGCGGCGTGCTGCCCAGTCCTCGTCTAAGCGCGCACATGGGGCAGCAGATGGCTGGAAGTGCCAGATGAGGCGCTTCAAGCCCTGGCAAAGCGACAGTCGCGCAGGAGCCATATCAACGCGCCTGAGGTCAATGCAGATGCGCTGTCTAGCTGTAGAGCAAGCGTGACGCGCGCGTATGAAAACAGTCGTGCCTGTGCAGCATGCAGCTGCGGGCAGAAAAGGCACACGGATCGCGTCTTGATCGCGCCGCCATTATGCGCCGTCAGCCACGCGCGACGTCGTTTTCGCGCCACGCGCGGATGCCGTACGCCCGGTGATGCGCGCTCCAGGCACGAGCGCCTTGCTCGTGCTTCCTGGAAGCAGTGCAGCGGAGTGAACAGCCGCGCCTAGAGATGCACCCTGCAGCGATGCCGGGGGCAGATACCACGTGCCGACGTAGTGTACAAGCGTGACCGCAGGGTCTGCCATGCCGGCACGACCGGGCAAGGGCAGAGGGCGCGGACTGAGGCCATTGCGTCCGCGACAGCAGTCCCGGATACCCCTGCTGCCGCAACCCAGGGACGCCGTAGCTTCAGCGGTGCGGCTGCGCCACATTGGCATCGGGAGCGCCTTCAGGCCACACATGGACGCCTTTGCGAAGCGCCAGTGCCACACTGGCTTCACCCGATGCTTGCTGGTGACAAGAGCGCTATCAGGTGATAGAGCAGTGCTCAAAGCGCAGTTGGCGGTGTTCGAGGCGCTGGGGACCTGTAGCAGCCTTGTCACAGAGAGAGGGCGGTGCGGACACGCGTGCGTAGATGTGGCAGGCGCGGCGCGAGAGGCGCGCCGCGCCACTACAACAACCTCGCCGCGGAATGCAAACGCGCGTTGTATTCAGTGAATAGAAACGCCGCGCCGCGGCCCCCCTGCCAGTGCGCGGGGCCTCCACACTCCGCCGCGCTCGACCCATGCTTCTTTCCTCCTCTCCACCACACCCGTTCCTTCTGCAGCGTCGCCTGAAGCCCCGCTGTCGCGCTTCTCGCCTCACTTCCGCCTGCGTCGCCCGTTCTGTCTTGCCCTTCGCGGCTGCCGCTGCCCGAGCTCGGCCACTCGCCGGCCACCTCGCGCCGCGCCTTGGCATGTCTGCCAACGACGAGGCGGCACAGCCGATCGATGTTCGGGCACGGATCGCTGCCTTTGGCGGCGGTGTGCTCAGTGCGCCAGCTGCACGGCCACCGCCGCCTGCTGCCCGGCAGGGCGGGGGCAAGGCGGCGCCCCCTCATGACGAGATCGCGCGCACAGCATCGCTACCGTGGGCTCGCGCCGGCCCGTCCTCGGCAGGCGTGTCCGAGTTCGGCGTGCCGACCTCTGCCGCGGCGGCGAAGGACCGACCCTCGACTCTTCCGTATGCACCTTACGCGCCTTACCTCGGCAACGGGCGCAGCAGCTCGGCCGCGAGCCAGTCATCTTCCTCTCTTCTGAGTGTCGGATCACGCTCGCAGCTGCGCAAAAGCGAGAGCGGCGCGAGTCTCAACGAGCTGAGTGCTGCAGCCGCTGCGAGGGGCCAGGCGACCCGCAGTCGCAGCAGCAGCACTGCGTCTAGCACGTCTGTAGGCCCAGCACGCAGTGCAACAAGCAGTCCAAGGCTGGGCGTCAAGAGCATCATCGCTCTGTACGGCGCTCCGCCAGATCGGCGCGGCAGCGCAGAGAGCTCCTTGTCGCTCGCACCGTCGCCCCGTGCCACGACCCCTGCTGCAGGTAGCTCTTCGTCACACACGAGAGACGCTCGCGTCGACGCAGCTTCCTCCCGGGCAGGCTTCAGCGCCGACGCCACATCAAGCTTCGCGCGCGACCCGGGCACGGCCGTCTCTCTCAAGGCAGACGACGCACTGCAGCCCAGCTCTGCTCCGGCCCATCTCCTGACAGGCCCATTCACAAAGTCTGCATCGCAGTCTCTTGCGCCGCCTCGTCCCCAGCGTCCGAGCGAGGGCAGGTCGCCGAAGAGCCTCGCAGACGCATTCTCGCCCACGGCAGCGCAGGCAGGGCAGTCGCACCTGCCCGCCCGGTCGCAGCATGGCGCGGCGGTGAGTGTCGATTCTGCGAGGCTTCCATCGATGGCAAATGCGCCTCCCTCGCTGCCGCCGCGCAAGCCGACGCAAGACGATGACGACAGACGTGACCGGGAGCAAAAGCCGCGCCGGGCTCCTGCCCTGCCCAGTCGCAGTCAGTCCGATCCGTCTGAAGCGCAGGACGCGCCTGTCGTCTCGCCTTACAAGGTCAGAGCGCCTGCGCCGTCGTCTCGTCTGCGCGGCATGTCGGGCACCAGGCCCGCAGCTGCGTCGGCCGAGACAGGTGGCGCGTCCTTGCAGTCACACTCTTCGCCTCCGCCCGCGCCGCCAAGGCCGGCTGGCATGGGTGTTGCAGCCCGGCAGCGCTCTCACTCGCGCCTCTCCGATTCGAACCTGCACGCCACGAGCGAACGCAGTGCGGCGGCATCCCGTGCTACAGGGATGCGGAGTGCCGAGGAGCCAGACACGGGCCTCATCGTGCCGCCGCCACAGGCTTCCGGCGCTGCGAGCCCCATGTCGCCAGGCAGAGCCAACATTCCGCCTCCTCGGCGGGTCCGAGAGCGGTCCTCAGGCGCCATAGCTTCCGCACGTGCCCAGTCTCCGCAACGCAGCGTCCCGCCCACGTCGACGAGCAGCACGGTCCCTCCTCCGCGACACTTCGAGACTGCGTCCCGCGTCGCAGCTGTCCGTTCTGCGCTCAATCCGCACGGCGTGGGGCCAAAGTCCTGTGCGCCAGAGCCAGGCGCCCGCAAGCGCTACGAAGCATTGTACGACAACGAGGTGCGCCGGGACGCATCGCGCAAAGCGCGAGCTCGAGACGGGCCACGCGGCACCGCACCGCCCGCCTCGATGATGAATGACGGAATCGGCGCCGGTGCAGCCCAGGCCAGGCTCGGCGCACGGAGGGTCGCGAGACTGTGGCGGCGCTCCCGTCTTCCATTGGCATTCCTCTCGCAGGTGTGGGACGCTGCTGTCTCGTCCGCGCACGAGCAATATCTCGACCGAGAGTCCTTCGTCCGCGCCATGGCTGCCATCGACCTGGAGCTCAGCCGCAGGCGGCGCTCGGTGGCTTAGCGCTGTGAGCCACAAACCGGGCCTCAAGACAGAGCAATCCATCAATTGGCGAGGACGGCATTGCCCAGGCGCGCAGTCAGCACTGCAGTCGCGAGCGAGGAGATGAGGTTGACCTGCTCGGCGGAGGGGTCAGCTAGGCGCCTCGTCCGATGCTTCCGCAGGCGCTCCTCACGGCGCTGTTGCTGCACACGTCGTATCCTGTGACCACGCGCCACTCGCTGCTCGGCGGCGGAGGGCGCCGCCCGACCAGGACTTGCCGCCGCGTCTCGCTGTACCACGTTCTCTGCAGTGTGGCGCCGAGCAGCGAGTCGATCTATCGTGGACGTCAGCGCGTCGTCAGCAGCGTGAGGTACGGTGCGACCCACCATGCTGCCAGTGCCGCCAGCAGCGGCGCCGATCAGGAGCAGCGAGAGGGCTTTGGACGGCGCCATGGCAGTGTCAGACGCGTACAGTGCGGCGCCACAGACGAGTCCCATGAGGGCGCCGCCGCCGATGGAACACGCTACGCCGAGCAGTGAGACGCCACCATTCGTGCCGGGAGGGACCTAGGCCGGCTTACGTGTGAGCAATCGCAGGTCAGGCGGAGCAGACACGAGACTCACGGTCTGGCCCGTCGTGACCAGCCGTGGGCGCGAGCGAGAGAGGATGCCTAGCTCAGATGCCAGCGTGTCGCCCGTGCAGCACTGCACGCGACAGAGTGTTAGCATGGTGTGGCCGCGCTCTGCGGCCTATCACAGGCTCACGGCAAAGTGGCCCAGTGCGAGCAGCAGAAGTGTCTGGGCGTGCAGCTCGGGCCCGGCGCGAGGTCCACCCAGCGACGCCACGATGCTGCGAAGCGTGTGCGCCAGCTGCGATGTGGCTGCGGGTGCGCCGGAGAAGAGAACGCGATACGTGCACGCCGCAGCGGCGCCGAAGAGCGAGTTGCAGAGCACTTGCGTGGCATCGCGCTGTCCACCGGCCTGCGCCTTGTGTGCGGGCTGCTTGGCATGGTCGCGGCTCGGGCGCTCGTCGCCGGCCTCGAGCTCGAGCGTGGCCTTCACCTCGGCCTTGATGCGCGTGGCACGGCTGCCTGCCAGGTAGAAGGCCAGCAGCATGGAGCCAAAGGCCGGCGTCGGGCATGCGAGCGTAGCGTAGCCGACCGCAAACGCGGCAGCGGCCCCCGACGGCGCGAGCGAGCCGCGGCGCAGGCCGTGCGAGGCCAGGAGCGCCGCGAGGCCCAGCGGCACGGGGTAGAGGTCGACTGCGGGCATCGCGCGGGCGCCTCGGCGAGCTTGCGTGGCGGCGGACGGACGGCTTGTGGTCGTTGCAACGCAACGAGCGGCGCCGCGTGCTAGGCGGCTGCTGGCCGGGCGCGGCCGCGAAATCCGCGGCACTGCTCTGGCCGCGCCCGCCATGCGCCTTCCGGCCGGCTGCGGTTTTGTTCGCACAGCGCCGCCTTCTCTCCCGACGCCATCCTCGCTTGCCTCCGCCCCTTCGACCATGCAGCATCTCACCAGCGCAGCCCGCAGCGCATGCCGTGTGCCTGCAGGGGCCGCGCTCGCACGGCAGCAGCGCCTATACTCCACGCCGCGCGACGAGACACCACCGCACTCGCCCGCGCCGAGCTCGGGCGAGAGCTCGCTCGGCAAGGCGTCCGCCTCCTCCGCCGCTGCCTCCTCCTCTTCCTCTGCAGCGCCAGCTCCAGCGCAGGCGCAGGCGCCCAAGCCTGACTTCTCGCAGTCGACGTCTACCGCCGCAGCCGCGGCCAACCTCCAGCCGCTGCCCTTTCTCTCGCACCCGCTCGGCGTGCCGGAGCGTCCTTCCAACCGCAAGCTCACCTGGTCCGAGGTGCGCAGCAGGGCTCTGGATCGCGACAGGCGGTTGCAGGTGCGCCAGAACATGTGAGCGCTGTGCTGGGCCCGCACTATTGAGCGCCCCCTGAAATCTCCCGTTGCCAGCGTCAAGGAAGCGACGCAGGGCTACTTCCACGACTTCCACAAGCTGCGCTCGCACGGCGGCAAGACATGGCGTGCGCCGGGAACGCTGATCAGAGACGATGTGCGTGATGCTGGCGTCTCGTGCATTGCAAGCAGGCGCTCGTGCTGACTGCGGCCACAGCGATCGCTGTACTTCCCGCTCATGTCGGGCACGCGTCTCGCCGACGGCAAGGAGATCGACACGGCCCAGCTGCTACCGGGCAAGGTCAGCATCGTCGCGATCCTGACAAGTGCCGTCTCTGAGGTGCGTGACCGGCGCGTGCACACGAGCAGGCGCCCAGCAGCTGCTCATGCCGAGATTCTAGGAACACACGAAGAGCTTCTACACGGCGGCGTTTGAGGCGCACGGGTCACACCCCGCGTTTCAGCTGGTCCAGGTGCGCGCTGGCATGGGGGAGAGTGCGCCGGCAGTGCTGATGCCCCCACTTGCAGATCAACTTGCAAGAGAACCGCCTCAAGAGCGTGCTCGTGCGCATGTTCCTGAGTTCGCTGCGCCAGAAGATCGCCCCGCCGCTGGCAGAGACGTACATGCTCTGCGCGCAGTCGATGGACCTGCAGCGCGAGGCCATCGGCCTGCACAACAAGCACGTCGGATACACGTACCTCGTGGGCCCCGACGGGCTTATTCGCTGGGCTGGCGGCGCATTCGCCGAGCCGAGCGAGCAGCAGGCTCTGGTCGCATGCACGGGCGTGCTGCTCGGCAGACTAGACGGCGCTCAATCAAAGAAGTGATTGAGCAGTGGCCAGCGGGCGCTTCTACCGCCGATGTCATTGCAGATCGCTTGGTTGTGCGCAGAGTCGTCGAACGCCGCCCCTCGCGAGGGTGAAGTGCCACGCCGCCGGGCCAGCCGAGCGAGCGCTCACCGCACTCAGCGTATCCAGACACCCTCGGGCTGCAGGTTCTGCGAAGGCGGACGGTGGTTGAGAGCCAGAAGCACGCTCGATGTGCGCGTTGCTCACCTCTGCTGCAATGGAGAGGCCGACGAGCGCTTCGCACACGGCTCGCCCGGCCCAGCCTTCGAGACACTCGACCTCGCTGGGCGTGATGAAGCCGGCGGTGACTCGGTTGGCAAAGCTGCGGGCGGTGCTCAGTTATGTTGCACGGTGACGGCGCGCTCGACACGCACACCATCTGTGCCGCACCGACACGGATGCGACGGCTCGTGTCGGCGCTTGCCACGTTGTTCGCCCGGGCCAGGTGGTTGATCACAAAGGTCTATGGGAGACGGCGCCGGTGAGCCAGACGACAATGGCCAGACGCAGCGCCGTGCCTCGCCCACCTCCATCTCAAAGGTCTGCACGCCCTTGCCGATGACTTTGTCGATGAGGTCGCTGTTGCGGTCGTCGAAGAAGGTGCCGCTCCGGCCCTGCGACGAGTAGAAGCTGGCGCGCTCTTCAGTCCACTGCGCAATGCTCGGGGCCTGGCTGTGCTGACCTGTCTGTGCTCGCGTTGACAACCTGTCCGACCACGCTCGGCTGTTCTCCTCCGAACAGCGCTCCGGTGGCTGCTGGGCGCGAGCTCTGCAGAGCAGCGAGCAGCGCGTCGTGCACGTCTGCGTCGCAGTCGAGCTGGCAGTAGTGCTGTCAGTCGGCAGACCAGGCGCTCTACTCCCGTCACGCTCACGGGCCGCGTAATGTGGTAAGGCTCCTCGTCGGCTGCTGCATCCGAGTGGAAGGCGTCATAGTTCCGCGTGATGCCCACGCTGGTCTTGGGCACCACGACAGATCCGATGGGCGCCTCGGCTGCGAGCGAGCCACACTTGTGCGTTGCCGAGAGCGCGGCAGTCAGCACCTGGAGTGGCCCATGGGGCGGGTCCTCACTCACGGAGCCGAGGCGCACGATGATGAGCTCGCCATGCACGACCGCCCGCGTCTCGCGCACAAAGAAGTCGACAAGCTGGGTGCGAGGCATCATTGAGCTGTTGCAAGAACGAGCGCGGCCCTGCTGCGACTGACGCTGAAGCCCATGCCGATGGAGATGACCGTCAGCGGTGTGCCACGGTACGTGCCTGTGAGCGTGAGCTTGTGGAGCGTGAGCCGGCATGCGCGAGGTCCCAGACGGCCGTCGCGGCGCTCACAAACTTGCGGCCCGACTCGCGCTGCCACAGCGGGGCGCCACCGTCGAAGTGCGCAGCGATGCGACGAGCGCGGGCGTGGTCGCCGACGGTGATCTGCATGGGGCAGGCGGTGAGCGGGCATGAGGCACAATGTCCGGACTCTCCAACGCACGATGCGGTTGGCCATCTCGCCTGGCTTGGTGCCGACCTGCAGCAGGGTGGGCGAGCATCAGCGCTGGCGGAGCGGCATGCCATGCTCGGGGCATGCCTCGCTCTAGGCGCGCCCGGTCGTCCCTGACGCACATGGTATGTGCGGCCCTCGGCGTCGCGGGGGAAGTTGGCGTCGAGCAGCGTCTCCTTCATGGCGCCGGCAGCGGTACGTGCAAAGCAGCAGGCTGCAGAATGGTTCTGACGCCGCGTGCGGCGATGCTTGCTGGTGTGCGGAAGGCAGGAGGCACGCGCCACGAGGTGTCAGCTCGAAGTGGAGAGGGGCAAGGCGCGCGGCGCGCCAAGGGAGAGGGCCACCTGCTGCCGCACGGCGCGCCACAGCGGCTGGGCCTGCGCGCAGCGGCCAGCCGCCGCTTCTTCTCCTTCCACCACCACCGCCTGTCCCTGCCTGCCCTCCCGCGCCCTCGCACCGCATTCGCGCGCACATCGCTACATAGCTTCGTCTCTGCCCGCCGTCCCCACACGCCCGGCCAATCCGGCACGCGCCACTGCCAGCATGTCTGCTGCTGGCCCGTCGAGCGCCAGCGCCGACCCGTACGCGCCCTTCTAGTGCGTCGCACTGCTGCGCAGCTCCGTCCGTGCCACTGACGCCCGCGCCACAGCTACTGGGACCCACACTCGAACGGCTGGGCCTTTGACTACGACGCCTACTACGCTGCGCACCCGCCCGTCGCGCAGCCGACGTACGACCCCGACTTTGCCGCGCAGGCCTCGGCGCAGGCCTCGGCGTATGGCAGCGCGCCTGGTGCGCCAGGTGGCGGCACAGGCGGCGCACCGATCAGCGCCGCCACGGCGGCCGCCAATAAGGCCAAGAAGCAGCTCGGACCCAAGGATGCCGAGGGCAATGCCCTCGCCGGCAACCTGAAGCGCGGCGAGAAGCGCACAACGGTGCTGCGCAAGGCCGTCGGCAAGCTGTATGAGGACCAGACGCTGCTCGAGTGGAACCCCAGTGAGTGCAAGCCGGCCGCAGCACCGAATATACTGCGGGCACGCAGCTGGGCATGTGCTTCACGGCTGACGGCCATGCCTGCACCCAGCGCACAAGCGCCTCTTCGTAGGCGATCTGGGCAACGACGTCTCAGACGCTGTCCTGACCGCGGCGTTCCAGAAGTACCCGTCCTTCTCCAAGGCGCGCGTGGTGCGCAAGAAGACAGACGCCAAGTCGCGCGGCTACGGCTTCGTCGCTTTTGGCGATCCTGAGGACTTCCTAAAGGCGTGGAAGGAGATGGATGGTGAGTCGCTCGCAGCAGAGCGTTGCTCGTGTGGAGGCGCCCTCTTCGCTCTCAGCGATGCAGGCGAGAGCCTGATCCTGTGCCAGGCGGCTCAAGCGCGCTGCCGCGCGCTGCGCCGGGCCATCACAGCATCGCTGACCCGCTGTGCTCCAGGCAAGTACATTGGCTCGCGGCCGTGCCGCCTCAAGAAGGCGTCTGAGGATGTCGTGCCGGTCGAGATCGGACACCGCAAGGACCGGCTGCTGGCGAACAACGTCAAGCACGACGACTGGCAGCACCGCAGGAAGATGGGCGGCGCACTGGGCAGCACACTCCGGCAGAACGGCGGCTTCGGCCGTGCGTACGGCAAGAAATGAGAGAGCTGTGTGTGCGCACTCCGCCGGCCCGGCGTCGCTGGGTCCAGATTTCACTTTGTGCATTGGCTGCGACGTTCATGAGCTCAGCGCCTTCTCGAGCGTGTCGCACTGCTCCAGCACGGCGCGCTTGCTCGTGCCGCCGATGGCGTCGCGGCGCTCCACGCTCTCCTCGAAGATCCAGACGCGCTCCGCGTCCTGCTCGAATGCGGGGCTGAGGCTCTTGAGCTCCTCGAGCGAGAGCTTCGACAGCGGCACGCCCTTCTCCTCGGAAAGGCGGACGGCCGAGCCGGAGATGTGGTGCGTCTCGCGGAAGGGGATCTGTGCGCGCCGAAGTCAGAGGCCGGGCGGCAGTGCAGCGCTGCCGGTGCACAACTCACGCCCTTGCGCACGAGGTACTCGGCCAGGTCCGTGGCAAGCATGTCGGGCGTGAGAGCGGCCCGCATCTTCTCCTCGTTGATCTGCGCGGGGACTCCGTCTGAGCAGCTGTGCCAGGCTCCGTGCAGCGCGTGGCACTCACCGTCATGGTGCTGATCACGCCCGTCGCAATCTGCAGACTGCGGCCGATCGTGTCGACCGCGTCAAAGAGCGGCTCCTTGTCCTCCTGCAGATCCTTGTTGTACGTCGACGGAATGCCCTTGAGCGTCATCATGAAGCCTGCCATCTGCCTCGGCGCGTCAGCACCCCGTCCGGCCGCAGACTACGCTAGCCACGCACCTGGCCAAAGATGCGGCCCGACTTGCCGCGCAGCAGCTCCAGGCTGTCGGGGTTCTTCTTCTGCGGCATGATCGACGAGCCAGTGCTGCACGAACATTGGCGTCAGTCAGCTGCCCCGATACAACCCCTTCCGCCCGTGACTCCTCCTCTTGCTCCAAGCCGCGCAACTCACCTGTACGCATCGCTCAGCGTGAGGAAGCCAAACTCGGCCGTCGAGTAGATGATGAAGTCCTCGGCGATCTTGCTCAGGTGCACGGCGGTGAGCGAGGCCCACATGAGCGTCTCGGCGACAAAGTCGCGGTCGCTGACGTTGTACATGCTGTTCGGGCCGACGCTCTGGAAGCCCAGGTCGCGCGCGAGGGCGACGCGGTCGGGCGAGAAGGGGTTGCCTGCCAGCGGGCCCGAGCCGAGCGGCAGCACGGAGATGCGCGGGTGCAGCGCACGCAGGCGCGCCAGGTCGGCGCTGAGGTACGAGGCGTGCGAGAGCAGCAGGTGCGACCAGCGGATGGGCTGGGCGCGCTGCAGGTGCGTGTAGCCGGGCATCAGGGCGCCGACCTCGGCGCGCGCCCGCTTCACCATCACGGCGATGAGCTCGGTGAGGAGCGTCTCGAGCGTGTGCGCCTCGTCGATGAGCCAGAGGCGCATGTCCGTCGCCACCTGGTCGTTGCGGCTGCGGCCCGTGTGCAGCTTGCCAGCGACGGCGCCGATGAGCTCCTTGAGGCGGCGCTCGTTGGCCGTGTGGATGTCCTCGTCGTCGGGCTCGGCGCGGAAGGAGCCGCTGGCCCACTCCTTGCCCACGGCCTCGAGGCCGGCGACGATCTCGTCGCGCTCCTGCTCGGTGAGGATGCCGCAGCCGACAAGCGCGCGGGCGTAGGCCTGCGAGCCGCGAATGTCCTGCGCCCACATGCGCTTGTCGTAGGAGAGCGACTCGTTGTAGGCGTGCATCTGCGGCGGCGCCCATCAGCAGCCTGCCTGCCGCTCGCCGCAGGCCACGGGCAGACTCACGATCGGGTCGGTGGTGCCGGTGAAGCGGCCGCCCCACAGCTTGCGCTTGGTGAAGTCTTCGGGTGCCGACATGCTAGAATAGTGTAGCGAGGGGCGCGGGGGTGGTGGTGGTGCGGGACGTCCGCGCCGTCCCAGCCCGACGCCGTCCTTCGCGAATTTCGCCCGCCGCCGCGGCGCGCCGGCCGCCGGCCGCTTGATCTTATCTCACCGCCGCAGATCGCTCGCTCGCCCTCCTTGCCGCCGACATCCAACGATGCGCGAGCAGTACAGCGCAGTATTCACTCGGAACACAGCTGCTCCTCTCCACGCCCTCTTCCGCCCGTTGGGAAGCGGCTGCCAGGCAGAGAAGCGGCGAGCGGCCGCAACGCCAGCCGAGTCATGCTTCCGCTCTCGCCCGACTCCCGGCTCCGTTCTTTTCGTCTGGACGAGCCGATCTCTCGGCTCCGAGCAGTCGGAAACAGGCTCCACCCGCCTGATCTCAGGGGAGCGCGTATCTCTCTCTGAACGTGGCCTATCTCTCGGCACGTTGGCCCTGCCGACGAAAGGAGGTGCACAGAGAGGCTTGCCTCCTAAGCTGAAGAGCTTCGCGGGCGGCAGGCGCGGCGCAGCAGCAGGCGGCGAGATGCGGTGCAACACCGCGTGCGCGGCGCAGCGGCGGCTCCGGCGCCATGCGCTAAAGTGCGCTGCGCCCACCGCACGCCGCCGCCGGCGAGCTGGAATAAGGGAGGCGCGGCGCACGTGCAGGGAGCAGCGAGGGGTGCTCGTCGGAGGAGCAGCTGCTCGGTGCGTGCCTCGCCGACGTCTGACGCTGAGAGGCTGCTGCGAGGAGGCGTGTCGCCATCATCGGGCACGCCGCCGGGATGCGCGCGCGTCTGTGCGCAGAGCGAGAGGCGCGCGCGCGTGCAGCACCTGCTGGCGCGCGTGGCAGGCAAGCGAGGTAGGGCGGCGCAGCACAAGACACGCCGCATCGCCCACTCTCACTTCTTCTTCCTCTTCCTCACACCACCAAGCCCGCACCTCCGGCAGCAGACCTCCGGCTATCCCTTGCTCGGCTTCCACGTCCCACACCTGCCTCACGCGCCCGGACTGCCCACACTTGCGCCCGCCCCGCCCCGCCGACGATTGCACGCCCAGACCACCCACGCGACCACACCGCCGCCCGGGCCGCTCGCCGCCGGCGCCCGCCAGCATGCTCTCGCCCCTGCTGCGCTTCGTCGCGCTCGCTGCGCTTGCCGCGCCGCTGCTCGCCGCGGCCGCGTCGCCGGCGCAGCCTGACAGCCGCGAGCTCGCTCAGCTGGCAGCGCGCGCCGCCGTCGGCGCCGCGCCCGCCTACCACCTGCCCGCGCGCCGCAGCTACGACTCGCACCACTACTACGCCGTCGAGATCCGGGCGTCGCACTCGGCATGGACGGATCCGCGCGATGTCGCCGAGGCGCTCGGCGCCGAGTTCGTCGAGCGCGTCGGCGAGCTGCGCGACCACTGGCTCGTGCGCAGCCCCAAGCCGCTCGTCCGCGCGACAGACGATGAAGCCGCTCTGCAGGCGCGCCAGCCGGAGCGTTTCGCCGACGTGCCGTTGCACCAGGATGCTGTCATGAAACGCTGGCACAGCCTCTCGCACGCGCGCTTTGCGCCAGCCGGCACGGCCGCGTTCTCGCCGCGCACCCTCTCCGCCGCCGAGGCGATCCGCAGCGTCGAGCGGCAGGAGCTGCGCCGCCGGCACAAGCGCGACATCATCTACGACCCGCCGACGATGCGCCATCTCTACCCCGAGATGCGCGCACCGGTGCCGGGCCCGGCGCCGCATCCATACCCGGACCCGCTGCCGCGGCCGCCGCCGATTCCCTCGGCCAAGGCGGCACAGATGATGGGCACGCACGACATCCGCGACCCCATCTTTGCGGAGCAGTGGCATCTCGCCAACGACCGCATCGGCACCAACGACCTCAACATCTCGGACGTGTGGTCCTCGGGCCAGCGAGGCAAGGGCGTCAACGTGTGCCTCATCGACGACGGGCTGGACTTCAAGAGCCCGGACCTCAAGGACAACTTCGTGAGTCTGCCACGAGGCTGGACGTGCGTCGAGGTACTTACCCGCTCGCGCAGTTCGAGGCCGGCTCGTACGACTTCAACACGCATACTGCACTGCCCGAGCCGCGCCACTCCGACGACCAGCACGGCACGCGCTGCGCCGGCGAGATTGCGGCTGTGAAGAACGACGTGTGCGGCGTGGGCGTGGCGTATGAGGCGCACGTGGCCGGCGTGCGCATTCTCTCGGGCCCGATCTCGGACGTAGACGAGGCCGCGGCGCTCAACTACCGCTACCAGGAGAACCACGTGTACAGCTGCTCCTGGGGTCCGCCGGACGACGGACGCAGCATGGACGCGCCCAAGGGCCTGATCGCCAAGGCCATGCTCAACGGCATCCAGAACGGGCGCGGCGGCAAGGGCAGCATCTTTGTGTTCGCCGGCGGCAACGGCGGAGCGTCGGACGACCAGTGCAACTTCGACGGCTACACGAACTCCATCTACAGCATGACGATTGCGGCCGTCGATCGCGAGGGCCTGCACCCGTACTACTCGGAGATGTGCGCAGCCAACATCGCCAGCGGCTGGAGCAGCGGCTCGGGCGACCACATCCACACGACCGACGTCGCCTGGAACGGCGTGAACCGCTGCACGACGCACCACGGCGGCACGAGTGCTGCCGCGCCGCTGGTCGCCGGCGTGGTGGCGCTGGCGCTGGCCACGCGGCCGGACCTCACGTGGCGCGATATGCAGCACATCGCCGTCAAGTCCGCCGTCATGGTCGCGCCGGACGACAAGGACTGGCAGCAGACGCAGGCGGGCAGGCACTACAACCACAAGTTCGGCTACGGCGTCATCGACGCATATCAGTTCGTCGAGGAGGCGAAGCGGCACGTGCTCGTCAAGCCGCAGGCATGGGCCGCCAGCCCGAACATCAGCATTGCGCGCGACGACACGCTCATCGGCCTCGAGGGCGTCAAGAGCACGTTCACAGTGACGAAGGACTGGCTCGCGGAGCAGAATCTCGAGTCGATCGAGCACGTTACGGCCCGCGTCTGGATCACGCACGAGCGCCGCGGCGACGTTGACGTCGAGCTCACGAGTCCGCACGGCACGCGCAGTGTACTGGCGCGCCCGCGCCGCTACGACGACGCGCGCACCGGCTTCGTCGGCTGGGGCTTCATGTCGCTGAAACACTGGGGCGAGGACCCCGTCGGCACCTGGACGATGGAGGTCTTCGACCGCGCGAACCCCAAGCAGACGGGCAACTTCTGGGCGTGGTCGATGACGCTGTGGGGCGAGACGATGGACGCGTCCAAGGCCAAGGTCTGGAACTTCCCGGAAGACTCCGTCGAGTACCACGAGACTCTGCCTGCCGCGCCGAGCACCACGACGGTGTACCAGCCGGAGCTCGTGTCGAGCCAGCGCCCCAAGCCCACCGACCATCTTCCGGAGGACCACGGCAGCAAGCCGGGAGAGACGAGCGCCGACTTTACCCACAGCCGCCCTACTCTTGTGCGTCTGGCAGCGGACACGTGCCTACCGCCCTGTGCTGACCTGTGCTGCTTGCTTCCCCGCAGACTCCGACGCCCGAGGCGGACACGGGCTATATCTCCGGCCTCAAGAGCTCGACGTGGCTCTTCGTCGCGACGGGCATCGTCATCATCTTCGCGGCGTCGCTCGGCACTTTCTTCCTGCTGCGGCGGCGCCGCGCTCGCGCCCGCCGCATTGGCGATGCCGCCGCGTACGAGTTCGTGCCGGGAGAGGACGACGACCTGGCCATGTCTGCGCTGCCCGGACGCGCCGGCTCTGGAACGCGCGGTGGCGGCCGCGGCGGACGCCGCGCAAAGGAGCTCTACGATGCTTTTGGCGAGGCGACCGACGAAGAGGACGAGGGCGAGGAGGACAAGCTCGTGCGCCGCGGCGCAAACCCGCAGGGGTACCGCGACGAGCCGGACGACGCAGACGAGCGCTTCACCATCGGCGACGAGCAGCCGACGCCCGCCACGGCGGAGGCGCTTGCCAGCGCGCAGGAAGGCAACGAAAAGACAGCGGACCTGCTGTCCGACCCCAGCGCGCCCGATGCGGAGGGCAGCGGCAGCGGCGGCAGCGGCAGCTGGCAAGACGCGGGTGCTGAGCGGTAAGGCAGCGGGTGCCGGAGGGTGGCTGGGCGAGGCGCGGCGATGGACGGGCTGGGAGGGGCCTCAGCCGCACCGGGCGCGGCGCGCCGGCTCGATGAGCTATGGCCTGTCGCATGTGCACGCGCCTGATCGCATATAATACATTCACCCTTTCTTATCCCCTTCTGCCTGGCCGTCGGACGAAGCGGCTGCTTGCGGTACAGCTGCCGCGCCGCCGCTCGTCGTCGCGGCGCTGCTTGCCGCCGACGAGGCCGAGGCGGCTGGCGCAGGGGCGGGCTTCTTGCGAACGACGCCCAGCAGGCCCTCGCGCTTCCGCTTGCCCTTCTTCGCAGCAGCGGCGGAAGCGCCAGCAGGAGCTGCAGCGGCGGCTCGAGCGGATGCTGGGCCTGACGAGCCGCTGGCCGCTGGCGGCGAGCCTGCAAGCCCCTGCACGAGCGGAGGAGGAGGCGAGCTCCTCTGAGCAGCCCTGCAGGCGAGACCGGCGCGCGTGAGCGGCCGAGGGTCCTCTTCCAGCAGCGGCACTCACTTCCTGAAGCGGTTCAGCTCCTCGAGCTCCTCGTTGCGCTTGGCGCGCTCCTCGCGCTGCTTCTGCGCCTGCACGTCGGCCAGGAAGACCGACTCTTCCTGGTCGATGCCGCGGAACTGGTTCGAGAGCTTCATCTTCTCGTCGAACGCCTCCTGCTTGGCATCCTTGTTCGCTTGCAGGCGCTGCAGACGGCATCCACATATCAGCATCCGCATCGCACAGCAAGCGATGTGCGTCTTCGTCGGCACCCACCTCGTACAGCGTGCGCGGGTCGTACACCTCGTCCTCGGGCGCCTTGGGAGGCTCCTGGCCGATGCGCGCGTAGGCCTCCTGCAGCTCCTGCTCCTTGCCTGGAAGCGGAGCCTAGCATTGAGCCCCAGGTACGCATTCTTCCAGCACACGACTCACGAGCGCGTGCCTCGCCGATGGCATCCTGGCTGACGAAGCGCGACTTGACGGAGCCATATGCCGCCGCCGTGGACGCTGGCCGTGCGGCCGCGGGCGCGCTGGGCGCCGCCAGCGCCAGCGGCGGGTCATGCCGCGGATCGGCCATACTACAGGCGTGTGGTGGCGCTTCGGAGCGTGGCGATGCGCAGAACCGTCGGGCAAGCGGACCACGAGCTGCGAGGAGTGTGCGACGGGCGCCGGGCGCTGCAGAAGCGGCGCGCGCCCGGACGATGCGTGAGAGCGCGAGCAGGCGAGTGGCACAACAAGCGCCGAGCTGCACAGCCGGCTGAGAAGAACGAGGGCGACGCAAGACGACGGTGCTGGACGCGAGACAGCGGCGTGGAGATGGAGGAGGTGAGCAGCGTGCGGCATGCCTGCCTGCCCCGTGCATCTGCATGTCCGCGCTCCTCTCTGCCGACGGCACCCCGGATCGCCCACGCGCGCGCGGCGCGGCAGCTGCCGCACGATGACGGCGCATGCCGCGCCGCGCTCGCACGCCTTCGGTGAGACACGCTCGCTCCTCGCAAACTTTCGCCTCGCCTTGAGAGAGCTGCCCGCCGAGAGGCAGGCATGCTCGCCTCTGTATGTCGAGGGTGATGCTGTCTAATGCAGAGGCAGCTGCCGGCCTTCGATGTTCAGCACGCGAGCGAGGCGAGAGTCTGACGCTGGGTCGAGGGATCGACGTTGCCTCGAACCGGCATGCGGAGCCGCGAGCCGCCGCGCCGGGCAGCACAGCCAGCATCGGGGCGCGGCCCATGGCGCCCGCAACCCGGCAGCGCCCAGAAGCTGGACACGCTCTGCACTTCTCCTCTCCCGTCTCCTCCCTCCTCCCGTCCAGACCCGCCATATACCCGCGTTCCCGCCGTGGTTCCCAGCAGTGCACGCCCTTCGTCTCGCGGTGAGGCACCGGCAGCGACCTGCTCCACCCTCGTCTCTCTCCTCTCTCCCTGCTGCCTCGGCCCTCTCCGCTGCTGGGCCGTCGCGGCCTTTTGTCCGGCACCGCCGTGCGTGTGACCGCCGCAGAGCACCATGTCGTCCAGCGCCGAGGCATACATCACCGCGCCGGCGGCGCCGCCGCCGATCAGCACGACGGCCGCGCGTCCTGGCGGGCCTGTCCGTGCTGCGTCGCAGCGCAGCGCCTCGTCGCCCGTCTCGCCGGCGGTGCTGGGCCGTATGTCCTGGTTCGGCTCGGTCGACGGCGACTCGGACGAGGAGCAGCGCTCGCCGACGCCCGGACCATCGGCCACCATCTTCGGCGTCGAGCCGGCCATCTTCTGGGCGCAAGCTGCGCGTGCCATCGCCGACGACGAGGATCCTGAGCCGCTCTCTGGCGCAGCTGCTCCGTCGCTGGCACGCTCTCGCTCGCTTCGTCGCGCCAGCATGCCGCCACTACAGTCGCCACAACGGCCAGTTCCAGAGGCCCTCGGCCTGTCTCTAGGCTCCGAGTCGGCGGGGCCGAGCTCTCCGGCGACGTCGCCGCCACCGGTGCCAGCAAAGGCGCGGCGGCGGCCCACCGGCACGGGCATCCTGAGCCGGCTGCGACGCATCAATAAGCGAGAGGCACGGGACGCTCAGCGGCACAGCCTCGATGCGTCGACTCTGAGTCATGTGACGCCAGCAACGCCCGACGCTGTCACCTCGCCGCCGCCCAGCGTGATGGATTCGGTCCAGGAATGGAGCTCTGCTGGCTCAGCCGAGGAGCCTGCGGCACAGAGAGCCTTGCGCGAGCTGCCGTCGGTGAGCGCCGTGCAAGGACGCGGGCCGCCGTCGCCCATCTTCTTCAAGGACCTGCCTGGCGTCGAGCGCACGCCGCACTTTGTCTACGACGGCTCCGCGCGGCCGAGCCGCGAGCGCATACACTCGCTGCAGCCCAGTCTTGTCGACGACGAAAGCATCAGAGCGGACAGCGACGAGGAAGAGGAGGAAGACGCGCTCAACTTCGACGAGCACTGGCTGGAGCAGCGTGTCGAGGAACGGCGAAGAGATGAGTTCGGAGACGCGACGACTGAGCTCAGCCCAGCTCCTCCCGCGTGGGCTCTGCAAGAAGCAGAGCCAGAAGATCCTGCAACGCCGATGGAAGGCGCGCCACGTGTCGACAAGCCGGCGCCTGCAGCTAACTTCGCTGCCGGTCCGCCCTCGACCTTCGCCTTGGGCCAACCCCCGTCATCAGCCGCTGAGCGGGCACTCAATCGTCGGCGACAGCCGAGCTTCCCAGGTGCCTTCACATGGGTTCCCGATGCTGCCGCCGATGCGGTCTCGCCGCTGTCCACGCCGCAAGCTGAAGCTCCACCGGCGCTGCAGCTAAATGGCGCATCGACGTCTGCCGATGAGAGCGCACACCCTCCTCGCGAGTCGTCGGAGTACTTGGATGCGCATTCGCGGCACTCGAGCATAGACGAAGCACCCTCACCCTTCAGTGACTCGACGGACGCTGCCGGGCCTCCTGCTGCGCAACTGCTTGCCTTGTCGCTGTGTGAAGCACGCACGCAGACCCCCGCCGACGAGGTTGACACGCCGCGGGGACATGCAGCACAACGGACCTCCTATTTTGAGGCCACATCTCACTCACGCTCGGCCACCACGGACTCGACTGCGACTGAGTCGACGGCCCCAGTGTCCATTGCAGACTCGATCAAGGCAGCATCCGAGGCATCCTCTCTCGCAATGGCGGCGGCGGAGCTACCCGAGCCGCCGCAGTTCCATGCCGTCGCACCAGCGACTTACACTTGGCTGCGCAAAGCCGAGCTCGCGCCCGCGCAGCTCTATTGTTTTGTGCGCGAGATGGTGGCCAGGCAGCTGCGCTGGGAGCTCGATCGTGCATGGCTACTTGATGGCATCTCGGCGCCATCGAAGCCCGCAGCCCTGGGCCGTGACGAGCTCGCAATTTTCAAGAAGCGGCCTGCCTTCGCCGCACTGCCGCGTCCACGCCTGCCGATCATCCATTTCCTTCTCGCCCGAGCGCTCTCCACCTGTCCTCTCTTCTCGCCGGCCTCGGCCGGCGCGCCAGACGTCCACAGGTTCGTCACAGAGGGCGTGCTACCTCTGCTCCGCAAGCGCCAGGACTTGTCGCTCAGCGAGCCTGTCGACCGGCACGGCGAGGGCGACGGCTCCGACTACAGCGCAAAGTCCACCCTGAACGTCGTCAGCCGCGCAATCTCCGCACTGCTTGTCAAGTACATCACCGCGGTGCTGAGAAAAGGCCTGTCGCGCAAGTCTGCTGCTCAGGTCGCTGCAGTGCCCTGGCCCCGAGCACCGGAGCTGATAGCAGTCATGCCGCCGAGCGCGTACGTCGCTCACCGACTGCAAGTCTCACAGCTCAAGCAGGGCGGCATGGAAGTGGACATCATCTCGCTGCGCGCCCGATCCGGCACCGACTGCGAATTCTTGCTGTCGGTGCGGCGCTACGGGTTTCCCATCGTGTATGTGCTGCGCAGCGAGGAGGACTTCTTCCAGTTCGCCCGGAGCCTCGCTGCAGAGCTGGGCCCCAAAGCGCGCGTGCGTCCGCTGCCTCCGCGCTGGCGTGGCTCTGGCATGGACGCTGCCGACGCAGGCTCACTCGGGCCTCTCACCGGCAATGCGGCACTCGAGAGCCAGCGCCGCTCTTCGGTCGCCTCGATGCAAAGCATACTCTCGCCGCGCAGCGCAGGTATGGAAAAGACGAGCTCGATCCAGAGCTCTCGCTCGAGCATCAACATGGACGTCTCATCGGGCACCCGCCCGCCGCGTTACGGCGGCTCGAGGCCCCAGCCCAAGCGCTCGCGAAGCAGTGACTCGACAGGGAGCGGCCTGGCCCTCTCGCCTGCACCTGCACAAGAATTTCCAGGAGCCAACACAAGTCAAGTGTCCCTCACAGCCAGCGAGCGAGGACTGCCGCGCGGACGCACCGACCCGTACGGAGCTGGCTCGCCCGACTCGATGCCTCTCTCGCCCGGGCTTGCCTCAGTCCGGACCTTTGAGCAGTTTGCTTCAGGCGAGAAGCCGCCGCGCCGTTCACGCATCTTCGCTGGGCGGCGGGTCTCGTCACGCGGCACCTCACCCATCGGCGCGAGGCCCGAGGAAAGCTCCTCTGGTGCTGCAACAGCTCATCACGAGCTCCGGCGCCACCATCTGCGGGCCTGGCTGCGCGATGCTCTCGCTGTCCGGGGTGCAGGTCATGGCTCCGAGACGCAAGCCTTCTTGTCGGTGGGCAGCCTCACGGACAAGGAGATGCGGCCAGGGACGCGAGCCGATGCCGAGGTTCGGAGAGCCATTGACGAGACCAAGCGCGCGGATCGCGAAGCTGTCGCAGCCGGAGCTGCAGCAGAGGCGCTCGAGCTGCACGATGAGCTCGAGACCTTATGGCGCGCCTGCACTGACGGAGGTGGGTACAGGCAGTGTGGTCCTCCTGCACGCTTGCTGACCTGATCTTAACGCAGACGAGCTCCTGCGCGCGTACGCTGCAATTCAAGATAGCAGCACATTCTCCGCTCTGCCGCTGGCGTATCAGCGGGCCGTCTCCCTGGCAAATCTGCGCCTGTCGCATGGTCTCTTCGGCGTTTTCGTGTCGGGCAGCGAGTCCGGCAAGAACCTGCAGCGCGCGCAGGATCTCTTCCACGCCTTCCCCTGGCGCAGCCTCTCGCAAGCGATGGATCAGCCCGGAGGCATCATGCTGCAACGAGTGCGCAGTGCGATTGCCGGCGGCGACTTTGTCGGCCGCCTACTCGCCGTGCTGCTCGAAGATGGCGGGCTGGCCGGCATGCAGGCCGAGCTGGCTGATCTTAAGCGCAGATTTGGCTCGACGATCATGCGCAAGATCGAGAACTTCGTGCAGATGCAGGACGCGCAGAAGCGGCTCGTCCGGCAGAGTGCCGAAATGGCGTGCATTCCGCTCGTCGCTGCCATTGCGCGCGGCTCGGACAGCCCAAGGCTGACCCCCGAGGGCGTGCAGCGCATCGTCAAGGCCACGCGTGCGCACCGCGAGTTCGTCGAGACGTTGCCGAGCGGTCAGTAGCGATGAGATGCGCAGAGCCGAGCGTGACTGACATTCTGCTGCAGACAAGGAGGTGGCAGCCAAGCTCAAGGCAAATGTCGACGTCCGCCTCATCTACGACATGCAGCGCGCCCTGCGGCTGCTCTCGCTGCGACGCGACGCCACGCTGGTGCGCGAGACGCTGCAGATGCCCGAGATCAAGCGCATGGTCGAGACGCTGCTCGAGCCTCTCATGCACACGCTGCGCCGTGTGCATCGCTGTCTGCCGCTTGCCAGCGTCGTGGAGGATCTGCGCGAGTTCCTCTCGCGACTCCTTGACGTGCTCTCCGGCCTGCGCTCCCGCGTTCAAGAGCCCTGGCGCAGCGTCTCTACCATCGCGACGCTGCTGGACGATGCCGTGCCTGCATGGTACGGCGTCCTGCACTCGCTCTCCGCGAAGGACAACCTCGTCGAGCAGCTCTTCGCATGGCTGCACAGTCTCGCGCGCATCATCGGCAGCGGCACGTCCGATGTCAGCGTGGCCTGGGCGCCACCCATTATTACGCCCAGCAGCGCGAGCAAGCCCGCGCCAGGAGTCCCGCAAGGAGGCGCAGTCCCGCTTGATGAGCTGCGCCGCGACCTGAGCGAGCTCGAGGCGGCGGCGCGGCGCCGCGCTGTCGCAGAGATGCGCGAGACGTGCCGATGGGCCGCAGGCGACGTTGATGCGTACTCGCCGATCCAGCTGCAGGGCTCCGGCGGCAAGACGAGGACCGACCCGATCTTGGCCCCGCCCGTCAAGCCGGCTGCTCCTACGCCGGCCCTCGACCGCTTCCGTCCGGGCTTCCGGGCCGCCTTGGCACGAGTCTTGCGCTAGCAAGTCTCTCGTTGCGCGGGCCTGGCTCCCTACTCTACTGTATCGATTGCACGGCCGATGCCGGCCAGATGTACTTCTACTCTGTATGATTATTCCAATGCACGCAGCTTGCCCTCGAGGGCGTCGAGCTCGTCGCAAAGTGAAGCGATCGCGTCCGCCTGTTCCGCCGTCGTCGCACCGTTGAGCTGCCGGCGCTTCTTCTGCAAGAGCGACGTGATGCTGCCGGCGCGGGCCTCGAGCTGGTCCAGACCGCCGCGCATGCTGGCCAGCGTCTCGCTGCCCTCGCAGATAAAGCGGTAGTCCTCTAGCATCTGAGCGACGCTGCGATCGGTTTGCTCTGCGGCCTCGACGCGCGAGATTGCAGCTGTGTACTGCTGCAGCAGACCGTCGGAGAGCGAGTCCGTGCCGGCGCGTGGGAGTACTGCCTTCGGAGGGCCGGCGGTGAACGCAGCGCAGACCTCGTCGAAGCCCCATGTCGCGGAGGGCGAGCTGAAAGCGTCGTCGTACCAGACGTAGTTCCTGCCTTTGCCGCGCGCAGAGCCAGTCGGCTCGAGATGCGCACGCAGCGTGTCGAGCGACGAGAGGAGCGCCGGTAGAGCGACGAGGCTGGCGGCGTGCGGCGTCGACGTGAAGAGGCAGCGCGCAAGCAGCGAATCGACGACGCGCCAGGCCTCGTCGCGCAGCTCGTCGCTGCGCAGAAGCTCAGCGGCCAGCAGCGAGTGAGCAAGCGCCGGCAGGAAGTGCGTAGAGGAAGATGCGTCGCCGTCTCCGAGCGGTTCCGGCGTCGAAGTCGGCACGCACGCGCGCAGTAGATCGCGGCCGAGCGCCTGAAAGAACAGAGCGCGCAGAGCGTCGCCAGCGCCCTCGGTCTCTGCGCGCCCGGGCTGCTGATACGCAGGCTCCTCGGCCTCGCAGAAGTACTCGGCGTCGCAGCGCTGCAGTTCCGGCAGCAGCTCGGCGATGAAGCGCACCTGCTGCGGGATCTCGGCCGGCTGCGCGAGCGCAGCGAGCAGCAGCGCCTGCACGACGTCGAGCAGCAGCGGCCGCTTGGTTGCGATGCCGCTTTCGGCGAAGCGCTCGACGATAGCGGCGCTGCGGCGTGCGGCGACGTCGCCCTGCACCTGACGTGTGTCGGAGAGAGCGAGTAGCGGCATGGCGACGTGAAGCGTGCGGCGCAGCGGAGGCTGGCTGTGCAGCGGCGAAGGCGGCACCGCGCGGCGGGCGAAGGCGAGGGAGCGCGCGGGCAGGCGGCCCGTTGCGCGCACAGCAAGGCGTCGGAATGTGCGTAGACGCAGAGAAGCCGTCAGGCGCATGCAGCGGCGCCGGGCTGATCTTGAGAGATGATTGCTTGTGGTGGTTGGGACGAGAAATGCTTGCGCCAGAACTCGACAGGAAGAAGCTCGAGGGTGGAACGTGCTCGCGGCGCATCTTGCTGCGCTAGCGCGGGGAAGCGCAGCTCCGTGGCATCCGCGGCGCGTAGGCGTGGGAGCAGCCGCAGCTCGGCCTCCACCTGGCGCATCCCTCTGCTGCGTCACCAGCGCGGCACAATCGCGTCAAGCTCGGCACGATGCCGAGTGGACGGCGTGGCAGACACGACCGCGGCAGGGCAGCGGCAGGCAGACGGCGTCGGGTGAGGAGCGCTCGCCCCGCGCGCCAGCCGCCGGCAGCCCGGCGCAGAACGAAGCACGAGCGCTCCACGCTGCCGCCGGCTTCCCTCCCACCACATCAACACCGCAACACACAAGCTCAACATGGCACCCATCCCCGCCAACTCGACCGTGCTCGTCAGCGGCGCCTCGGGCTTCGTCGCCGCGTGGTGCTGCCGCGTGCTGCTGCAGCGCGGCCACCGCGTTCGCGGCGCGTGCCGCAGCGAGGAGAAGGCGCAGTACCTGCAGCAGCTCTTCGACCGCGACTTCCCCGGCCAGTTCGAGACCGTCATGGCCGACGACCTCGAGACGGTGCGTATGAAGCGAGGCGGTGTGGTGCATAGTGCGGCAAGGCGAAGGGAATGCGAAGGGGATGCGCCGCAGGGCACGCTTGGCCCGACGCAGCGCCGCTCGCGTAGCTGTCTCGCTCTCTGCCACGGTGCTGACACTCTCCTGCTCTCTCTCAGCCTGGCGTGTTCGACGAGGCTGTGAAGGGCGTTGACGGCGTGCTGCACACGGCCTCACCGTTCCACTTCAACACCGACGGCAAGGCGATCACCGCCCTCATCAACCCAGCGCTCAAGGGCACGGAGAACATGCTGCAGTCGTGCCTCAAGCACGGCGACAAGCTCAAGCGCGTCGTCATCACGAGCTCGTTCGCCGCTATCCTCGACACGGCCAAGCCCGTGCCGCAGCAGTACACCGAGGAGGACTGGAACGAGACGTCGGTCAAAGAGACCGAGCGCGACGGCGAGGCGCAGGAGCGTAAGTGTTGCAGCTCCCCCCGAGCTCGCTTCCGCTCTGAGCTCTGACAATTACATTGCAGCGGTCTCCAGCTACAGGAGTAGTAAGACCCAGGCAGAAGTGCGAAGCCTTTATAGAGCGCGCTGGCCACGCTGACAACGTTCTGCGCAGCGTGCTGCCTGGGCGTTCGTCGAGCGCGAGCAGCCGAGCTGGGATCTCGCCACCATCAACCCGCCGTACATTATCGGCCCCCCGATCCACCCGTGTGCCAGCGCCGAGAAGCTCAACACCAGCTCCAAGACGTGCTGGGACATTCTGCACGGCGCCAAGAAGGAGGACGACATGCCCGGCTTGCTCGGCTGCGTTGTCGATGTGCGCAACGTGGCGGACGCGCACGTTATGGCACTGCTGCACACCGAGGCTGGCGGTCACCGCTTCGCACCCACCATCGGTGAGTTGCGCAGCCCATCGCCGCAGCCTCGCTCCGCTGACACCACCGCAGGCAAGTGGACGCTGCAGGACGTCGCCGACATCGTGCACTCCAGCGCGCGCATCCCCGCCGAGTGGCGCGGCAACGTGCCCACGGGCAAGCCGCAGACGGGCGGCGCCGTCGTGCAGAACGGCCTCAGCGGCGAGAAGACGGCCAAGGTGCTCGGCGTGCAATACCACACGCTGCAGAACACGTGAGCTGCCACGAGAGAGCATGGCCCGTCCAGCATGCTGACAATCGCACGCACAGCTTCGAGGCCACTGCCATCGCGCTGAAGGACTACGAGAAGCGCAACTGGCAGGGCCTGCCCGACCCCAGCATCTTCGAGCTGCACTGAGCCACCCGCGCAAGCTCGTGCAAACACAGTGACCCACGCCTGGCACTCCTCGCCGGTCGAGACGAAGCAGTAGCAATACCATCGAGTGACCCATCGAGTCTGAGCAGGCCCGGAGGTGCCTCAGTACGGCAGCTCCTGGTCTTCATCGACTCATCCGCAGCCATAGGATCTATTGAGACATGTATAGCACAGGGGCGGCAGTCGGGCTGCAGCGGGAAGAGACGCGAGCCGGGTGAATCGTGTGCGGACGAGAGAGTGTACAAGGAGCAGAGACAGGTGGTCCAGAGAGGCAGATGCAGGGCTGAGCGCGAATGGAGGCGGGCAAGAGAGTGAGGGGCAGAAACGGCTAGCGCTGCCAGCTCCACTTGACTCCCGCATCTGCCCTCAGCTTGGCTACTCTCTTGGCGCCCGTGCCATACTCCGTCCTGCCTCGCCAGACACTGCCCTCCTCCTCTTCCTTGTCCTCCTCCTTCTCTTCGTCGTCGAGCTTCATCGTGTCCACCTCCTCTTCCAAGCGCGTGACGAGGTCCTCGGCGCTGACCAGGCGCGCCTCGAACGTGGCGCGCGCCGGCGTGTGGGCGCCGCTGGGCGTGCGCAGCTTGGGCGTGCGTGCGCCGCTCTTCGATGGTGTCCGCGCGCCGCTCTTGCTGGGCGTGCGCGCGCCGCTGCGAGGCGTGGCAGCGCCCACTGATCCAGCTGCCAGCGCTGCAGCAAGCGGTGACATTGTACCTCGGTTGCTTGGGCCTGCGGATGCAGAGCCAAGGCCGCCATTGCTTGAGCCTGGTGAAGAGAACTCGGAGGCGACGAGGCGTGCCAGTGCGCTCTTGCCGACTGGCCCGCCTCCTCCGGGTGGACGCTTCTCGGCAGGCGTAGGGCAAGCCAGCGAAGGCAGCGGCGTGTGCAGGCCACTGCGTGCGGGCGTGTCGAGCGAAGACGAAGGCGTGGCGGTGGCCGAGTGGCGGCCGTTGAACGACCCGCGTGATCCAGGAGCTGGTGAGGCTCCGCGAGACGGGAGCGAGGAGCGGAAGGCCTCTGCTTGCAGGAGACGCAGCAGGCGGTTTGAGCGCGCGGACCGACGTCCAAAGAACTCGGGGCCGAGCGACAGGTTGAAGGAACCGTACTAATATGGCGATCCGATCAGCAAGCGCTGCGCATCTCGCCAGCGTTGATGCTCACCTCCATGCCCGAGTCGTCCCAGTCAAGCGCGTGTCCCGAGCGCTCTGCATTCAACAATCTCTCGCCGAGCTCGTCGGTGCGGATGGCGCGCGTCCGGCGCGCGACGGGTGTGCTGTACGCAATGGCGCGCTCAACGCCCTCCTCTGCCACGACTTGCGGATCGAGACCCTGCATCAGAGGTGGCTCCTCTGCCGCGCGCGGCGCGGGCTCGGAGACGTCGTGATGCGACTGGTAGGCAGAGTGGTGAGCAGACGGCGCTGCGCACATCACGAGCAAGCCACTCACGCAGTAGAAGCGGCTGATCCAGCCGCCCTCGGTGTCGGGCGTGTCCCACTCGCCCTCGCCGCCGTCGCCGGGGAAGCGCCACACGACGGCAAAGTCGAGGTCGAGGCGCGCCTCGCGGCGGGCGTCGCGCATGGCATTGGCGGCAGCCTCGTCGCGCGCCGCATCAGGCTCGCCGCCGAGGGGCGCGTGCGCCGGCTCGAAGAGGGCGTGGTACGTGTTCTTGGGCGTGGCGAAGCTGAGGCCGTCGGGCGCGATGCCGGTAAAGGCGAGCGGGATGACGTGCGTGAGCGGCTGCGGCGGCGGCCCGCCGGGAAACGCCGGCAGCTCGTCCTCGCGTACGCCAGGGATGGAGCGCAGGCGGGCGGCGAGCGCGGCGGCCTCGTGCGCATCCATCGGCGCCGGTGCCGTGCTGGCTGCCACGGCCGCCGCGGGAGGGCCGACGATGGCGCCGCGCCACGCCCGGCCGAAGCGTGGCTTGCGTGTCACCTGCAGGCCCACGCGCCACGTGCCGGCGGCAAAGAGCGAGGGCAGGAGGATGGTGTCGATGTGCGCACGCCAGGTGCGCGAGAGGGCGCGCAGCGAGACGAGCAGCGTGGCGGGGTCGGCGTGGGCGAAGATGAGGGCCAGCACCTCGGGCGGCAGCAGTGCGCCGGCGTCGCTGTCGGCGCCGGGCGAGGCGGGCGCGCTGAGGAGCATGTCGGTCATGCTGGAGGAGGGAGAGAGAGGGTGGCGCAGGAACGTCTACGGGAGTGCGGGCCGGGACAGTCTATCGACGGGGCATACGCGACAGGGACACAGAAGCACAGGGAGTGGCGGTGGTGGAGAAGCGGGAAGCAGCCGCTGCGAAATCAGGCGGTCCGAGACGGCTGCTAGCGCTGGGCGCAGCGTGCGCAACGCGGGGTAAGGCAGGCGCGGGCAGCACCTCGCAAGCGCCTGCCGCTGCATGCTGCTCCGATGCATCCAGCCAGCAGCACGCCGCCGCTCTCCCGCTCTCTCCTGTGCCCAGGACGGCATGATGCATTGCACAAGAGCCCCTCTGGACCGCACAGGTGCACGGCTCACACGATAAGCGCACTTCGACGCCCACCTCTCACCACAGCTCTGCCGTATATTGGCCTCTTCGCAGCGCTCGCCCCTGTGCGATAGCTGCTTGAAACGGCAGACGCAGCGCATCCGGCCTGCAAGAGCTGGGCTGCGAACGGCCAGCAGCAGCGAGAGCAGCGAGCGAGGCTTGGGCGCGCTGCCCCGCACCGCGCCCGTTCCCACGCGCGCCATATGCAGCGTTGCGCCGCCCCCGCACTTCGGCTGGCGGACCTTCAAACAGCCGAACATTCTCGGGTGAGCCGGCTGTGTCGCCGCGCTGCACCACGCCGAGCTTGTTACCCGCGCTTTCGGATGAGCAAGGGCAGACTCATCAGAGCACGCAGATTGACGCATCGATGCATTCGCGATCGCCTCTCACGTCAGCTTGATGAGGACAAACATGAACACCCAGCTGAAGCACACGGCCAGCACGGCGCCGAGCGTCGCCCATCCCAGGCCGCGCGCCTTCTTGGCGTACTCGCCCAGGCGGCCGCGCGTGCGCGTCATGAGGTCCAGGTTGTGCTCCAGCTTCTCGCCCGCCTGCTCGATAATGCGGCGGTCGCGCTCCAGCGCCTCGCCAAAGGCAATCGAGTTGGCCTTGAGCACGCCGGCCATGCGCAGCAGCTCCGACGTGAGCGAGTCGTGGACCGCGCGGTCCGACGCCATCGCGTCTTCCTTCGCCGGCTTCTCCTCCACCTGCTCTTGGAGAGCAGACTCTGTGCTCGGCGCAGCGCGGCGTGCGGCCGTGGCAGCCTCGTACTCGTCCCACTCGTCGCCCGCCTCCTCGTCCGCCGACGCGCCGGCCATCTCATCCTCGTCCAGCTCTCGCGCTTGGCCTGGAGCGCGGTCCATGTCTGTGATGGTGATGCTCGGCTTGCGCTTCAGCGTTTGCTGTCCCGGCGCCAACGATGCCGCAGCATCCGCGCGAGGAGACTGCGCGAGAGACGTAGAGGCCGTCGAGCGCCCGTTGCGCTCGTCCTCAGAGTCGCTGATGCTCCCTTCCGACTCGGAGTCGGACAGCCCGGCGAGCAGATATGCGCGAGTCGCGCGCTGGCTGGCATGCGCGCTGCTTCCAGCGTTGAGAGAGAGCGCGGATGCAGCGGACGGCGAGCGACTCGGGCGACGTGGAGTGCTGGGCGCCAGTGTCGATGTCTGAGGACAGCGGGTCAGATGTGCTGCCCATGAGCGCGCGAGACAGCGCAAGAGAAGCGGTTTGGGGCCGCGAAGGTATCATCCGTGCGGACAGACAGTCTCGCAGCACGTGGAGAGGCAGAACAGGCCCCTCTCGCCTTTGCTCCGTGCATCCGGCCCCCCTAGCCCATCTTGCTTGGCCACACTGCTCCGCTCCGGGCAGGTTGCATTCTCCAGGCCCAGCTTGCCTCGGCGCAGCCCACAGCCCACTCACGCTTCCCGCCAGCACCTTCTCCAGCCGTGCCGTGCGCACACGCTCGTCGGCCTCGCTGGCGCGGGAGCGCAGCAGCGTCTGCAGCTGTGCCAGGCCCATGCGCAGCTGCATCTCGGCCCAGCTGCCGGGCGCCGGCGCACTGCCGCCGCCCGCGGCCAGCTGTGCCTCGAGCGCGGAGAGAAGGCGCGCGGGCGTGGGTGCGGAGGAGGATGCGAAGGACATGGCCGTGTCGGAGTGAGCAGGAGCTGATGCTGGAGTGGTGGAGGTAAGGCAAGGAGCAACGCGGCGCGCGGTGCCGCATCCATCGCGCGCCCCAGCGCGGTCAGCTCCCCGCACTCCGACGCTCCTACGCGTTTCTGAAGGACTCTGGCCATGCTGGACAGCGAGCTCCGGCCCAAGCAGGCTCCAGGTTTGCTTCGGAATGTCCGTCTGCATAAGACGCTGCTCCTCAGCGCCTGCTTGCACTCGCGACCGTGGGTGTGTGGACGTAGCATCGAGCGAGTGCGGTGCGGCCGCGTGCATATGCTGCATCGGCCGCACTGCGGCTGAGGCTTCTTCGGTCCTCCTCCATCCCTCGTTGCGAGCCGGGCCGAGCGACCTTCCCGGGTCACTCTGCTTGCAAAGTCCTGCGAACTGGACCAGCTCATCCTCTCAGCTACCAGCAGGAGCAAGCATCCGAGATAAATGCTCATACGGCGCCCCCGGGCTTCGCCATCCGGGCTCTTTTGCGCACTGGCCATGCGATCAGGGCTGCGTGCGCGCTAGGCGAAGGCTCGGCGCTCACACTCTACTTTATGCCACGATGACGCCTCCTGCATCGGCTCCGGCCCTCCGCACGCCCCTGTGTTGGAGAGCAAAGCTTCGCAGACCAGCGCCGCTTTCGCAGACTTCGAGTAGAAGCGATGTTGGCGTGGCCAGCGCATGTCAGGGCCTGGCAGAGCTCGTCGCCGTTGCGGTCTGGGCCTGCGGACGATTCCCGCGCGGCGCGTGCAAGCCAAGAGGCTGAAGCCGCGGGCCGGCACGAGCGACGGCGCGGCGGAGAGGCGTCAGCATGACAAGCGCGCCGATGCGGCGCGGCGCCTCGCTTCCGCGGAGCTGCTGCAGGGTTGCGGCGCACTCGGACTCACACCTTGCCTCGTCTCCACGCCCTTCGCTCACCACGCAGCCCTTCCTGCCGTGCGCCTCTCTCGCCGCACACTCGGCGCACACTTGCAGCTGCGTTTCGTGCGCGCCAGCGAGTGCCGGCCGAGGTGAGCGTGCGCCCGGAGCCGCTCCCGGCCTGACCTCCACGTCGCGCGCACTCGCACAGCCGGCGCCATGTCGCAGGCGCGAGCTGGGCCCAGCCGGCCACGGCCCGGGCCTGCCGCCAACGTCCTCGATCCCTTCGGCGGCGCACCCGCAGCGCCCGTCGCTCTGCCCGCACTGCGCCGTCCGCCGCGGCCGCGGCGCCCCTCGGCGCGCGCGACGGGCAGCAGCAAGGCGCCCGCCTCGCGCATCGCGGCCGCCTCGGAGCGCCTATCCGCCGTCGTGGCTCGCCTCTTTCGCCGGCACGGCGCCTCTGTCTCGCGACATCCGATCCGTACGCTGCTGCTCTGCTGTCTCTTCATCACCTCGCTCTTCTATCCCGCCGCGGGCATTTACCTCTTCGCGTCGCAGGGCGGGCCGGGCCTGAGCCGCAGCGACACGACGTCCGTCTGGCGCACGCTCTCGACGCCGCTGCTCGACTCGTTCGCCTCGTCTGGGCGCACGCACCTCAATTCGCTGCGCGACCTGCGCATGGTTTGGGACGATGCGCCGGATCTATCTGCCAAGGACCCGCGCGACACCGTCGTCCAGCGCGGCCGGCAGCAGCCCGAGCCGCAGTGCGCCAGGCTCGAGCATGTCCTCGTCACCACCGACGACGTGATGCGCGGCACCGCTGGCCGTGGCGGCGTGCTGCAGGCGGCCGTGCTCAACTCGGCGCAGCGCCTGCAGGCCGCGCTCGAAGCCAGGCTGGCGGGCGAAGCTGCGGCAGGGACAGCACAAGCGCCTCGCTGCGTTCGCACGCCCACCGGACAGTGCCTCACGCTGAGCCCGCTCGACTACTGGCAGGCTGCGGCGCTGCCACTGCAGTCAGATGCGACATTATCGGCGCTGCTCGAGCCGCAGCACAATGTCTCGTCGCGCGGCGTGCCGCTGGCGCTCACAACGACGCTGGCCGGGCGCGGGCCGCTCTTCAGCCGCAGCCCGCGCGCTGAGTTCTTGGTGCTCAGCTTCTGGCTGCAGGACCCGGCGTGCGGGGCAGATGAAGGCCAGCATGATGCGTTCCGTGGCCTGCTCGACGACGTCGCTAGTGGCACGCGCATCGTAGAGAGCGAGCTTCGCTTTGAGAAGGAGGTGGTGCTGCGTGTGAGTGTGGAGCCTCGCTCTTCAGCGCAAGCCTGCGGCTGACCATCTTCATGCAGTTCGTGCCCGACGCCGCAGTGCCCAAGCTGCGCAAGGTGCTGCTGGGCCTCGGCTACCTGGCCTTTGTGGCATGGATCGCGCTCGGCCTCGTCAAAGTGCGCAAGGTGCACTCGCCATGGGGCCTTGCCTTCACGGGCACGATCGAGCTGCTGATCAGCACGATCATGAGTGTCAGCATCTGCGCGCTCAGCGGGCTTCGTCTAACTGCTGTGCCGTGGTGCGTGTCGCGCGAGTGTGCTCTGCTGTCAGTGAGCTGATACTGCCTCTGCCTCGCCGCAGGGAGATCCTGCCGTTCGTCATCGTGCTCGTCGGCTCCGAGAACATGTTCGTCCTCACCGACGCAATCGTCTCGACGCCGCTCTCGCTCACTGTGCCGGCACGCATCGGTGCTGGGCTCAACGCGGCCGGCGTGCCGATCGCTGTGACAGTCGTGTCGGACGTCGCGCTCATGGCGCTCATCGCCGCCGTCGTCGGCGTGCCCGCCGTGCGCGAGTTCTGCCTATTTGCCATCTGCAGCCTCGTCGTCGATTTCTTTATGCAGATGACCTTCTTCGTCACTGTGCTCAGCATCGATCTGCAGCGCCTCGAGCTCGCCGATCTACTCGCACAGGGCGGTCGCGGGCAAGCCGAGCCGATCGGCTCGCCTGACGAACAGGATGATACGGCCGTAGATAGCGAGGACGAGGACGCGGATGCGCTGCAGCCGTCAAGCACTCGCGGGCCACAGCCGAGCTCGGGCAGAAGCGAGCGGACTGACTCGTATCTCAAGATGAGCTGCAAGGCCGCCTGGCGGGCGCGGACTGCGCGCACCGCAACGCTCTCGGGCCTCCTCGCGGCACTCTTCGGGCTGTACCTCTACTACGGCACGGGCTACCAGGCCGAGGGCGTGCATGGGCCGACGCTGCCGTTTGCTGAGGCTTATCCGTCGTCGAGCGTGTTCGGCAGCCAAGACGTGCGGCCGACGAGCACGCATCTCTCGAGTCAGACGTTCGACCCCTTGGCGCACCTGCCGTCCGATGCGGAGCAGAGCGTGCAGCAGCCGTGGTGGCAGAGCTCGCCCTCGGCACCCTTCTGGCAGGCGCTTAACCCGCGCGGAGCGCCGTACGTGCGCATCGTCGTGGCGCCTTGGACGATCGTCTCCCTGCGCGGAGCCACCTCTGTGGGCCCCGAGCACGCGCGTCCCGTGGCGTTCGCAGCCTGGGCCCTCTTCCGCCCGCGCGTGCGCGCGCTCATCTGGTTCTTCAAGCTGTCTGTACTGCCGATCGCGGGCACGACCGGGCTGCTCTGGGTCCTCCTGCTCTACCTGCTCAAGGACACCGAGCTGCTCTATGCACAGGAAGACAAGGAAGATGCGCTCTTCGACGACAGCGCGACGGATCGCGGCGCCGGTGATGACAGCGACCGCGAGGCTGCGCCGCCACTCAAGGTGCAGCTGACCGCGGCGCGTGCGCTGCATGGCTCGGACGTCGACTATGTCGCTCAGGACGGCGACACTGTGGTCAGTGTCGCGATCGACTCGTCAATCTCCGTGTGGCGCGTCGGTGGACCGGCGCGCTCTGTCGCATCTTTGCATCAGACGCCATCTCCGGGCAGCGCCGTGTCGGCCCGCGCACCGCAAGCCACTTGTGCGGCGGTCGACGAGGCAGCCGATCTCGCCGCAGTGGGCTTTCGCTCAGGCGCGATCAGCGTGCTGTTGCTCTCAAGTCTGGCTGTCGTTGCCAGCGCTACGCCGACGACATCGCCAGTGCAGCACGTGTGCTTCGTGCCGCGCTCCGACAAGGGCTCTGCACAGCTCGTCTCGGCCCATCGCGATGGCTCTGCCTACGTCTGGCCCGCCGAGCATGGCGCGAGCCCTGGTGAAGTCGTGGCGCCACGCAGCGAGGCCAGCTGGACGTCGTACGCTGTGCCGCTTGCTGCCGCCTTTTCAGCCAGCATGCAGCAGTCCGATCTCGTGGCATTCGCGTCGTCCTCCTCGAGCCTCGAGCTGCGCCACTGGCGCGCTGGGCGTCTCGAGAGCGTCTTCAGCCTCGTCGGCGCGCCGCGCGCGCTCTATCGCTGCGTGGCTCTATCGTCGCTGCACTTCGCGAGCAGCGACAGCCCCGAGTCGACGCCGCAGCCCGCATCGCGATCGAGCGAGCCGCTCGTAGGCACGGTGCTGTGCGGCACGTTGACTGGCGCTGTGCAGGCGTGGGACCTGAGCAGCTCTCAGCTCATCTCCTCGCTCGATCTTAACGATGGCGCCATCTTGTCTCTGCAAGTGCTTCCGAGCAGCGATGCTGGTAGCGCGCCATCCGACGTTGCACTGGCTTGCACGGCAACCAGCGCTTTCCTGCTTCGTCTCAGCGGCGCTCCGCATGCCGGGCCGGCTAGCGAGCTTGGAATCTCGCCCGGTCGGCCACTCAATGGCCTGACGCTTCCATCGTCGCCGTCAGGCTCGCGCGCAGGTCTGCCACACCTGTCGGGCATGCGCAGGCCCAGCGACGCCGGCAGCCAGATGATGACGCCCTCGAACAGCGGACGCGTCCGCAGCGGATCGCGGCCCAGCTCGGCAGGCACTGGCAGTCTCAATGCCGCAGGGCACGTCGTCGGCACAGAGACGGCCTCCACCGGCGTGGCGCCCTCGCCGCGCAGCTCCCGCTTCCGTACCAGCACCGACCGCGTCTCGCTTGACGTGCTCGATGCACTGCGCGACGGCGTCTTGCCCGGCGACAGTGCTCTGCGCGCCATCCGGCGAGAGCCGATCAAGCGTGGCGGCGCAGTGCTGGCGCGCGATCCGCGCGGCGAGCCTGTCGTGCTGGGCGTGCGCCGCCGACAGGCAGAAGACGCCTCTCGCTGGGAGCTGTGGCACCTGCAGAACGCAGGTTGCGCCGCACCGCAGGTCTACGCCTCTGAGTCGGATCTGGAGACCAGTCTGCTCGAGCTCGAGAGCGAAGAGGCCGCCCACCCCGAGGCAGACGCACCTGATGCGTCTTCTGCACCTGCTTGGCCCTCGCTCTCCCTGCGCCCGACGGCGCTCAATGGCGCTGGCCCCTCCGCGATGCCGCTCTCCTTCACGCGCCTCAAGCCCGTTCTGCTCTCGACTCGCGGCACTAGCAGCATCGCGGCACCACAAGACACTCCGCCCGCGCTGCTGCTCGGCTTCGGCAACTCTCTGGCGCACGTCGTGCCGCTGCGGCAGAACGCAGGCGTCGTGACGCTGCCCGACAACAGCCGTGCGAGCAGCGAGCTTGCTGGCGCGCAGCACATGCGCCGCCGCGGCGCTCGCCGACCTTCCGACTACGGCATCTGACCCAGTTCCGCGCACTGCATCCCCGTTGCGCCTCGGCGCATCCATCTCCTCGCCTTCTTCCGCTGGCCACCTCCTCTGTCACCGCGTCTCTGTAATTGTGCCGGTCATCAAAACTCTGTTTACGTTAAGTTAGTGTGTGTCGCTCATCCCCCTCCTGCACCGCCTGCTGCTGGCGTGAGCAGCATCGGCGTCCCGCGCTCGAGCTGCACCGCCAGGCTTTCGAGCGTCGGCAGTCGTCGCCGCATGATGGCCTGCACCTGCGCCGAGATGTTCTCGGGCGACGCCGCCGGCGGCCACGACGAGGCTGCCGACTCGCCATTGGGCTTTGTGATCGCGGCACTGGGATCTGCCGGCGGCACGGTGCGCACCTGCACGCGCAGACTGCCGACCAGCGTGCCGCTGTCCTTCGGCCAGAAGCGCGGCTGCGAGAAGCTCTCGAGGCCCTCGACCGCTGTGAGCTGCAGGCGAAGGCGTCAGGATGAGTCGGCAGCGGCACAGCAGGGCACGCACCTCCTCCAGCGCACTGGCGATCTCCTGCTCGTGCCCCGACACGTCGAGGATGAGAATCTTGCCAGACTCGAGCACGAGCGGGATCACAGAAGCTGTGATGAGCACGGCGATAAAGAGCGAGGCGATCGGGTCGAAGCCCGTCCAGCCGAAGTACTTGAGCAGGATCGTCGAGATGATGACGCCCACGGAGCCCATCTGCGCAGGAAGAGTGTGTCAGCTGGGTGGCAGCGAGGCCAGGCACAGCACGCACAGTGTCTGCCATGACGTGGAGGTAGACGCCCATCATGTTGTGAGAGTGCCCGTGGCCGTGTCCGTGGTCATGTCCGTGCCCATGCTGCGGTGGAAGGGAAGAATCAGTCAAGCGTCTCTGGACTGCGCGACCTTCAAAGTACTCACGCCGTGGTCGTGGCCATGGTCATGCCCGTGCGAGTGGCCGTGCCCGTGGTGGTGGTGCCCGCCCATGGCGAACATGCCGAAGAGGTTGACGCCGAGGCCCATGCTCGAGACGATGAGCAGCTGCGTCGTGTTGTGCATTTCGGGCGCAGAGATGATGCGCTGCACGGCCTCAAAGACGATGAAGACGCTGATGAGGATGAGGAACACGCCATTGGCGAAGCCGCTGAGCGTCTCGACGCGGTGGTAGCCGTACGTGAAGGTGCTGTCCGTCGCCCAGCTCGCCATGACGGCGGCAAAGAGGCCCATGCCGATGGCGGCGCAATCGAAGAACATGTGGATCGCGTCGGAGATCAGGCCCAGGCTGTTCGTCCACACGCCCCAGAGCAGCTGCACGCCCATGAAGACGAGGTTGAGACAGAGGAACTGGAAGATCTTGCGCGAGTCGTCCGACTCCCAGATCGTGGCGATCGTGCGCTTGCCCGTCGCCATGAAGGCACGCACCGCACTGCCAACCTCGTGCAGGCCGGACGGATCCGACGTGTGGCGCTTGTGGGAGCGCGAGACGTCTCGCTGCGACGGCGACGCATCGTGCGCATCGGCGTCGGCGTAGACCGGCGACGTCTTGAGAATCGTGCGCAGGCCCCAGCCCACGATGCCTCCGACAATGAGGTTGGCCCAGCTGATGCGCAGTCCGAAGCCGACGCGCCCGACCATCATGACGGCGCCGACTGCCAGCGGCCAGCCCTGTGCCACACGCGCGGCTGCGCTGGCATGCGGCTCGAGCGCTGCACTGACGAGCGGATCGAGGATCAGCGGTCCGAGCGCCAGCAGCGCATAGGCGGCAAAGTGTCCCGTCGTTGGCGAGCCGTGCAGCGACGACGGCGACGTGTGGAACGAGGGCGAGAGCGAGCTCAGCGTCGGCAGGGTCGGCAGGCCGAACAGGCGCCCCAGCAGGCCCAGAGGCAGAAGCGCAGCGGCAGCCACGACACAGGCCAGCACACCTGCACGCCGGCGGCCACCGGCCTCGGTGCTCGCGACCTTCGCCGCACGCTCGCGCTCCAGCGTCAGGAAGGCGTATGCAGCAAGCGCCAGGTGGCCGACCAGCACTGCCGCCGGGCTGTAGTCGGCGGCTGCCGCCTCAGCCTGCGCACTGGCAGCACGCAGCGCACTGGGGCTGGCCAATCCGACGGGCCGCGTATGCCGCAGCGACGCCGGCAGGTCGGAGAAGTCGTCTTCGAAGCCGGAGAAGAAAGAGGGTGCGCGAGAGCCTCGTGGTGCGATGCGCGACTCAGGAGAGAGCGCCAGCACGTTGAGCATGAAGGAGACGGCCAGGGCAAAGACGATGGCGTAGCCGCCGTACGACTGGCGGGCATTGTGAGTGCGTAGCTTTCGGCAGCAGCGTGTGTCTCGCTCACCTTTGACTTCATCGAGCGCGAGAGGTCGCCAGCCCAGATCTCACAGAACTGCGTGAAGATGATCACGCTGCAGTGCGCGTCAGCCAGGCTCAGTGCGTGCGGCTGCCGGACGCTCCATCTCGACACTCACGTAGCAGCGCTCAGACGCTGCAGCGCAATGAGCCACACGAGCAGGTGCGCAAAGAGGACGGCGCCGAGCACGGCGAGGCGCGTGGGCAGGTGCTGCATGTGCGGGTCGCTGCGCCGCAGCGACGGCACCCACTGCCACACGCGGAACCACACGCCCTGCCCGAGCGCCGCGACGATGAACACCGTCGTGGCGATGGCCCACGGCCCGCCGGCGCCCTGCACGGCGGCAGTGAGGGCCGGCTCGAGCATCGAGCTCGCTGTCGAGGCGGCCGCCGCGGCGCCGGTGGCCAGCGGCTCGTGCGTCGACTCGGCATGGCGCACGAGCAGCCAGTGGCGCGCCAGCAGCGCGGCGGAGGCGAGCACGGTCTTGTCGAGCAGCAGCGCGAGCAGCAGGTCGGTGGGCACGCCCGTGCCAAACGTCGGCAGCGTCGACGGCGAGGCGCGGTGCGCGGCGTGGGCGGGGCGGCGGGCGCGCGAGGGCGCCACGGGCGCCGCGGCCGACGCCATGGCTGCGGCGGCGGCGGTGTGCGAGCGGCGGAGATGCGGTGGGCAGCAGCAGCCGGAGCGCCTTGAGTCGGTGGTGAGCGGCCTGGGCCGGGAGGAGGTGAGGATAGAGAGAGGGGTGCGCACGAGGCGCGCCTCTGCATGCTGGCCCACAGAGCAAGGCGCGCACGCCGCCTTCGCGCGGCGCGCTGGCGGCCGGCGGTCTGAGCGCACATCGCATGCGGCGTTGCGCCGCCGCGAAGGTCGCCCTGCTCCCACGCTCTCCTTCACGCGTCACGCGCAGCTCTCGCAAAAGTCACTCCCGCTGGATTTCGTCCAGGCGGCACAGCGAGGGGGGTCATCGAGGCCCGATCCAGGTGCTGCGGCAATGGGTGCCTTGGCGCCATTGTGCTGCGGCCCCTGCGTGGGCGCAGCGCTTGGCGTGCCGCGAAGTGCTTGCGCCCTCGAGGTGTTGGTCTCGCTGCGCCGCGCTGGCGGTGCGCGCCTTTCCGGAACGCGGAGCCGCACAGCGCGCGCGGCGCGGCGTCCAAAGCGAGCCCCTCCGGCCAAGCCCACTCTTCCTCCCTAACGCCCACGACCCGCAAGCCACCTCCTCAAGGCCGTCTCGCGCACGGATCCGAGCGTCGCCTCACGTCATCAGGTGAGGCTGCCGCTCGTCCAGGATTAGCTCGACGCTGCGCCCACTGCCCCTGCGCGCCGGCACCGGTGACCGCCCCGGGCGCGCGGCTGCCGCTGGGCGAGATGCGCCTGCGCGCCCTCGGCCACGCTCCCTGCCCGAGCCGCAGCAGCGATTTCGCAGCGTCGACGCCGTGGATATGCCTGCTGCTCCTGCTCCTGTTCGCAGGCACCGGCGCCGCAGAACACCGCGCAGCGGCGGCCGGGCAGCGGGCTCTATCAGGCAGGTCGGGCGGCGCAGCGGCCGCCAACGGCGCAGCGGCGCGTGGTGTTGGCCGGGGTGCACCTTCGCCGCCGGCCCCTCTCGTCGCCGCAGCAGGCACCGTAGTAGCACCACAGCGCACCTCGGATGCAGATGACGTCTGCCCGCTGCCGCCGCTCTCCGACCTCTGGGCCCGCGCTGCGGCTCTCCAGCGGCGTTCTGCTGACCGTCGGGCCATGTCCCCTGCGCCGCACCGCAAGTACCCGCAGCCGCAGCCGCAGCTGCATCGTCACCCGCCTCCGGTGCCGCACCTGCACCCACAGCAGCGCCTCGCTGCCCCTCTCGCCGCTTCAGCCCGCTCAGCCGCCGGAGCCGCTGCAACGCCGCACGCTCCTCCTGACGCCGACATGTGTCTCAAGAAGGCAGCCGCCCGGCACCTCTCGCCGCCGCCATCGGCACGGGCAGGCAGAATGGAAGCCAACGGCTCCGCAGCCGGCGCCTTCATAAGCAGCGTGATGCGCTACATGCCCGACGGTGCGTCCCACATCCTCTCGCTGTTCCGTCGCTGTGGCCTCTCGCTCTCGCTCCCGCTCCGTCTCGCTCCGTCTCACGCCCCGTCTCCGTCTCCTCCTGCCGCCTGGTGCTGCCTCATCTGCCTGGTGCTGATACCTCCTGCCCGTCATGGTCCGTCTCTCTCTCCTCGCCTCTCTCCTCTCCCTCTGCGTCGCCGTCTCCGCCCGTCCGGTGTCGGTGCATGTGACGCTCCCCTCAGCCGCGGGTGCCGCGCTCTCGCGCTTCGCCTTCTTCGGACCCCTCGGCCAGCAGCTGGAACTGCAGGCCTACATCGACGAGGACGAGCAGAGCTCGGCCGCGTCCGCCAAGACTGTCGTCATTGCTGTGCACGGTCACGGTGAGTTGGACTGCGGTGGCGCGTGTGCAAGTGTCCGCTGACACGTCGACGCAGACCGTGATGCCTGGAACACGTTCTCGCAGGCCAAGAAGGCACGCGACCAGGCCATCAAGGCCGGTGCGCCCGGGCCCATCGCCATCGTCGCCCCCATGTTCCTCAACGGCGACGACAAGGGCATGTACGAGGGAAGCAACGGCAAGAACGGCTCTGACCGGCTGCTCGTGTGGAAGGGCGATGGCGTGAGTAGCGTGTGGCTCGGCGTGCCGCTCGGCGCTGACAATCCTGCTCTGCAGTGGGGCCAAGGCCTGCCTGCGCAGTTCCCCGCGGACAAGGCCGGCCAGGGCCCTGACGGCGCTGCTGGCCCCGGCGTCAGCAGCTTCGACGCGCTCGACCGCCTCGGCTCGCACTACGCCGATACGAACCTCTTTCCCAAGCTCACCAACGTCATCTACCGTGCGTGGCGGTGAGTCGCAGCTCGTCGAGCCCTATGCTGACTCCTGCATTCCTCAGTCGGCCACTCGATGGGCGGCCAGCTCATCCAGCGCTACTCAATCGTCGGCGGCGGACCTAGCGCGCGCACCGGCCTCAGCGTCAGCTACGTCGTCGCCAACCCCAGCACGTACCTGTGGCTCGACGACAAGCGGCCCGGCGTGCAGTCGCCGGACCAGAACAAGTACAAGTACGGCCTCGACGGCATGCGCGAGGCGCTCGCCATCTACGAGCCGGCGCAGCACGACGCTGCCGAGCTCTGGACGCGCTATGCCACTCGTACGGTGCACTACCTGCACGGCGACGCCGACAACGGCAAGGGCGACGGACGGGCTGCTGCCATGGCGCAGGGTGAGTGTCCGGGCTGGTCCGCAGGCTTGTCTAGTGCTGACCCGCGCCCTATTCCCAGGCAAGAACCGCAAGCAGCGTGCGCACAACTGGCACGCCTTCATCGCCTCGCGCGGCACGCCAGCGGGGCATACCGAGGACTGGGTGCCCGGCGTCGGGCACGATGGTGGAGGAATGTGAGTCATGCTTACCCTCGCTTGATGACGTTGCCCTCACGCTGACCATCGCCCTTCCAGGTTCGCCTCGACGGCCGGACAGAAGCAAATCTTCGGCGTGTAGCTGGCGCACAGCTGCATCGCCTGCACCAACCTTTCCTTTCTCTCGCGCACCTCTTTGACCAGTCTTGATGACCTCTCACGAACACTCTCGGGCGCCCTAATACCCCTGCGCCCCCCTTCTTGCCTCCCGGCCGGCTCCGGGATTGTTGACGCTCGCCTAATGACAAGAGAAAGACGGACGCGCTGCGTGACGAGTGATGGTCGTGGACGGCATCGGGGCCGGCGAACGGGCCGAGATTGAGCGTGATCTTCTTGGCAAGTCTCTGGTGCTGCAGCGCCCATTCGCGACGGACCATGATGCGGGGCGCAGCGCGTGCCCATTGCCGTGCCCCGCATCATGGTCCGCTTGTGGCACGGCGAAGCTCGTCGATGAGGCGCAGGCCCTCGGCAGCACAGGTGCGCAGAGGCTCGACGGTGCACTGCGTCGCGCCTCAGGCTGCGCCTTCTCCCCATTGTGGTCTCGCTCCTCCTCAGCGAGCTCAAGATTTTGCCTCCGTCTGCTCACCGCTGAACGACGTCATGCAAACACACAGTAGATGTGCAATAGAGCTACGATTGAATAGTGAGGAGCAGCGATGGTGTTGGTACAGATGGTATGAGTGGAAGGCACGTGGCGGTCATGAGAGATGTGTGTGATGATGCTGCAAATGCGCAAGCTTTTCCGAGTGACGACGGCGGACGACGCTCAGTCCTTGAAGCCGCCGGTGGGGCGCTGCTTGGCGCGCTCCTTCATGCCGGCGACGTCGAGGCCCTGCTCCTCCCAGATGTCCTCCTGCCGGCTGCGGCCCTCGCTGCCGTCGGGCAGGGTCAGGCTCGGAATCTCGGCGGTGGCGGCGACGCGCAGCGCGTGGCGTCGGCACGACGGGTCGGGGCGCCAGTGGTCGTACGTGGCCGAGTGGTTGCACGTGGCGTTATTCCAGATGGCAATGGTGCCCTTCTCCCAGCGCACACGCAGCGTCAGCTGCGGGCTCGTCGTCATGAGGCCGTAGAGGTGCGCGAGGATCATCTCGCTCTCGGCGCGCGGCACGCCCTCGATGCGCGTCGTGAACGCCGGGTTGGCGTAGATGCTCTTCCAGCCCGTGACGGGGTTGGTGCGCACGAGCGGGTGCACCGTCTCGATGGCGGGGCGCCGCAGGTGCAGGCCGGCCTTGCTGGCGCCCTCGGCCTGCGCCACGCCCGAGTGCACGGCGTACAGGCTCTCGCAGTAGGCGCGCATCGGCTCGCTCAGCGCGTCGTAGAGGCCGTAGCCGCTGCTGAAGAGCGTGTCGCCGCCGCCGTGCACGGGGTTGGTGATGTTGTAGAGCGCGGTGAGGCCCGGCGGGTTGAGCTCGAAGGAGACGTCGGAGTGGTACAGCTCGGTGGCCGTGTAGGCGAGGTCCGACGGCTTCATGTTCTCGTCGTGCCACACGACGTGCACGTCGTCGTGCTTGCGTGTGCGCGGCACGCCCGAGCTCGGGTGCTGGTGCAGCGGGCGCTCGGGCGCGCCAAAGTAGCGCCCAAACTCGACGAGCTCGTCGGGCGTCAGGTCCTGGTCGCGCAGCACGACGACGCAGCGCTGCGCCACGAGCAGCGCCAGCTCGTCGCGCTGCGCCGGCGTCAGGCTCTTGACCTGCAGGCCGCTCAGCTCCGAGCCGATGTTGACGGTGAGGTGCTGCAGCTTGGCGTCGGCGAGCAGCGAGCGCATCTGCGGGTCGGCGTGCGTGCCGCGGTCGACGAAGTTGTGGATGGGCGTGTACGGGGCCGTGTTGATGTCATCGGGGAAGCACGGCTTGAGGTGCGGGTACGGGTAGACGGCGTCGGCCTCGGTCTCGGTGACCTCGAGCGGGTTGTGGTAGGGGCTGCGTGCGGTCAGCGAGGCGTGCGGCGCAGCGCAGCGCCAGCGGCGACTCACTTGAAGTCCTTGGGCAGGAACTTGGCGCGCGGCCGCTCGTCAAGCGAGGCGGCGGCGAACTTGCCGACGGTGCCGGCGATGCCGTTCGGCGGCGTCTTGTACGCGGGCGGCGGCGACGAGGAGAGAGCAGAGGGCGCCATGGTGTGTGGAGCAGCGAGAATGGCGATGGATGGGGGCCAAGCGTGAGTGCGGCGGCGCAGGGCCCTCTTAAGGGCCTCCCTGCGCCCTGCTGACAGCGGCGGCGGCTGCGGCCGTTGCGCTTGCGTGCGTGAGTGCGGCGCAGGGGGATGCGAAGAACGCGGGGCGGCGTGGCGCTGCTGCATGCGCGCGCATCGCTCCGCCGGCCGCCGGCATGAGGCGCACGCCGAGCCCTGGGCGCCGCCTTCATGCGCCCTGCTCCTCCACCCTGCCGTTGCGATCTGCGATCTGGGGACGGCGCCTGCTGTGTCAGGCTGAAGCACGCACACAACACGCACGCCATACGGCCGCGCCTACTCCCCGCCATGCCGCCGCGCGCAGCAGCCGGCGCGAGCGCCACGCGGGGATAACAACGGAGCGGCGCCGTTTGTACGTGGAGCGTCCGCGAGAAGAAGCTGAAGGGCGGGAAGGCGGCTGCGTCGTGTGAGCAGGCGCACTCCTCAGCCGAGCGCCCCGTGGGCGGGCGCAGCGAGATTGCGCAATCTGGCGCCGCACACGCGCCATCAGCCCCCTGGGCGCGCGGCGCGTGAGTGCGCCATTCCAGGCGCGCGTGGCGTGCTTGGCATGTGGGAACAAGCCGCGAACATTCGGCGTATGTCGTGAGCGCCTTCAGAACATTCGGCATCGTCCAGGCAACAACGACGAGCTGCCTCCACAGCAGCACCGCTCACAGCCCTCTTGACCGTCGGATGCAGCACTGGGTCAATTGCAGCCTGGCACCGGCCGCTGTGGTGCAGACGGCCGCACGGCATGGCACCGGCCCGCATGGCACCGCCCTCCACCTCTCCCTGCTCAGCCGTAGTTGAGCCGGAAGAGGTCGTTGAAGACGTAGTACGAGCCGCCCTCGGGCATCAGCGTGAAGACCTGGGTGCAGCAGCGGATGAGCATTGAGTGTGTGCGTGTGCGGAGCAGAGGCCCGGCTCACCTGCGAGAAGCGCATGGGCTGCGGCGAGTCGTCGACCTGCACACGCAGCGAGAAAGAGTCAGCGAGCGTGTTCAAGCTTCACAGCAAGTGCAGCTGGTTCAGGCGACGAGCATTGCAGCACGCAGCGGACCGCGTGCTGTCTAGCGGCACATGACATCTCGAGCAGTATGCGTGCGGCGCTGCGTGGCAGTCGAGCAATGACGCTTCATGAGGCTTGCTACCGCACAGCGCCGCACGCAGACGACTCGATCCACTGGCGGGACATGCGCCCGTGCGTGGGTACAAGGCCCTCGCCGGCTGCGCACGGCCGCATACCTTCCTGCGCAGCCGACGCTCCACCCTCCTGATCCTGACTGGGCCGGCACCACCTGAGCGCCGAGGTCGCAGCGACCGACATCCCAGTCCCTCTCCAGCGGCGCCCGACCTTCTTCGCTGCAGCGCCGCGCCAGGCCACATGGCCGAGCCAGCCTCCTCTCATGTCTCATCTCCGTGCGGACCTGCCGTGCTCTTCCTGGGACCCCGCGCCGCAACTCACCATCAGGGCGCCGGTGACCATGACGACGAGCGCGTTGCCGTCGCCCGAGGGCTGGGCGTCGCGCGTCTCGACCTTGTGCTGCACGCGCTGGAACGGCAGGCTCTGGCCGACGCAAGGCGGGGTGTGGAGACGTCAGTGTGCTGCAAAGCTGCGAGCTGCGCCGCTCGCTGTGGCCGGCCGCCGCGCCGCATGCACGCACCACGAGCTTGTCGGTGATGGCCTGTGCGCCCTGGTGCTGGTCGCCCTCGAAGGTGAGCATGGACGAGGCGCGCTGCGGGGCGCCAGGCACGGGTCAGCACACGGCGTGCTGCGGCTCTGCTCTGGCCGGCGCCGCGCTCACGTAGAGGTTGGCCAGCGCGGAGCGGTCGCCGCCGTCGAAGGTCTGGTAGTAGAAGTTGGTGAACTGCTCGGCGATGGCGTCCATGATGGGCGAGCGTGTGTGTGTGGAGCGGGGGATCGTGGCGGGAGCGAGCGGCGCCGAGATGAGCGGCTCGAGGGTGCTCGGTGCGCCTTCGACGCCGCGGCGGTGCGACCGTGCGAGGGCACGTGACGGCAGCGCGCGCTGCCTTGGCCCGAGTGCCGGCGCTGCAGGGCCAAGGCGCGCCCTCCTTCCAGGGGGCCGCGCGCTGCCGTTGCCGCCTTCACACCACCACATCCGCCTGCTTCTTCTCTGCTCCATCTGCGGCGGACCTCTCACGGCGCGCTCCTGCTGCACCGCCTCCGCGCAGCTCCCGTTTGCCCCGTCTCGCTGCTGCGGCAGAGGCTCGTGCCGCATGGCCTCCACCTCGCGCCCGGCCGCCGGCAGCGCCGGCTCGGGCGGCGGGCCGCCGGGCCTCGTCGCCAGCTTCGTGCAGTCGCCCAAGCTCGTCATCGCCGCCGTCGCCGTCACCTCCTCGCTCGCCACGGCCGGCGCGCTGCTGGCGACGCAGCGCCTCTCGCGCAAGGCGCGCCGCACCGACCTCGAGGACTCGGCGCGCCGCGCCACGGCGGCGCGCCTGCGCAGCGCCGAGAAGCACGGCGCCGGCCGCAGCACCGACGTGGGCGGCGCCGCAGAGGAGGCCTCCACCGACGGCGGCACGCCGCGCTACCTCACCAACCTCGCCGGCTCGCACCACGACTTTGCACCGCACCTGCGGCCGTCGCCGCTGCGGCGCAGCCAGTCGAACCAGCCGTACGACGAGAGCCTGGTGCGCGAGCAGCTCGCGCGCCACTACTCGTTCCTCGGCGACGAAGGCATGGCGGCCCTGCGCGGCGCCTTTGTCGTCGTCGTGGGCGCCGGCGGCGTGGGCTCGGCGTGTGCCCTCTCGCTGCTGCGCGCCGGCGTGGGCGCCCTCCGCCTCATCGACTTTGACCAGGTCAGCCTCTCGTCGCTGAACCGCCACGCCGTCGCCACGCTCGCCGACGTGGGCCGGCCCAAGGTCGTCGTCTGCTCGGAGCACTTTGCGCGCATCGCGCCGTGGGCGCACGTGGAGGCCTGGGTCGAGCTATTCAAGGGCGACGAGGCGCCGCGCCTGCTCGGAGCCTCGCGCCCGGTGGGCCGCTCGGCAGACGCCAAGACACGGCAGCCAACGTACGTAATCGATGCCATCGACAACCTCGACACCAAGGTGGAGCTGCTGGCGTACTGCTACCGGCAGGGCATCAAGTGCTTCAGCAGTATGGGCGCTGGCGCCAAGTGCGATCCCAGCAGGATCCAGATTGCAGATCTCACCGACACCAGCGAAGACCCGCTCAGCCGGCATGTGCGGAGGAAGCTGCGCATGATGGGCATTCCTTCGCTCGGGCCGGAGAAGGAGAAGAAGAAGAAGGACAGCGCGGCGCCTGAGCCAGCGCAGACCTCCATCCGCAAGAGCATCCTGCAAGGGAGGGACGACGTCAAGCCCTTTGAGATCCCGTCGCGCATCACGCTGCCGAAGAACGAGCCCAAGAGCCGCGCCCCGCTCGTCGCGTCGCCATTGCCCGGCGGCGCGGCCGCGACGTCCCCACGGCCACCGCCGTCTGCCTGGGCGAATGACAGCTCCTCGCGCAACAGGCACATGCGGCGAGCATCGAGCGCCTCGAGCATGGGCTCGGCTGCCTACCACACGCCGCTCGGCACGCCGATGCTGGAAGGCGAGGGCAGCGACGACGGGAAGGATGCCGACGACACCGTGCGCTTGCCTGAGGCCGCTTTGGCCGATGAGGAGGAGGATGGGCAGAGCCCGATGCCGTCGCTCGCGCTGCCGCAGGCGGAGCACCGCGACAGCCTCGTCGAGATGTCCGCCTCTCCGCTTCCTTCGCCATCTCCTCAAATCTCCTCGCTTGGTGCGCCGAAAGAGCGCAATCCACTCTCTCGCGCCGCGTCAACCGCCGCGCTCGCCGCTCGGCAAGGCTCCGAGACAGAGGCGCGTCCGGTGCGCTCAAAGTCAAAGTCGAAGAGCTCGGAGAATGCCGAGAGCGTGCGGCTCGGCATTCCCGTCGTCTTCTCGACGGAGACGAAGAGCGACGTGCGGCTGCTGCCACTGCCGGAGGAGGAGTATCAGCGCGGCAACGTGGAGGAGCTCGCTGTGCTCAACGACTTCCGCGTGCGCGTGCTGCCCGTGCTTGGTGAGTTCTGCCCCCATCGACGCTTCCGAACCGCGCTCTGACGCTCCACAGGTCCCATTCCGGCCATGTTCGGCCTGGCCGCGGCGACGTACGTCATCTGCGACATCGCCGGGCGGCCACAGGAGCCGAGCCCGAACAAGCCGGCGCGCAAGTTCTACGAGAAGGTGCGGCCTCCTGTGTCAGCTTGAGCTCGGGACTGCTGCTCACTCGCTCCGTTGCACAGATCTGGCAGGACCTCGAGGCAGCAGAACGCCGCTTCCCGGCGCCCGGCAGCGGGCGCATCGCGCGCGACCCCGTCGGCCCGCGCCTGAACACGCTCAGCACCAACGACTGCGCCTACGTCTTCGACGAGGTCTTCCACCAGCGCTCCATCGTGCCGCCGTTCGACACGCCGACGCGCCCGGCGCTGCTGCGCTGGGACTCGACGATGCCGCTGGCGCTCTCCAACGTCGCCGTCTTCTCCAAGGCGCAGGCTAAGCGCCACGAGGACGAGGTGCTGGCGCGCGGCCGCTCGCCGTTTGAGGTGTGGGGCAGCGAGGCGGGCGCCATGTTCAAGCGGCGCATGGCCGAGGAGCGCAGAATGTCGCTGCTGCGGTAGATGGTAATGCATTGTGCAACAGGATGCTGATGCGGATGAGTCGGGACGGTGCTAGAACGATGAGTGGTCATACGGGACGATGCTGGGTGATGTGGTCGTAGATGCGGGTCGGGAAAGTGGGCTACTACTGCAGGCGGCGCTTGTAGCGCGGGTCGCTGGTGAGGCAGGGTCAGCGATGACAGGCGCGACAAGCCGCGGCGGGTGCTCACGTCTCCATCTGGCGGCGCTTGCGCTCGTGCTCCTCCTGCGCCTTGCGGTTGATGTCTTCGGCGTCGGGCGTCGCAGGAAAGTCCACGCGCCTGCAAGCCAAAGGTCAGCAGCGGCTGGCACACTCAGCCACGCTTCACGCACCAGTACGCAGGCGGCGTCGAAGAAGGCGGGCCATACGCGCGATGGCGGCTGGTCTGCTGCAGGTGCGCCTGGCGTGCGGCGTCGCGCTCGGCGTCGGGTGCGCCAGGTCCGACCGCTTCGTACCACTGCTGGCAAGCGTGAGCATGCGGCGTGCAGCTCCAAGAGAGGGACGGACTCACGTCCGAGCAGCACGCGCAGTCGAAGGCGTGCATGCGCTGGCGCTCCGCCTTGTTTCGCACTACCTCCTTGTGGGGAAAGGCCGCGCCGCCGTTGCGCTCGGGGTCGACTTGGTACTCTGAGTTGATGGTCTTGGATGTGTCGCCCTCACTGTTTGCAGTAGACGGAAAGTCAGCCACTGTGCTCTCATTCGGCAAGGCACGGCCGCCACGCACATTTCGCGGGCGTAGCGCCCGTTGCCGCGAAACTTGTTCGGGTTCTTGGCGAGCTCAGCAGCCTCTGCACGACGCTTCTCGCGGCGAAGACGCTTGCGCTCCTCGGCGTCCTCGGCATCGAACAGCTCCATCGCTGCGCCGCCGCTCTTGCTCGGTCCGTCCTTGGCGGCGTTGGGCTGCTCGTCATCGGAGAGGCCGAAGTCCGAGACGCCGCTGTCGAGAGGAGCACGCGACTTGGAGCCTTCGGGCCGCGGATTGCGGTCGCCCTCTCTGATCCACACCGGTGCCGGTGGTGGGTTGCTGCGAGGAGCTGTGGGCGCCGCGGCACGAGCAGCCGCGCTCGGCTGCACCGTCTGTGGCGGCACGATGCGCGTGCGCCGTGATGCGTCGCTTGCTACCGGCTCCTTCGTCGCCTTCTGCGCTCCGTCGGCTCGCATCGTGCTCGAGCTCACCGCTGCGTTCTTACTCGTGCCCATGGCTGGCGTCACGGGAGGCGCTGCAGCCACGCTCGCTAGCGCAGGCTTGCTGACGGCCTCGGCAGTCGCTTTGGCGGCCGGCGTTGCCCGAGATGCCTGGGCAGTGAGAGCCTTTGCGGCAGGCCGAGCGGGCGCAGGCGTTGACAGGCCGTCGGCCGCAGGCTTGCGCACAGCCGGTCGCGGCGGACGCTTAGAGCTGTGGAAGAAGAGCGGCGGCTCCTGCGAGCTGTCCGAGCCGAAGCTCTGCTGCTTGGCCGGCGTGGCTGGCCGGGCTGCGGCTTTCGCTGGCGCGTCCTTGGAGGACTGCTCGGCTGGCGCCGCACCGGCAGGAGCGCGAGACGGGAGCGTCTTGTCGTTCGCTGGTGCGGCAAGCGGTGCGAGCTGAGCGGGCACGTCCGAAGGTGCGCCTGCTGACTTCTTGGCAGCCGGCGGCGGCATCTTCTCGGCGGCAGCCTTGCCGCCGACCTTGATGCCGCTGATGTCGCCTTCGTCGTCCGAAACCTCCATCGATGCGGCGCGAACCACAGCAGCAGCCTCTGCGTTTTCACCGAGACTCGTGTTGGTGACGTTGCCGAGGCTGCGCCGTCCGCTGCCGGAGCGCGAAAGTGGAGAGCCTTGTCCGCTCGACGCGCGGCTGCGAGACTTGCCGCTGCTTGCAGCGCCTCCATCTGAGGCCCTCGCACGCTTCATAGCAGGCGAAGAGGCGGACTTGTCCTCGTCGCCGGGTCGCTTTGCCGCAGTGCGAGAGCCTGAGCTGGTGTCGAGCACGAGCTGGCCGGGGTCGAGGCCGACCTTTAGCAGGAGCGCCTGCTCGTCGGCATCGAGCGCGTCGCGCCGCGGCGAGCGCGGCTTGCCGCTGCCCGATGGGGTCTTGGCGCCAGCCGACGAGGCGAGGATGCGGCTGCGGCGGCCCTCGAGCTTGCTGGCCCACCACGCCTTGAACTTGCGCCACGACTCGTTCTCCTCCTCGTACTTGCGCTTCAGCGCCGCGTGCTCGGCGCGCTCGTGCGTCAGGTCTGCCGCCAGCGCGTCGACGACGCTGAGCGCTGCGCTCCAGGCTTTGTCGGACGAGGCCGCGGCGTTCTTGCTGGAGCGCACCGCGGCATCGCGCAGCGCCAGCAGCTGCTCGCGCGGCGGCAGCGCCGTGCCCTGAGAGGCGGACATGCCAAGTGGAGGAACGAGCGTCTGACGGTGCGCCGCGAGCACGCCGGCAGATTGTGCCGTGAATGGCGCGGCGCGGAGCAGCTGTCGGCGCGCAGAGACGGCGAGCGGGTGCGGCGGGCGGTGCGGCTGTGGTGGTGGGAGGGTGCGCCTGTCACTCGACCCGGCGCTGCGGGTCAAGTGTGTCGCACGCCGCTCGGGGCGCGGCCGGCCGCGAGCGAGCGCTGTACGCGTCCCGCTGAGGCGCGTCGTGCTCCCACGCTCTCTCGCGCGGGTGCGTCTCCAGCTTTTTGGTGCGAAGAAGCACAGCACACGCAGCATCGCCGCCTCGCTCGCCTCCACCACACACAGTCCGCCATGTCCAGCACCCAGGCAGCCATGCCGGCGCCCGCCGCACCCGAGGCCGTCGCCTCCTCCTCCACGACACCCGCGCCCACGCCGCCGCCGCGCCGCAGTGCCGCACAGCGCGCCGCGTCGGCGTGCGCCGTCGTCGCCAAGAGCGCCGCCTTCCGCAGCAGCCGCTTCATCCACGCCGGCGACCTCGTCATCGTCTTCATTGTGCGTGCCTCACGCGCCTGCAGCACACGTCGGTGTGCACACGCTGAGTCCCTGCACAGTCGCGCGACCGCACGCCCATCCCGCTGCGCGTCACGCCCGGCGACGAGTACACCAACACGTGGGGCACGTTCCCGCACGCCGACATGGTCGGCAAGCCGTTCGGCTCGCGGGTGAGCGTGCAGCGTGCGCTGCGGTGCTGCTGTTGTCTGACTTGCATCTCCAGGTGCGCGCACGCCGCAACACGGGCTACCTCTTCCTGCTGCGCCCCACGCCCGAGCTGTGGACGCTGGCGCTGCCGCACCGCACGCAGATCCTCTACGCGCCCGACATGTCCTTCATCACGCTCAAGCTCGCCCTCACGCCCGGCTCGCGCATCATCGAGGCCGGCACCGGCTCCGGCTCGTTCACACACTTTCTCGCGCGCACCGTCGGGCGTGCACGGCAGTGGGACGGCGGGCGCGGCTGGCAGGGCGACGGCGCCGAGATGGACGAGCGCGACGCACGGGACGGAGGCTCGAGGGGGACGAAGCGGAAAGCGGTGGACAGCGACGCAGCAGAGGCACCCGAGGCCAAGGCCGTCGAGCCGATGTTGACGGACCCAGATCCGCATGTTGAGGAGGACGACGGGCGGGTCTGGAGCTTCGAGTTCAACGCCACGCGCGCGCAGAAGGCAAAGTGAGTGGAGAGCGGCCTCTCAGGTCCGATACGGGCTGCCCGTCTCAGCGCTGACCTTCTGCAGATCCGAGTTCGAGGCACACGGCCTGACAAGGACCGTCTCGCTGCGGCATCGCAACGTGTGCCGCGAGGGCTTCGGCCTGTCAAACGTGGCCGACTGTGTCTTTCTCGACCTGCCAGCCCCCTGGGACGCGCTCGAGTCGGCTAAGGAGGCGCTGCGTCTCGACGTCGCCGGCCGCGTGTGCTGCTTCTCGCCGTGCATCGAGCAGGTGCTGCGCACGGCCGAGGCCATGCGCAAGCAGGGCTGGTGCGAGATTGAGACGTTCGAGTCGCTCGTGCGCAACCACGAGAGCCTGTCGCAGGCGCGCACGGCGCCCCTCGTGCCTGTCGGCGACGCCATCCGCAAGATCCGCGAGGTTGAGGCGAACAAGTCGCAGCGTCGTCTGGGCCAGATCGAGCGCAGCCGCCGTGCTCGCGTTGTGAAGGAGCGAGCTGCGGCGCTCGTGGCCGAGGGCGTGGCGGAGAAAGAGGCGCAGGCACAGGCCGAGGCCGAGACGGCGCAGGCCGAGGCAAACGGCGACGAGGAGATGCAGGACCCGCGAGACGCGGCGGAGGAGGCCCTCGCGACTGCCACGCCCTGGACGGTGAAGCTGCCCGACCCGCGAGAGAACGTCAAGCGCGAGCTCAGCCAGGCCAACGTGTACTCGCGCACGCTGCAGGACGTGAGTTGTGCGGAGTTGCGGCTGCGATCAGTCACAATGCTCACACCTCTCCGCAGATGCGAGGCCACACGTCGTACCTCACCTTTGCTACACTGCGGCCACGCGTGCTGAGCAACACGCCATCTGTCCAGACCACCAATGCTGCCGCTGCTCCTCCGCCAGAGGCGCCGGCCGCAGACAACACCGCGACGGACACGGCCGAGTCTGCAGCTGCCTCCGAGGCCGCAGCCACGGGCCCTGCCGATCAAGCATGAGGCAGTGCACGTATTGCGAGTGTCTAGTTGACCGTGCAGGGAGGCAACACACGCGGGGCTAGATAGACAGACGAGACCATGTGTGACCGGGGAGCAGATGAGGGGATCGGTGACAGGATAACAAGAGAGATGATGGAAGAGTGACAGGGGGAGCAGAGGGCCGGCCGGCGAGCCCGCTGTGTGCTTGAGCAGGGAGCCGGTGCTTCTAGGCATCGCAGACCTGGGCGGCGACGCAGTCGGCATGCGCGGCGCCCATCATGGCGATGAACGCCTGGCCCTCGGGGCTGCCGCTGGTGAAGGGCACCTTGGAGAACCAGTCGAGCGGGTTCACGGCCGGCGCGCCGATGCCCGTCGCCGGGTCGACGGCCTTGTTGACGGCGTCGCGCATCTCCAGCGCCCACGGCAGCACGTCGGTGGCGTTGGCGCGGTCGAGCACGGCGAGGCGGAACGCGGCGGCGGCAAGCGCCGCCGAGCCGGCCACGTCGCCCTTCCACTCGTCGTTGTCGCCGTCGTCGATGCCGCGGGCGCCGCCGGCGAGGTAGACGCGGTAGAGGCCGTTGTCGGGGTCCTTGGCGGCGCCGCGCAGGCCGCCGAAGAGGTCGTAGAGCCACGTGCGCAGCTCGGCGGCCTCGGCGTTGAGGTTGAGGTTGCTGTACTGCCAGTGCTTGATCGTCGCCAGCACGCGCACCATGCCGAGCGCGGCCCAGCCGTTGCCCGACGTCCAGAGGCCGAGCGTCTGGGAGCGCGGGCCGACGATGTGCGTCCACAGCCCGGCGACGTCGCCCGTCTGGTTGCCGCGCAGGATCGCGCGCTGCGCGCCAATGTCGCGCACGACGTCGCGCAGCAGCGACGCATTGCGTGTCGCGACGGCGTAGTAGGCCAGCGTCGGCGGCGCCATGAACATGTAGTCGGCCCACGTCTCGAAGTAGTTGTCGCGCATGCTCATGGCGCCGTTGGGCCCGCGCGGCACCTGCGTGAGCATGTACTGCATCTGGCGCTGCGCGGCACGGCGGTAGCTCGGCTGCGTCTGGCCGAGCAGCACGGCGGCGACGCCGAGCGACATGGGGTCCGCCGCCGAGCCGTCGCCCTCGACGAGCGTCGTATTGTCGGTGCGGATGTGGCGGCGCGCGTACGCCAGCGCCGGCGTCGCGGCGTCGGGCGCCGGCAGCCGGTCGTCGGGAAAGGCGTCGCGGCTGAAGACGCTGAGCTCGGGCGAGAGCACCTCGAGCAGCGCCTGCGTCGCCGCGCCGTACTCCCACGAGTGCTCCGAGAGGCGCACGGCCTGCTGCAGCACGCGGGTAAGGTTGAGGTCGGCACCGCCGTAGCGGCCGTCGGGGCGCAGCGGCGTCTCCTGCACGTCGACATTGAGGCCCAGCAGCGGGGCGCCCAGCACGCCCGTGGCTGCGACGCCGACGAGCGCGGCGAGGGAGAGCGAGGAACGCATTCGAGCGGGAGGGGAAGGTGCGACGGTGCAGAGGAGAGACGTTGTGGCTGCAAGGGGCGCCGAGCTGGTGCCGGCGCCGCTTAAGTATGGCCCTGCCTCTGGAATGAATGACGAAAGGCACGGCGAGCGGCCGACGTCGGCAGCAGGCGGAGCGGGACGCGGCGCGTCATGCTCGGAGGGGGCCAGCCAGGCGCAGCAGCAGCAGCAGCAGCGCCAGGACACCGACGGCTGGACGCACCGTCGGCGGGTGCACAGCGCGCGCCGCGGGCGCAGATGACGTGCGGACGAGGAGCGTGCGGCGAGAGAGGCGGAGCGCACGGCAATACGCCGGCATGCAGACTCTTACTGAGAGAGAGGCCTTGCCTTGCTGCAGCTGCGTGCGCGTGCCGGCGGAGTATCGACGGCATCCCGGCACAAGCTCAGAGGAGCACAGCCGCCGCCCGGTGCCGCTGTGCCGGGAAGCAGGCGGCACAGTCGAGTGCAGCCAAGGCCGGCGCCAAGGCGGGCAGCGCGGCTGTCTGCGCGCCGCAGGGCACCAGGACGGCGCGTGGCCTGCAGCTGAGGCGCAAAGGACGTGAGATGCAGCCCAACTCGCCGCACCGAGACAGCCTCCGCCCAGCGGCAGCGCGCAGCCCTCGTCTCAACACCTGTGCCTCAAGCAAGCACAAAGCACCTCTCGAGGCGCAGCACAAAGGCCTCTTGCGCGCATCGCTGCATTCTGATGTGCCGCCGCGCGTGCGCTCGGCTGGCCACATCAGCCTCCGACGCGCGCTCCCCGCGACCCCGCGTTGCGCTCAGCAGCACGCAGCGTTTGGCTGCGTGCTGTGTGCCGTGAGTGAGGGCCAGCTGGCGTCGGCTGCGGGAGCTGCCTACAGCGCTGTGCTCTCAGCAAGAGCAGCCCGAGGGTGCGTGCAGGCGGTGAAACAGCGCATGGCCGCCGGCTGTTTTGCCAGACGCTTCCCGTGCTTCCCGTGTCTGCTGCTGGAGAAAGGCATGGGAGCGCCATGCCTTGGAGGCGGTGGCATGCCTCCGTGCCAGCGCCGCACAGACGCAAGCACAACGTGCGCCAGCACCGCGCACTCCGCCAGCGCATGAAGGCCGCACGCCTGTCCTGCGGCTGCACGCTGCGGCGGCGCAGGCGCGCTGTGGCTGCATGCTGCCGCTTGTGCTGTGCCCGCACCCGCCCCCCCGCCGCGTGCATTTGGTGGCTGCAGGCTGCATTGGGCAGGTCTCCGCGCCCGCAGGCGGCAGCAGCGCAGCACCACAGGCGGAAACGGAAAGTGTCGCTGGGCGGGCACGCCGACGCCGACGACGCGGTCTGGCCTCCTCTCCGCGAGGGCATCCCGAGACCTTCGCCGTCGCCGGTGCCGTCTTCGTGCAGCGTGCATCCAGCTCCAGGTTGAAGGGTGGCAAGACAGCACGGCGGACGCTTTCGTGGTGCAAGCATGCCTCTCCAGCCTCCGGGCGGGTGCAGAAAGCAGCGCAGACGATCCTTGTTCTCCGAGCTCTTGTCCGTCCTCCGGCACTGGTGCCGGGCGCCAAGCTGATGAAACCAACAGGGGTGCCGAATGGAGGCGCTTCGGCCTGGCCCCTAGCACATGCCAAGTACGGGCAGTCTCTTTGTGCCTGATCGACAGGAGCGCAGCCGTGACGAAGCTCGCGCCTGACGTGGCTTTTGCCGACGGCGCGGTGCACCAGATGAAAAGTGCGCAAGATCGTAGTACCTTCTGCTTCTGGCGGCGCTGCTCCCCTGTTCGACGTCTCGGGGCCTGGAAGGCGTCTAGCTGCAGTCCGTCGCATCGCATTTTGCGAACTGCTCGGCAGGACAGGCCCGACGGGCGAGGCATTTGCTCGCCTTCGTCCGCCGCCTTCGTCGCTCAATCGCACCTTCGCTCGCTGGCGCCGCTCAGCGGACCTCGTGACGTGGTATCGACATTTGTCAGAAGTTGTAAATGGGCAGGATCGTCGCAGGCGTGATGCGCGACCGACACAGCGGACACTCGGGCTAAAGGCATGCGTCAGCAAACGTCAGCAGTGTGCTCATCCTTGTCAACCCACCTTCTCCTTGACCCAGTTGGTGATGCATCCCCAATCAAAGACGTGGCCGCACTGCGTTACCGCACTGGCGCCACGTTCCGGCCGCCGCGTCTCCATACAGAGCGTGCACCTCCGGATGCTCTCGCCTGCATTCTCCAGCTGCGCTGCCTTGCCCCGTGCCACCGCGCGTGCGGCCTCGAGCGTCGCTCGCGAGGCCGAGGCAGGCAGCTGCAGCGCCTCGCGCGACGGCAGAGCGTCCGGATCGGGGTAGACCAGAGGCACGTGTGCACCGCCAGGCTCGTCCGCCGCCACGTCGTCGCCCATCCCCGACTCGAGGCGCACCGCAGGTGTCGAGGCGTGGCTCCAGATCGAGTCGTCGATGCGCACCGTCTCCTTGGGCTGCGCTCTCTTCTCGGACGCTGACTCGCTTGTTGCTGACCGATGCACGCGGATGAGGCCCAGCATCGACTTGACGACGAGTTGGAACGCTAGCAGGAAGCCCAGGACCTCGTACGACGGCGGCGACTGCCCTGGCCGTGCGGGAATCGTCGAGATCTGGAGATCGATCAGCGCTGTACAGCTGGCCGTCCTCAATCGACACTCACATATCGGACACGCGCCGCGCGCTGCGCCACAGAGTAGTATTTGCCGCTCATATAGAACACGGCCAGGTGCGCACTGGCGCCCCAGCGCAGCCAACTCTTGATGCGCTCGAGGCCCTCCACCGGCAGCGCCGACGCCCACCAGTCGACGATGCGGTCGCCGCGGCTCTTGCGCGGCGGCGCCGCCCGTACAGCGTTGGCGCGCAGCACGGCGCGCTGGTGTGTCTGGGCGCGAGCGGCCTGTGCCCGCTGCAGCGCGTGCGAGACGCTGCGATACAGCTGTGCCGAGAGCATGGGCAGCACGATGTGCAGGAAGATGAAGAGCACGCGCCGCTGTGGCCGCACGGAGGTCAGCTGCGAAGCCCCGAGAGATCGATGCGAGAGGCCACGCTTCGAGTAGCGCAGCTTCGCAAAGCCAGCCACTGCCTCGCAAGCTGCCTTCTCGCTTGTTCACCACCCCGCCTCCTGCTCCGTGCCGCACTCACCCGGCGGTGCACGACGCGCCCGCTCGGCCCGACCATGACGGCATTGACGTACTCCTCGCCGAGCGTCTGGGCGCCGCCGGCGGTGGCGGTGAGGAAGTAGGCGCACTGCGCGACGGCGGCGACGAGGGCGGCATGGCGGTGCAGCGCGCGCACGCCGAGCACGCTGCGCGCCACGTCGTGCGCCGCCGCCTGCAGCTGCGCGAGGTAGTGGGCATCCTTCTGCACGGCGCGCACGAGGTGCGGCTGCGCCGCCGGCGGGAAGGAGAGCTCGGGCCGCGGCACGTAGCGCGGCGTCGGCGACGAGGCCATGGCGAGGGTGTGGAGAGACGTCGAAGGATGCGGGGTGCGAAGGCGGCTCACGGCCGCTGCCGGCCCGGCTGAAAGGGAGCGCCGGGCTGAGCGCGACTCCCCGCGCCCTGGCCGCGCGTCCCCTCCACTTTGTGTTGTGGCGCAGCAAGAGCAACACCGGCGGGCGCGTCCAAGGGGCTGCTTCCCACCCTCACCCTCGGACACCTCTCTCTGGCACAGCATGATCCGCATTCGGTGCGCACAGTCCGGCCTCGCACGTGTGCGGCACCACTCACACCCACTCAGGCATCCGCAGGGCACCGCGACGCTGCGGCTCGCCGAGCTGCCCTCGCTCGGCGCGCTGCAGGCCCGCATCGCCGAGCTCACAGGCATCGCCGCCGCAGAGCAGGAGCGTGAGTGGCGGAACTGAGGACCAGAGACAGCGATGACATGCCGGCCTGATGGCGAAGACGTCATGTTGCTTCCGCACCGCTAGGCTGGCGCACCAGCCCCCGACTGACCCTCTGTGCTTGCCAGTCCGCACCGGCTACCCGCCGCGACCGGTGCCGCTCTCCTCGCTCCCACCAGCGACCGCAGTCTCCGATGCACCTCTGAGCCTCAGCGCCGGCTCGCAGCTCGTCGTGTCGCAGGCCAGCGCCGGTTCGTCCTCCTCTTCCCGGCCGGTCACGCCGCGTGCTGCCGCCGTGCCCTCGACGCCTGCGCCCGCTGCTGCAGCGGCGCCTGCTGCACGCGCAATGGCACCGCCGCTCGTGCCCAAGCCAAAAGCAGCGCCGCCCTTTGCGCGCACAGCCGCTCCGGCACCAGCCACGCCCACGCCCGCGGCCCCACGGCGGGCGCCGCAAGACGCCGAGGTGCACCGCGAGGTCGACGGCTCGGAGCTGACGCTGCGCATCGTGCCGGACGACAACTCGTGTCTCTTCAATGCTGTAGCGGGGCTGCAGCTCGGCGGGCTGGGCGAGGAGAAGTGTGCTCAGCTGCGCGAGAGTGAGTTGGACAAGACAAGCGCGGAGATCCAGCTCGGAGCTGTGCTGCCGTAGTGTGGTGTACAAGCTGACTGGTACCTCTGCAGTCGTCTGTAGCGCCATCGTTGCGTCGCCGCACGAGTACAGCGAGGTGATGCTCGGCATGGCGCCCGAGACGTACTGCAAGCGCATGCGGCAGCCGGCGACGTGGGGCGGCGCCATTGAGCTGGCCATCCTGGCGCAGCACTTTGCCACGGAGCTCATCGCCGTCGACGTCGGCTCGGGCGTGGTGCACACGTTTGGCGAGGGGCAGGGCTTCGAGGAGCGCGCGTGGCTCGTGTACAGCGGCATGTGCTTATCTGCGCGCTGCGCTGCTCGCGCCTTGCGCTGACGATCCTCGCCCGCCAGCCACTATGACTTCCTCGCACTGCTGCCGCATCCGACAGCGCCGCTGGAGTTCGGCACGACGCGCTTCCCCTCGCTGCCGGCCGGCTTGGGGCTCGAGGATGGCGACGAGCTGCGCACGGCGGTGCTGGACATTGTTGCCGAGCTGCGCGCCCGTCACTAGTGCGTTGCTTGCTGCCGCTGTGCTTTGCATGCCGCTGATGCTGCTCCTCCGCAGCTACACCGACACGGCGACGTTTGCACTGCGCTGCGGGCAGTGCCGCACGCCGCTCAAGGGCGAGAAGGACGCCACGAAGCACGCCAAGGAGACGGGCCATACGCAGTTCGTAGAGTACGACGCCTAGAGGACGCTGTATCATTATGAGGACATGTGCTGCGTGCTCCGCAATCACTAGACCTGCGATGTGCTCCCGAGCAGACTTGAGCCCGTCCGATTCACGTCGTGCGCCCTCCGCGCGCGCGGAGGGTCAAGCGCGCGCTGCGTCTTTTTGGATGCGGCCGGCCTGGCTGGTGACGCACGAGTGTACAAAGAGTCCTTCGGTGCTGCAGCTGAGCGTCTGCTGTATTTCGACAGCAACTCGCTCCCTGCTCGAGGCATCTGTGCGGCCACCTCGAGGCAGGAGAGGCCCTGGTGCCGAGGCGGGGACCCAGACTGGGGCGTCGCGCGGCGGCGCGCGCGCCGGCGTTCGGCTGCGGCGGCCGAGGAGCGCCGACGCGGCCAGATTTTTGACCGGCGCGGCGCCGGGCGAGCACGCTTCTCGCCATCGAGCCGCCTGCGCTCACCCCTCATCACCCCTCCTGCCTGCCTCGCTGCTGTCGCTGCTGCCAGCGCGTACGCCGCAGCTCACCGCACACCACCACCACCTGGCGCACGACGCCGCGCCGTAGCTCCGCCGAGTCTGCGCCGCTGCGCCGCCGCTGCCCAGCATGGACGTCACGCGCGCCGTGTCGAGCAAGATCGGCAGCACGTCCTTCTCCTTCCTCACGTCTGCCGAGATCCACGCCATCAGCGTCAAGCAGATCACCAATGCCACGCTCTTTGACAACACCAACCTGCCCACCGCCGGCGGTCTCTACGACCCCGCGCTGGGCCCGCTGGGCAAGGCCGACATGTGAGTGGCTGCGGTGCGCCGAGCGCGCGAGCCGCGGGCTGACCGCCTCGCCGCACAGCTGCCAGACGTGCTCGCAGAACAGCTTCCAGTGCCCCGGGCACTTCGGCCACATCGACCTGCCGTCGTGCGTCTTCCACCCGCTGTTCATGTCGCACATGTACAACCTGCTGCGCGGCTGCTGTCTCTTCTGCCACCGCTTCAAGCTGCCGGAGGTGCAGGTGAGTTCCGTCGAGCGGCCAGATGCCGACCACGTCTGACGGCTGCCTCAGCGCATCCTCTACGTCGCTCGCCTGCGTCTGCTCGAGTATGGCCTTGTCTCTGCCTCGGACGACATCGCACACGAGACGCTCGCGCGCCAGACGAGCTTTGCGCCGGCGGAGCCCAGTGGCTCGCGGAGCAGCAAGAATGCCGAGGAGGGCCTGCAGGCAGAGGACGGCGATGGCGAGCTGGTCGCTGCGGCCGACAAGGGCCTTGCCGCCGAGACTGTGCCGGAGTTCCGCGCGCGGATAGAGACGCAGGTGGGCCTGGCTATTCAGCAGGCGCTGCAGCAGGGCCGGCGGCGAGGCAAGGGGCTCGACGGCGCGACGTATGCTGCTCGCAAGCACGTCGTCGCGGAGCTGCTGAAGCTCATCATTGTGAAGCGGACCTGCACCCCTTGCGGAGCGTGAGTAGACCTGCGGCTCCTCCAGAACGGCAGCTCGTCTGACGCCGCGCGACAGGCACAACCCGACTCTGCGCAAGGACGGCTTCATCAAGATCGTCGAGCGCGACCTGACTGAGCGCGAGAAGGCGCTGCACGAGGCCTGCGGCATTCGCCGGCCTGATGCGATCCTGGCGGTGCAGGAGCAGCGGGCAGGCACGACGCCGGCGCCGGTCACCACACGCATGACGCGGGAGGGCGTCATTGAGGACAACTCCCTCGCGGGCGGCGAGGGTGTCGATGGAGACGGAGACGTCGTGATGGGCGAGAATGAGTTTGCACGCCCCGTCGACCGCGCCGAGCTGCGCGAGGCACGCAAGAAGAGCAAGGTGGCGAGCCAGCAGACACGCGTGATGCCGCCCGAGGAGTGCCGCGCGAACCTGCAGCTCCTCTTCCGCAACGAGTCGCAGCTGTGCTCGCTGATCTTCGGCCGGCACGGCCCCTTCGAGAGCGGTGCCGCGCCGGGCACGCGTGCCAGCGGCAGCAAGCTCGGTATGCAGTCGAGCAATGGCGCCAGCGCCGACGTGTTCTTCATGGATGTGCTCGCCGTCGCGCCGACGCGCTTTCGGCCCGCCAGCGTCATGGGCGACACGACGTTCGAGAACCCGCAGAACGAGCTGCTCACGAAGATTATCAACACGAGCTTCGACGTCCGCGACTCCGCCAAGCAGCTCTCACTGCTCGTCAACTCGGGCCCCGAGGGACTGAAGGCCCTCGAGCTGTCGAGTGGCGGAAAGAACGCGCATCTGGACTACGTCATGCGCCTCACGGCTGCCAACGACGCGCTCATGGGCAAAGTGATCCAGCTGCAGGTCGACGTCAACTCGTACATCGACTCGTCGAAGAACCCGACGCCCATGGCGCAGGGCCGTCTGCCGCCGCCGGGTGTCAAGCAGGCGCTGGAGAAGAAGGAGGGCCTCTTCCGCAAGCACATGATGGGCAAGCGTGTCAACTACGCCGCGCGCTCCGTCATCTCGCCCGACGTCAACATCGAGACCAACGAGATTGGTGTGCCGCCCGTGTTCGCCAAGAAGCTCACATTCCCCGAGCCTGTGACGGTGCACAACGTCGCGCTGATGCGCCAGCTCGTCATCAACGGCCCGGACGTGTACCCCGGCGCGATCGCCGTGCGCGCCGAGGACGGCACCGAGACGCTGCTCGCCAAGCAGACCGTCGAGCAGCGCACGGCGCTCGCCAGCCAGCTGCTGACGCCGCAGGAGCACACGTCGCGCCAGGCCAAGGGCACTTTTGCCGGCCTCGGCACGTCGACGCGCACGCCGCCGGCGAACAAGACGGTGCTGCGGCATCTGCGCGACGGCGACATCCTGCTGCTGAACCGCCAGCCGACGCTGCACAAGCCGTCGATCATGGCGCACAAGGCGCGCGTGCTCGTCGGCGAGAAGACGATCCGCATGCACTACGCCAACTGCAACTCTTACAACGCCGATTTCGACGGCGACGAGATGAACATGCACTTCCCGCAGAGCCAGGCGGCGCGCGCCGAGTGCTACAACATCGCCAACACGGACAACCAGTACCTCGTGCCGACAAGCGGCAAGCCGCTGCGCGGCCTGATCCAGGACCACGTCGTGGCGGGCGTGTGGATGACGTGCAAGGACTCGCTCTACACGCGCGAGGAGTACCAGCAGCTGCTGTACGGCGCGCTGCGGCCCGAGGACGACTACTCGGGCGGCGGCCGCGTGCTGACGCTGCCGCCGGCGATCATGCGCCCCGCGCCGCGCTGGACGGGCAAGCAGATCATCTCGACGATCATGCTCAACATCAAGCCGTCCAACGCCGAGGGCCTCAACATGTCGAGCAAGGCCAAGGTGGCCGGGCGCTACTGGGGCAAGGACCACGCGGGCGAGGAGGAGGTCGTCTTCAGCGACGGCGAGCTGCTCTCCGGCGTGCTCGACAAGTCGCAGTTCGGTGCAACGGCGTACGGCCTCGTGCACGCCGTCTACGAGATCTACGGTGCCGAGACGGCGGGCAAGCTGCTGAGTATCCTCTCGCGCCTCTTCACCAAGTACCTGCAGCACAACGCCTTCACCTGCCGCATGGACGACCTCATGCTCTCTGAGCGCGGCGACGCCAAGCGGCGCCAGCTGCTGGCCGACGGCAGCGACGAGGGCCGCAAGGCGGCGCTGCGCAGCGTCGGTCTCGAGAGCGAGGCCAAGGGCCGGAAAGCCGACGACCCGGATCTGGACTTCAACATGCGCGTGCGCCTCGAGGAAGTGCTGCGTGACGACCTCAAGCTCGCGGCGCTCGATGCCGAGATGATGTCTGCATCCAACAACCTCACCTCGTCGATCATCAAGGCGTGCATCCCCGACGGCCTCGCCAAGATCTTCCCGCACAACAACATGCAGATGATGACGGTGTCCGGCGCCAAGGGCTCGCCCGTCAACGTGTCGCAGATCTCGTGCCTGCTCGGCCCGCAGGCGCTCGAGGGCCGCCGTGTGCCCGTCATGGTCAGCGGCAAGACGCTGCCGTCGTTCAAGCCCTTCGACACGTCGTCGCGCGCCGGTGGCTTTGTGTCGGGCCGCTTCCTCACGGGCATCCGGCCGCAAGAGTACTACTTCCACTGCATGGCGGGCCGCGAAGGTCTCATCGACACGGCCGTCAAGACGTCGCGCTCCGGCTACCTGCAGCGCTGCCTGATCAAGCATCTCGAGGGCGTGTACGTGCACTACGACCACACCGTGCGCAACTCGGACGGCTCGGTGCTGCAGTTCCACTACGGCGAGGACTCGCTGGACGTGACGAAGAGCAAGTACCTCGAGGAGTTCGACTTTACGGCGCGCAACTTCGAGTCGTTCCGCCGCCGCTACGACCCGAAGCAGCTGCAGGGCGTGCTCGAAGAGTACGAGGCGGGCGAGCACATGAAGAAGGCGCTCAAGAAGCCGCACAAGTACGCGCCGGCGCTCAGCGCATTCGCGCCCGCCAAGCACATCGGCTCGATGTCCGAGAAGTTCGCCGCAAGCATCGAGGAGTACGTCGAGCGCAACCCGAAGCGGCTGCTCGACGACGGCCGCAAGAAGAAGAAGAGCCGCAAGTCGGACGCCGGCGACGCGGCCCAGCCGGCGCCAGAGCTGATGCGCTCGATCAAGGAGCGCGTCAACCCCGAGGCGTTCCGCACGATGAACAAGATCCTCTACCACCGCGGCCTGGTGGAGCCAGGAGAGGCCGTCGGTCTGCTGGCCGCGCAGGGTGTCGGCGAGCCTTCGACTCAGATGACGCTCAACACCTTCCACTTTGCCGGCCACGGTGCCGCCAACGTCACGCTCGGTATCCCGCGTCTGCGTGAGATCGTCATGACGGCCTCGCAGAAGATCAAGACGCCCATCATGCGCCTGCCGGTGCTCGAGGGCATTCCCGAGGCGTCGCAGCGCATGTGGTGCAAGGACGCAAGCCGGCTGCTGCTCAGCCAGGTCGTCGACAAGGCCACCGTCACCGAGCGCATCTCGGGCAAGACGCGCGAGACGGACTTCCAGCGCCGCAAGACGTACACCATCCGCCTCGAGCTCTTCTCGCCCAAGGAGTGCAAGGAGGAGTACAACACCTCGACGCCGAGCATCCTGCACGGTCTCGAGGCGACATTCGTGCCGACGCTGGAGCGCGGCATCATGATGGAGCTCAAGCGTCTCCGTCGCGACCGCGCACGGCAGGCAGACGAGATCGGACACGGCCACCAGTTCAACGATGGTCCGTCCGCTCAGGGCGACGACGACGACGAGCCGTCGCGGAGCAGCAGCAAGAAGAGCGCAAAGGCCGCGGCGACACCCGCTCCTGCCGGCCGGCCTGCTGGTGCCGACGACGACGACTCTGACGAGGAGGCGGGCTCGGATGACGGCGGCGACGGCGATGCCGACGACGCCAAGCGTAAGCGCAAGGGTGCCGCACAGGCCTCGTACGAGGAGGGCTCTTCCGACGAAGAGACTGACTTCGAGCCGACGACCGATGCGGAGTCCAGCTCGGAGGCGGCTTTCTCCGGTCGGTCCCGCAACGGCGACGACACCGACGCCACGAGCGAGACGGATCGCGAGGACGCCGACAGTCTCGTGGGCGACGTCGACGAGCAGGTCGCCGAGGTCGAGAGCCGCCTGCAGGAGAGCAGCCGCTTCGTCACCAAGTTCGAGTTCGACGCCAAGAATGCGCGCTGGGCCGAGTTCTCGCTGCAGCTGCCGACGAGCTCGGAGAAGCTGCTGCTCATCAACGTCGTCGAGCGCGCCTGTCTCTCGAGCGTGGTGCACGAGGTGCCCAACATCCAGCGCCTGCTCATTCCGCAGGCGCAGCCGGGCGAGAAGCCGGGCCTCACGGCTGAGGGCATCAACTTCCCGGGCATGTGGGAGATGGGCTTCGGCGTCGTCGACATGAACAACATCTACACCAACGACATTGGCGCGCTGCTGCACACGTACGGCGTCGAGGCGGCGCGTGCCGCCATCGTCGGCGAGATGGCTGGCATCTTCCAGACGTACGGCATCGACGTGTCGATGCGCCACCTCTACCTCATCGCCGACTACCAGACGGCCGCCGGCGGCTTCCGCCCCTTCAGCCGTGGCGGCATCGCCGACGCCTCGTCGCCGCTGCTCAAGGCGAGCTTCGAGATGACGATGGCGTTCCTCGGCCACGCGGCGCTGCACGGCGAGTGCGACCCGCTGCACGGCCCCTCGGCCAACCTCGTCGTGGGCCGGCCCGTCCTCAGCGGCACCGGCGTGCCGCAGATCCACCAAGCCATCGCCGTCTGAGCCTGGTCTGTCCGTCATTGTCCCGTCTCTTGCCTCCTCATGCTCCTGTAACATCACACTGCGCGCGATCACAAAATCTAGACCCAGCATTACTGTTCCATGCGCGTGCATTGCGAGACGTCAGAGGGCGGCGCACCATGCGCGCAGCTCGAGCAGGCCGTCCCACTCAAGCGGCTTCTCGTCCTTGAGCGTCATCTCGATGCCCTCGTCGAGCGCCCAGCCGCGCTGCGTGCCGACGCTGGCCAGCGCCGTCTGCGCGGCGCCCGCAGTGCAGACGGCCGGCTCGAGGCGCTCGAAGCTGAAGCCTGCTGCCGCTGCGGAGCCCGACGCGGCCCATGCCACGTAGTCGCGCTCCTCCTCGTCGCCCTCGTCGTCATCCTGCGACGCCGGGCCGCTCGAGCGCTCGAGACCCAGAGCACGCCAGAGCGGCGCAAGAAATCCGCCGCCGCCGCCGGCGACTGCGCGCAGCGCGCCCACCTTTGCCGCAGCCGACTGCGCATTGACGCCCAAGCCGGTGCGCCGGCGTGTCATCTCGGCCTCGAGCTGCGTCGTGGCACGCTGCAGCGCGGCATTCCTCCGCTTGGCGTCGGATGCGCCTGCGGCGAGAAGCGGCGAGAGGTCGGCACGCGTGAAGAGGACGAGCAGAGACAGCGGCTTCCGCCGCTTGCTGGCCGAGCTGAGAAGCGTGTGAAGTTGGCTGTTGGCAGATTGTCAGCGGCCGCGTCGTCTGAAGCGATCAAGAAAGCAAGACGTCAAGAGAGAGAATGTGGGGACTACCGGCCCGCGTCCGCGCACAAGAAGCACGGACGCAAAGGGCGCTAAGATGGCCAGATGCTCGAACCGGGCGCACACAGCACGTCCGAAGACGAGTGCGCGCGGCCCCGGTGAGCGGGGATTGGTGTGTGCGACACTTCGGCTCGCGAATCCTATCGAGCAGGAGAGACGCGGAATTTGACATGGTCGCAAGCAGGGGAGGAGTGGGTGGGAAGACGAGGCGGAGGCACTCACTCGGCAGCCTCGCGCATGCCCTCGCCGCCCTGGCGGCCGGCACCGGCATCGACGCAGAAGACGAGCGCATCGGCATCGCCGACCTCCTTCTCGGCCAGGTGGCGCAGGCGCGCGTGTCCCGGCACATCGACGATCTGGGAGTTGCGGCCGTGGATGCGCGCCTCGCAGCGCGACGCCGCCTGCGACGGCGTCGAGTTGGGCACGGCGGCGCCGTCGTGCGCCAGGGCGTGCCACAGCGCCGTCTTGCCGGCGCCCGAGGGCCCCGCGAGCAGCAGATGTGGTGTGCGGCGCACGCGCGGCGCCGGCACGGCCTGCGGCGTCGCTGCGGGGCCGAGGCGCAGGAGCAGCAGCAGCGCGCCGGGCAGCAGGAAGAGGAGCGCCAGCAGCAGCGGCGCCGGCAGTGCGCCGAGCGGGCCGAGGAAGGGGCGCAGCGAGCGCAGCATGCCGTCGCTGTCGGGCAGCGTGACGGGCAGCGCGTCGGGCCAGCGCACGGCGGGCGTGAGGAAGGCCATGGCGGCGCGATGCGTGGTGGAGGAGGAGAGGAAGGCAGAGAGAGAGAGGGCGCGCGGTGGTGCTGCTGTCATGCGACGCGCGCTTGCGGTGGGACGAGCCGTGCGCGGCGCGCGACGGCGGCGAAGTGCGCGCCTCTTCGCGGCCTCGCGCTTTCGCCCCTTCTTCTTTGCCTTCACCTCTTGTGAGGCGCTTCACACGAGCTCAAGTGCGAATCAATACATTTGCGGTGCACCAGGCAGACGAGGTGGCAGGCAGTGCGGCGGCGACCAGTGTGGTGCCGGCGAGGAACGCCGCGCTTTCGGGTGAGGAGGGGCACAGGAAGAAGGAGGTGTACAAGATTGGCAGCGCGGCAGGGGCAGGGCAACGAGTTCAAGGAGCGAGAAATCGGAATAGGCGCAAGCGCGCAGAAGAGAGATGAAGCGAGACGCGCTCACGGCGTGATCGGGATGAAGGCACTCGCAGCAGCGAGGCCGCTCGACGTGTTGGGCGAGCCTTCGCCCTGGTTGACGAAGCTGTGGAAGGAGTAGATGAGCGGCGTGTGCATGAACGCAGCCCGAGGCAACTCACGCCTTTGCGAAGCGCAGCATGGAGCGGAAGTCTGGCGCGCCCGGCTGCTGCGACGGCTCGCCGGCGTCGTGCGAGCCCTCCTGCTCGGCCTCGCCGGGCGCGCGGCGCGGCAGCGGCACGCTCGACGACGAGGCGTGGCCGAGCAGCACGTGCGCCAGCCAGTAGAACGGCAGCGCATCGTCGCACAGCGGCGTGGCGCCCGAGGCCGTCTGCGAGGTGAAGACGATGCCCTCGCTGATGGGCCGTAGTGAGCCGGGAGGCGCATGCCCGGCCTTCTTGCGTCCGAGCGGGCCAGAGGCAACCAGGCAGAGCTCGTCGCTGTCCCAGGCGCTGCGCCAGCGCGCGAGGGCTGGGTAGCAACGGCCGTCAGTTCGGCGATGCTTTGCACAAGATACACGTTTCCACTCACCACGCTTGAAGACATCGACCTGAGCATCAAGGCCATCGCGGCCTCCGCTCGCTACGCTGCGCTGCTCAGCACCCTCCATCCACCGCTCGAGCGGCGAAGGTGTGGGCACCTTGGCGCTCCGGCCCTCGAGGAGATGCAGGATGCCACGCAGAAGAGCAACAACCACGACGAGGCGCGCAAAGGGGCCGTGCGGGCCAAAGATCGACGGGTGCGTCTTGCCTGGGCTGACGCCGGCCTCGCCGTCTCCTGCGAGAATGTCGAACAGGCTCTCGTCGAACGTCGGGCCGCGGTACGCATCCAGCTCGGCGCGCCACTTCTCGGCATATGGCGCGCGCCAGATGGTGTCGGGGCTCGGCAGCGGCATGTGGCCCAGCTCGTCGAGGCCGATGCGCAGCGGCGTGCCGGCATCCAGGCTGGCGACCGTGTCCATGACCATGATGAGGAAGGCCGTGCGCCGCCGGCTGGCCAGCTCGCTCCAGCGCCGCCAAACCTTCTCCTCGTCCGAGCAGCCCGGCAAGTACGTCGGCAGGAACGAATAACTAAACGCCAGACCCTGCGCCTCGCCGATTGTCGTGCGCAGCACGTCCTCCGGGCTGTAGTCGATGTCGCGCTGTGCGTGCGAGGCCTTGACGTCGAAGAAGCCGGCGTCGCGCGCCAGCGAAATGACCTTGCTGTGCGCACGAGCGGCCTCTGCGCGCGTGCGGGCGTCGGACGCCAGGAAGTTGTTGCCCTGAAAGAGCATGAGGGCCTGCACGACGGAGATGCGGTCCTTCTCCGTCTTGGCCTTGCCGGCGAAGTTGCGCATGAGCATGTCCGTCTTCTCCTGCATCACAACGGGCTTGACGAGCTCCTGTCCGTCTTCCTCATCGACGAGCGTCTTGCCTGGCGCGGCAGCAGCTGCACGTGTGAGGCGGTCTGGCGACGACGGCACATTCATGATGGCCGTCGGCCCGGCGCCCGTGTACGGCACCACCTCTTCGCCCGCCCACCACTTGCGTCCCGCCTCGTGGCAGCCGAGCATGCACGTGGCGAAAGCGAGACATCCTGGCGTCGTGTCGAGCCGGAACGTCGGCTCGTGCAGGATCGGGAAGTGCTTGAGCAGGTTCTGCTGCGAGCTGCAGAGGAGATAGGTTGTCAGTTGATGTGCCCGGGATGCATGCCGCGATGGTGCTCACTGCAGCGCCAGCATGCTCAGCCGGGTCAGCGGCGGGAGCGTCCAGTGCGGAATGGCGTAACAGGCGCGGAAGAGGTCCGGCGGGATGTAGAACGGGTTCTTGACGTCGCTGAACGCGCGCTCCAGCGTGATGCTCGACGGCGCTATGGTCTGCTGGCCCTGCGCATGCTGCTGGTGCTGCTGCTGTTGCTGCTGTGCCTGCGACGCGGCGGGTCCTTCCGACGCCGGCAGAGCCTGCTGCGGTGCTGTGCTAGCAGGGGCCATAGAGCCGCTGGTGCTGTCGGAGCCGAGTGTGGCGCCGGAGAAGTAGCTGCCGCCTTCGCCAGGCATGCCCACGGCGAACGTGTTGATGAGCTGCTGGATGCTCGGGCTCATGAGCCAGCCGAGGCTGCTGCCGCCAGCGCTCATCGGCGTGGCAGCGGGGTTGCCAAACCCGAGGCTGTCCCAGAGGGCCTGCGAGCCCGGTGACGGCGCAACGACAGCTTGCGACACGCTCAAGCCGCCGTTCGATGCGGGAACGCTGCTGAGCGGTGCGCCTGCAGCGTGACCGGCACCGCTCGACGTGCTCTCTGAGCCCGGCGCGCCACCACGAGTGCCCGCTGCGGACTCCTGCTGCCCACCTTGCAGCCTGAGCAGGAACACTTCCGGTCCCGGCGAGGTCTCTCGAGCGAAAGCCTCTGTGGGACCATCGACGGGCGCAGAGACAGTCAGGACGGCGCCCGGCGGAGAGGTCGCCGCCGCCGCCGTGAGGCTTGCAGCCGCCCGCTGGAGCTCGGCCGAAGAGACTGGGGCAGACGACGATGAGGATGCGGGCTCAGATGCCGGCACAGCATGCGCGACGCCGTTGTTGCGCAGCGAGCGCAGCGTCTCGAGAAGCTGTGCAGCATCGACGTCCATGCTTGAGGGCTCCTCCTGGCTGCTTGGCGCCGTGCGCGCTTCGTCGTCGTCGCCGCGCTTGCGCTTGCCGGATGGCGTTGTGGTGCCTGCCGCGTGGGCACTGCCGCTGCCGCGGCGCTGGCTGCCGGCGGCCGTGGCACCCGATTGGCTGGCCGGCTTCGACGGCGGCCGCATCGTCCAGTCGAAGACGTTCGCGCTGCCGGTGCCTCCAGGCGTGCCAGGTCCGCGACTAGGCGAGGAGACCAGCGGCGTGTCGCGCGCATTTGAGAAGGCGGACAGATACGGGCTCATGCTGCTCGTCAGTGCGATGGAGCTGAACGGCGACAGAGGGCCAGTAACGCTGCTGAAGCGCTGCGGCTCGCCTCGTGTGCTGCCTCCCGGCGCCGGCGCAGGCGGCGGAGGCTGTCCGTCATCGCTCATAGGGTAGCCTGCTGCACCGCCTCGCAGGCCATCCGCAGAGCTGCCTGAGCCATACTCGCCGGGTGCAGGGTAGGAGAACGCAGGGTTCTGGCCCGGCGCATTTGGCGCGAAGCCAGGCATGCCCACGCTGGCGCCGTTTGTTGAGGCTCTGCTGCGGCTTGACGAGGCGGACGAGGCCGCCGAGTGGCCCGCTGCTGCATTGCGCGCCGCCTCGGCCTTGGCCGAGAGATCGAGCGCCTCCCAGAACTCTGCGCCGTACGCCGGTGCGCTGCCATTGCTGTTGCCGCCCGCAGCGCGCGCGAGCTGATCCAGCGACGACGTTCCCTTGCGCAGACTGAAGCGGCTGCCCGATCCGACTCGGGACATGTCGCGTGCGGCGAAGCGCGGCGACGACGTCGTGCTGTTCAAGCTGGCGCTCGACTCGGGGCTGGCAGGGTACGCATGCTGCGAGGCGTACGCATTGAGCGCCGACACCTGTGCGTGCAGGGGAGCCGAGACGTCGATGCCGCTGGTGTATGCGTGCGCCGGGCCGCGTGCGTCGCCAAAGCCAACAGGCCCGCCAGCACTGCCGCTGCTACCTCCGACACTGTCTGCCGGTGCGAAGAGAACAGGCGGCATCAGGGCCGCTGGGCCGACGCCGCCGTATGGGTAGCCGGCGCTGCTGCCGTGTGCTGCGCCCGAGCTGCCGTCCATATGTGCCTGCATGTGCGAGTGCGCTGGCGGCTCGCGTGGCGCAACCTCGCCCTCGTCGCCGCTATGGCTTTCGCGCGAGGTCCGCGCCATCGCCGCGGTTGCCGAGCGCTGCGTGATGCTGTCGCGCGAGCCAGAAGGACTGCCGAGTCTGCCCTCTGCGTGGCCATTGCCATTGTTCTGCGCGCCGCTGGCTCGCTTGCGAGAGCTGCCGCCCGACTTGCGCGGCTTGGATGCGGGCTTGGGAGGAGCGCTCACTTCGATGTCGCCAGGCTCGGCTTGACCCAATGCCACGGGACACTGCCGCTTGTGACGCGAGAGCACGTCGCTGGAAAGCAGAGCGCGGTGAGTCTTTGGCGCTTTCTTTGCAAGGCCGCGCTAGGTAGCTCACCTGCGCGAGAAGCTCTTGGTGCATTCGCACACGAACGGTCTGATGTCGGCATCTGCACGAGGTCCAGCGTCAGTCCCGTCACCGCAGCCGGCCGGTGCCGACAGTCAAGGCACGCCCTTGCGCTTCCTCTGCCTGGATGCATCTGCAGCGTGCGCGAAGCTCCGCTGCCTACTCACGTCGGCGTTCATGTCTGCGCAGGTACTCGAGACGCGAGTAGCTCGTGCTGCACGTCGGACAGATGTACGGCGGGCCGGCAGGCGTCGGCGCATCCGACGCGGAGCCCGTTGCCTGCTCTGTCTTGACAGCGGCAGCGGCCGAGGCGCGCTTGCTCTGCTTGCGTGGAGGAGCACCGTCGCCGCGCGCCGGCCGCGCCGTCGAGGCGCTGTGGCCAGTGCTGCTGGACGGCGACGAGCCATTCTCGCCGTCATCCGCGCCTGGCGATGCTCCGCCAGCCGGCGGCGGCGGCGGAGGAGGCATGGCAATGTCGGCCATGTCGCAACGCGCAAAGACGCCGGACGACGGGCAATGGGCTGCTACGGCTCTACCGCCTGCGCCTGCGCCAAGTCAAGCGAGGCACGAACAGCAGAGAGACGCGGCTAGAGTGTGCGCCGGCGAGAGGTGTAGGAATGGACGGGCACGCGGAGTGCGAGAGACGACGAGACGCGACGCTGCCAGACGGCAGAGAGCCGGGCCCGTTGACGAGTGCGCCGGTGCGCTGTCGTCGTCTGGCAGGGGTCCGGATATGCGGGTGCGGGTCTGCGCGGCTGGTGCTGGGCGCGCGCGAGGGTGCTGCTGCTGCCTGCGGGTGCTGCTGCGTCTGCCGCTGGTGGAGGGAGGGAGAGGCGTGTGAAGGTGGAGGAGGACGCGCGCCGCGCCGGAGCGGCCACCTCACGCTGCAAGCCGCCGCCGCGCGCCGCGCCAGCAAAAGGCGCGCCGCGGCCGCACCCGCGAGCCGCGAGCTTCATCCACGCGCGCCGCCTAAGCCTCAGCAGCGCACGCAGCGGCAGCAAGAAGGCTCAGCGGCGCGCAGAGCGCCATCAGCCGAGGAGCCTCTCTCGAGCTGAAGCTGCCAGCCATCTCGTCGCGGCAGGCCGCGGCAGTGCCGGGACGCAGCCGCGGCAGCGTCGACGCGGCACATGGGCAGTGTGCCGCCCGCTAACGCAAGACACTCATCGGCTGCCTGGCGCGCGGCGATAGCGACTCCCGCGCAGCCATCTGCGGCCGCATCGCCATTTCCGCCGCCGCGGCCTGACAGAGGCCACGCCGCCAGCCCATAGAAAGGCAGCGCTCGACAGCAGTCAGAGTCCGAGTAGAGCATGCTTGGGAGGCAGGCAACACGTGCAGAGAAGCGCTCTCAGCATCAGCGCATCCGCCTATCATCGCCAGCGAGATGGCGGTTCAGCGTTTGCGGCGTGCCGGCGTGGTCGCACGCCTCACGCCCGCAGATGCAGCTGCACCCTTGCTCCGACAGGCCTCCGCCGCAGGCTGCGCTTTGAGAGCGCCCCGTCCAAGGCCCTCCTCTGCACTGACCTCTGCCTGATCCTTCCAGCAGCGCCCGGCATCAGGCTCTGACCTCGAGGCTCTCACGCACGCAGCTCTGTCAGCCGCAGCGGCGCGGCCGCGGTGCCGATGCGCTCCCGCTGCGCCCGAGCCATCGCATGACAGCTGCTGCGGCGCCTGTCAGGTGCCCAGCCAGCCAGATCTGCGCGTGCCGTACCACGAGCCTGGGCCAGCGAGCGGCATCACCGCAGGCGCACGGCTGCGACCTAGCAATCGCTCACGCTCTGGGGTGCTTCGATATTCCTTCTTTGCATTGGCTTTCCGCCGGCGCCGGCGCCGCCGCGGTTCATGGTGACGAGGAGAAGCGGGGCATGGGTCACAGGATGAGCTGCGCGGGTGGGGAACGGCGGGCACACGCCGATGCAGGACGGCGAGCGCGTACGCAACGGTGACGGTTTACTCGACGCCCTCCATCTCCATCTCGATGCCGGCGCCCAGGCCGTCCTCGCCGGCCTCGCGCTCGGCGACGGGCGGGCTGTCAGCCTCTTCCTCGTCGTCCTCCTCGACCTCGTCGCGCGTGCGCTCAGCGCTCTCGTCGAGACGCAGCGGCTTCACATCGCCGTTGGCCCGGGCGGCGCTGGTGCCGTTCGAACCGACGCCGGGCGTGGCGGACGTGCGTGCAGCGCCAGCGCGCGGGCCGCCGATGTTGAGCGACGTGAGCGCGTTGAGCGGCGAGAGCGTCGCGCTGGCGTTGCTGTTGCTGTGCGCGCGGCCCGTGCTGCGCGGCGCACCCAGCGACGACGGCGTCAGGTGGCGCTCCGTGAAGGGCGACGGCGACTCGGCCTTGCGCGAGGCCTTTTGCGCAAGCAGCTGGTCGAAGTTGAGCTTGTCCGAGCCCAGCAGGCCAGAGCTGGGAGGTGAGACAGCCGCCTGAGGGAGAAGCACAGGTCAGCAGCAGGAAGCAACACACAGCCAGCACTGGCACTGACCGGCCAGAGCGCCTTCTCCTCGGGCAGCGAGCGCGCGTGGCAGTCCATGCCGACAAGGATGGCGGCCGCCTCGAGGAGCTGCACCTGCTGGTGCTTGCTCATGAGGAACTTGGATGCCTCCTTCCAGTACACCGTGTGTTCCTGGAGCACATGATGCCGTCAGCGAAGCATGCGGGCGCTCGATGCGATCGAGACTCACCCAGCGGTGCTTGACCAGACAGCTGGGGTGGCGGTACACCTTGGCACAGCTCTCGCACTTGTGCAGCTGCTGGTGCGACTGCTGCGAGGTCGGCTGCTGCGCCGGCGCGCTCTTGGCGTTCGCCTCGCCGACCACCGACATGTCATCGTCGGTGGCCGTCGACTCTGCGGCCGAGGGGCGGCGCACGTAGGCAGGCGGCGCAGCACCGCGGCTGCCCGGCGAGAGCAGCGCCGCGGGCGGCGAGAGCGGCGTCTCGCCCGGCGTGGGGCCGTAGCACTCCTGGCCGAAGTGCGTGTGCGAGGCGGTGCGCTCCTGCTTGATGTGCGCGGCTGCACCGCCGCCGTTGGGCACGCTGGCGCCATAGGCCGAGGGCGTGCGTCCGAGGTGCGGCATGCCGGGCGTGCTCAGCGACGAGGAGAGCGAGAGGGCCTCACCTGCAGCGCCGAGACTCGTCGAGAAGGCCTCGCTGCCACCGCCCATGCCGCCAGGGCCGCCGCGCGCCGGAATGTTCATGCGGCTGGCGAGGCTGAAGGCGGAGCCGTGGCCGAGGCCTCCGCCGGCGCCGGCGGCCGCAGCGGTGCTTTCCGACACCTTGCGGCGCATCTGCCCGCCGATGGACTCGCGTCGCCGGCCCTTGGTGGGCACCGACGACGGCGCAGACGCGGGCAGCTCATCGAGCGCGCTGGGGCTGCCCAGCGCGCCCGCGGGCCCGAGCAGCGGGCTGCGGGCCGACGAGATGGACACGCCTACGCCGGCCGAGAACGACGGCGTCGAGCCCGGCGCGGCAAAGTAGCCCTTTGGCGGCGGCGCGAAGCCATGGCGCGGCACTGCGCTCTTGACATACGTCTGGAGCAGACGGACGTCAGCGGTCGGCCAGCTGCAGCCCGCAGCGGCGTTGCGGCCGCCAAGGCTGGCACTGCCGCGGCTGCCCGGGCCGGCGCTCCTGCTGCTGCACTCACTGCCGTCGCGCCGCCGGGGCCGCCTTGCTCGTAGGAACTCATGCGGGGCGAGCCGCAGCCTCCTGTCTCTCACCAGTCCGCGAGCGGTGCGGAGCGGGAGAGGATGAAGAAGCGGAGCACCAGTAGCGAACAGAGGTGAGGGTGCGGGAGGGCAAGAACGGCGGGCCGTGGTCGTTGGCTGCAGAACAGGATAGACTGGGCACCTGTGCTGGAAGCTGAGGGGGTGTGCGGTCAGCACGAGCCTCAGGAGCACAGCAGCGTGCCGGGCCGCGCAGACAGGGCCGGCCGAGACCCAGACGCAGAGCCGGAGCTGCTGCTATCGTGCGGTGTGCGCCAGTCCAGAGCTCGCTGCGCCCCGACGGCGCCCCGAGGCTGCGAGCGCTCTGGGACCTGCGTCGGGCGGCGCCGCGCGTGGCTTGCATGCCCCTGAGCGCGCCGGGCGCCGAGCCGAGCCACTCACCCTCGCACGACCTGCGCTCTGGGCACAGAGGCGGAACGACGGAGCGGCGCGGGAAAGGAGCGAGGGCACGGAGCACACGCGAGGTGCTGCGACGTGTGTGTGTGTGTGTGGGTGTGCGGGTGAGTGATGGGGTCGGGACGGAGGAGCGAGCGGACAGGGCGGACAGCTGCGGCCGGCGCTCGCCAAATCTTGAGAGGCGCGGGAGCAGCGCCCGGCCGGACAGCAGCGGCGGCAGCAGCAGGCAGGGGCAGCGCGAGGCACGGCGCCGGCGCGGCGCGGGTCCACACGCGAAGCCTCGGCCGCCTTCGATCACCGCCCGCCGCCTCTCCTTCGCCCGGCCCGGCGTGCTGCCCGCGCCGCCGCTGCCAGCAGACCTCGCACCGCCCAACACTCGGCCCTCGAGAGTGCGGAGGAGCAGGCCGACTGTAATCGCCGCAGCGTTCGCACTCCCGATCTATAAGGAGCGACAGCTGCGGCACGCTCGCCTCCTGAGCGCGTGATCGTGCTGCCGGCCGATGGCGCAAGCCTCTTGTCCGCGCGAGGCCGGCCGCGAGCACTTTTTTTTCGCGCCGCGAGCCCGCCTTCGCCCCACGCACGATCTGCGCCTCGCCTCGCCTCGCCGTCGCAGCGCCGACCCCCTGGCGGCTGCAGGTGCTGCCCGGCGTGCATGAAGGTGCAGCTGCGGCGTCGAGGCTGCCTCTCCTCCGCTTCGCCAGAGAGCGGCAGGCCTTGTCCTCAAAAGGGCGCAGCCAAGCAGAGGTCGCTCGCCGAGCGGCCCAAGCCCCGCACGCGGCGCGCGTGACCGCGGCGGTGCGGCCCGGCGCGGCGGCAGCGTGTGAGCGAGGCACGCCGACAGCGCGGCGCCGTGCCTTGCTGCTGAGCGGCTGCTGTCGCGCCGGCGCTGGGCGTGGGACGCCGCTGCGCTGGACCCTAAGTGCCGCAGCAGCCTGGCTCTCCGCTCTCAGCAAGCAGCCAGGCAGCCCTTCAGAATCGCTGCGAGGTGCGGCTGGGCGTGTCTGCATGCGCTGGCAGCTGCCGCAGCGCCTACCCCGCTCTCCACGGCGTGCCTGCGAGGTGCTGCGGCACAGCCGTCATGCGCAGGCTAGCGATGGGGCAAGCACAGCCTCAAGGCGCATGGGAATTTCAGAGCTCTGCTGCGGCGGCGCGGCGCCGCGGAGCCTTTTTCTCGGCCGCAAGGCGCGCTTGAGCTCTTCGGCCGGACCCGCAGCCAACGCTGGCCCGCTCTCATGTGGACACTAGACTCACCATGGCCTCTGCTGCGACAGCAAGACGTTGGCTTGACAAGCTGCTGCAAGCAGGCAGATGTGTGGGGTCAGGTCGCCGGCTGGCGGCAGCAAACGCCGAGCGGGAGCGCTGCGGAAAGATCTTGATGCAAGCTGCAGGAACGGCGATGGCCGATGCGCCGCGGACGCCGTGGACAGCGAGGCGCAGCGCAGGTGCCACGTCGACACCTCCAGTCTGCCCGATGATCGCCCGAGCACCTCCGTCCCGCCCTCTTGAGCACATCGCGCTGGCTCCGGAGAGCCTTGCAGCGGCGGTCGCAGGCTCAAAAGCAAGCAAAGGGCGCACCAGGAAGCTCAGCCGGCTCGGTGGGCTTTAGAGGCGTGCTCCCACGCTCTGGCCCAACCCGGATGCACCAATCCACAGCTTCGCTAGGCTGCTCGTTAGACGATCTTATCGCTTGTCGCCGCTCACGCCTCTCGCTCATTTCAGTGACAGTTGCATTGCGCGCCCGGGCAAGCGTCTAGATCTCGCCGGCATCGCGGGCCGCCTGCCACTCCTGGTGCAGCTTGACCTGCCGCTCCAGCTCCTTCTCGCAGTTCTTGCGGCGCTTCTTGGCCACCTCCTCGCCGTCCCTCATGGTGAGCGGGAGGCCGCGCTCGTCCCAGCTGCCGTACTCGTCGGTGCGGAAGAGCTCGCTCGGCGGCACGCTGCCCTTCTGCAGCTTCTCGATGCGTGCGGCGCGAGCCTTCTCGGCCGCCTCGGCCTTGCGCGCCGCCTTCTCGGCCTGCTGCGCCTCCTTCTCGGCGCGCGCGGCCTGCAGCTGCGCCGCCGGCACGAGCTTGAGCATCGCCTGCCCAGACTCGTTGTCCTCCATCGCGACGCCGAGGTCGACCATGTCGATGTCGCGCAGACGGTCGGCCAGCTTCAGCAGCTCGGTGTGCGGCGCGCCCTCGCGCGCCAGCGCGCGCACGGCGTCGCGGAAGTTGGACAGCGCCTTGAGGTACGGCATCACGACCTCTTCCCGCTGTGAGCAGCTGTCAGCATCGGCTCGCCCGCGACACGCAGGCACACTCACATCGCCGCCGCCGCTCGCGTCGCCCGCGACCGCCTCCTCGCCCCAGCCGAGGTCGCCTTCCCGCACTGGGCCCTCGCCCAGGCCAAAGACGCGCAGCATGTCGCCGACCCAGCGCGCGACGGCAACGAGCACGGCAATGTTGAGCACGCCCTTGGACGCTGCGCGCTCGTAAACGTTGGCCTTCGACACGAGATCGAGCAGCACGCTCATGCCGCGCGGCGTGTCGAACGAGTCGCACATGGCGCGCCGGAAGGCCAGCTGTGCATCCTGCAGCGCCGTGAAGAGCTGCGCCTCGGCCGTGCCGTAATGGTGGTTGCCGTCCGACCATGCCTCGCCGCGTGCCCGGTCCTCGCGCACGTGGCTGCGCACCGAGGCAAAGAAGTTCTGTGAATGGCGTCAGCTCCATCTGCGGAACCCCTCTCAGCACGACCCACGTTGAGCGTGCTCTCCACACCCTTGACCTCGGCCATCGCGCTCTCGCGGAAGTCCATCTTGGCACTCCAGCTCTGCAGCAGGAAGGCCAGGCGCAGGCGGCGCGGCGAGAAGCGCTGCAGTGCCTCGTCGATGGAGATGAAGTTCTTGAGCGACTTGGACATCTTGAGGCCCTCGATGTGCAGGTGGCCCGTGTGCAGGAAGTAGTTGATCCACTGCCCACACTGGTGGAACGCCTCGCTCTGCGCCAGCTCGTTGTCGTGGTGCGGGAACATGAGGTCCACGCCGCCCGAGTGAATGTCGATCTGCTTGCCGAGAATCTCGCTCGCCATGACACTGCACTCAATGTGCCAGCCTGGCCGGCCGGGACCCCACGGCGAATCCCATGCCGGCTCGCCGGGCTTCGACGTCTTCCACAGCGCAAAGTCGGACGGGCCGCGCTTGCCTGCCACAGTGGAGGCTCCGGTCGAAAGAGAGCCTGGAACGTACATGTCAGCAGCAGAGCGGGATATGCTTGTACGCGCGACTCACCCTCGCCTTCCTCCAGCAGCGACGTGTCGCCCTTGCTCCAGGGCGCGAGCTTGGCATAGCTGTGCGCTTCAGCCTCGCCGCTCTTCTTGCCGCCGTCGAAGGCACGCGTGTCGAACCAGACGTTCATCTTGCCGTTGCCCGGGCTCGGGTCCTCGTACGCGTAGCCGTTCTCCACGATCTTCTGCGTGAAGGTGACAATCTCGGGCACGTACTCGGTGACGCGTGTCGAGAGCGTCGGCCGCTCGACGTGCAGGCGGGCCATGTCGTCGTAGAAGCGCGCCTCCCAGTACGCAGCCAGCTTGCGGAACACTGACGGGTCCGTCACGGTGTGGCCGAGCGAGGCATCGAGATGCGGCGCAAGCACATCGGCAGATGCGTCGACCAGCTGGGCCGCCAGTGCCGCATCTTTCGAGCCGCCTGCAACGGCCATGGCAGCAGCAACCTGCGCCTGACGCGAGGAGTTCTGTCGAGACGATGCGGGTCAGACACGCTCTTCGCAGCGGACAGAGAGCACCGGGGCCGCTCGAGAGGAGCTGTCTGACCTCTGCAGCACTCACAAGGGCGTTGAACCACATGGCCGCCTTCGGCTCCGCCTCGACCACCTTTGCCTTCCACGCAGCGTCCGTCTGCCACAGCCGCACGACTTCTTCCCAGCGCGCCTCGTCCGAAGGTGCCTGCTCCTGTGCCGCAGGCGGCGGCGCGAAACGCGAGAGAGTGCGGCCGAAGTATACACCCCATGCCTCGCGGACCGTGTCGAGCAGCTCGCGGCTCGGCACGGCGTGCTGCCCGCGGAACTGCTGCACGAGATAAGCGTGACGCGCGCCGATGATGATCTTGTCGTCGATGTCCGTCACGTTCTGGATCAGCGTCACGTCGTAGGAGAAGTAGTCGCGCAGCAGGCGGCGGATGATGTCCTGTGTCACGTAGTTGCTGCGAAGCGCAGGTGAGTCACACGAGCATCGCACACTAGAGGTTCGTGCCGCTCCGACTCACCGGGCGTGGCCCATGTGGCTGGCATCATACACCGTCGGGCCGCAGTTGTACCACGTCACGCTGCGCCCGCGCATCGGCACAAAGGGCACCTTTGAGCGCGTGAGCGAGTTGTACACGTGCAGCACGGGCTTGGCGTCGGCGGGCGCCGGCGAGGGTGCCGTCCATGGCGGCTGCGTGACGCGCGGCGCGGCGGCGCCGGCAGCCGCGGCGGGCGCGGCGGCGGACTGCGACATGTGCAGGAGGGCGCAGCTGACGTGCGAGCGCGAGGTGAAGGCAGGTGCCGGGCGCAGGAGGCGCGGGTGCGAGAGGCGCGGGACGAGGAGCGGCGAGAGGCGGAGGAGCAGGCGGGGCATGCGCTGCGCGGCGGGCTGAGCGGTGCGCCGAGAGCCGAGAGGCGCGAGCGGCGGCGGGTGTGCAGCGAGGGTGTGGGTGCTGCGGTCGCGGCTGGTGGTGGTGCGGAGCGAAGCAGAGTGAGGGGCCCAGAGAAGCAGCGGGAGCACAGATCTGGCGCGGGAAGGAAGCGCGGGAACAGCTGCTGGAATGCGCCCGTGCAGCAGACAGCGGCGAGCCGCGGCAAAACAAGCCACGCCGCCTCGAGCTCGAGGCGCCCTCTCGGCACCGAGCCAAGCTCGCTGTGGCTGCCGCCTGGGCGCTCGTCGGGGGCAACGTCGTTCCCAGAACGCAGCGACACCTGCAGGCTGCTCGTGCTCGACAACCACAGAGAGGACGCTCGCAGTCAGGGTCCGTGGGCGATAAGAGCGTCGCATGAAGATGGCAGCCGGCGTCTGCGCACGGCGAGCGGATTTGCTTTTGGCAGCGCGCAGCGCACGGGCCGATGCTCACGGGCGCACCAACGGGCCTCGACGGCTTGTCTCTCCACCATCATCATCACTGCAAGGGCGTCCGTCGCGGCTGCTTCAGCCAGATCCTGCCGCCGCAACAAGCTGCGTCTGCGCCGCACACGACAGCGGAGCCTCGCGAGAACGCTCTCGCCGCCGCTCCCGCCGCGCCGCGCGGCGCGGGCCCCTGGCCGAGCGCTCGAGCGCCTAGGGGTGCGCGCGGGGTACACAGCCTCGATCCAGGCCTCGGAGAAGAGCTGGCCCGCAGCTTTCGGCCCGGAGTAGACGCCATACATTGCCGGCTGGCTGCCGTGCGGGCTCAGCAAGGCGATGTCAGATGAGGGCTCGAGACGGGCGGCGGCAGCCTCGCCTAGCGACCATACACGACACTCCGGCAGGGCTCCCAATATGCCGCAACGACCACGTCTCGCCCGCCCAGATGCCGCGAGCGGCAGCCGCTCGTCCAGAGACGCGGACGAAGAGGTTGTCCCGATGTCAGAGCGGCGCATCCATGCTCTCACATGCGACGAGGAAGACGAGGAGGAAGCTGCAGCAGATGCGCTGGACGAGCAGGGCTCAGTCATCGGAGATGAGGGTTCAGAAGAAAGGAGGAGCGCCTCGGACACCGGCGCTGTCTTGGTGCGCGACTACGCCAAGCCGCTGAGAAGGCGAAAGCCTGCCCTGTCGCCCATCAAGATCCCCGTCGAACGCACCGTCAGCTTCCACGCATCGACCCAGCCCGACTCGCGTGCCGGGCCCGAGGCCAGCGCCGACACGGACGACGATGACAGCTGGGATACCAGATCAACCACAACGGCCATGTCGAGCAGCACAAGCTACCAGGCCAGCTTCCTGCCGTCGTCGCTTGCACGTCGTGAGAACGAGCGGCGCGAGGCTGCACGCATGACGGAGCACGACGAGACGCTGCAGATCAACACCTACCGCCGTACGCCGCTGATCACGGGTGCACTAGCGCCGTTCAGCATCATGCTTGAGATTCCAGGCATCGTGAGGGTCTTAGCTGCACTGCTGTGCGCTCGCTGCTGACCCCAGTGCCTTGCAGACCGGTCGCTGGTATGTGCGCACCGGTCCGGACCGCAGACCTGTCGCCTACCGCAGCAACCCGGTGATCCTGGACGTCGGCCTTGCCATTTCGATCTCGGTTGCTGTCATAGCCAACTTTGCGATCGTCGGCCGCTTCCTGGAGCGGCTCTCTCCTGGCAGGTGTGTAAGAGCGGCCCTGTGACGGTGATTGAGCTGATGTGACATTCACAGTGCCACGACGCTTGCGATCGTCTGCTTCTGCGTTCATGACGCGATCAACATCGTTGCCCTGACGATCTTTGGAGTGGTGCACGCCGTCGACGACGGCTTCACGTATGCCGAGTCGTACTGGATGACCGCCGCTGCGACAGGTGCGGGCGCCCGGGCGCCACTGTGCGGGCCTGACTGACGCTCTCGCCCGCAGTGGCGTCGTGCCTCTGCACCTTTACTCTTGTGTGGGACTTTGTCAAGACAAAACGCTTCCGCCAGTCGGGCAGCGGCCTGACACGCAAGCAGAGCCGCCTCGTGCTTGTCATCATGTTTTTCCTCTGCTACCTCAGCCTTTCTTCGCTCTTCTTTGCGCTGGCGCACGACCCGTCGCTGCCCTTCCTCGACAGCGTCTACTTCACGATTCTGAGCTACGCGACTGTAGGCCTGGGCGACATCCTGCCCAACACCGTCGCAGCCAAGATCCTGCTCATCTGCTTGGCGCCCGGCGGCATCGTGCTGCTCGGTATCGTCATTGCCACGGCACGCGACACGATGCTCGAAGAGTTCGAGCTCAGCTACAAGCGACGGCGCATGGCGTTCAAGAGCGCCCTCGCCGAGCGCTCTGCTCAGCGCCGCGAACAACGCCGCCTCGGCCGCGCACTGCGCAAGGCTGGCCGAGGCGACGCACGTTCGGCGGTGGGGGCTAGACAGCAGCAGGAACCGCAGCAGCCGACATCTGGCTTCGCACCATTCCGCACGCTCAGTCGAGCATTCACTGCGACGAGCTTGGCGCTCCCTCGCACCGACACAGAGAAGACCGCCACCGACGACCGGTGTCCGGCGCCAGATGTCCTTGAGCAGGCCCGCTGCAACTCTCCCGAAGACTTGGAGAGCGACCCGCCGAGCGTGGACATCGAGAAGGCCGCGCCAGACGCTGCGATTGGCGCAGAGCCCGACACTGGGCGCACCATGGTGGAGGAAGTGGCCGAGATGGAGGACTATCTGCGCGACCGCCGACGACAGCTCGATGAGAACTGGAAGGACTTCCGGCGCGACCTCGAGCTCTCCGAGAAGCGCGAGTTCTGGCTCAAGCTGCTCGGCAGTGCCAGCCTCTTCGTCGCCTTCTGGCTCGTCGGTGCAGCCGTCTTCTCGGCCATCGAGAGCTGGTCGTTCTTCGACAGTCTGTACTTCGCGTTCGTGTTCAGCTCGACGATGTGAGTTGCGTGCTGCGCGAGGCCGTGATGCACTGATCGCTGACGCCGCCTCCCGCAGAGGATATGGGTCAGTTGCGGGCTGCAGCTGCTAACGTTATGCCGCTGACAAAGAGACGTCCACAGAGACTTCGCTCCTCGGACGCCCGCTGGAAGGTGTGTCTGCCGCGAAGGTCGACCTAGGCTCTGCCGCTGACCATGCGATCGCAGGGCTTTCTTCATCGTATGGTCGCTCGTGGGCATCGTGCGTGGCTGTCCGCCTAGTCTGCTTCGCTTGATGAATGCACGGGCTGACCTCGCTCGCAGGGCATCCTCACTGTGCTCTTCGCCGTGCTCACTGATGCATGGAGCAACGTGGCGCTGCGGCGCGGCCGCAAGCGCAGCCTCAAGCCGACCAGCTTCAGCATGACTGTGCGCAACTGGCTCAAGCGGAAGAAGCCCGGTCCGCCGGCACCGGACGCAGCCGACGAGAGCGCGCCGGCTCAGGCTGGTGAGTGCGGTGCGGCTTTGTCTCTGGAATGTACTGAGCCGCAATGCCTACAGGCGATGCCAAGCGGTCACCATCGCCGGACCAACGACTGGCGCCCGACGCGCCTGAGGACGACAGAGGCGACACCAGACCCGCGTCGCCTGCTCTCTCAGAGATCGGAGAGAGCACCACTGCACCGGAGGAGCTGCCGGTCGAGCTCGCGCGCTCTGCTCTGACCGTGCATCGGCTGGCCTCGCACATGATGCGCGAGAGTCTGCGCAAGCACATCTCGCGCGCATCGCCCGAGGCATCCGCCTCGCTGTGGAATGTCGAGGGCCGGCTGCGGCAGCGCCGCAACGACCATCCCGAGGGACGCACGCGCATCCGCGAGGACGAAAAGGCCGCGCTGCGACAGGCGGCCGAGGGCGAGGGCGTGCTGGAGGATGCCGTCGAAGCGTTCATCGAGGTCTTTGCGCTGGAGGAGCACCTGCATGAGCTCCTGGCCGTGGCGTCGTCGCTGGGAGAGCACCTAGCCGAGCTGCACGAGCTGCGACGCGATGCGGCGCAGCGCGCCGAGGACCAACCAGAGCCAAGTCAGGATGCTCACGAGGCAAGCACCGAGGACGCTGCGCCTCTCGAGCGAATTGGAGAAGCAAACGCAAGCTGAGCCGCACCACACTGTATCTATACCCCCTTCGCGACTGGTAACAAGACACTCTCATTGCCACACACGACACGCCGGCACAGTCGCATAGATGCGTGAAACGCCCGCAACGTCAGCTGTGCGCGGCTCATCGCTGTCATACCTGTTGGTGTTGAGGTGTTGAGACGCATGCGGGGGGAAGAAGGAGAGGTGTCATCTAGGATGCCTAGCTCCTCCGCAGGTGGGCGGACGACGCGGCTTCGGTCAACACTCGCCGAGGATAGTGCTTGCGATGGCATCGACTTGCGCTTGTCAAGCAGCTCTGCGAAGCGGTGCGGCGCGAATTCCGAGCCGAAGTCGGAGCTTGCAGGCGCGGGAAGCGAGGAGATGGACGCGAAAGATGCTGGGACACTGGCGAGCGACGCATCTGGAGCGGAGACTCCCGTCATCGCTGCTGCCGACATCCAGAGATCGGCATCGGAGAGCATGGCTTGCGCTTGCACCTCTGGCAGCGCGTCGAGATAGGCCATGTCGTCTGCATCGAGCGCGGAGCGGGAAGACGAGGCTTCGCTTTGCGAGCTGCTCGTTCCGTAGGTCTGCGATACGATTTGCGCAGGCCGAGAGGCTTGTGCGCTAAGCAGCGGCGCAGCGTTCGTAGGGTCACCGCTGCGACGCCGCTTGTTGGCGCCTGCGGGAGCAGCCATGGCGCTGTAGTCGACCGAGAGAGGCGGCCAGGCGACCTGCGGCGAGGCGGCGCCATCGCTCGGCTGCCCAGCGTCTGCCGGCGCCTTGCGCGTGCCTGCGCCCGCTAGCAGCGCATCAACCTGCCGCCGAATGTCGAGCAAGCCATCGGCCAGGCACTCGCGACGCTCGCGCTCGCGCACGGCAGCCTGCTCGAGCCCCTCGCCGGCGCCCACGGCGGCGCGCCACACGGCCAGCTGGGCCTCGGCGGCGGCAAGCTGGCGTTGCAGCGCGCGCGTCAGCTGGCGCTCGGCGTCAAAGTCGGCCTCGAGCGTGGCGACGCGGTGCGCCAGCTCGTCGGTGTGCTGCTTGCGCCGCAGCCGCAGCGCGGCCTGTGCGGCCGCGTTGCGCGAGCGCTGCTGGCGCGGCGACGTGGCGCCTTCGGACGGCGCCTCGTCGCTGCGAGGCGACGGCGACATGGCGTGCGCAGAAGTAGGGGGTGCTGAGTGCAGAGGTGGGTGAGGTGGTGCTCGATGCACAGGCAGTGCAGGTGGCGGTGGTGGGAGAGCGGAGTGACGAGCTGTTCGCACGCCTGCCAGCCGGGCGGAGCAAACCGCCGGCGCGCCTTGAGCTGGCAGAGGAGTCGCGAGCCCGGCATCGGGGCGGCAGCACGTGTCCGCTCCGGACTGCTCCCACGCCTCCACTCAGTGCCGCAGAGCCGCCGGCCCAGCAGCCGCCGGTGCAACTCTCGCACCTACGCTCCTTGCCCGCACTCCACCACACCCTCAACATGTCCGTGCCCAAGACGATGAAGGCCGTGCAGGTGCGCGGCGGCAAGGGCGCGTCGGACAAGCTCTTCCTCGACGACGTCGACGTGCCGCAGCTGCGCGACGGCGAGGTGCTCGTGCGCGTCCTCACCGCCGGCGTCAACCGCATGGACTGCCTCGAGCGCGAGGGCCAGTACCCCGTGCCGGCGCACTCCAACGGCATCATGGGTGTCGAGTATGCCGGCAAGGTCGTCGCCAGCAACGCAAGCGACGGACCCAAGGTCGGCGACGAGTGAGCAGACTCGAGCCGCGCTGCCTTGCGCTCTGATTGACCGAGGACCCGCGCTCAGGGTCTTTGGCCTGACGGTCGGCGGCTGCTACGCCGAGTATGTCGCCGCGCCTGCATCGATGCTGCTGCAGAAGCCTGCGGAGCTCTCGTTCGAAGAGTGTGCAGCTGTGCCTGAAGTGTCAGTGCACTCTTCGCGCTCTCACACTACCTTGCTCATCGTTCCGACTGCAGCTGGCTCACCGCCTACCAGGCGCTTTTCTGGCTCAACGACCTCAAGAAGGGCGAAGATGTGCTCGTTCACGCCGGCGCCAGCTCCGTCGGTCTGGCGGCCGTGCAGCTGGCGCGGCGTCACGGCGCACGCAACATCTACGTCACTGCCGGCTCGCCGGAGAAGATCGAGACGTGCAAGAGCGTCGGCGCCACCGACGGCATCAACTACAAGGACGGCGACTGGGCGGAGAAGGTGAGCTGCTCGGGTGATGCCATGCGCTAACGACTGCTCATCACCTGCACCGCAGCTCAAGAGCCTCACTGGTGATGGCGGCGTGGACGTGATCCTGGACGTGAGCGTCTGCCACGGGGCTGCCTCATCGCTGTACTAATCGTCGCCGCGTAACAGTTCCTCGGCGCCTCTTACTTTGCCCAAAATCTCGCCTCGCTCAAGCGCGACGGCCGTATGTCGATGCAGGGTGAGTCCTTCCCATGCCGCTGCGCAGCTCTTCTGCTCATGCTACTGGACAGGCTTCATGGGCGGCGTCAAGGTGGATGACACGAGCCTGGCGCCGATCCTGATGAAGCGCCTGCGCATCACGGGCTCGACGCTGCGCTCGCGCGACCTCGAGTATCAGGGGCGTCTGTTGCAGGAGCTGCAGAAGCAGGGCATCATCGATGCGCTCGTCAAGGCGGAGCAGGACAACAAGCACCGCATCGTGATCCACAAGGTGGGTGTCTGCCACGACAGACGCTTGGCCTGCGCAGCTCATTGACTCCTTCTGCCAGGTCTTCGACCTCGCGCAGGTCAAGGAGGCGCACGACATGATGGAGGCCAACCAGAACAGCGGCAAGATCGTGCTGCGCGTGGCCAGGGACTGAGCGGCAGCGTTGTAATTTGAAATAAGTGGGAGTCTAGAGCGTGAGCCAATCATGAGGGTCGTGAGAGAGGTGAAGGAGGCGAGCAGTCTACGCGAGCGAGCGTGCCATCGCGGCGACCTCGAGCTTGCGCAGCGAGCCCTTGAGATGGCGGCCGCCCTTGCCGCAGTTGATCTCGAGCCAATCCTCCATGTCGGCGCGGATCTCGCGCAGCTCGTCGGTGATGGGCAGTGCGCCGTCGGCACGGACAGACACCGGGTTGAGGAGAACATCGAAGAGGCGGCCCCAGAGGTCCACCTGCCAGTAGCGGCGCAGCGGCTGGGCAATGCGGTAGCGCGTGCGGCCGTCCTCGCCCGTCGTGGCGGCCGTCTCGATGTAGCGGCCGAAGAGCAGGCAGTAGGCGACGGACGCGACGCCGAAGTAGTCCGGCTGGTACGTCCACGCCCGGCCCTCGCGCATCTCGGGACAGTCGCGCTCGTCTGCGTTCCAGTCGGCAACGAAGCCCTGCCCGGCGGGCATGCGCGTCACGTCGATGGCGCGGCCAAAGTCAATCAGCGTGATGCCCTTGGACGCCCAGCCCGCCGAGCCATCGCGTGCGTAGGCGTTGCTCCACGTCTGCCCGCTCGGCGCTTCGTCGAGACGCAGCAGGCAGTTGTCGATCTTGAGGTCGCCGTGGATGAACCCGGCCGAGTGCAGCGCATCGACCAGGCGCATCAGCTCGATGGTGAAGAAGATTGCGAGCACCTCGTCGACACCCGTCTGGCCCCCGCCGCTGCCGCCGGCTGCCAGGCTCGCGCTGGCAACACCGGCGGAGGCCGCAGTGTTGACTACATCGAGCAGCGTGCCCTTCTCCGCGTACTCGAGCAGCAAGAAGGACTCATCGGCGTAGGTGTAGAAGCGGCGCGCGCTGATGATCGAGCTCAGCGTCGCAGCATCGAGACGGGCGCGCAGCTGGCCGAGGATGTAGAACTCCCAGCGGTTCGGCGGCGACTCGACCTTGACGGCGACGAGCCGCTTGCGCTCCGCCTCCTCCTCGTCCTCCTCGGCCTCAGAGTCGATGGACAGGTCGGCGAGGCCGTTCGAGAAGGATGAGTCGCCCATAACGCCGCCGATGGCCTTGCGCTTCGGCGGCGCGCAGCCAGTCACGTCCTCCGCAAGGAAGACGGAGCCAAAGCCGCCTTCGCCGAGGAGGGCGCGCACAAGGAACGGGTGGCCATCGATGTCGACCTTCCACTCCTTGGTCGACGACGATGCTCCAGACGATGCTGTCGAGCGGCGCATGTGCGCCTTCGACCGCTTGCGCAGCGCAGCCAGGCGACCCTCTGCAGGCTGAGACGAGAGGTCGACGAAGTCCGGCGAGCTCTCCAGTGGCAGCTCGAGGCCGGCTAGGATGGCGGAGATGACGTCCGGATCGCAAGGAGAGCAGGGATTTGGGATTGCAGCGGCCTGCAGCGCAGGCGATGCTGGCTGCACCACGCTGATGCTGTCTTCGTCCTCGTCCTCCTTGAGAATGAGCGTCTCTCCCAGGCGCTGGTGGCCCAGCCGGCCCGTCTGGTCGTCGGCCGCCCGTGCAATGGTGTAGCCTTTCGACAGGTCACTCTTTTGCCGGTCCCAGTCGAGCGAGCCACTGAGCTCGCCCTCACCCTCCTGCCCGCTGCTGCTTGCCCACGAGCGGTCGATGTCGGCCGGAGCGGCGGCGCTGCGGTCCAGCAGGAGCATGTCGCCCCCGACCTGCTCGCGCAGCACGCTGTCCTCTGCGGCCTCGAGGATGCGAGAGTCGATCTGCGAGCGTCTGCTGTCGCGCGTGCGACTGGTGGTGTGGCCGGGCGTACGGTTGGCCATCGTGAAGCGCGTCATCTCCGTGACCTCGGTGACGCGCGTGAGGTTGTGAAACATGTGCTCGTGCAGCGGGTTGCCGTTGCCGTCGAGCTCAGCCTCGGCCTCTCCGTCCGACTCCGACTCCTCGTCCTCCTCGGCAAAGGCGCCAGGGTCGACACGCTGGGCGCGGGACGCAGCGATCTCGGTCTCGAGACGTGGCACAGCAGCGAGCGGCTTGCGCACCGCGCCGGAGCTGGCGCCGAACGCGCTCTTGGCTGGTGTCGCAGGCACTGCTGCGGGCGCGAAAGAAGGCTGCGGTGCTGCAACTTGCTCCGGCGCAGCTGCCGGTGCCAGAGCCTGCATGGCGGGAGCCGGAACGTGGCGTGCCATCGGCGTCGGTGTCGGCGGCACATCACGAGAGCCCGAGAGCATGCTTGCAGGCGCACGATGCGCCAGCGGCAGGAGCTCATCCTCGTCCTCGTCGTCCTCGTCGGTGGAGTCGTCGCTGTCGCTTGACTCGTCCTCGTTGAAGTAGCCATTGACCTCGGCGAGCGCAGCCGCCGTGACCATGGTGACCGTCGGCTCGCCCATCCGTCGGCCTCCCTGTCGCCGCACTCGTGGTGCTGGCTCTTCGTCGCTGTCCTCTTCGGCGGCAAATGCGGACGGCGGCGGGGCAGCGCGCGGAGACGGGGCAGCTGGCGGCGAGGCAGGTCGCTTTGCCTCTGGTGAATCGTATACAGCTTGCGCGACGGCTGGTGGCGAGGCGGGACCTGCGGTTTGCAGCGACTCCTGCGTCTCGTCCACCTCCATCTCAACATCGTCGTCGAAGGCGTCTTGCTCAACCTCAGGCTCCTCGAGAGGCCGAGGAAGCCACACGCCGATGAAGTCGTTGAGATGCGCCCACGGATCCTTGTGCACGTCCAGCTCGATGCCTCGTTGCAGCGCGATCAGCTCTTCGACCGACATCTCGCCGGCGTCGACGCCTGCAGGTGGTGTCGAGTAGGCGTCGACGTGCGCGAGCCTGTACATCATGTGCACGGGCAGCTTGAGGCGCTCCTCGCGCTTGCCAGTCGGGGCCTTCGAAGCGGCAGCGGCAGGCGCGGCTTCGCGGCGTGAGCGCGAAGGCACTGCCGAGCGTGCTGCGCCTCGCGCAGCTCGCACTTCCGCCTCGGTGAGACTGCGTTTTGTGTCCGCTCCGTAGAAGGCCAGAGGATCGTCACGCAACCGCTGCGCAGCCTTGTCCTCCTCGCTCTCCGCAAAGAGGCCCTTCGCGACGGCAGCTTTCCGCGGAGGCGTGTCTTCCTCGTCGCTGTCCTTGAAGACGGCGAGAGCGCGGCCCTCGTCGCGCGATGGTGTCGGCATAGCAAGGGGGCGCTTGGGCGCGCGCTGCGGCAGCACCTCGCCCTTCCATGGACGCGCCGTCGAGCCAGTCGCCTCCTGGCCGCGCACAGCCTGCGATCCCAGCTCGTCCCAGCCAGCTGGACCACCACCGGCGCTGACGATGTCGTCATCGCGGAACACGTCCAGCTTCCGTCCGTTGTTCTGTGCAGGCATGAGCCGCGAGCCTGCGAGTCCGGCGTTGCCGCCAAGGCCCCGCACGACGTTTGCGGACCTGCTAGGCCCGACGCCGGCTGAGCGCCCGTTGCTCTGCACACGCTCGCCAAGGGTCGAGCGGTCGGCCGAGGCCATAGCAGCGGCCAGAATGGCGCGGAAGGGCGGCGCTTCACCGGCAGCGGCGTCCATCGCTGTTGATGCGGTGACGCGCGCCTGAAACTCGCGGTACTTGCGCCGGATGCGGTCGACGGGCTCAGCGCTGCGGGCAATGCCGAGCTTGTAGGTGCTGTCGGCCTGGTCGTAGCTAAAAAGGGCTGTCAGCAGCGCAGCAGAAGCGTGCCAGCCACAGAAACTCACCTGCCGACGTTCTCCAGCACCAGCGCCAGCTCCTCGTACAGCGCTGCCAGCGCCGTGCCGATCTCCTGCGCGAGCAGGAACTGGAAGATGTGCTGCGGCTTGTCGCAGACGCGTGCGTACTGCACCCAGAGGCGCAGGTAGCGCACGTCCTGGGCGTAGCGAGTGTGGCCCTTGAAGGCACGCGTGGCGCGCTCGAGCAGCTGCACAAGGCGCGGCGCGTGCGCCGGATACGAGTCGAGCGCCCACTGCACGTAGCGCGTCCACGGCTCGAGCGGGTCGTCGACCTCGGTGCCGGACGCCGTGGCGCTGGAGCACTCGAGCTCGAACTCGACGGCGCGCTCAGACAGCGCCCGCGCACGCTCCGACGGCGGCAGCGCAAGCGTCGAGGAGAGAGCGACGGCGCTGCGGCCCGCCGCCGAGCGCGTGATGTTCTCCTTGGCCGCCTCGAGGCGGGCAATGTCGATGACGGGCGTGCAGCTCGTCTGCTCGAGGCCGCCGCCAGGCGTGCGCGCCGGCGTCTTGAGCAGCGAGCTGACGGCCGAGGGCCGCATCGGCGTCTGCGCCGGCTGCAGGCTCTGCAGCGGCGCGCCCGTCATGGCGTCCGCAGGCAAGGGAGCAGGTGGAGCAGGTGCCGGAGGTGAGAAGAAACAGAGCAGGGAGAGGTGAGAGGTTGGGCAGAGAGAAGGGCACGTCTAGCTTGAGGTCTTGAGGTCTTGGTGGAGAGAGGCAGAGGCGCAGCAGGCGCACCGCTCGCATGACCGCTGCCGCGCTGCTCTCGCTGTGCCGCCGCGCCTCCCGCTCGCACGCCAAAACAGCAGCAGGCGCCGCGCCGCGCGCCACGGCGGCAGGACGCGCCGGAGTGTTGCTGTCACGTGACGTAATGCACGCTCCCACGCTCAGCGCTTAGGCCCACCTCGCCTCATGCTGCTGCTGGCCAGTGACTCGATTATGATTCGTTCGTTGATGTACAGGAAAGGGAGCAGATGCAGGCAGGGCAGATGGGGGACGGGCGGACACGGCAGACTCCGCCTCGCTCTAGCATGCGAGGTCAGGCCCGCAGCCACGCAGTGCTGCTTGCAGCGTTCAGCGTGACCAGCCGTTGAAGAGCCTGGTCGGACGAAATCAGCGCTGTCCCTGGCACAAGCTACCACACAGCCACTCACCCAATGTCGTCGGCGCCGTTCATCGGGCCGTTGCAGCCGACGGGCTCCTCCTCCTCCTCGGCCTGCTGCGTGCCGCTCTGCAGCACATGGCCATTCTGCCCGTTGACCACCGCCGCAGGCTGGGCCGGCGTCGCCATCTTGTCGTCGTTGGCGCCCGTGCCCGGCGCATCGGCGACGACGGCCGGCTGCGGCGTGCCCTTGGGGCCGGCAATGCGCGTCGTGCCCGCCTTGATCTTGGCGTTCTCGCTCCGCAGGTCCTCGAGGTGCGTGAGGTAGCTGTCGTCGACGCCGCCGGTGACGTACTTGCCGTCGAAGACGGAGCAGTCGAACTGCTTCAGCTCGGGGTTGAATTGCCGCACCGAGTCGATGAGGTCAGGCAGCGTCTGGTAGATGACGCGGTCGGCTTGGATGTGGCTGGCCACCTCCTCCTCGGTGCGGCCGTGTGCCACGAGCTCGTGCCGGTTCGGCATGTCGATGCCGTACACATTCGAGTAGCGGATCGGCGGCGCGCAGCTCGCCATCACGACGCGCACGGCGCCGGCATCGCGCGCCATCTGGATGATCTCGCGGCTCGTCGTGCCGCGCACAATCGAGTCGTCGACGAGCAGCACCGACTTGCCCTTGAACTCGAGCGCCATGGCGTTGAGCTTGCGGCGCACATTCTTGCGCCGCGTGCTCTGGCCGGGCATGATGAACGTGCGGCCGACGTAGCGGTTCTTCACAAAGCCCTCGCGGTACGGGATGCCGAGCGTCTGCGCTACCTGCAGCGCCGCGACACGGCTCGTGTCGGGCACAGGAATGACGACGTCGACGCTCTCGCCCCGCGCCTCGAGCACGCGCTTCACCTCAAACGCCAGCTTGTCGCCCATCGCCATGCGCGAGCGGTACACGCTCACGCCGTCGAGCACACTGTCGGGCCGCGCAAAGTACACGTACTCGAAGATGTCGGGCGCGAACGTGTAGGGGTTCGCCGACGACGGCTGCGGCGTCAGGATGCGGCGCGACACGGCGTTGCGCGTGATGATGACGGCCTCGCCCGGCCGCACATCCTCAAAGTCCTCGAAGCCGAGCGCGTCGGAGACGACGGACTCGGACGTGAAGCACCAGTCGTCGCCGGCCTCGGGCGACTCGGCGGAGCGCCGGCGGCACATGCCGACGGGGCGGATGCCGTTGGGGTCGCGGAACGCGATGATGCCGAAGCCGGCCAGCATCGCCACGCAGGCGTAGCCGCCGTGCGCCTGCTTCATGAGGCCGCCAATGGCGGTGAAGATATCCTCCTCGTTGATACTGAGGAGCACGCACGTCAGCGCTGCGGCGCAGCCCAGGCTCTGCGCGGCACTCACCGGAACTTGCCGGTCGCCTGCAGGTTGTTGGCGAAGATGTTGAGCAGCATCTCCGAGTCCGAGTCGGTGTTGATATGCCGATGCGCCTCGGCATCGAGGAAGGATCGCAGCTGCGACGTGTTGATGAGGTTGCCGTTGTGCGCAAAGACGATGCCGTACGGCGAATTGACGTAGAAGGGCTGCGCCTCGGCGTGGGCGCTGGAGCCCGCCGTCGGGTAGCGGACTGTAGGCACGGGTCAGTAGGTGCAACGTGCACACTGATGCAGCCTGTGCAGCTGCGCACAGCGCAGAGAGGAGTGCAAAGGAGGACGGCGCCTGGCGAAGCAGCTCGCGCCCGAGGAACGGAAGCAGCTTCTGCTGCAGACCGACCCCACCGCCTTCACGCCCTGGCGCACTGCCCACACCCATGCCAGCCACCACACGCACCATGCCCAATGCCCATGCTGCCCTGCAGGCGCGAGAGCGCGCCGGCGTCGAAGACGTCGCGCACCATGCCGTTTGCCTTGCACTGGTAGAAGCGGCCGCCGGCGCCGCAGGTGACGATGCCCGCCGCATCCTGGCCGCGGTGCTGCAGCAGCGAGAGGCCCTCGTTGATCTCGGGCGCGGCGGCGGCGCGCGTCTGTGCGAGGAGCAGGGCGAGGATGCCGCACATGGTGGGCGATGCGAATAGGGTGAGGGCGAGAGAGCAGGTGCGAAGCGCTGGGCTGCGTCCGGGGTCCTTCCCGGCGGCGCAGATCTCGCCTCGCCTCGCTGCACCGCTGCCGCTGCGCCCGCGCCCGGTGACTCGCCGGGCGCCGCTGCTCCAAAAAATCGCAAGCCACCGCCGCGCCCCGAAATGAAGGGCAGTCGCGCCCACTCTGCGCGCGCGACGCGTGCCTGGCTGCACGTGCTGCGAGCACCTTATTCCCACGCGCTGCGCCGCCGGCAGCACGGTCCGCCGCAAGGTCACTCCATCTGCCGTCAAGGCGGCCACATTCGGCAACGAGAGCAGCAGTTGCAATCGGATGGAGCACAGGCTGCGTCGAGCTTGGCGTGTCTGCCGAGCGGCGAGCTGTGGCTTGCGTTCCTGCGCTGCTGTCTGCGCGTCGAGAAGTCACCGAGCGCCGCGCCGCGAGATGCTCAAGGGGCGGTGGAGGCGGTGTACGACGCCGCAGGTGTGCCTCCAGTCTCTGTGCTGCAACACAACAGCTCAGGGCTTCTTCTCGCCGTCTTGGCCTCCGACTCAAGCGCTGCAAGTTCGGCTGAGCAGCTGCGCCGCGCATGGAGGCTGCTCGCTGCGCTGCTGAGGAGCGGTACCGCTCGGCCCCCTTAGCGCGGCCGCTGCTGCCCAGGAACACGCCATGTGGCCGCGCCCGCATCGTGCTTCCCGACCACGTCCATCTATCTATTCCCCAAGCAGCCGTCGCTATGTTGGCCTTGCACTCGCTGCTCCTCTTGCTGCTCGGCGCCGTTGCCACCGCAGCCGCAGCCGCCGTCGAGCCGCGCGGCCTCGTCACGCAGTACCCCGGCACCAACCTGCTGGAAGCGCGCTACCCGAACGCCATCACGGCGCGCTACAACAGCACCGTCATGGTCCTGCCCATCGCACGCAGCCTGGCACAGAGCCTCGTGCCCGCCGGCGTCAGCCTGCTGCCGACGCACCCCGTGCCCGGACTCGCGGCCGACCAGTGGCCTCTGGTGCTGCAGGCGGGCCTGGACCAGGATCTGCACAGCAACGGCCTGCCTGCTGGTGACTTCTACGTCACGCGCCTCGCGGTGAGCAGCTGGTGTAAAAATGCTCTACTGACTGTATGCTGATGGAGGCGGATCGCAGGTGCCGTGGACAGACCAGTCGGGCGACGGCAAGACGCCGTTCATCCACCAGCCGGCGCTCGCTCTCTCCATGTGCGGCGTCATCCCGCTCCGATCTCGTCACCTCTGCTGACTCCTGCATGCAGTGATGTGCTGCCGCTCTTCACGCGCGTCCTGACGGCCGCTCGGCTGGTCTACTCGCTCTTCACGCCCAACCCGGGCGCCTCGGCAGACCTCGGCGGCGGCCGCGAGGGCTCGTCGGCCAAGACGCTGCTCGGCAAGCTGGTGTACGACATCAATGTCGCGCGCACTGCGCCAGGACAGGAGAAGTACAGGTGAGCAGGACCTTGCGGCGGACTGTCAAGGCGGCAAGCCAGCGCTGAGATTGCCGCGCAGCCTCGATCTTTTCCTTGACTTTGCGAACCAAGGCTATGTGAGTCTTGTGCGAGGCTGCGCCGCTCCACCGCTGACCGCCCTCGCAGGCCAATGCCACGCTCAACTCATGTGTCTACCACCCGACCACGTACGACCTGCCCGAGACCAACCCGTACTTCGGTGCGTGCGCTGCGCGTCCAAAGCTTGCGCACCCAGCTGATGTCCCGGCCAGTGACTGGCGACGTGACGCTGGGCAATGCGTTCGTGCCCGGACTTGCGCAGACGTTCAAGAATGTGCAGGGCCTGCGCGCCGGCGAGCACTTCCTCGAGGTGCGTGCCTCCTGCTCTGCTCACCTGCCAGCACACGCTGACCCGCGCCTGCAGACGCTCTTCCAGCCCTGCGTCGGCACGGCCAAGTTCCCTTCCAGCTGATCCGCACCACATCTAGACGTGCGCTTGTGACGATAATCTAATTATAGGCCAGTCGAACGGGGTGGCATCGGTCGTGGTCATAAGTCGAGCTGGCTCGGTGGGATATCAATGAGGGAGCGCGAGATTGGGGGGCTTAGATGCCGTAGGTGCCCTTGAACCTGGGCACAGCAGCGTCAGCGCGCAGTCCTCGCTTCATCCTATCACAACTACTCACATGCCGAGCAGCAGGCCCTTGCCCTTGGCCAGCGACGTGACCCACTCGCCGAGCACGACGATGCTGAGCTGCGACGCGCCGCCGGACGTGCCGATGGGCACGACCATGATGGCGCCCGGCGGCTTGTACGCCTTGATCGTGTTGGACTGGAACAGCGCGGCGACGATGTTGGCGGCGACGGCGGGCGCCTGTGCCGAGGCGGACATGTACGTCTTGGAGCCCGGCGCGTTGTTGGCGTCGCCGATGGCGAACCACTTGTCGAGCTCAGCGTGCTCGACGCGCAGGCTCTGCGCGTTGACCTTGATGCGCTTCGAGTCGTCGAGCGCCGCGTCGGGCAGGAGCTGCGTGTTGGGCTTGCCGCCGCTGGCAATGAGCACAAAGTCCGTCTTGAGCGGGCCGGCGGGCGTGCTGATCTCGACGGCCTCGCTGAGCAGCTCGGCAGAGTTGACAGACTCTGGCAGGTCAATCTTGGCTTCGTACTGGACCGTCACGCCGAGCTTGACGAGCTGGTTGTGCAGCTTGGAGGGGAACGCCGGCTTCCAGTCGGGCGAGAGCAGCGTCTTGCCGCTCGTGCACAGCGTCACCTTCTTGTCGGGGTGCACGTCCTTGACCTCGCCCGCGCTGCAGAGGGCCTGTCAGCCTTCTGCGCTGGCGCTGCGCTGCAGAAGCACTCACAACTCAATGCCGACCGGCCCGCCACCAACAATGAGGATGCTCTCTGCACGCGCCACCTCGTCCTGCTTCTTCTTCAGCGCCGCCTTGGCCTCTGCCGTCACGGCGTCCTCGGAGCGCATGGGTGAAGGGTAGGTAGAGCTAGGGCACCGTCAGCCGCCGTCCGGAGCCGCTTCAATCGGCGCACTCACCCAGTAGCAATGACGCCGAGGTCCAGCGCAATCTCGGTGCCGAAGCCGTCGCGCGCCTCCTCGAGCGTGACGCTGCTGTTGCTGATGGCGGTGACCTTGGTGAGCGGCAGCACGACGTGGCGGCTGCCCTCTTTGAAGAAGCCCTTGAGCGGCGCAAACATCTGCTCCTCGCTGCCCGGCTTGACGGCGGCGCGCAGGCCGCCGATGGGCCAGTAAGCCGACTCGTTGGAGTCGATGAGCACCTGCGGGAGGAGTCAGCAGTGGCACGTGGCGGTGCGCGTGGTGGAGGACTGACGATGCGGTGCGAGGAGGGCAGCTTCTTCTCGAGCTGGCGCGCGAGGGCTGCGCCGCTGGAGGCGCCGACGATGACGACGTTCTTAAGATCGGACATGGCGGGGTTTAAGGTGGAGGAGAGGTGGTGGTGGGCAGCAGCAGCAGCAGCGGCGGCGGCTGCCTTATGTATGCGCAAGCAGCGTGGAGGCCGTGCGTAAGCGCAAGGCGCACGAGACGCGCCGCGCACGAATTTCGCTGAACCCTGCGTCGGCCGGCCTGACATGAAAGCTCGGGCGCGCCTGCCCGCTGTGCTTCTCTCCGCCGCGCAAGAGGCCTCTTTGCTGCGTCTGTGCTGCTGTGAGCTCGGCAGGCTTTCGGCTTGTACCTCACTTGCTCCTGTCTGGCCCCTCTGCGGAATACTCGCTGCTTCCATGCGTTTGTCACGGCCACGGAGAAGCACATCCGAGGCGCACCAGGCCGCGGACGCGCGCGCTCGGTGCCGCCCGGTGGTCACCTCGCGCCCCGTCGAGCTCCGCACGCCTGCTTCGCGCTCCGCCCACTTCGAGACCAGGCACAGGCACATGCCTCGGCGGACATAGCAGCTTGTCTGCGGACGGTAGCAGCTTAAGTCCGCAGTCGAGTCCTTGCCTCCTGATGCTGCGTGCCGGCATGCTACGGAGCGGCATCGTGCGGCGCACAGGTGCGGCCTGCGCTAGCACGACATCGTGGCGCTCTAACCTTCCCTCACGCACAGCCGCAGGCGTCGGATGCGGCTGCCGCCCACAGCCGCGGTGCATCGCAGCAGACAAGCGCAGCAGAGCGCTCAGTTGGTCTAGCACACTCCAGACGTCAAACAGTGAGGTTGAAATCATCAGCGCAGCTAGGCGTGTATGAGATTCCGAAAACGTGCGTGCAGGTGACAGTAGGGTAGGCAGCTTAGGCGGCAGGAGCGAGGAAGGGGTAACTGGGTGGCCCAAAAGCGGGAAAGACGGGAAGCACGGCGCTGGTGAAGCGGTTTTACTTGCGTGTGTTCGTGACGGCAGCGAGCGCGGACGAGGTGTCGAGGTGGAAGAAGGGTGTGAGGCTCTGGTTCCAGATGACGGGCACGGAGCGGATGGACTCGGCGTCGCCGTCGATGCTCGAATTGTCGTCCTCATGCTTGGTCTGCGAGGCGAGGTGCGGCACGCCCGTGCTGTGCGGCGAGAGCTTGACGTCGTCCGACGACGACGTCGAGGAGCGCGTGTTGCGCACCGTCGTGGGCACGATGGCGTTGGGGTCGACGAGGAAGGGGTCCGTGTACGGCTCGCGCGGCGCCACGTTGACGTGGCTGCGCGTGGCGTCGCGGTCGCCGGCCAGGCCGGCCTCGAGCTCGCTGAGGCCCTGGCGGTTTGGGCGGAAGACGGCCGGGTTGCGGCCGTCCTGCAGGGCGTTGTCGATGGCGTTGGCACGGCGGTCGGCCTCCTCCTCCTCCTCGCGCCCGTCGTTGTCCTCGTGCGTGGCGCGCACGACCGGTGCAATCTCCGTCACGAGGCGGTTCGCCTGGCCCGTGCCGAAGCCGCCGGCAAGCAGGCCGCGGCGGATCCAGGGCGAGAGAATGCCGCTGAAGTGCCACTCAACCGTCTGGCCGGCGTAGCGCTCGAGCGACTTCTTGACGTCGACGAGCGTCTGGATCGACGTCGTGTCGACGTTGGCGACAGACGAGAAGTCGAAGATGAAAGCACGGAGCAGCGGGCGCGGGTCGTCGGCGGCGTTGGCCTCGGCCTCGAGCTTGGCACCGTGGCGCTCAATGGCGTTGCGGCGCGCAGAGCCGCAGAGTACGGAGCGGCCGACCTTGCCGAAGATCGGGTTGACCGGTCCGGGGTCGTTCCACGGGCGGTCGCCGTTGGTCTTGTACAGGCTCGTGGCGCCGGGGCGCGTGAGCTGCTTGGCGCGGTCGATGAGCAGGTCGCCGAGGTGCGAGGCGTTCGGGTAGGTGAAGGCCTCCTCGAAGCGGAAGATGAGCACGCCCGGCGGCGGCGGCTCGACGTGCACGGACGGGTCGCGCAGGCCGTTGCCGTCGTCGAGCGGCACGAAGACCTCGCGCTGCGGCACGTTCGCATCGCTGTTGCGGCGCGGCGTCACCGTGCCGTCGCCGTGGCTGATGCGCACGATGCCCATCCAGCGGCCGCGCGGGCGCGCGATGCGGATCAGCAGCAGCGCCAGCGACGCGGCAACGGAGAAGTACACGCCGACCTCGAGGTTCTGGAAGATGGAGAGCAGCACGGCGCCGAAGAAGATGACGGCCTCAAACGGCGACACGAGCCAGAACTTGTACACGGCCGACGGCGGCACGATGAGGTCCAGCACGGCGTGGATGATGACGGCGGCGAGGCCGGCGTTGGGGATCCAGTAGAAAGTGCCGCTGAGCGCGTACAGCGCGATGAGCACGATGATGGCCGTCACCCAACCGGCCAGCGGCGTGCGCACGCCGGAGCGCGACTTGATCGCCGAGCGCGAGAAGGAGCCGGTGGCCGCGTAGCCGCCGAACGCCGGGCCGATGAGGTTCGTCACGCCGATGGCGACGAGCTCCTGGTTCGGGTTGATCTTGTAGTTGTTGAGGCGGCCGAACGACTTGGAGATGGCAATGTGCTCGAGCAGCAGAATGATGACCGAGACGGGAATCTGGCCGGCCATGTCGCTGAAGAGCTGCGACGAGAGCAGCGGCTGGCCGATGTGGCGGAAGCCGCTGGGCACCGTCTTGACGATGGAGATCGGGTAGCGCTTCGGGTTCTGCGGGCCGAGCCAGATGCGCGACGCCGCCGTGAGCACGATGATGACGAAGGCGTTGCGGAAGACGGAGATGAAGAAGCACGTGCGCGCCCAGCGCGGGTAGCGGCGCGGGAGGGCGTTGCACGCCCAGCGGATCAGGTACAGCGACACGAGGGCGGTGATGCCGAAGGCGGCGTCGATCGTCGTGTTGGGCAGCTGCTTCAGCGTGTTGATGATGACCTCGTACGCCGCCGGGCCGCTCGTCTGCACGGCGCTGAGGCCGAGCAGCTTGGGCGCCTGGCCGGCGCAGATGGTGATGGCCGAGCCCGTCATGAAGCCCGCCACCGCCGGCTGCGGGATGAACTCGACGATCCAGCCGATGCGCACAAGGCCAATGCCGAGCGTCACGACACCGCAGATGAAGGCCAGCGCCGAGGCGATCTGCGGGTTCGTGTAGAGCTCCGTGCCGACCTTGTCGTGCACGGCGCGGATGACGTTGGCCGTCTGCAGCGACATGACGGCGACGGGGCCGATGGTGACGTCCTTGGACGTGGCGAAGAGCACGTAGATGACGACACCGACGAACGACGAGTAGAGGCCGTACTCGACGGGCAGCAGCGCAATCTTGGCGTACGCCATCGACTGCGGCACGACGACGAGGCCGACGGTGATGCCGGCGATGAGGTCGCCGATCAGCCACTGCAGGTTGTACGAGAGGATCCACTTGGTGAAGGGAAAGAAGGAGTCGAGGTAGTTGACGGCCTGGAGGGTCGAGGTCAGCGCTGCGCCTCACTCCACACTCTGGCATGCCTACTCACCATGTTGCGCGGGCTGTCGATCATCTCGGTGAACCACGACTTGCTGTCGACCATAGGCACGCCCAGGCGGTTCGCCTCGGTATCATCGTAGCGCACGATGTTCTTGAGCGTGCGCACAACGGCGCTGTCGGGCTTGGACGCGACGCCCGTGGCGGCGCCGGCCTCGTCCGTCTTGGCAAAGGTGACCATGGCGGGCGCGAGCGAGGGTGCAGGGAGGTGGAGGGTGCGGCGGTGCAGTCGCGTGCCTCAGCGGGCCACGGACGCGGAGAGAGGTGTGGCGAGGCGAGTCGAGAGCCGCGGGCGGGGAGTCGAGAGCGGGGCGAGGATGGGCGTCGTCGAGGTGTGTGTGCAGGAAGAAGGGTGCAGCCCGAGGAGCTGCTGCTTATGTGGATTTGCCATGGCCGGGCGGGCGAGAAGATGAGCGCGGCGGGCGTCGGTGGCAGATCGCTCCGCCTCCTCTTGCGCCATGCGCGCATGAGGCCGAGGCGCGGGGGACGGGCTGGACCGCGGCGCGTGCGGCGGCGGGCGGCGGGCGGCGCGGCAGGCGCGGGCGGGCGGCAGCAGCGCGGCGAATGCCCATCGCACGAGCGCACGCGCACGCCCAGCCGCCATCAGAGCCCTTCGTCCTGCACGCCTCTTTGTGCCGTGCTGGGCCACATCTGCTGCACTCTGGCTGCCACTCACGCCCTGAGATGACCCTTGCGGCTTCATGCTTGATGCGCGCGCGGCAAAACGGTGTCCGGCTGTGCAGGCGCGGAAGGCGGGAGGGCAGCGTCAGAGGCAAAGGCCGGCAAGTGGCATCAGCGGTGGTGCAGCGCGCAGTGTCGTCGAGAGGCCCGGCCGGCCGGTGCCCGGCGATAGGCGAGTGTGGCGAGCGTGCTGCACGCAGACGGCAGCGGCGCACGCCGTGACAGCGGCAGATGCGGAGAGGCAACGCAGCCAAGAAGGCGTCTTCGGGCGTCTCCACCTCGGAGGTATGGTGGTGGAGCGCTGAGCAGCGCACACTGGCGCCGTGCCGCGAGCACGCGATGGCGACATATGGCGACATCGCAGAGTTCGCAGCCGCCGCCGCCTCCGCACGCGTGCCGCGGCCCGGCTCCTGCGCGCGCCTGCGCGCGGGCGCGGTGTCGACGCGAATGCGGCGTCGGCCACGCCGATGCCGGCTCGCTCGCTCTGCACCGGCGCCTGCGAAGCACCACATCGAGGCAGCATCTTGCTCCTATTTCTCTGCTCGTGCGCCATGCTGCATGAAGCTGCACTCGCGGTCTGGCCTTGCATAGAGAGCACTCAGCAGCCAGGCACGAGCGACCGGCCACGCGCGCCATGCGGAGGCGTTCGCACGCTCTGCTGCTGCGCGCATGTGCCGCGCGCCGCGCACGCTCGTCGCCGCTCAGGGGTCCGACGCGAGCACGCGACCGCCTCGAAGGAGCGCTCTCGGCCCCCGGCCAGGCGACGGCCAGTCCAGGGCCGCTGCCCAGGCACTAAGGCATTGCTAGCGCTCGGAAAGGGGCACAGCTCAGGTACAACGCCACACCGCTGCACGTCGAGCGTGCCCGTTGAGATGCGGCAAAACGCATTTCGCAGCGACGCGAGATCCTCGGCATCCGAGCCCTTAGCCGCAGCATGAGCCGTCGTGCTCACCGAGCCGCCGGGAAACGCACCGCAGGGCCGCTTCATGCCGTCTCACCCACAGCACGGACCCGTCCTGCGGCGGGAAGATGCTTTCCGCTCGAGCCTTGCCCTCACGAGCTGTTTTTGCTCTTTCGCCTCAGAGGGCCCTCAGCTGTGATCTCGAGCAGGTGGCCCTTCACTCCAGAGTGGCGACTCATTGGAGAGAAGGCCTCGAGTTCTGTCTCCTGCTCTTTGCACACATCGAGTTGCATGAGTATCAAGCGCAGCAAGTGCAGTCTTTCGCAAAGAGGCAGTTGCGACGACGGATGGGGGTGCAGCAAGCTCGGAGGCCGCGCAGCCCTGGCGAAGGCGCCATCGAGAGGGGCTGGACAGCGCCTCTCCGCGCAGAACAGAGGCGTCCTCTCCAGCACCTGACAGCGCCACCAGATGGTGGTGCTGCATGCATGACAGCATCGCGATAAACTTGCTGCCAAATCCTTCCTCGAGACCTGAAATGCTGAAGAGACGGGCGCTGCTGCTATAGGGTGGCCGCACCCGCCTGGTGATTGACTGAGCCGACGATATTGCGAGTGCTGCTCGTGGCCATCGGTCAGTCGCAGGACATGGCCTTGCTCCTACTCCTGTGCACTGCGCTCGCCGCTGTCTTGCCCTTCTCGTTGGGCGGACAAGGCGCGAGCTTGGCGGTGGCGGCCGACGGCGCTGTTCTCACAGACTGTATCGCTGTCGTGCTTGCCGCGTGTCGGAGTCCGACAGTCTCGCCGGCTGTGGCGAGCGCCGACGACCCCCGCAAGTCCAGTGCAGCAGCAGCTTCTGCAGGACACCTGGTGTCTCCCGGCCCAGACCAGCGGTCTCGACTAGCCGCTTGCCGAGGCTCGACCGCCACCGACGATCGGTCCAGCAGCAGAGCTCGGCGGCATCTGCTGCGGCTTGCTGCTTGCCACCGCTGTGCGTGCTCCTCGCCGCCACCCATGGCGCCGCATGGCGAGCTTTCATCCCTCCATGCCTGCCCGCAAAGGCCGCCCGAGTGGCCTCCTTCCCGAGCCGCAGGCACCTCCCGCGATCTGGGCTCGCGGCATGCTGTGTCCCGACAGGCCGGATCACGCTCTTCGCCGCGGCACAGGCGGCAATGGCAGCCCATTCCGCCGGCAGAAGCGTGATCGCACCACTCCGCCGCTGTCAGACGACTTGGACGCTCCGTCTTGCAGCTGCAGAGGAGCTCGCAGCGCCTTCACGCCAGGCTGCAGGACAGAGTAGAAGGATGGTATGGTTTGATTACATGTCTGCGTGCTGCGGCTTCACTTCCTCATCGTCCTCGAGCTTTCCATCCGTCAGCTGCTGGTGCCACTCTGCAAAGCAGCGGCGGTAGGCCATGCTCGGGTCTGCCTCGCCCTGGTCGGGCGTCGCAGGCCTACTCCATCCCCACGCTGAGCCGCAGAGCGGGTCTCTCAGCGCATCGCGCAGTGCATCCCACTCCTCCACCAGACTCTCATCCGGCAGCGGCTGCGAGCGCAGCAGCACGCCCGACGGATGGACGGCGCGCGCATGCGCCGCCGACGAGTCGACGTACATCGGCGCCGCCTGGCTGCCAGGCGTCGGCGGTGGCCGCGTGACGCGAAGGAAGGCAGTGCCGACTGCGGAGCTGCGGCTGTCTGGTGAGCGCATGCTGAGACTGCGCAGCTTCACCGCCTTGCGCGAGCGCTCTGGCGGCGGCGTCGAGCCCGACGACTCGATCGAGAGCGCCTGCAGCGAGCTGTACAGATCCGACGCTGAGGGCGCGAGGATGCGCATGAAGAGATCGACGTCACGCTCGACGTACGTGTGGTCGCGCGGGCACGTCCACATGAAGTCCCGCAGGTCTAGCGATTGGAGCGTCAGCGTGAGTGGCTTGGCTGTCAATGGCAGGTGTGAGGGTCGAGGACCGGTGTCTGAGCGCACAGCATCACGCGGCCCACTGCCAGCCGCAGTGCGCATCGGCTGCCGAGCTGGCAGCACATTTGTCCACTCCGATGCCCCCCCCCCCCGGCGCAACGCACGGCACGACCGTGCGCTCAACTAGCTTGCCCGCTCCAGATTACGCTCCCGCCCGAGACTGTGTCCTAGCGTGCTGGCGCCGCCTGACGACCAGTTTGCCGCCTCGTCGCGAGCCAACATGCTCTAGGTGGCTCGGGCCCTCTCGCGACACGTTGCCTCAAGCAGACCCTCAAAATTCTGGCTGGAACGCCGAAAGCTGCACACCGAGCGCTCTGGCTGGCGTGCAACTATCGCGGCGGCGCCCAGATCTTCTCCTGCTCCACCTTGCCGCAGCGCTTCTGTCCTTGATGCTTCGTGACAGCACTCACCAGGCATCGCCCGAATCTCGTCGATCTCCTCATGCGTCAGACTGCCATCGCACATGTGCAGTCTGCGGCATCTCGCAAACATTGGCGCCGAAAAGCCGCCGACGTAGCTCTGCGGATTGATGGCAAAGAGCGTCTCGGGCTTGCATGCCGTGCCGAACGCGCGTGCCGCCTCCTGCGAGACGAAGCCGCCGTCGAGCGCCAGGTGACGCAGCTTGCGGCAGGAGCGCAAGATGGAGCGCACACGCGTGTGCGCACGGATGGCCGCTGGTGATCGCCCGGCTGCGGCGGGGGAAAGCGCGGGTACGAGGTCCGAGGCGACGGAGAGCGGTGCGATCCAGATGGCGCGCACGCGGCGCGCTACAGCCGGGTCACGCTCGAGCAGCTCTGCGAAAGCATCGAGGCCGCGCAGCGAAGAGAGCACGACGTTCTGATGTGCTCGTGGTCGCAGAGCGCGGGTGAGGTCGCGCGAGATGAGCAGACAGGTGAGCGGCGTGGAGGAGGCGAGCAGCAGAAAGTCGAAGATGTGCGCCAACACGTCGAAGGGCAGGTTGGGCGGCACGGCGCGCAGCTCGGGCAGCACTCGTGGAGGCAGCACGAGCGACGAGGCGCTCGAGGTTGAGGCGACGGAGCTCGCCATGCTGCCGGCTGCGTCGAGGCCAGTGGGCGCGAGTCGCTCGTGCGGCGTCGGCCTGTGACCTGTGGCGCCCACTCGGCCAGCCCGAGCCACAAGCACGCGCCGGGAGCACCAGGAGCGGGATGCGCTAGGGTGGAGAGGCTGCTAAAGCGGGTGCTGCGTCGGCGGAGAGGCAGGCAGATCGAGCGTGGTGCGGCGATGCGGCGCAGAGGCGATGAGCGTGGCGCAGCCGTGTGGAGGGCAGCGGTCGCAGAGGGTGTGGTGGTGGCGGGGCGAGTCTGCGCGGCCTGCGCTTTATGTAGGCCGCAGTCTCGTGCTGGATACTGATGAAGTTGAGTGCTCGGCTGCCTCGGTGGTGGTGGTCGGGAGGGAAGCTGCTCGCTTGTCCCACTTCCGGCGAGGCGTGCATGAGAAGGCATCTCTCATGACGCACCGCCGCGGCGCACGGACGCGAGGCGGGCGCTGCTCCCACGCCGTGCTCGCGCTCGCGCAGCCGCCGCAGGCCCCGCAGCGGCTGCCTCCTCGCCATCACTGACCCACCGGCGCTCCTCCTCGCCTTCCAACGGCTCGCTTTTGAGCTCGATATGTTGCTGACCCTAAACTGGGATGTTTGCGGTCGTCGTTTGGGTACAAGTGAAGAGAGGCGATGGCAGCAGAACGCGAGAAGCGCACCCGGAAGACCCGGGTCAAACGCTGTGTGACTCTCGTCTCGCCGCAGCCCACCTTCCCCGAGCGCTTGAGGGATACAGCGAGTGTCCCGGGCCGCCTTTGCTCAGTAGCAGACGGCATCATCCCCTTAGCGATGGCCCGACAGACTTGATGAGCATGGCCGAACGAGCAGCCGCTCACCTCATCTCACCACGCCCGCCCTGCCGCCTTGGCCAGTTCCGCCGCCGCCGCCGCTCGTCGGACCGGCCGTTGCCGAGCCCCTCCGCCGCACGAGGACCGATTGCACCGCCTCGACGTCCGCTTGCTGCATGTGCGTGCTGCGGCATGCAGCGAGCGCGGAAGGAAGCACCTGCGGCTGTGCAGGCCTGACCCGCGGGGCTGAGGAGGTGAGGCGCAGCCTCCGATGTCGGATATACGCAGGCGGAAGCGTGCCGCCGGCCCGGCGCGCGCCATGGCGGATCCGCGGTGCGCGGAAGACGAGCTCCTCTCCTCTCCTCGCTCCGAGGTGCCTCTCCAGCACCCTCATCACAGCTCACAGCGCAGCGCTGTCGACCAGCTCGGTCGTCGACGCTGGGAATGCTCACCGTCAGCCAGCGGGACGTGCGCGGCCGCAGCGCAGGGTTGCCGACGCCTCTCCTGCTGCCATGGGCCGCGGGAGCGTGCGGGAGCGGCCGCGGTCGATCATGCGTGTCTCCCGTCTGCACACGACGGCTGCCACCTTCACGCCGCGGAAGCGAGGCTGCCGCTGAATGCTGCAGAGGCTCCTCGGCGTCGGGCCCTCGAGCATGCCGGCGGTCGCGGCGGCGACGAGCGATGTGGCGCCAGCGAGCACCGAGTGACGCCTGCTGAGCGTCCCGGCGATGCGCTCCCGGCTCGTCCATGCACGGTCAGCGTCGGTCACACGCGACTTCGAGAGGCACATCTTGCCGCCGTGCAGCGGCCGCGGAGCCGCGTTGCGTTTGCTGCTGCGCATCGCAGCGGCGTGCGACGTCCGATGCCGCAGCATGTAGCCGCAACGGTGCCGCATCGTGTCTCAGCGAGCGGCTCGGACGCGGGTTGTGCGTGCACAAGGCGGAGGTGCAGGAGAGCAGGAGACGTGAGCGGGCCGCAGCAGGTGAAAGCAAGCCAGCCAAAGGTCGCGCGATCTGCCTGCGATGCGGCACGGTGCTCTCGGGCTGCGGCGGCGAGGCGAGGGCGCTGCGCCCCTTCGCCTTCCCGCGCGCGGCCGCGGCTGCGCCTCCTCGCGCCGGCGCTTTAGCCGCCGGCCAGCGTCGCCTCGCCTCGCCTTCTCGCCCCCTTCCCGCACCAGCAAGCTGTGCTCATCCGTCCTCGCCACATCGCTGCTCCTCACCACCACCACCACCTCTGCCTGCCAGCAGCGCCCACGCATCCGTCCCCCGCGCTCTCGTCGCCGTCTCGCCGCGATCGCAACTCCGCTCGCGCGCGACCAGCTCAGCAGCCGCCGCCGCCTCCACAGCGAGAAAGAGCAACAGCGGCGGCAGACGCAGCGGGCCCCGGCGTTTCTCACGCGCCTTGCGCAGCGTCGCCCGCTCCTCCGTCCCAACCATCGGCATCGGCGCGAGCTGTCCCCTCCTCCAGCAGCAGCCATGGACCGCTCCTCGACGCCGCGCATCTCGCAGCTGCCGCAGTCGCGCTTTCCCGGCAGCAGCAGCGGCAATGCGCACGCCGCCGCCGCAGCGGGCGGCAGCAGCGGCAGCAGCAGCAGCAGTCTCAGCGGCCTCGGCACGCACGTCGTGCACGACGGCGGCAAGCACGGCACGCTCGCGTCGTCGCCGCCGGCTCGCGAGCCGTCGCCGGGCCTGCTGTCGTGGATGCGCAGTGCCCTCATGCTTGCTCCGCCATCACCAGCTCCAGCCAGCAGCACTGCGCATGAGTCCGGTAGCAGCACGCCGCTGCGAGCGCCAACGCACGGCACTGCCGCACCGCCACAGGTCGTCGTCGAGCCGCCGCGCCACGAGCCCGAGTCGCGCGACAGCGGCTCCTGGGAGGACTCTGCGCCGTCGTCGGCGAAATGGGACCACTCTCCGCGCTCGTCCTTCTCGCGCAGCAGCACCTATGACTTCCACGAAGGCAGCGACGAGTCGGACGAGGAAGAGACGTTTGCGCCCTTTGCGCCGGCTGAGCAGACCAAGGCTGCGCCGTCGCTGGTGCGCCCGACGGCACGCAGAGATGCATCGTTCGTTCCCAGCAGCTCGAGCGATCGCAGCCTGGGCGAGGGCCAGGTGCTGCTGGATGGCGCGCCGGCACCACCTGCGAACGGCAACGACAAGACGCCGAGGATGGGCTACAGCGGCTCGGGCGCAGACCTGAGCCGCGCCCTCAGTGTGGACGAAGGTGAGTGCGCTTGTCAGAAGCAGATGCGAGGCAGCTCCGAGGCCGGCATTGTGGTCCAGGCTTGAGTTGGAACTCTCACGCTGGGTGGTCAGGGGCTGGACCGCCGCGGGGTGGACAGGCGCGGGAGGCGTGCCTGATGAGTGCCGCGCGTGCCGGCCAGGGCAGCATTAAGGCCCTCCGCCCACTATCGATGGCCACCTTGCCTCCTCGCGTGAAGATCGGACCACCCCGCAGAGCTTCATCTAAGCGTGCGCAGGGCAAACTGGCGGCGCCCTATCTGGCGCCCGCTTCGCATCGCATCTCCCGCCTCTCACCCATGCATCCTCACTGACACCACACCTGCTCTCCTCCTCCCGATGTCCCTCATCGAACTCGCTGCCATCTTCTCCCAATTCGCAGTCAAGAGCGACGTTCGCATTGTGCGCGACACGAGCAAGCCGACAGCTGCGCCAGCTCTCGTGCTGTGAGTCGCGCGCATCTTCATGTTCAGCCTGCAGCTCGCACTGATGCTGTCGCACAGCACGCCGCCAGATGAGGTCTCGCCGCGCTCCGAGATGTCGCCGATCGCCGGCTGGGTGGAAGCAGAGCAGGCGCAGGCTTCATCTGAACAGAGCGAAGGCCGGCCCGCGCTGCTGGCGCGCGCCGACTCCTACGCCTCCACGTCCAGCTCCTTGTCGGTGGACAGCAACGCGACCGACACAATCGGCGACGGCGAGGCGCTGGGCGATGCACTTGGCCGGCCACGCACGCCTGCCGAGATGGCGCAAGAGCGCCAGAGCAGAGAGAAGGTCGTGCTCGGCACGCGCGGCGCCAGTCTGCGCGAGGCAGCCGGCGGACAAAGCGCACGGCAGGCGCGCCGAGAGCGCCGGGAGCAGCAGGAGGTCGAGGAGATGACGCGGCAGGAGCAGATCGATGAGTGGGACGAGAGCCGCAGCAAGACGCCCAAGCCCTTGACGGCCGCCGCCGCGCCCGAGGCCAGCGAGCTCGTGCGCACTCCGCAGCAGCCCTCGCGTCGGGCAGCTAGCGAAGCCAACCTGCCTGCAACGCCGGCCACGCCGACGACTCCCGTTGCATCCACGCCGAATGGCTCCGCTCTCGCCGCGCCGTCTCCGCGTCGTGGCGCACGCCTGTCGTTCTTCGGGCGCAAGGGCCGCGACGTCAGCATCTCTTCTCTGAACGCCTTCGGCTCGCCGAGCTCCAAGGGCCACGACTCGCAGGCGTCAGGCAATACCTCGCCGATCACGACTGAGCCGGAGTCCTTCGTGGCAGCCGCATCGCCAGCTGCCTCGGATCACGAGGATCTCAAGGCGTCGAAATCGCAGTCGACTACCAGCAGCAGCTTCTGGCGCTTGGGCAACAGGCGTCGCGAGGACTCGACTGCCTCCTCGCGCTCTGCACACAGTCGCCGAACGGCCAACTCGAGCACGGCCAGCTCGCTCTCGAGAACGACAAGCTCCCTAGCACCGAGCGAGCAGGGCTCGGACGATGCCCACTCGCAGGAGGGCAGCTCGGGCAAGAAGACGCGGCCGGTCAGCATGGCCGGCAGCTTTGAGGCGGTGAAGCCAAAGAAGCGCGGCAAGAGCGTGCTGCTGGACGGGCCACGTCTGCAGAAGGTGAGTCGTGTTCAGACACGAGTGCAGGCCAAGGCACTGACTGCGTTATCAGGTCCGCTCGAGGAACAAGCCGTCAAAGCAGCGCGACTTCTCACGCCTTTTCCTGGTGCAAGAGCTGCAGCTCGGCGGCGGGCCGAGTCCTCCGCCTTCACGCCGCACCTCAGATGCAGTCGATGTCAGCCGCAAGTCAGGCGACAACCAGCGCGGCGTGCCTGGCAAGCCGCCACTGCAGCACACTGAGAGCACGGCGAGCATCGCCAGCACGACGAGCAATGCTGCCAGCGCACAGAGCCACGCCGCGTCAACCACATCTTCCGGCTGCGCGCCGTCGTCGGCGGGGCTCAAGCGTCGCGCCACTTGGGCGATGAAGTTCAGCGTCGATGGGCGCTACCTTGCCGTCGCAGGCCAGGACGCAGTGATTCGCGTGTACAAGGTGCTTGACACGCCCGAGGCGCGCAAGCAGGAGGTCACCGACCTCGTCGCACGCGCCGAAGCGCAGCTCAACGGCAACCTCTTCCCGGCGTCGGGCGGCACCGAAGGCGCCTCGTCCACCAGCCTGCCGGGCAAGGCAGGCAACGGCAATGCCTCTGCCCCGTCCTCGGTGCGGTCCAAGGGCGCTGTCGAGACTCCGCTGCCCAGCGTGCCCGTGTTCGCCTCGGAGCCGGTGCGCGAGTTCGTCGGGCACACCAACGACTGCCTCGACCTGTCGTGGTCGAAGAACGGCTTCCTGCTGAGTGCCAGCATGGACAAGACGGCACGCCTGTGGCACCTCTCCAGCCCGACGTGCCTCGTCTCGTTCGTGCACGGCGACTTCGTGACGAGTGCCTGCTTCCACCCGCGCGACGACCGCTTCTTCCTCAGCGGCTCGCTCGACGGCAAGCTGCGTTTGTGGAACATCCCTGCCAAGCGCGTGCAGTGCAGCCAGGAGGTGCCGGGCCTCATCACTGCCTGCGCCTTCACTCGCACCGGCGGAACAGCCTGCGTCGGCACCTTCGCCGGCGCTGCCCTATTCTACAGCACCGACGGCCTCGTCTACCAGTCCTCGATCGCCGTGCGCTCGCCGACCGGCAAGAACGCCAAGGGCGGACGCAAGATCACCGGCATCGAGCCGCTCATCGACGACAGCGCCGCGGGCGAGCGCGTGCTCATCACCTCCAACGACTCGCGCATCCGCGCCTACAACCTGCGCGACAAGGCGCTCTCGGGCCGCTTCAAGGCGAGCAAGACGTACACGAACCGCACCAGCCAGATCCGCGCCAGTGTCTCGGAGGACGGCATGTACGTCATCGCCGGCTCCGAAGCCGGCAGCGAGGGCGGCTTCGTACACCTTTGGGACGTCGGCCAGCTGGCCGGCGATGCCAATGGCACGCCCAGCAGCATCAAGGCCTCGGGCGATAGCTGCTGCGAGTACTTCAGCGCCGCCTCGGGCACCATCACCTGCGCCGTCATGGCGCCGCTCAAGACGCACAGCTACCTGCGCACCTCTGAGGATCCCATTCTGCTGCACGCCGAGATGCGCAATGCCGGCCGCGTCTCGTCGCACACCACCTCTGCGCTCTCGTCGATGAGCCTGGCCAGCGCGCTGAGCGCAGCGCTGCCCGGCACACTGGCGCCCGGCTCGTCGGGCCAGCCGCAGCCCGGCTTCGATGCGCGCAGCTGCCGCATCCTCGCCTCCGTCGACGAGTCGGCCGTCGTGCGCATCTGGCGGCAGGACAGCTACGGCGCCCTGCCCGCCTGACCGATCCGCCGCCGCCGCCCCACCCCTGTATTTCTTCGCGTCACCGCCGCCCACTGTCACTCTCTCCCTATGTCGCCGCCTCGGCACCCCATGTATACCTTGATCTTAGTCGGTGACATTGCTAGCTGTCGTCCATGGACGGCGGCGGAGGAGTCCAGAAGGTGAGCTGCGAGTTGCCTGTGGCGAGCACTGCGAGGAGAGGTCAGCCAGGTCCTGGCACGTGCACGCCACGGCACGCACTGGCATACCGCGGGTTGAAGCCCAGAGCACGAATGGGACCAGCATGCCGGTCCACCGGCGAGATGGGCTGCAGGTCTTGCACCGCAGCAGGCGGTCCTGGTGTTGCCACGTCGTCTGGAAGCGGCCAGAACAGCAGTCGGCCGGTACTTGTGCCTGAGATCAGACAGATTAGCTCGCCGCCGTAGGCAGGCGCGCCGCACGAGCGGCCTCACCGGAGACAACAAAGCGTCCGTCTGGCGTCCAGGCCGTCTCCTGTCCGCTGACGCCGGCCTCTGGCACAAGCCCTGCGAGCTCCGGCGAGCCAACCTCGACACCCTCCAGCCCCTCATGCCCACAGAGGCGGTAGCGGTGCGCGCCCGTCTTGCTGCACATGACGTGATGCGCGCTGCCGGCAGTGCCCACCAGGAGCAGGCCTTGCGGGCTGAACGCCAGCGACGTGGGGATTGTGCCCGGCGGCAGTGCAATCTCAAGGAATGGAGGCTGCGCTTGCCGTCAGCAGAAGCAAGAAGCGACGGCCAGGCTGGCGACGCACGGAGTTGAATCTGCGGACGTCGTACAAGAGCACCGCAGGCCGCTCGTTGATGGCGACTGCAAAGACGCTGCCCGTAGCATCGTACGCCACGACGGGATGCCCTTTGATGCGCATGAGCGCCTGCGCAGCTTTCGTCAGCGCAGCACAGCGCAGGCTTTTGCTGGTGCACACGCACCTGAGACTGGTCTGACCGCGTGTCCCACAGCCGCACGCTCTCGTCGATGGCCGCGCTGAGAAACGTCTCGTCGGCCGGCGACATCTGCAGCGACGTGACCCTGCAGCGCGATCAGCAAGGAGCATCGCAGCGCTGAGCAGCCATGCGCACTTGGACTGATGGCCGCGAAAGTAGGTGATGTATGTGTTCTTGGGTATTGACTGGTGCCGGATGACATCTGCGGGGCGTGAGTCGGGTGCGACACACGCGCTGCCGCGGCATGCGCTCACTGTCGACCTTGGTGCTGGCGTACAGCACCTCCTCGTGCGAGTGCTGCTTGAACTTGGCGAGGTGCACGCCGTACTTGTGCGACACGACTGCCTGTCGCTTTCTGCGCCGCGTCGCTCAGGAGCTGTGCGGCGGGCCCATCCGCCGGCTGCACTCACTTGCCTGCGCGGCAGCTGAACACCTGCACCGTCTCGTCGTCGCCCGCCGAGAGCACGTAGTCGCCGCGGTCGTCGAATGCGATGCTGCACACGCTCTTCAGCCGCGCTGCAGCGACGGCCGAGCTCTCAGCGGGAGCAGAGCTGGCCGAGCCCTGCCCGATGCTGCCGCTGCGCGCGCGGCTGCTGCCGGCGCTGGCTGCGGTGAAGGCACTGGCGGGCGTGCTGGGCTCGGCATGCAGGAAGCTCTTGGACGGCCGGAAGGAGGCGAGCAGCGGCGCCGAGAGCGCCAGCAGCTGCGGCGCATGCGGCTTCTGCGCGGCGGACGAGGCGCTGGCGGGCAGCGTCATGCTGCTGGGCGGCGAGCGGCGGCGGGATGGTGGAGGTCGAGCGGCAAGGGCGGGGTGGAGCGTGTGCATCGCACGTGACCTCACGCGTGGGTCCAACGTGCCGCCTCGATCCGTGCCCCTGCCGTCTCCTTGCACCTTGCTCCTCGTCATTCCTGATTGTGCGGCTGAGGCCTCGGCGGAGCAATGCCATCTGCTCCACGTGTCTGCGCTGCGCTGCGCTGCGCGGAGCTGCTCTTCAGGAGGCGGAGTGTCGTGCACGGGGCAACTGGGCGTGGCGCGCCGGGCATCGAAAGAAGCACGCCGGCGCGGCGGAGGCCTCTCTTGACGAGCCGGCACCTTGCATCAGGGAGCAGCGTATCGAGATCGGGCTGTCCAGCAGAAGCAGCCCTGCTCAAGCTCCGGGTGAGCCTTCTGGCGTGCGGGAGAACCTGCGGCGCCGGTCAGGGGCTGGAGGTGGCGCCTGCGCGGCGTGCGGGTGATGGGCGAGGCTCGGCGTGAGGAGGGCGTGGCTCTCGCACCTCCCAAGCGCCCCTGAGGAGCCATCTCGGCTCCGGGTGCCGCGACGCAGCAGCACGTCTGCGCTAGCTGCGAGAGGCTAGACGTGCGACTGTGGCGCGAGAAAGAGCCTGGGGCTGCAGAGAGGTGGTCTTGAGCCCCCTGGAGCGACGCTGCCCCCCTATGTTCCGCATGTCGCATGGCCGTTCCGCATACAAGGCTGCTCTCGCGAGACCCTTGCCTCTCAGCGTGCAGCGCAGAGGGTATCAGGCGAGCAGCATGGCCATCGCTGTATGCCGCAACCGCAGCAACCAGCCTAGCCACGGTACCCGCACCCGGACACGCGACGACGCTCGTTCCGGCACGGCGAAAGCAGCCTCTGGCGTGCCAGCCTTTGCGCTTGCGGAGCAGGCCGAGATCAACTCGCGGCCGCGGCGCCTCCTCTCTTGTCGCGTTGGGTCTTGGGTCGGGCGGCGGGCGCATGCAGGCGGCGGCACACCACATGGCCCCTTGCCGCTGCTCCGCCGCAGCAACTCTCCGTGAGCTAACGCACAGACAGGCGCCGCAGCCGCCGCCGACGAGGCGAGCTCATGCGCCGCAGCCTTGCATTCGATTTTGAGCATCCAGCTGTCATGCGGCAGCCCAGCTGGGCAGCGCCCTTGACGGGCGCTCGGCGGCGCAGGAGCGCTCTGCAGCGCCCACAGCGCCCCACGCGCCGCCCCTGTGACTTCATCGCGAGGCGCGAGGGCCGCATGAGCGCGCGGCTCACTTTGAGGTGCCGCAGCCGCGCCTTCATGCTTGATGTTGGCAGCGGGGCATCATGGAGGAGTGAGAGGGGCTCGCAGCGCGCAGCTTGCAGGCAGCTCGCACACGCGACAGCGACCAGCATCGACACGGAGGCGACGGCGCTGAAGCAACAGACCCAGCATCAGGCGGATTGGCCAGCAGCGGCTGATGCTCGGTGCAGCAAGGATGCCTCAGGGTCCATCGCCATCGCCTGCGCTCTGCACGCTCCTCGCGCCGGATGTGGCTGGCGAGGCGTGCGTGCGTGCGACTTCGCGATGCCTGTGCCTCTCTGCATGGCAGCCGTTGGCCGAGCTCCGAGAAGAGCATCGAGCGGTGCGGGCGGCGAGCACGATGGCTCCGCGGCCCGGCGGGCGGCGCGCAGCAGCAGCGGGGAGCGGGAGCGGTCGTCCGGCAGACGCGCGCGACGTCGCGCCAGCGCGCAGAGGGCCCGTAAACATGCCGCTCGCCGTGCTGCCTCATGCTGTGCCGCCGAGGGAGCCTCGAGATGGCATGCGAGGCGGCCTGCGCTCGACGGCATGCGGAGAGAGCGGTGGCGGTGCCTGCGCCGTCGCCGGCAGCGGGCGTCAGGCACGCATCGTCCCAGGCTTCTGCCCTCGCACTGGAGCACGCCTTGCGAGCGCTCTGCTGCTCCCGTTGGCAGAGCCAGGCGAGCGGTAAGCGTCTGAGCTGTTGGCACCCGCACACGTGCATTGCTGCTTGCGCTGCAGGGACCTCTCTCTCTCTCTCCGCTGCCGGCTCGCGGCTCGAGATGTGACCGCGCCGAGGGATGCGCCGAGCTGCGAGCCGGAGAGGCGGAGGTGTTGCGCCGCGCCACACCGCACGCCGCTGCCGCTGCGCATCTGCTCCGCTGCGCTTTTGCGCTCGGCAGGAGATGTCACCGCCAGCAGGGCCCGGGTTGATCGGGCATATGATGTCCATGGCCCATCGCCACGGCTGCTGAGAGACTGCGAGCCTGCTGCGGTGACGCGGCGGCCGGGCAGCACAGACGCCTTCCTGCTTGCTGGCACCGCGGGCAGATCTGACGGCCCGTGCGACCTTGTGGCCATCCGAGGTCACCTAACTGCCTTTGCTGCAGTTGTGCATGCTTGCGAACAAGGAGCCGAGCTGAGAGAGGAGCACGAGCGGCAGGGTACACAGCGCAGCCGGCGAGGCCACACGACGCGCGGCGGCCGGCCACGCCCGCCCATCGCGCGCCCGCCGCAGCGTCACGCAGGCGCAGGCGGCGCGCCCGCAGCGCTGGCCTGCGTCTGGCTGCTGTGCCTGGCGCGCGCGGCTGCTCTCCTGACGCCTGCGTGCGGTGCTTGCGCTTGTTCGCTGCCCGTCTGCTGCTGCCTGCTGCGCGCGCTGCGTCGTGCCGGGCCTCCTATGCCTCCTCCTCTCCTCCTCCTCCTCCTTCCTCGCCGCTCTCTGACTGGCGCCTCTCCTACACTCTACCTCACTCGCCGCCAGCAGACCTCGCCGTCGCTGACGCCGGCACACCCACACCAGCTCTCTGGCCTTCGCGCCTTCCACTCCCTCGCCCGGCTTCGGACCCCGCTGCTCCATCTCTCTCTCTCCCGTCACGCTCCTCTCTGCTGCGTCTGGACCCGGTGCCTACTGCCCGTGCACGACACATTTCACTTCGGCCTCTCCGTCCTTTCGCTCTGTCTTTCTCCACTCGGCCGTAGCTGCTGCGCACGCGCTGAGCTTCGACGGGTCTCGCCGCGTCACCATCGCGCAGTCACGTCTCGTCATCCTTGCGCAGCAGCACCACACTGGCCTCGGTCGTCCCGCAGCATCTATCTCTTCCAACATCATCATCGTTCCGGGCTCGCTTGCGCCGCTGCGTCTATCTATTCGACATCCCACTGCCTCCACGTCGCCGCCTCGTGTCTTCTGCCAGTGCACCCTCGACTGTGCCACTGGTGCACAGCCCTCGATCCTGAGCGATGCGCGAGTCCAACTTCAGCAATGCAGCGCAGAACAAGGCATGTGTCACCGTGTCGGCGACGCTCTATGACCGGAGAGGTGCGTGTCGCGCAGCGCGCCCAGCGCGGCAGCGGCCGCGTGTTGTTGGCGCGATCGCTGACATGCCTCGTCCGCCAGCGATCGACTGCACGGCAACGCTGCCGCTGATCAACTCGCTGAACCACCTCGCGTACCTCACCTCGACGTCGCCTCGCATCCGCGAGATGGTCACCGTCGATGGCGGCCTCGAGCGGCTGATCCGGATCCTGCGGCAAGTGCCCAAGGCGCCTTCTGCTGCCGCCGCGCGTGCCGGTGCAGGCTCCAAGGAGCTGCAGGCCTGCTGGAAGTGGAGTCTGGCCTTTCAGTGCGTCATCAACATCGGCGTGCGCGGCAGCGAGTCGGTGCGTACGCGCGTCGTGGAGGCGGGCATGGTGCCCATCACGGTGCGCGTGCTTGAGAACTACCTGCGTGCCATGGACATGGCGCGCGAGGAGCGCAAGCGCGACGCCCACCAGTCGCGCTCGCGCACTGAGCGCCGCTCCGTCGAGGGCCAGCACGCAGAGGCCTACGCGCGCGCTGAGGGCGACGAGGCGCGCCGCCTGTCAACTCGTCGCGGTGCGCTGCGCGACGGCGCCGCAGCGGCGCTCTTTGCGTCGATGGCCGTCGGCGAGCGGGGCGCAGAGGCAAACGCTGCGCCAGCTCTGGGCGATGGCGCGGCTCCGGCGCAGCAGCTGCGCTACGTGCAGCCCGTCGCGAGCCCGGTACCTGCCTCGCTCCGCCAACGACGATCGTCGACTCGCGAAACTGCGCCCTCGACCGATGATTCGTACCCAGACCTCGGGTCAGGCGACTCCAGCAGCATGCCGATGGAGGTCGAGACGCGGCCGACGACGCCCGCAGAAGGCGACGAGGTGCTCGGCGCCGGCGAAGCGTCCTACATGCGTGCCGGCAGCTCAGATCGGCGACACGAGGGCGCCTCGGCAACGGGCATGCCTGTCGCTGTGCCTATGCCGATCCTCTCCGACATGCCCAGTGGACCGATGGACAGCGACGACGCTGAGAGTCTCCACGTGGACGTCTCGCCATCAACGTCCGCGTCGAGCACCATGCCGGCATCTGTCGAGTCGATCGAGGGCGCAGCTCAGCGCACAGCGCCCATGTCGCGCTCCGGCACCCTCACAAACGTTAGCTCAGTCGAAGACTTTGCAGCGGCCAGCGGCAGCGGCAGCGAGGGCGCAGACGAGACGGATCCATTTGGCGACGAGGACGACAGCGAAATGGACGCCGCCGAGGCCTCCAGTGCAGCAGCGATGGAAGAGATCGAGGAGCGGCAAACACCGCGGCCCATCCGGCGTGCCCTCGCACCTCTGACAGAGGCCGAGCTGCACACCATCGCCACGCCGCGCTGGCATGCTCCGACGCACGAAAGCATCCCGGTGCAACGACAGGAGACCGTCACGCCGGCGCAGGTGCGCTCGAGCCGCGGCACCTCCGCCATCACGCCGCGCAACCTGCAGCAGCACCACGAGCACCAGCAGCAGCTGCAGATGCACGCAGCACACCAACATCCCCACGCAGCGCAGCCACAACAGCCTCATCACCACCACCACCACCACCACCAGTCCGCAGCGCACGCCGAGACGCGTGAGCAGCGCCACGAGCGTCACGAGCGTCAGCGCCAGCAGGCTCGTGCCGCTGCGGCACAAGCAGCGGCCGCCGCTGCGCAGATGGACCCCACTGTCACTCCCGAGGAGCAGCGCCAGCTCGAGGCTCGTCGCGCCTACTACCAGGCGCAGCTGATGCACCAGCAGCAGCGCCACGCACTCGCTCAGCAGCAACAACAGCGGCAATCGCAGCCTGCCCCAGACGCCGCCGCACAGCAGGCTCTGGAAGCTCAGCGGCAACGTCGCGAGCAGCGCGCCATGCTGGCGGGAGACGTGCCGATGCAGACGCGCGAAGTCGAGACGCACTCGCCGGTGCAGCACCGCCACCGTCACCGTGCGGCCGACCCGGAGGCGCCGCTCACTGCTCGGCCGTCGCCTCGTCCGGCCAACGTGCACTCGCACCGCGGCAGCGGCCTGCTCACTGGCCGCGGCATCGCCGAGGGCGAGATGATATACCGCGAGGAGGAGGTGCTGCTCAGCCTGCAGCTGCTCGCTTACCTCTCCAAGTACGGACACGTGCGCGCCCTCATGCACAATCCGGAGCTCTCCGGGCGGCCGGAGCCAGGCTCGGTCGAAGAGCTGACGAGCTTGTTCGGCCTGCGCTCGGGACCGGTGGAGCCGCCGCAGGTCGAGAGCTGGTCGCCGGACATGCCCGTGCGGGCCAACGTCTTTGCCATCACAGAGCGATACACAATCCGCTCGTCGCGCAGCAGCGTCAACCAGGCCACGCACGGCAAGCTGGCCGCGGAGATCCAGTACTGGGCCGGCGTCATCATGCGCAACGCGTGCCGCAAGGACGAGCTGCGCGGCGGCGTGCGCCAGTGCGCCAACATGCAGTGCGGCAAGTGGGAGACGTACCCGCGCGAGTTTGCCAAGTGCCGGCGCTGCCGCAAGTGCAAGTACTGCTCCAAGCAGTGCCAAAGCAAGGGCTGGCAGGCGGGACACCGCTTCTGGTGCAGCTCTCGCATGGAGGAGGCCGAAGCAGCGCGCCAGCGCTCTGGCCCTTCCGGCGCCCCGACTGCTGGCACCGGCGTCGATGCCGATGTCTCTCTAGAAGAGCCCGCCGACGAGGCAGCCGGCGGAGCCAGGACGCCGCCGGATGCCGAAGCCACGACTGGCAACGACACGCCCAACGACGGCAACATGCCGCAAGACGCCGAACAGGCAGCCGTGCTCGCGCAAGCTGCAGCGCAGCTGCGGACGCACGGCGCACGTCCGGCTCAGCCAGATGCTCAGCGCCAGCGCACCCGCCGACAGGCGGCGCCCGCACCTGATCCGCGTCAGCAAGCCGAGGAGCTGCAGACGCAGCGGCCGCCTCGGCTGCAGCAGCGCGTCCGCATGGAGCGGCCCAATTCCAGCGAGCAAGGCCGCTTCCACCCTGTCGCACCGCCAGACTCCAGCGACATGCCTGCCTCTGTCGCCGCCGTCGGCCTCGGCGTTGCGCCGCGTGGTCCTCGCCCGTCGGCTATCCCGGTCCACGTCGCCGAGCTGTCGCGCCCAGTGTCGCGCGCCAGCAGCGGCGAGACGTCCGATCAGAGCGACGAGGAGATGGAGCGTGCCGCGCGCCGTCTGCCGAACGCCCTCGGCGCGGCCGCAGCGAGAGGCAGCCCTCTCGCTGCGCAGCGCTACGAAGAGGAGGAGGACGCGCAGCTCAGCGCTCACGCTCCTGGCCGTGGACCGCCGCGGGCGCAGCCACGCACCGACCTCGCCGGTCGGCCTCTGCCGCCGCCAGCTATTGCTCAGCACGACGTTGGCGCTGTCGAGCAGGACCTCCTGGCCCTCGGCGGCCGCTTCACGCCTGGCCTCGGCGATGCAGCCGAACAGGCCGTCTTTGGGCGCGGCGACTTCGACCAGATGATCTGGCGCGGCCACACGCCCGGCCCAGCGGAGCGGGACGACGCAAGCGACGCCGCGACAGACCAGGAGATGCTCCCGCCGACCGCCTCAGCGCCAGCGCCGCTGCGTGCTCCCCTCGCTCGCCAGGCCCAGCGCTTCGTCAGCCTGGCAAGCGGAGCAGGCGCCAGCAACAACGCGCACGAGCACGTCGTGCCCACGGCGCCGCGCATCGCATCAGGAGCCTTTGGCGCCTCCAGCAGCGGCCTGGGCTTCGCCACGCCGTCGCGTTCGCTCGTCTACGCCGGCCTGGAGCAGCGGCGCGTGCCGAGTCATCTCGTCACGGGCCGCGCGCCGCGTTCCGCCTCTGGCCTCGCCACGGCCCCCGCTCACGCCCAGAGCTTCCTAGGCCAGAGCCGCCTGGCCCACGGCGCCGTGCACATGAGCGCCTCGCAGACGGCATCGCCCACCGGCCACGCCGAGTCGCCGCAGCTGCAGCAGCTGGAGCAGCCCCACGACCGCGAGGAGCGCATGCGCCAAGAGGCGCAGTGGCAGCAGTGGGCACAGCAGCAGCAGCAGCAGGTGATGCCGCACTCGCAGGCCACGCCTGTCGCCACGCCAGCGACCCTCGCCAACGAGCCGCAGCAGGCAGCCGAGCCAGAGCTTGCGCGCTACCAGTACATGGTGCCCGGCGAGCACGAGCTGCTGCGTGCCCAGCTGGCGCGCCAGCACGCCGACATGGAGTACGAGAACTAGCCACGCCCTGCCACTTGCGGCGTCCATAGGTCACTTGCCCCCTCGCTCCGAGTCCCACATCCGCTCGGCAGCCTCCCCATTCCCATACCATCCACACATTCCCACTCCATTCCAGCATCTCCAGCATCAGACCGTGGCCGCCCCCCGCTTCATCCTCTCGTGCACTACACCAACCCTTCAATGAGCTCCCTTTCAATGCACTCAGTGAGAACCGGCTTGCCATGTGTGATCGTGCGGTCGCGCTACAGGTGCGGCAAGGGTATGGGACCGCAGTGTGCAGCAGCGGACGGCTGGACGCGGGCAGACTCCATGTGAGAGCGCAACAGAGCGTCCAGCCGTGCAGTGTGGATCGGCCGCTTCATGGCTGCCAGCAGCCGGCTCGATGCGGCTCAGAGCGAGGGATGCAGGCGATGCGGGCGCGAAGCGCGCCTCACTCAAGCCACAATGCCCAGCTCGCGTGCCCGGGCATCAGCGATCCGCAGCGCCTCCTCCTCGCTGGCACCACGCCGCGCCGCGGTGGCCAGGCAGTCTGCGACGACGCCCAGCAGGTGCTGGTTCTCGAGCGCCGCCGCCACACGCTCCTTGTCGTTGAGCTGCTTGTTCACGGCCTTCTCGGACTGGTGCGTGCCCTCGCGCACGCGAATGTCGACCTTGTATCGCGGCGGCAGTGCGCGGAGCAATCGCACTCGGAGCGCCAGGCCTGAGGGCGTCGAGGTCAGCGAGTTTGTCCCCGAGGGCGTACCTCATGTGGGCCCCGGCTTGTCCGTCGTGACCAGCGTCGCAAACGCAGCAGAGCCGTTCATCCCTTGCTTGCCAGCTGCACTTACCAATCAGCGTCGCCATGGAGCAGTGCGGAATCGTCGGCGTGAACTCGAGCAGCACGGTGGGCAGGCGGCCCTTGGCTGCGTCGCCCTCGTCGACGGAGATGTGCTGCGCATTGACGACGGCGAGCTGCTCGAGGGTGAGCGGGTGCTCGGGGTCGGAGATGGAGCGCACGAGATCTGAAGCAGACAGCGATGCAGTACAGCGAGAGGGCAGGACTCGATCAGCAGCACATCTCGCTGAGCAGTCACTCGCCACTCACCGTACACCTCGAAGCTGTCAATAGCCTCCTTCTCCTCCTCGTCTGCCGCGCCACCACTCTCCTCAGGCGCCGCCTCGGCACCGCTGCGCTGTGCGGCCGGCGCGCGGTGCACGGCGGCGTCGCGCCACCACTCGTCGGCGTGCGCGTCCTTGTCGGCGGTGCTGCGCTGCGGCGCGCCGGCGCCGGCGGTGTGGATGATGGGGTTGGCGTTGTCCTTGTCGGCCATGGTGGAGGTGCTGTGGTAGAGATGCAGGTGGGAGAGGGCTTGTCCGCGCTGGGTGGAGGCGTGGCGCGCATCACGTGCCGTGAGCGTCCAAATTTGGCGCAGCGGCGGCAGCGCACACGGGCCGGCCGCCCGCTCCGGCCGTTGCTGCGCACCTCGCTCGGCCAAGTCGCCGGCGTCGAGCGCCGCGCTCCTTCGCTCCCTCACCTCACCGGCTCGGCATCACCGCAGCCGTACCTCACAACTTCCTGGCACACCCGTCGTACCACACACCATGCCTGAGAGCGTCGCCGTGAAGACGCCCGCCGTCGAGGCGGTGCCGGTCGCCGAGGGCAAGCTGGCCGCTGCCGCAGCGCCGGCCAAGCCCACGCCCAACGCCGACGACTCGGGCTCCGACGACGACGGCGACGAGGCGCCCGCCGACGGCGACGAGGCGCCCGCCGACGGCGCCGCGCCCGCCGGCGGGGCCGGCAAGAAGAAGAAGAAGAAGAAGTCGGGCGCGGCCAAGAAGAAGGCGCAGAAGGCGCGCCAGGCGGGGCCCGCCATGGAGCAGACGGAGCCGCCGACGGTGGGCATCACCAAGATCTTCCCCACCAACGTCTACCCCGTCGGCCACATCCTCGAGTACCCGGACTCGTACTGGAACGAGTGAGTGGCCGTGGCGTGTGCATGGTAGGCCGGTGTCGTGCGAGACGAGATGTGGAGGTCTTGCATCTGCTCTCTGTCTCTCTCCGCACATCCCTCTGACGCCCGCACAGCAGCAACCGCAAGCGCATCACTGCCGAGGAGCAGCGCGAGCGCGACCGTCTGGCGCAGCAGGAGGAGGGCGCCGACTTCAACCACGCGCGCCGTGCCGGCGAGGTGCACCGCCAGGTGCGCCAGTACGCTCGCCGCGCCATCAAGCCCGGAATGAGCATGACGGAGATTGCCAACCTCATCGAGGACACGAGCCGCACCATCAACGAGGCGCACGGCTTCGACTCGGGCATCGGCTTCCCGACGGGTCTGAGTCTCAACGAGGTGGCGGCGCACTACACGCCCAACGCAGGCGACAAGCGCAGTGAGTGGTGATCGTGCTCCGCGGCAGTGCCGCAATGGCAAGCACCTGGCTCACCTCCATTTGTAGTTCTGCAGACCGGCGACGTGCTCAAGGTCGACATTGGCGTGCACGCCTCGGGGCGCATCGTCGACAGCGCCTTCACGCTGACGTTTGAGGAGAACAGCATCTGGCAGCCGCTCGTCAAGGCCTCGCAGTCGGCCACCAATGCCGGCATCCGTGCCGCGGGTGTCGACGCGCGCCTGGGCGAGATCGGCGCCATCATCCAGGAGACGATGGAGAGCTACGAGGTTGAGATCAAGGGTCACCTGCAGAAGAGTGAGTGACCGTGTAGGAGGGCCGGAGGCTGCGAGAAGCTGTGACAGCAGCACAGACTCTGGCCTCCGGCGCGCCCGGCTACCAGTGCTGACGCTGCAACAGTTCGCGTGGTCAAGAACCTCAACGGCCACAACATCGAGCGCTACCGCATCCACGGCGGCAAGTCGGTGCCGTGCGTGGCGATGCCCGACTACCCGCAGAAGATGGACGAGGGCGAGTATTTTGCCATCGAGACGTTCGGCTCCACGGGCCGCGGCTACGTCGAGGACAAGGGCGCCTGCTCGCACTACTCGCGCAACCCGGGCAAGGTGCCGCCGATGCGCGTGCCCTCGGCGCGCAGCCTGCTCAAGACGATTGAGTGAGTCGAGACGAGGTAGGCGTACCTCCAAGATTGGCACTGACAGGAGCGCAGCACCGAGTTCGGCACCCTGCCGTTCTGCCGCCGCTACCTCGACCGCGTCGGCGAGAAGGACTACCTGCTCGGCGTGAGTGCCGCATTCCGGCCACACACCGGCCTCATGTGCTCACGCCTTTCCTTCAACAGCTGCGCTACCTCGCCCAGTCGGGCATCGTCGTCGAATACCCGCCGCTGGCCGACAGCCCGCGCGACGCCAACCAGTCCATCGACGACGTGCGCACGTCACAACACGAGGAGACGATCCGCATCGGCGCCAGCAACGTCGAGGTGCTCTCGCACGGCATCGACTACCCCGCCTTCTGAGCAGAGCATCTCACATCACCTCACTCTGGAGCCTCGTTGGCTTTGCTGCGACTTGCCTCGTCTTCCTTCCCGTAATGACATTCGCTGAGCATAGCTGATCGCAAGTTTGCCGCTTGACAAGCCTCCTCAAACAGGTCACAGGGGCATCTGCGCTCGTCTGAGCATGCCGAGGCGCAGTGTAAACGGGGCATTGATGACACGGGGGCAAGACGGAAGACAGTGTGTGTGGATGTGTACGGTGAGGGGGGCGAGGCGGGCGATGCTGTATGTGGAGAGTCGTCGGTGGAAGGCGCGTGCATGTGAGGGGCGTTACGACGGGAAAGAGATACACGACGAGAGAGAGAGAGAGAGAGAGAGAGGGCCAAAGCAAGACGTGATAGCGACGCAAGAGACGCTTTTCGAGGCAGGCGAGCGGACCGTAGACCCGCAAGACAGCAGCGGGGAGTAGGCGGACCGGCGGCAGCGAGCTCATGGCAGCACGCTGAAGTCCTTGCAGTAGCGCGAGAGGCTCGGCTTCGTCCACGACTCGGACTTCTGTGCGGGCATCGTCTGCGCCAGCGCACGGCTGAGGCCGTTGGAGCGCGAGCCGAGCGCCGTGCGCCGCGGCGCCGCCTGGGACGGCGGGAACATGCGGTTGAACGAGTCGAGCGTGTTGGGCGTCGTTGCGAAGCTGCAGCGGACGGAGGGGCGTCAGCGGTCATGTCGTGGCGAAGCTCGCAGGCGCCATCGGACACTCTTACTCACGCATTCTCCGAGTCGTCGGCAAACTGCGCCGCGAGCACATCGTCGTCCCCGCCGGCGCCGATCTGGATGGTGCCAAAGTCACCCGCCTCGCTGCTGCTGGCGGCGTCGTTCTCCTCGTCCTCGCTGCTACGCCAGCTGCCCGCGCCGCTCGAGTCGATGCTGGCGATGCGCTCCATGCCCGAGTACGGCAGCAGCTCGCGCGCCGGCGCCGTCGCCGTGCGCGACCAGCGCTCGCGGTTGCCCAGCAGGAACGAGGGGCCGGAGCTGCCGGGCGTGTCAAAGTCGTCGTTGGCCGGCGCCGGACCGGCGCCCAGCGGCCACACGCCCTGGTGCGACGGCTGCGGGATGGACGAGTGCGGCGAGCGGTAGCCCTGCGCGACGTCTGTGTGATGCGGCGTCAGCCTGACGAGTTCGAGATGCACAGCTATGAAGCAGCAGAGGTACGACAACGCTCCGCTGAGGTTAAAGACGCAGCAAAGCGCCGTTGATACTCGAGCAAGCCTGAAGCAGCCGAGACGAAGCTGTGCTCTGTCAGAGCTCGAGCTGCAGAAGCGCAGCATGCCTTGTCGATACCGAGTTGCAGGGGCGCAGCAGTGCCTTGCAGAGTCGCAGCAGAAACGGTACCCCTTCCTCTTCCAACATCTACGCGCCCCACTCACACGTGCGCTTCTCGATGCCCATCTTCGCCAGGCGGTCGAGCGTCTCCTCGGGGATGAGTGCGTCGAGGCGGGCGCTGCCGCGCATGCCGTCGAGCACGCTGGCCGTGCTGGCCGAGCGCGAGAAGGAGCGCGTCGTGCCGGCGAAGGACTGCAGCGGCGCCCCCTCGGACTCGGCGGCGTACGTGGGGCGCGACGGCGACGCGGGCAGCGCCATGGTGGTCGGGAAGCTCGGAGGTGTGGAAAGCAGAGAGCGTGCGTGAGGGGTTCCAGCGAGGGTGCACAGAGGTGACGGCGGCGGCGGAGAGGGGGATGCAGAGTGAAGACAAGGCTGGGAGGAGGCGAACAAGAGGCGGGCGCCGGCTTGGGGAGCGAGGCGCAGCGCTGGGCGGGGCGTGGGCACGGCGGCAGTGTGCGCTGCCCGCCAGCACCGCCAACGCTGTCCCCTTTCCGTTGCCGGCAGCTCAGGCACGAGCGCAGTCTCCGACGCTGCATGCGATGTGAACGCGTCAACACGTCAATCTACGCGCTCGACGCGTTGAAGTCGGCGGGCGCAGCGACTACATTTGAGGCGAGGCTCGAAGGCGGCAATTCTGTATTGCACCCGTCCGGCCGGCTGCGCCGACGTCGAGCTTCGCTGCTCTGCCCTCCTCCTCCACACGCTCGTAGTCCCCTCTCTGCCACTGCAGCATGTTCCTGCCGCGCAAGGTCGGCCGCGCCGCCGCACGCCCCGGCGCCTCCAAGCACATCGCACCGCCTGCGCCGCCGCTCGACGCCCGCGTGCCCGCCGGCGGACTGCTGCTGCAGCTTTGGCACGACGAGGACGAGCAGGTCGTGCCGGCACCGCAAGCCGGCGAGGCGGATGGCGAGACGGCGGGAGAGAGCAGCGCCGCGGGAGAGGGGCCAGTGCCAGCAGCACAGCATCGCCGGGCGGGCAAGGAGCTCGTGGCGGAGCTCGAGGCGCTCTGCCCGCGCTCCGTGGCGTATGTGGACCTCGGCGCCGAGACTCGCGCGCATGAGGGGAGACGCAGACGGCAGGTGAGTTGCAGGGCGGGGACAGGCACGGCAGTGCGGGAGTGGATCCAGGACTGGCGTCGAGGAGTGATGTGCGCAGGAAGTTCGCTGGACGACGGCTCCTCTTGTGTTAAGCCCCTGGACGAGAAAGGACGAAGCATGAGGAGCAGCGCAGGCGCAGCTGCGCCACGGCCTTGGTCGCTGCCTCTGAGCCGCCATGCTGCATCTGCCAGTCTTGCTGACACCGGTTGCAGCTCATCGTACGCACCCCGACCGCCTCTTCAGCCAGCGCCCTTCTCTCAGCGCTGCAACGTCGCCCTGCAGACAGCGCGAGCACGCTGCACGACGCCAGCATCCTCTCCGGCAGCGCCGAAGTAGCATACTGGGCAGCGCTGCCCGAGCGCGTGCGCAATGCGGCGCGCAAGACGGCAGCGCAGGAGGCGAGCCTCGTGGCGCTGAGGAGGACGCGGAGGAGAGATAAGGTGCAAAGGAGACGGGAACGGCGAAAGGTGGCCGGGCGGCGGGCGGCTCCTGCTTAGAGCGATGCGGCACGGACAGATGCAGAGACACCACGGCAGGACGAAGAGATGCGGCCAAGTGCCGATGAAGAGGCAGTGCAGGACGGCACGGCGCCGCCTGACGATGGGTCGGGGCCGATGCAGACGTGAATGATACCTGGCTACCACGCTGCAAGGCATCTCCTCTCCCTCTGATATTTGCGCAAGCTCGAGAGGCGCATGACGCCGGCCACAGGCAGCGCTTCTTGTAGAGGCATCTCCAACGACCTCTCGCAGTGCGAATGCCATCACTCGAGCATGCGAGTTCAGCCCAGGCAGACCTTCCTCGCGCTTCGTGTGAGAGAGGTGATGTGATTATCGCGCCACAGCAGAGCCCGGTCGCTTCATGCCAGCGGCGAGACGAGCCTGCGGGAGACGCACAGCGTTCAGCGTCAGCTTCGATCTCGTCTTGCTCTCCCTCCCGCCTGTCCGACCAAGCACGCGTCGCAACACTCACTGGATCAGGCTCGGCCGGCCGCCCTGCGTGTATCCGATGTAGAGCACAAACGGAACCCAGCTGCAGCAGGTGAGTCAGCCATGCGCAAGCGAGGGAAAGTGCTAGTGCTCCTAGGACGAGAGGAGTGCGTGGCGAGGGTGCGGACAGCGCCACTCAATGCGGCTCGTACTGTCGCAGCCACGCCTGCACCATCGGATGCAGACAGCAGGTTGGTGAGGCTCCTGGGTGGAGAGTAGATAGAGCCGCTGCAACCGCCCGTACAGGTCCCCAGTGCGATCGCTGAGGACGCGCACAGCCGTTGCAGCACCTGTTCTTACACTCCATCCAGGAGCCTCGCCAGACCCTGGCCCGCCAGGCGCCCTCGCTCCATCCCTTTCTCGTCTGCCCGCTCGCCCGCGGCCCGCTCACCCGTAGTGCAGCACGTTCTTGCCCAGGTCGATGGCGCGCACGATGCGCTCCTTGGTGTCCTCGCTGAGTGCGGCGGCCATGGTGCAGGTGAGAGGTGAGGGGTGAGGTGGAGCTGAGCAGAGAGCCGCGCGCTCAGCGCTGCCGTCCGCTGCGCGCTGTGACCAACTTTGGCCGTGTCACGTGCGCCGGCGCGCGCGCCACTTTAAGTCGCGCCGCCGCGCAGCGAGGCCGCAACGCGCACCGGGGCAGCTCACGCGTCTGGCTGCGCTTCTCAGCATCCGACTCCAACACCCCGCTCTCCCGCACCGCGCACCTGCCACTCTTGCTCCGCCGCCGCAGCGACACACTTCGCCGCCTACCAGCACTCCTTTGCTCGAACAGCACCGCCTCGCCGTCATGCCCGGCGCCGCCGCCGCGCTCGCAGAGCCTGCGCGGCGCGCGTCGAGCCTCTTCATGCCCACGCCACGCGACTCGGCGTCGCCGCGCAAGCGCGTGTCCGCCGAGATGGGCGGCGGCAGCGGCGGCGACGCGGCACAGCACGGCGCTTGGGGCGGCGACGATGCCGCCGGCCCGAGCACCAAGTCGCCACGCCTGGGCGAGCGCAGTGCAGATGTGGAGGGCGACAAGGAGAACGTCGGGCCGGCGCTGCTGCGGCGTGGTGAGCCTCGCCGCGAGGTGCTGCGGCGCAACGCCGCTCACGCCGGCAACACAGCCTCGCCGCCGCCGTCGCACAGCGCTGCCTCGTCACGCTCGGCTGCCGTGTCAACCACTGCCGCGGTGGCGCCTACCGCTGCCGTTTCGTGGCCGGCGGACCTCGACCAGAAGAGCACAGAGGAGCTGCGCTCGCTGCTGCAGAGCAGCCTGGAGAACAAGGACAAGGTGATGGAGACGCTCATGGAGATAATGGAGGGCGGTCCGGCGGCCTTTGGCGCAGACCCGGCCTTCCTGAAGATGCAGCGGTGAGTCGCAGTGCTGCGACGGCTGTCTCTCTCAGTGCTGATGCTGGTTGCAGCGACTTTCTTTCCACACGCATCGCGCAGATCAAGGCTGCCCTGGCCGCACGCTCTTCGACTTCGGGCGCGCCCGCAGCGCCAAGGGCGTCTGAAGCGCCAGCGCCGCCGGGACCGTCGCGCATCGAGCCTGCCACACGTCCCGTGGTGCATTGCGACCCACCGGCACCGGCTTCGTCGATCTCCTCGCATGCCGGCAGTGCACTGTCCGACGACATTCCCGTGCTCACACAGAGCTCGCCGACAGTGGGCGGCAGTCGCGCTTCGCGTGCGCCTGCTCGCACCTCGCTGCTGGCGTCCACGTCTCGTGCCGCTCCTGCTGCACCGCCCAAGCCGCAGTCGGGGCTCGTCGTTGACGAATACGATCTCGATGACCTCACCGAGGAGCCGGACGACGAGCACTTCTACGAGCCCGACGCCGACGAGCTGGCTGCGGCCGGCGCCTTTGACGACGATGACGACGCGCTCGCGGAAGTCGATGAGGGCGCACTGCGCTCAGGCCGAGCCGTCGCCACGGCCGGTCCTTCGCGCGGCAGTGCAGTCGCCTCACGCGACCGCTCCGGTCGACCGCCAAGCCGTGCCACGGCTTCCACTAGCCGCCCTGAATCTTCGCACGACCGCCTTGCTGCGCTGCTGCCCTCGTCGTCTCCTCACGAGCAAGATGACTTCGGCGACTTCGACGACGAAGACATGCTGCTCATCGATGAGCAGGACGTCGCTGCGTCGAGCCGGGCGGCCACGCGCAAGGGCAAAGCCCGCCAGACGCAGGACGATGAGTTCGAGATCGACGAGGGCCGCTCGCGCATGGTGCATCGCCTCGACGACGAGGATGCGGCGCACCCCGACTACGGCCCAGACGTCGTTGGCGGCCCTGCGCGGGCGAACGAAGAGGTGGAGCCGATCCAGATCGTGGCGTCCGCCACGCGCTTCAAGTCTCCGCTCAAGGCGCGCGAGCAGATGAACTACCCGTGGAGCCGCGACGTGGCCTTTGCGCTGCGTAAGAAGTTCAAACTGCGCGAGTTCCGCTCGAACCAGCTCGAGGCGATCAACGCGACGCTTGGCGGAGGGGACGTGTTCTGCCTGATGCCGACTGGCGGTGGCAAGAGCCTGTGCTACCAGCTGCCGGCGCTCGTCGACTCGGGCAAGACGTCCGGCGTGACGATCGTCATCTCGCCGCTCATCTCGCTGATCCAGGATCAGGTCAAACACCTCATCGACCTCTCGATTCCCGCCTGCGCGCTCACGGGCGATCAGACGCAGTCGCAGCGCGAGTTTGTGCTCGGCGAGCTTTTCAAGCGCGATGAGCAGCTGGTCACGCGCCTCATCTACGTGACGCCTGAGCTCATCGCCAAGTCGCGCCAGGCCCACGATGTCTTCACCGACCTGTACCGCCGCAAGAAGCTCGCACGCTTCGTCGTCGATGAGGCGCACTGTGTCAGCCAGTGGGGCCATGACTTCCGCCCCGACTACCAGGGCCTCGGCTCGCTGCGCCGCGATTTTCCGAAGGTCCCCTTCATGGCCATGACGGCGACGGCGACGGAGCGCGTCAAGGAGGACATCGTGGCGAACCTCGGCATCAAGGGCTGCAAGACGCTCGAGCAGTCGTTCAACCGGCCCAACCTGCACTACCACGTGCGCGACAAGAAGGCCGGCCTGCTCGCCGACATCTCGTCGTTCATCAACTCGTCGCACCGCGGCGAGTGCGGCATCGTGTACTGCATGAGCCGCAAGGCGTGCGAGGACGTGGCCGACCAGCTTACCAAGAAGCACGGCGTCGAGGCGCAGCCCTACCACGCCGGCATGAACAAGAACGACCGCATCCGCATCCAGGAGCGCTGGCAGGCGGGCCACTTCAAGGTCATCTGCGCCACGATTGCGTTTGGCATGGGCATCGACAAGGCCGACGTGCGCTTCGGTGAGTTGAGCGAACCCTGAGGCAGTCAGCGCGCAGCTAACGCTCCTCATCCCCAGTGGTGCACCACACGCTGCCAAAGTCGCTCGAGGGCCTGTACCAGGAGACGGGCCGCGCCGGGCGCGACGGCAAGAGCTCGACGTGTGTGCTCTACTTTGCCTTCAAGGACACGTCGTGGTACAAGAAGATGATCGACGAGGGCCCGGGCTCGTACCAGCAGAAGGAGCAGCAGCACGCCAACCTGCGCCAGGTCGTGGCGTACTGCATGAACAAGATCGACTGCCGCCGCTCGCAGGTGCTGCAGTACTTCGGCGAGGTCTTTCCTGCCGAGAACTGCCACCACACGTGCGACAACTGCACTGAGAACGGCCCCGGTCGCGGTGCGGCAGGCGGCTCGACGCTCGTGCCGACCGACGTGACGCTGCTGGCCAAGGCGGCCGTGGAGCTGGTGCAGGACATCGTCAAGGGCCGCAACAGCGGCACGCTGCTGCACTGTGCCGACGTCTTTCGCGGCACGACGAAGAAGGCCATTGCCGACCGCGGCCACGACCGCCTGCGCCACTACGCCGCCGGCTCGAAGCTCAAGGGCGGCGACTGCCAGCGCCTCTTCCAGCGCCTCGTGCTGGATGGCTACTTGAGCGAGAAGGCCGTCATGAACGGTAGCGGCTTTGCCACCAACTACATGGAGGTGAGTGCGCGTTCTCGGAGCTGGTCTCTTGCGATCGCCTGCTCATCGGTCGCGACAGCTGGGCCCCAACGCCAATGCACTGCTGCGCGGCACCGCCAAGGTCGAGCTGCCCGTCGAGACCAAGGCTGCGCGCTCAGTCGCCGGTCCGTCGGCGCCAGTGGCGCGACGCAAGGGCAAGGCGCCGCAGCGCATGGACGAGCAGGAGTTCCAGTACGCGCCCGACGAGTTTGACATCTCGGCAGCCGATCTCAGTCCCGTCGAGGAGTTCTTCGAGCGCAACGAGCGCAGCGTGCGCGGCAAGCGCGTTGCAGAAGGCCTGGCCGCCGACTTCCCGCAGCAGGTGCAGCGCCCCGTCAAGCAGACGAAGGACGTCGCTGCTGCGGCCAAGCGTGCGGTCCGCCGCAAGGGCCCCGACGACGACGACATCATCGAGGACTGGGAGGAGAACTCGCAGCTCGCGCGCCCCAAGCGCGCTGACGCGACGGATTCGCACCAGGCCTGCTACCAGGAGCTGCTGCGCGTGCGCAAGGAGGTGAGTCTGGCGCGAGGGTGTCCTGAGCAAGGGCTGACAATCGTGCCCACCACCAGTTCGGAGACAAGCAGGGCCTCGTGCCGGCCAAGCTGCTTGACGATGGCGCGCTGCAAGAGGTCGCATTCCTGATGCCGTCGAGTGAGTGTCTCGCATCCTCCCTGCCCGAACACACGCTCACAAAGTCCGACGACAGCGATCTCTGCTCTGACGCAGATCGAGGGCGTCAATCCGGGCCGCCCGGCATTCCTGAGCGCCTTGCTCGCCGGTGCGTGCCGTTTGCCCATCCCATGCGACTGCGTTGCTGACTCTTGAGCGCAGTCACGAAGCGTCACCTCGAACGCTCTCTGGATGCGCCGTCGAGCCGCAACACGTCCGGCCCGAGCTTCGCGACTAGCTCCCGTGTCGCTGCACCCACGCGACCCGTCCATCCGCCGGCAGCCATGTCACGCTCGACGACGGGAGCCGCGCCCGTCTCGTCGCGCGCCGATGCCCTCTCGCGCCTGGGCGGCGGCGGCGTTCGCGCTATGCCACTGCCGGCCGGCGTGGGCAGGAGCAGCACGTCGGCAACCCGCGGCGGCTCGAGCTCCAGCCGTGGCTCGTACGCCAGTCGCGGTGGACGTGGCCGTGGCGCTCGCGGAGGCCGCCGCAGCTGAAACGAGAGCGTGGGCCCTTTGGCCGCCACCTACACGGCAGCTCTCAAAGCACATCCTGTGACCCCTTTACCCCACACACACCTCCTGACGACAGACTGAGCACACCGTGTAGCACCATCATCATCATCCAGTGTAATATCAGCCATCTCATTCGCCTGCACACGTCGCGGCAGAGCAGCCGCTGCTGCGCGGCTGTGCCTCCCGCCTGACGTGCCGCCAAGCCGCTCGCCGCGCGCCGGCAATCACGGCACGCTGCACTTAGCGCGCATGAGCCATCCTTCCCCGCACTTGGGCCGCCGTGCCGCGGCCAAGGCCGTCCTTCGCTCATCACCACAGCCACCGCAAGCATGGCCGACGCATTCACTCAGTCCTGCCAGAACTCAAGCGGGCCCAAGGGTGCGCATAAGGACCCTCCGGCCGCCCGTGTCTTCCTGCTTACTCTGGCTCGCGCGCGCAGCCCATGCCCGCACGAAGGAGGTGCTCGACTCGCTGATGAAGCATCGTCAGTCCGCTCTGCGCGTGAGGCCTGCCTCTGCAGTGTCGCTGATAGCCCTGCACAGTGCATGCCTTCTGCCGCGAGACGCAGCTGACGCAGGACGAGTGGCTGCTGGCGTGTGCGTGCTTCGCCGGAGCGATGCGCCTCCGCCGTTCGTGACTGACGCTGGCTGCGTCTGCAGGCAATGAGCTGGCGCGAGCCGGGCAGATGAGCGACGCCAAGCGCAACGAGCTCATCCTCATCTCCGACGTGCTGGGCATCGAGTCGCTCGTCGACAGCATGGCCCACGAGCGTGCTGCTGCCGCTGCGGCCGCGCCAGTCACGGACGGCGCGCCTGCCGAGAGCGCCCCCACGCTGAGCGCCATCCTGGGGCCGTTCTATCGCGAGAATGCACCGAAGTACCCCAACGGCAGCGATGTGGTGCTGGACCACTCTATCACCGACACCAATGGCAAGCCGGGCATCACTGCGTCCATCAGGCGAGTACACATCGAGGCGAGGCAAGCTGCGCCCGCACTGACGGCAGCTCCACAGCGGCACTGTGTCGGATGCCAGCGGCAAGCCCATTGTTGGCGCCGAGATCGACGTCTGGGTGCGCATGCCGTCGAGATAGCCTAGCTTGCCACGACTAAGCTCGCATGCACACAGTTTGCCGGGCCCAACGGGCTCTATGAGCAGCAGGACCCCAAGCAGCCGGCCTACAACTACCGCGGCCTCTTCACGACGGACGCACAGGGCGCCTATTCCATGCGCGTGCTCAAGCCCACGGCGTACCCGATTCCCTTCGATGGCCCTACGGGCGACATCCTGCGGGCACTCGGTGTGTCGCTGCTGCTACTGCCTTGCCCTCGGCCTGTGGCTTGCTAACGCTCAGCGCAGACCGGTCGCCAATGCGTCCGGCACACATCCACTTCCTCGTCAAGGCGCCGGGTCACAAGACGCTCATCACTCAGGTGCGCAGCCTCTGGCAAAGTGGCGCTGCATGCGCGGAAGCACTGACGCTCCTCCCTCAGCTGTACGACCGCGACTGCGAGCACGTCGCAGCAGATGCGGTGCGCAGGCCTGCGCGCCCGGCATGCTTGCGCGCACTGACTCTCTGCTCTGCAGGTCTTCGCCGTCAAGGACAGCCTCGTTGTCGACTTCCGGCCAGCCGCAGCAGACGCTTCGCACGGTGCCGCGACGGAACTGCGCTACGACATCGTGCTGGCCGCTGCTGCATGAGCGCTCGCCGGATGCAATGCCACACGTGATCACACACGCAAGCGCAAGTAGTGAGTAGTGAGTGAGTGTGTAGGCGAGATACATGTGACTGTGGTGTAGCGTGGTGTGTGTAGAAGTATGCTAGCTGCTGCGCCGCAGCGCCACGCGAGGCCTGCTGATGTGCAAGCCTCGCGCGCACGCGAGCGCGTTCCCTCCTCCGATTACTCCTCGACGATGTCCTCTCGGCGTGGCTTCTTCGGCTCCTCCTTGCGGCGCATCTTGTACGCATCGCCCGCGGCATGCAGCTCCTGCACCTCGCCCAGCACGGCGTCGTCCTCGCGCATGCGGCCGAGGCCCGTCTGGGCACGCGCCAGCTCGACGAGGTCGGCAATCGGCACGAGACCGTCGTTGTCGACATCGAGCTTGTCGACCAAGGCCTCGATGTTCTCCTCCTCTGGCTTGTGCTTGATGAGCCGCAGCGCCTGCTCGACGTCGTCGACGCTGATCTTGCCGCTGGGCGACGTCTCGATGATGCTGCGAGGAGAAGGTCAGCAGCGAAACAATCGGCGACACGCGCCGTACTTACTGCATGCGCGAGCCGACATCCGCGTCATACTCCTCGAGCTGCTGGTCGATCTGCTTGAGCATCGCCTTGACGCGCTTGGCGAGGCTGCGCGTGGCGGAGGACATCTGCGGCGCCGCGGGCGTCTCTTCCGCCTCCTTGCCGTCGGCGGCGCTCTTTGTGCCGTCCGACTGCGCCAGGTCGGCAACCGAGACCTGCGAGTCGTCGGCCATCTGCTTGATGAGCTGCGCGAGCTCCTCGCGCTCCTTGAGCACGCTCGACTTTGCGCTCAGCAGACTCAGTGCCTCGCCGAGCTCCGTGAGCTGCTCGTTGGTCATGCGCGCATCCTGCGCCTCGGGCGACACCTCTGCGCGCGGCAGCAGCGACTTTGCCTCCTCCTCCTCCTTGCTGAGCTTGACGCGCTCGGCGGCGGCCTTCTTCTTCTCCTTGTCGGCCTTGCGCGCCTCCTCCTCGGCCATCTCCTGGTCGGCCTCGTCGGCAATGAGCTCTTCCTGCTGCTGCAGCACCTCGAGACGCTGCTTGTTCGTCGCCGCGTCCTTGCTGACGTTGAGCTCGGCCTCGCTGATGAGGTTGTCCGGCAGGCTGCTGAGCGTCAGCTCAAGGCTCTTGAGCTGCGACGTGGCGCCCGTCTCGCTGCCCTGCGGCATGTAGTTGAATGCCTTGGAGAGGATGAGGAGGATGCCCGAGATGCGCTGGTGCAGGTGCAGCTCGATCCACTGCGCCATCTCCTCGCGCAGCCGCTCCTCGCCCAGGCCCAGCGTCTGGATGCCGCGGCTCTGGCACGCGCTCTGCAGCTCGTGCAGCGAGAGGCCCTTTGTGCCTTCAGCCGAGATGGTCATGTCGTCGCGGCGGATGCGCGCCAGCTTGTGCCGGATCTGGTAGCGCAAGTAGTTGTCCGTGCCGAACGCATTGATCTGCATGTAGCGGCACATCGACACGAGCTGTGGCCGCGTGAGGTTGTCGAGCGTCACCTCGTCGTCGAAGAGCTTGGCCACCTTGACAATGTCCTCCGTCGACGGCTCCTCGCCCGTGGAGCGGACCTGCAACAAGACGTCAGCCGCAGCGCCACGTCTTCACCCCCTCTCCTGCACTCACCTTGCGGAAGAACTCCTTGAACTCGTCCGACGTCTGCACCTTGTCTGCCGCCTGGATGCCGCCTTCCCGGATCGTCTCCTGCAAGAACTTTGCCATCTCGAGGCGCATCTTGATCAGGCCGCGGCGCTTCTCTTCCACTGCGAACTTGCTCTCAAACGTCGAGGGGAGCATGTTGGGAAAGAACTTGATCGCCACGGGCAGCAGCAGCTCGCCGGCGGGGATGATGATGAAGGGCACAAAGGGAATCAGACGCAGCAGGTCGGCCGTCGTGCGCTTGAGCTGTGGAGCAGAGTCAGCATGCTGCCATCTGGCAGAGAGGCAACGGCCCGACTCACCTGGCGGTGCTCGCGCCGCGTGAGGCTATGTCCGAGCATGAGGCGGCGCAGCAGGCGCGACGAGATGCGCACCTCCTTGGCCAGCAGCTTGGTGCCGTGCCAGTAGTGCGCCGCCTCCTCCTTGACCTTGATCCAGACACGCTTGGCCAGCGGCTTCTCCTTCCAGCGCTTCTCCGCCTCCTTGGCCTCCAGCTCCTTCTTCTGGGGCTCCACGAGCTGCGCCTGCGACGCCGAGGTCTGGTTCGACGGCGAGCCCAGCTCCTCGCCGACGAGCGGCAGCACGGGCACGACGCGCGAGATGTGCGACGTCGGCACGGGCTCGGCGGGCGCAGGGCCGGCCGTCTGGTACGTTGCCTTGGCAGCGTCTGCCTTCTGCGGCGAGCGTCCGGCGCCCGGCGGAGGCGGCGGCGGCTGGCTGGCGGCGGCGTCGCGGTGCGGCTCGGCATGCTGCCAGCGGCGCGCACCCTCGGAGCGCACGACGAGCACGCCGAGCGGCCGCCGCGTGGCAGCATAGTGGTGGTAGCCGGCGCTGCGCACGAGGCCGGGCGAGAAGAGGCGCAGCACGTCGGCCTGCGAGCGCACGGCACTGCTCGTGCTGCCGGCGCTGCTTCGCCCCACCGTGGGGTGGGCGCGGGCGGAGGCGACGAGCGAGCGCGTGGCGAGCGACATGCTGCGTGCGTGCAACACCGAGGCCGACGACGAGGCCATGGCGGACGGAGCGCAGCGGTGGAAGAAAGGCGGCGTGGCGGAGAGGTGGCGGGTGCGCCGCGAGTGAGAGAGCAGGAGCTGCACCCGAGGAGAGGCGATGCGTGCAAGCGAGTGTGAGGCGTGTGCGGTGGTGACGGTGCGAGAGATGGTGGTGGTGGGACGCAGGCAGTGGAGGCCGGCGCTGCACGGGTGAAAGAGTGCCGAGCGAGCGTGCTGGAATGCGCCGGTGCTGCTTTGTGGGCGGCGGGCGGCGCAAGCGCACGGCGCAAGAGTTTCGCGCGGGCGGCCGGCCGCCGGCGGCGCAGCGCGCGGATCAAGGGTGCCTGCCCCAGCTCCGCCGCCGCGCGGCCCGACCGGCCGCCGCTGCACGTCTCCGCTGCTTGCGCCACACCCTCGTCGCCGTTGCTTTGTCCTTCCGCGAGGCAGCCACGGAGCACGAGGCGATGCTGATGGCCCAGCCTGCCCCACTTGGCCGTTCTCCTCCCGCACGAGCAAGAGCGTCCGGGGAGCAGCGCCGCACTGAGGCGAGAGGGCGCCGTGCGCCAAACTTTGGCATGCGCGGCGCTCGCCTCGCTTCGGCGCTGTCCGGCCGCGCTGCGCCGAGAGCGCGGGAGGTCTGGCAGGCGTGGCGGTGCTGCCGCCGCTCAGCCTCCACCGCCTCCCAAGCCGCTGCGAAGCAAGATGTGCATCTCAAAATGTGGAGTGCGCTGCGCTGAGCACGGAGAGCTGCCTGCTTGAGGTGCTGGCCCGGCACAGCGGCGGACGCGGGAGGAAGCGCAGCCAAGGCTGTGCGCACGCGCGCGCGACAGCGGACGAGGCTGTGCCACGCTCCGTGCGAATCCGCCAGCGCGCACAGACGCAGCACGGGCGCGCCTTCTCCACATCGCCTGCGCCCCGCACTCCATCCTCTGCTCTCCACCACCACCACCGCACGCCGCACTTCACCTCTCCAGCCACTTCCACCATGTCCTCCTTCATGCAGCGCGCCCGCGATCGCGCGCAGGAGGCCGCGGCCCGCGCACAGAGCCTGGCGCAGGACGGCGCAGCCCGCCTCAATGCCAGCACTGGCGGCGGCAGCAGCAGCGGCAGCACGGCCGGCGGCGGCAAGGCGCCCGGCTCTCCCGGCGGCACTCCAGCAGGGTGAGTATGGCGAAGAGAAGCAGTGGCCATGCTGCCATGCTCGCGCTTCGCATCCCTGACTCCGTCTCGCAGCGTCTCGGGCTACTCCGGCTCTCTGCCGCACGTCCTCCGCCAAGGGCTGGCGCAGTACTACCCGCGCTCCGACTCCGACTCGCGCGCCAACTACATCCTCAAGAACGCACTCAAGGGCATGATCCTCGACCACGCCGCCACGGCACGCGAGACCAAGACGGCCGCGCACGCCACGTACAGCTGGGGCGTGGAGCAGGATCCGAAGAAGAGCGAGGAGGGCCAGGGCGATGCCGCGCTTGTTGATGTGTGAGTCGGGCCCGCCAGCCCTGGTGTATTGGTGGCTCACAGTCCGTTACACAGCGCCGATCGGCTGGCGTTTATGCTCCAGACCATCTCCGACCTCGAGCAAGCGCACGTCGGCCGTGCCGAAAACGCACGCGCGACGTTCAAGCGCATTGCCAAGGCCGAGCGCGAACTGGCACCCAAGCGCGAACGCCGCGCCAAGCTGCGCAAAGAGCTGCACACCCTCATGCCGGAGCAGGCAAAGGGCAACACGGAGCGCATTGCGCCGCTCCAGCAGCGCCTCAAGGAGTGGCAGGAGGATGACCGCGAGGAGGAGGAGGAGCTTGGTCGGCTGAAGCGCGAATGGTGAGTTTCGGGCAAGCCCGACTAGGTTGTGCGGGGAGCTCATCCCTCTCCTATGCAGCCTTCGCGACAGCTACGAGGCGCACTTTGACTCACTCATCGAGCTTGGAGAGAAGGTGCGCCGTGTCCTGAGCAGATGGGCAGCACGAGGGCAAGTGCTGACGCGTGCCTTTCACAGCTTGCCATCGTTGCGCGCCACGGCAAGCTCCTCACGCATCAGATTCCCGTCGGCACTCCTGTCTATCCCGCTCCTCGCAACGAGACCTCATGGGCGGGTGCTTCTCGCACCGCCGCCATCCGTGCCGCGCTGCCGCCGGCACTGGCGGGCTACCAGCCGGGCACGCAACTGCCGGAGCTGGCGGTCGAGGACCTGGCCAGCGGCACATCGGGCGCTTCGTCGCTCCACTCTGCGGACACGATCAGCTACGGCGAAAGCCACGCGGAGGAACTCTCGCTCTTCAACCAGGGCACGGAGCTGCATGACGACGACGACGGCGCGAGTGCACACCACGGTGGCAGCGCTGCCATGCTCGGCGCGGCTGGCACTGGCGGTGCCGCGGCGTACGCACACAGCAGCAGCGCCTCGACGCACAGCGATGCTCATGCTGCGCTGGCGCCTAGCAGCCTTGGCGGCGGACCCACGTCTCCGAGCCTGCTCGACAACATCAACAACGGCCCCGCCGAGCTTCCTCCTTCTCCCTCCGCCGGACACGGCGCAGCACAGCGGCACCGCGTGCCTCCCCTGCCTTCGCCCTCTGCCGGCGGCGGCAGCAGCTCGAGCGGCGGCATGATGCCGCCGCCGCCGCAGCACGAGACGGATGTGCGTGGTGATCTCGCGGATGGCCCGAGCGTGGCCGAGACTGGCAAGCCGATCGTGGGACCTGGCGGACCCTCAAGCGGCACGCTTCAGCCTCGGGTTCCTCGTCGCTCGAGCGCCGCCTCGAGCGGAGCGGCCATCAATCCCTTCGGCGACGCCGCCTCCGCTCCTCTCGCCGGCGGCGCCGGATCGTCGACCATCGCGGATGCGCATGCGCGCAAGGAAGCAGAGGCGGCGAGGGAGCGCAAAGAGGCGGAGGCGCAGCGCGAGAGGGACCAGGTGGCGGCTCAGGCTGTGCAGGCGCGCATCCGCAGGGACGGCACGGTGGTGCGCCGTGGCGAGCAGGGCTACGAAGAGGCGGAGGAGGAGGGACTGCCTGCGTACCATGTGTAGGTGCTGATGCGCTGAGCGGGGAGAGGAGGGTCTTTGTACATTGACATATGATCAGAGACGGTTGACAATCGAAGCTTCGTCACGAGTGTCCTCTGGAGCTGATGATCGATGCATGCTCAGGGCGAGCGCACAGACCTGTGTCGCTTGGGCACGTCGAGGTGTCCTGCCGCATGGACGCTCTTCCCCCCGACGGCACGAGCGTCTGGCAGGATCGGCGCCGCTCTTGACTCGAGAGTCTCGTGAGCCCTTTGGGCTTGTAAGCCAGGCTGGCGGTCATGGTGCCGCGAGCGTCTTCAGCCGTCGATCAACGTGATGCTTGCCAGGCCCGCCGAGCGCCTCGGAGGCGTGGGACTGGATGGCGCGAGCTTACGTCAGCTCGGTGTGCTCCCAAATGCATCGAGCGAGGTGCGCCCACGTCCCTTTGGCTTGTGCGTGTGCTGCGTTCTGCCATCGACATCACAGCGCTGCATGCTGGCAGCTGCAGCGACGCTGCGGTGCTGCGCCGCGAAGGAGGGGTGCGCGCTCGCACCCCCTTGATGCGCAAGGAGGCGCTAGCCACACAGCCTGCACGCTGAGGGCTGCAGCCGCCCCTCACGCGTCTCTTCTCGCAGCACGCAGCAGGTGCAGCCCGCGCACGGAGCCTTTTCCGCCCCCTTCGCCCTCCGCTCTGCAGCTGCCGTCGAGATCAGCACACCTCCGCAGCGACATCCCGTGAAGTGCTCGTGACCCCTGTTGAGCACGGAGCATTCCCTTTCGGAGGGGCAGCGATGAGGGCCGTCGGCGGCTCGGAGGTGAGGCAGCGAGGCCGCTTGCGCGGTGCCGCCCTCGCCGCGCCAAGAAGCCATGTGCAGGCTCAGCCCCTGCGCCATGTTGCGGCACTCCGCCTGTCTGCGCGAGATGCACACATGCACACCAAGCGCGTTTGCTTGTCCGAGGGTGCAAGAGGCAGCCTCCGAGCTCGTCTGCAGCCGCCAGCGCACAGCCGAGAGCCCCACTGCGAGCGGAGGAGAGGCTCCCTTGTGGTCGACGAAGGCGCTCAGGCTGCCCTGCTGGCTTGAGAGAAGGCGACGGCTGCGATGCTGGAAGGGAGGGGGCGGACAAGGCCCGAGGCACGAGGACAAGGCGCGCGTCAGGAGGCGGCCCAAGCTCACGGCACCTCGCGGCACCGCAGCTGCACCTCGCACCCTTGGCAGGGGCCGCTGCTACAGCGCCCGCACATTGCCGCTGCGCAGCTGCAGGATGCCGGCATCGCAGCTGCGAAGAGACGCCGAGCGGGCACGGCAAGGCACATGGCCAGAGATCGGGACTCCGCCGGCAGCAGGGCGGCGTGGCGCCGCAGCCGCGCCGGCGACGGGGCCGCTTGCGCTCTCGCAGCGGCGCACGCCCTCGAGCGGCGGTCAGCGCTGCGCTGCGCTGCGAGAGAGAGGGCCGGCTGCGGATGCTGCGAGAGGAGAGGCAGGCGAGGACTCTGACTGCATTTGGTGCTGGCTGCTGCCCGCCCTGCGCGGCGAGAGCGATGCACGCCCGACTGGCTGCGCTGCGCATCTCGCCGCCTCTTGTGGCCGCCCTTGCCATCGTCGAGCCTGCCTCTGCTCCTCCATCCCGCCCTCTCTCCCTTCCCTCTCCCCGTCTCTCCCTCTCTCTCCTCAAGACCGCTCAACTTGTTGCTTGACGCACCAACCACTCTCTCACAACTCGACTGCTTGACGCACTCTCACCCTCTCACCCACCCTCTCACCTCTCACACGCAGCGCGTGTGTCTCTCTCACCCGCCTCTTTCACCCACCTCACACGCGCCACCATGTCGCCCTTCTCCCGTCTTCTCTCTCTCCTCCTTCTCTCCCTTCTCGCCTCCTCGTTTGCGCCCATCTCGTCCACCGGCGCGCTCGCACACGGAAGCTTCGAGCATGCCAACGCCATGCCGCGTGCGCTGCACGCCGGCGCTGGCGGACACAAGCGCATGCTGAAGCGCTCGCAGCGCTCCAAGCGCACCGAGGGCAGTGCCGGGGCGCAGCAGCAGGCGCAGGCAGCCGCTCCCGCTCCGGCGCAAGAGGCTGCTCCGGCTGCGCAGCAGGCCGCTCCCGCACCACAGCAAGAGGCCGCTCCGGCGCCGCAGCAGCAGCAGGCCGCACCGGCACAGGCTCCGCAGCAGGCCGCTCCCGCACCGGCAGCGGAGGCTCAGCAAGCGTCGTCATGGTCGTCCAACGAGCAGCAGGCACAGGCCTCGTCGTCGAGCGAGCAGCAGTCGTGGTCGAACGACGACAAGTCGGACAGCAAGGCTGGCGAGGCGCAGGCTTCTCAGCAGCAGGAGGCCGAGGCTTCGTGGCAGGACAAGCCGGAGGACAAGAAGCACGATGAGCAGGCCTCGTCGTCGTCGTCGTCGTCTCACTCCGAATGGTCCGCGTCGAGCGAGCAGCACGCGGCCGTGAAGCAGGAGGAGCACAAGTCTCAGCAGCCCGCACCGGCCAAGGCCGAGGCTGCCGCCAACGCCGACGCCGGCTCGTCGCACCACTCGAACCAGCAGCAGACGGAGGGCAAGACGGAGCAGAAGACGGACGTCAAGGTCCAGTCGAGCAACGGCGAGACCAACGGCGACGACAAGCCCACTGAGCAGGCCCAGACGAAGGGCGAGCAGCACGAGTACCACGCCGTCGCTCCGGCCCAGCAGCAGCCCGCCGTCTCGCACAACTCGACCGTCGGCGCCTCGCACAACGCCACGCTCGCCGGCTCGCACAACGCCACCATGGTTCCCTCGCACAACGGCACGGTCACCAACAGCACGCTGGCCAACAACGGCACGCTGGCGAACAACGGCACCATCGTCGGCGCGGGCAACTGCACGGCCATCAACGGCACGCTTGCCGGCGTCAACGGCACGGCGAACTGCACCGTCGGCGCCAACTCGACGGCCCCTGCCAACAGCACGGACGGCAAGAGCGAGGAGGGCAAGAACTCGGCGCCCATGCCCGTCGACGATGAGGAGGACGTTGAGGACGACGAGGACGTCGAGGACGACGCCGCTCCGGCGCCGCAGCAGGACGTGAAGCATGTCAAGCACGTCAAGCACGTCAAGGCCTCCTCTTCCGGCTCGCAGCAGTCCAACGTCGCCGCTGGCTCGGGCAACAACAAGGCCGCCGCTTCGTCGGACAACAACTGGTCTGCCTCTTCTGGCGGCAACGGCGGTGGTTCGTGGGACGGCAGCTGGGACGGCGAGGAGGAGTGCGACGCTGATTACGAGGAGTCGTACGAGGAGGAGGAGGACTGCGAGGACGACGACGACGAGTCGGAGCCCGTCGCTGCCGCTTCTTCCGCCGACTCGCAGCGCCAGGCACAGCCCGCCGCTCAGCAGCAGCAGGCCAAGCCGGCCGAGCAGCCCAAGCAGGACAAGTCCGCCGAGCAGCCCAAGCCGGCCGAGCAGCCGAAGCAGGCCGAGCGGCCCAAGCAGGAGCAGCCCAAGCCCGCCTCCTCGAGCGGCAACGGCCAGACGTTCAGCGGAAAGGCCACATTCTTCTACCAAAATGGAAACCCCGGCCATTGCTCGCACTACAACTCGGACAGCACTCCTCTCGTCGCTCTCCCCTCCGCGATTTACGCCAATGGAGCACACTGCGGCAAGAAAGTCATCATTCATCGTGGATCGAAGAGCGTCGAGGCCGTCGTGGCTGATAGCTGTCCCACGTGTGTCTCAAGCCATTCACTCGACCTCTCCGTTGCTGCGTTCAAGGCGCTGGGCACGGAGCAGGAGGGCATGTTCGACATTACGTGGAGCTGGGCTTGAGCGTGACGCGTCGACCCGCGCTCGCTCGCTTCTACGGCAAGCATGATACGCTGAGCGTCTCTCGCTGTCGATCTCTCCGTCCGGACTGGTCTCTCGTCATCGGCATCTCATCAACACCATGGCGCTGTGCGCCACGGCTCGACGACGCACCGGCTTGCGTTCTCGCGCCTCTCTCTGTCTTTGTACATCTCGCCCTCTCTCTCATGCACTTCTGGGTCTCGTTCTTCCCTCATCCAATGTCTCGTTCGCTTTCCTCACACAGACACATCCATCGCGCGCGCTCTAGAAGCAGCGCTGCCCACCCTCTCTCTCAATGTGATGCGCTTGCGAGTCTCCTCCCGGCGAGGAGCTCGCTTCATCCTGTACCTTTGCGTGCCAACGCTTCGAGCGTGATTGACAACATTCTGACCTGGCAAAGCGCTGTAGACTTGGCCAGTCAGCCCATGATGCGCTGCAGGCGGGCGAAGCGAGCAGGTCCGGGTCAGCTGGCTTGCGGCCAGACCTGACCCGGGCGAGAGCCTTCTCGAGGCGATGCCCCATGTTAGGCTCGAGCCACCTGCTCAGACTGCGAGCCCTCAGACAGCACGGACGACGACAACGGAGCAATGGATGATATGGGAGTGGTATACAAATGATGCGGGCGCGAGACAGGAAGAATGGAGATGGAAGGGGCCCGGCAATGAGGCCGCATGGAAGCGAAGGAGAGGAGCAGAGAGTCTCACGACGTGGCAGCAGTCTGCGCAGCCGCTGGTGCCGCCGCAGGCAACGCCGGCGAAGACGCCGCACTGGCTGTGATGCCAAGCTCGGGTCCGAGAGAGCGTACCAGCTCGTCGCCGTTGATCATGTTGGTGGTCGCAATGACGAAGCGCCGCGTGCGCGTCTGGCGCGACATGAAGCGCAGCGCGGCGACCTCGGCATACGTGACGCCGCCGAGGAAGAGCACGATGGTGGTGCTGATGGCCTCGTCGCCTGGCGCGACGGTCGCGGTGGAAGCAGGTGGCAGACGAGGTGTGAAGGAGGAGGAGGCGGAGGCGGCGGCTGCGGCGGCAGCAGCGGAAGCGGCCTTGGATGTCGTGCCGGGTTGCGCACGAACGCTTCCCGAGGTACTACCGCTACTGCCGGTCGTACTGGAGCGCTGCTCCTCGTCGACTGTAGCGCCCGGCAGCGCAGCCAGTACCTCCTCGAATCCCTTCCAGCCCACGATCGCATGAGCCCGCGGGAGAGGCGCCGTCGCGTTGCGCTTGGTGCCGGCGCCCGCAGTATCAAGCAGCGCCTCCTTCTGCGTCACTGCTTGCACGAGGCGTACCGAGAGTGGCGCGTAGCCGGAGAAGACGTAGCTGATGTCGCGCGGCTGCTTCTCGTCGACGTCGTCGTTGACCAGCTTCAATGGTGCGCGCGATGCGGCAAAGCCGGACACTGGCGCGCCGCGAGGCAGTGACGCAGGCGCTCGAGAGAGGAGGCCCACTTTGCTGAGCGCCAGAAGCAGAGGTAGATGCTCATATCCGTACGTCTGCAGGACTTCGCGCGTCATGCTCTCGAGTGCTTTAGCCTTGATGCCGCCGCCTACGACCGAGAGCAAGCAGAGCAGTCGCAGCACCAGGAGCAATGGCGCTTCAGCGTGCACGAGACTCTCGATGGCCGTCAGTTGCGCAGGCAGCTCGAGGCCCGCAACGATGTTCTGTTGGATCTCGAGCGAGGCGTTGAACTCTGCCGTCGTGGTGGCGGCCATGAGCCGTTCCGTGAGACTTGTATGAAGACGTAGACCCGCATGATGGCTTTGTAGTCCACCCAATCGTCCAACGAAAGCGCGCATCTGAGCCACCGTCTGTGCAGCATGTCGGCCCTCGTAATCCGCCGTCAGACGCTGCGCGGCGCGATGGAGAGCCTCGCCGACGACGCTGAAGTTGAGATCGCGCAGCTCGCCGAAGAGGACGTCGGAGGTGGCGTCGAGACGATGCTTCTTCTGCTTGGGCGCAGACGTCATTTGCAAGGGCGTGCCGCTGCCCGAGGGCGCTGCGGCGCCACTGCCCCCCGCGCCGGGAGTGCCCGGTGCCGTAGTGCTGAGCAACGATGCGTCCACCTCGACGTGGGCTGGGCAGGCAGGTGAGCACATGAAGACCCGGTAATGCTCGCATGCGCTCGACTCACCACTCTTGATGCCGACAAATTCATCGACGAGACCTTCGTAGGTAAGCTGGCTGCACAGCGGCGTTGCTAGATCTGTGGTGCGGTCCAGCACGACGAGACAGTCGACGACGGAGCTGGTATTTGTGAGCGCTGGGTTCGTCGGGTCTGCCGCGAGTGCTTCTCTTCGCTGACGCAGCATAAGGGTCGCCAGCCGCTGCAAACGAAGACGGGACGGTCAGCATTGTCGAGGTCCGCACTGCTGGCGCCTCATGCTCAACTCTCACCTGCGCAGCATCGCCCTTGCCCACTATCCTCGGAAACGCTCCCCACAGATGCTGCAGCGTCATGCAAGCCAACGCCGTCTCATGCAGCCCTCCCAAATCTCCATCTCGCCAGATGCGGCTCCACGCACGCGGGTCTTCGAGCGAGAGCAAGTCCGACTCGAGCGGGATGAGCTCGAGCGGAAGGTCGTGCAGATGCACGTCGGCGAGAAGCGGCGTTGAAGAGGAGGAAGAGAGCGTGGAGAGGAGATGCAGCGAGAGCTCGGTGCGGCGAGGCGAGAGAAGGAGATGGTAGGTGTGCGCCAGGGAACTGCCGGACGCTGCTCGATCAGCCGCCACGTGGCCTGAGCGAAGCAAGGTCAGTCAAACGCTCGTCCGCCTGCAAAGCCAACGGGAAGCGAGCAGAGGAATGTCCGCGGATCCAGGCCGCTGCATCGTCGTCTTCAAAACGCTGCGGGAGAACAAGGAACAAGGCGGATCTCGACGGGCAACGAGCCCAGCTGCGCAGCCCCGGAGAGGGCGCGCTGCCAGACAAGCCACGGTCGTCGAGAGGAGAGTGAATGTACGGAACTTGACTGACCCGGCGACGCATAGTTGAAAATGAGAGACGCCGGGCTAATTTTGTCCGAGAAGGGAGCGGGAGAGACGCAACAAAGAGCGAGAGCAAGCATCCAAGAGCCGCGGCAGATGGACAGCAGGGCCTACTCGCCACCACGAGGCCGCCGCAGCGCATCTCCAGCCTGTACTCACCAGCGACGACCCTCAGCCACTTCGCGTCCGGTCTGCAGACATAGACGACCGCTCTCGTCGGCGCGCTGACCATCTGTTCCTTCGTGCTTGAGCCCTTTTCCTTGGGCTCCTCCAGCCAGAACATGCGTTCCACGCCATGTTGCCGCAGCGCGCCTACGTCGGCGACGAGGCCCAACGGACCCGCGAGAGAGGCGTCCAGGAGCAGCGTCTTGCCCTCCGGGATGGCATCGAGTGCGGAGAGGAGCGCGCGGAGAGCGAGAGCGCGCAGTGGCGAGACGTCGAGACCGCCAGCGACGGGGGTCGAGGTGGACGGCGCCGTCATTGGAGCGAGGCGACGGCGATGGTGGTGGAAAGGCAGGAAGGGCAGCGCGCACGGTGCGCGGATGCGACGGCGGGCGTGACGCGGGACTCGGGAGACGCGGCAAGCACCCGCTCCTCCCGCCTGACCCCCCTCCTGATGCCCTTCGCCAGCTCCGCTTACTAGTCGCCGCTCCTGTCGAACTGCGTTCGGCACTGCTGGTCAGCTGCCTGACCATTCCATCCCACGCCGCCTCGAATGCACTGCTCTCACTCGTCAGCCGGGCCGCCGATGCGCGAAGAGCGATGTCAAGCGCCTTGCCTGCGTGCTGTGCGTCGTCCATGGCTCGGCCTGCTCTCCTCTCACAGCCGAGCCGAGAGTTCTCGTGACTTGCAGCTCTAGACACACCAGCGATGCGGGCAAGCGTGGAGCTTCCCCTTGCTCGCTTTGTCCCTCGGAGCCTTGCCTCCGCCTTTGTCCTTTTTCGCGACCCAATCGCGATCCCATCTGCGTCTCCTTGTCCACAAGCCGTGCTTACGCGTCCATCTCTCCATCCCATGTGCCTCCATTGTCGCACGCGGCTGCGAGACAAGCGAGTGTCGCAGCACCGGCGAGTCGAGGCGGCGTTGCAAGCCAGCACTCGAGCACGTGAGGCCATGCCGCCCGTCCATGCCGCGTGGCTTGCTCCCCTCCGCACCTCGCCGTGCGCTACCCAAGTCGCCGATGCTCTAGCGTCTCGGATGGGTCTCGTCGCGAGAGCCTGATGCTGCAGCTGTGCGCTGGCAGTGGAGTCGAGCTGCGGTGCAGGTGTGTGGTCTCGAGGTGCCGCGGCCGAGACCGGCGAGGTGCGGGGACGCAGTGCCCGCGGCGTGGCGCGAGGCAGCATGCAGGGGTTCGGCGCGCGGCGGGGATGGCGGCGGAGCGGCGGTGGATGATCGACGGCTGGCATGGCAGCAGCGTGCAGGCGAGGTGCTGCTCCCGCTCCAAGGCACGGCAGCACGCCGCGAGGACATCAGCCACGCCTCGTCGACGCGCGCACCGAAGACTCCGCTCTGCAGCTGCGTGGCCGACGGCGAGAGGCGATCCAAGGACGGCGTGCATCGAGCATGCTGCAGCTGAGGGCGCGGGAGGTGTTGGAGTGTCGACTTGCGCCACAGGGCTCCCGCCGCAGCGCTTGGCGGCAGCAGGCGACAGACAGAGAGGAGCCGCGCCGCCGCCCTCGAGGGCTGGATATTCAGCGCGCACCCTCGCGCAGCGTGCAGCAAACTCAGCGCTGCGACACCTGCCCCCTTTGTGGGCTCGCAGCTGTGCTTGGCACGTACGCAGCCGGCATCGCGGCTCGCGGGCATGCTGGGGCGGCATGGATGCTCAGCCGGCGTCTGGCTCCGGGGGAGCGGAGGCAAGGCAGCCGTGATGAAGGCGCGACGGCGGCGAGCGAAGGCGCAGCGCCAGAGCAGCCACGCCCGTTGGGAGCGGCTCGGCGGCAGAGCGGCGCCTCTCTTTACCCGTGCCTCCGCTTCTCTCATCATCATCACCACCACCACCTCACCCTCTCTTCCCTCGGCTCCCTCCCCTTCCGGAATCCCTTGGTCGACCTCTTCACTCACCCTCGACAACTCAGTTCTCCAACACACACTCTCTTTGTCGTGCCTCTCGGTCTCTCTCACGCTCACTCAGCACCCACACAACACCAACTCACGCTCTTTGTTCCCTCTCTCGCTCACCTCTCCGAAACTCCTCGCACTGCTCATCATGCGCTTCACCGCTACGCTCTCCTCTGCGCTCGTCGCCGTCGCCTTTGCCTCGAGCGCCGTCGCTCAGGCGCCGGCCGATGTTGACGGTCTCGAGGACCGCAGCATCGCCATCCCTCTGCGTCGCCGTCACGCCGGCCTGCGCCACGGCGCTCTCGACGCGCGCGATGGCTCCGGCGCCGCCGACATGGCCGCCATCGAGCGCGCCATGGTGCACATCGAGCGCCGCTACGGCAACGCCTCTGCCCCCGCCGTCGTTGCTCGGGCCGAGCGCGCCGAGAAGCGCTGGGTCAACATCGTCGCTGCAGCTGCTGGCGCGGCTGATGCGTGGGAAGACACCATCGCCGCACTGAAGGACTCTGCGCACGGTGGTGTGGCCCAGAACACTGGCACCGGATCGTCCAAGACGACCAAGTCGAGCAACTCGGCCAGCGAGGCCAAGAACCGCATCGCAATGAAGCAGGACGGGCCCGCCGTGTCGGCCGTCGCGCCGCTGCGCAACGTCGTCATGTCGAACAACCGCGAGCTCGAGTTCCTGGCCGAGATCAAGATCGGCACGCCGGCGCAGAGCTTCTGGCTGGACCCTGACTCTGGCAGGTGAGTGGTGCACGCCAGACGGCAAGGTACGTCCCTGCTGTGCATGTTCATCGACTGACCATGCCTTGCTATCAGCGCCGATCTCTGGGTCAAGGGCACCGACTGCACCTCGTCCTCCTGCGGCACCTCCTCTCGCACGCGCTACAACCAGTTCAAGTCGTCGTCGTACTCCGACACGCCCGGCTCGAAGAAGTTCAGCCTGCAGTACGGCATCGGCGGCGTCTCTGGCCGTCTTGTGCGCGACAACGTCCGCCTCGGCAGCGTGCGCATGCCCGGCATGACGATTGGTCTCGCCAACAAGGTCTCGCCCGACTTTGCCAACGACCCGGCCGACGGCATCCTCGGCCTCGGCTACCGCGCCATCGCCTCGGCGCACCAGAAGCCCTTCATCGTGCGTGCCGCCGAGCAAAACCATCTCTCGCGTCCCATCGCCTCCTTCGCCTTCGGCCGGCGACTGAGCGGCACCGACAACAAGTCGGAGATGCGCATCGGCGCCGTCAACCGTGGGCTCTACAGCGGCAAGACGACGTGGTACCCGGTGACACAGCAGGCATACTGGCAGTTCGCATTCGACTCGTTCGGCGCGCAGGGCAAGAATGGCCTGCAGCGCAGCGAGGGCATCATCGACACTGGCACCTCGCTCATTGCCATGCCCGCCGAGGATGCCGCGACGTTCTGGGCCGACGTGCCTGACTCGCAGTTCGACGAGGAGAGCGGCACCTACACGTTCCCCTGCTCCACCAAGGTCAACGCCGTGCTGCGCATGCCCGGCGGCCAGACGATCAGCCTCAACAACAAGGACATCAACCTTGGCACGGACGGCGTTGGCTCGCCCCGCTGCGTCGGCGCCATCACGGCGAGCAACACGCCCGGACAGACCATCTTTGGCCTGGCGATGCTCAAGAACATCTACACGGTGCTCGACTTTGGACAGAACCGCATCGGTCTGGCCACGCTCAAGCTCTAGGCGTCGTCGTCGTTTCGCGCATGGCCCTCGAATCTCTCGCACACACACTGACCGCGCTACGCATCCCTTCCCCCCGTCACCCGTAACGGGCCTTGTACATTTCTTGCTCTAGTCTAGTCTGACAATCGCCAACGTGGTTCACACCGTGCCTCTTCTGCCTGTCCCATGACCGCCGTGCTGAGACCGGCGTCGATTGTGGTAGCGTGGCAGCGACGAGGGCAGCTTCGTTGGGCATGCCAGTCGAGTGTATCTTCTCAAAAACAGTCGAGTGCAGACAGACGCGCCACGGAGAAGGCGGCGGGCGCTTTCAGGCGCAGAAGACGTGAGAAGAGCCGGCGGCTGTCTGACTTCGCTTGCGAACTCGAGAAGAGCTCGGCTCTCTTCGCTCGGCGTTCGGCGCCGCGGCAGGCGGTGCGGCATGGCACGCCCCCGATCGCGACTGTGAACCGGAGGCACGTGGCAAGGCTCTCAGCGCTGCCTGCCGCTAGGCAGCGGCGTGAGGTGCAAGCGAGGTGAGCAGGTGGCTGAGCGCTGCGGCGGCGGGCGACGAGAGCAGCCCTGCAGGCATCAGGGCACGGGAGGAGAAGGCACACCGGACTTTAGGGGCCACGCCCGGACGTAAGCCGGCGGACCGCGCGGGTGCTGCTGAGCTGCTGTCTGCTCGGCAGCAGCCCGGCAGCGCTGACGTGGCACCTTGCGCTCGCTGCATTCTTCGTCGAGTCATGCTGCGTCGCTGCGATGTGTCCTGCTGACTGCGGAGAGAGGGTCGGGAGAGGGACGGGCAGAGAGGCAAAGGCGAGCCCGGCTGCGGCGCCGAAATTAGCAGCGCGGCGTGGGAGCAGCGCCCCTCGGCCGGCTGGCTGCCCGGCGATACGGCGGCGAGGGCCGGACAGGGAGCTGCGCCGCTGCCACGCGCGCAGCCGCCGCGACGCCTCTCACCTCTCACGACCATCATCCCATTGCGCGCAGCACACCGTCACCTCACTCCACGCCCGTACGGCACACGTCTCTTCGCTTTCGCCTGCCTCTTCTCGTATCAGCGCGCTCTGGGCCACTCGCGCAACATGGCGTCCGCCTCGCGCCCGTCCGGCGCACACGAGTATCGCGACGAGCTCGCCTCGCCCTCCGACGACGACATGGGCGACACCTCGGAGCAGCATCCCGAGCCCAGCAGCCGCGGTCCGCCGCGCAAGCGCAACCGTGCAGCGCTGAGCTGCACGCTGTGCAGACAGCGCAAGGTCAAGTGCGACCGCGTCATCCCATGCTCGCAGTGCGTCAAGCGCGGAGACGAGCAGTACTGCCATCTCGACCCGCACAAGAAGGGCCCGTCCAACAGCGCCCGTCCAAGCGGCGAGCATGCACACGCGCGAGCTTCGCACTCCCACCCGCACACGTCGCAGGCGCCTGCCGTGCCCTCGACGCTCTCGCCTGAGCGTCATGGCGTGCACTCCGCGCACGCACCGCCGCCGCCGCAGCCGCCGCGACGCAGCGAGCATGCGTACTATCCTTCGTCTAGCGCAGCACCTACGCTTCCGCCCGCGGGCTCGCCGGCGGCCGCAGACCCGTACGAGGTAGCGGCGATCAAGCAGCGCCTGGCGCAGCTCGAAGCGGCGCTTGCGGCGCAGGCACCTCGCATGCCCGACGCGGCCATGGCGCCGCAGCACGGCTACGAGGCCGCGTCGGGCCCATCGCGCTTCCCTCTCGCCTCTTCGGCATCGCAGAGCAGCTTCGTTGCGCCGGGCGTCTCGCCATATCCCGCGTCGCCGCCTGTGAGCACAGGCTCAGGCGCACGAAGCAGCGCATCAGCGCAGGCGCCCGGCTACTGGCCGCAGAGTCTCTTCTCGCAGCACGACGGTGTCACGCGTCTGCCACCGCTCGGCGCGCCCAGTCCCGGCGGCGGCACAGGCAGCAGCTTCCCGTTCGACGCGCGCTTCGGACGCAGCCAGAGCGTCGCCAGCTCGAACGGCACGGCGCCCAGCACTCGCACCGGCGGCGGCGACGAGCGCGCTGCTAGCCAGAGCAGCCGTGCAGGTGAGTATGCTGCAGCCGCGGCGGCGATCAAGGGCGACGTCGACAGCGACACGGAAGATGCGGCGCTCGTGCTCGAAGGCCTGGCCATGGGCGGTCGCAGTCGCAACGGACCCGGCCCGCCGTGCCCAGCGCAGCAGAGCAAGGGCCGCGGCGTGGTGCCCGACGGCGCAGCATCGGTCCGCTGCCCGCCCGAGGAGGACGTGATCCGCCGCAAGCCGCACCGCGTCATCCAGGACTTTGTGGATGCCGACAAGAGCGTCGACATCATGTCGACTGGCGTGCTCTCGCGCGTTGGCGTCGATGCGACCATGACGGACACGGCCTCGGTGCCGGACGAGGAGGAGAGCAAGGACAAGCCGTCCGCATGCCCGGGCGAGGCGGGCGGCGGTGGAGGCGGCAAATGTCCGAGCCAGGCAGAGATTGATGAGCTGAAGGACCTGCCGTTGGATGCGACGGTCGACAAGCACGGCAAGAGCATCTCGCCGGCAAAGACGGTCTGTCGACTGCTCTCGTCGAAGCCCGACACGCTGCTGCGCCTGGTCAGCGGCCCCGAGACGCACCTCGGATGGGGCATCGGCTGGGCGTTCACGGCCGCCGAGGCGGCAGGAGATCTGCTCAGCGTGCAGAAGCTCAAGGGATGCCCGGGCGCCCAACAGCGCGAGGCGGTGCTGCGCGCCATCATCCGTAGTCTGCCGTCTAAGGAGGTGGCGGACCACCTCGTCAACGTGTAGTGAGTGGAAAGAAGCGCAAGCCTAGCAGCATGCAGCAGCTGACGCTTTCGCCTCCAGTGACTCTCGCGTCAAGGTCATGGCCGGCATGACGATCCACATGCCATCGTTCCGCAAGGAGCTCGACGCGCTCTACGCGCTCGACTCAGTGGAGAAGAAGGCGCGCGTCGTCAACATCGTCGATCCTGGATGGCTGGCGCAACTGCTCAGCGTCTTTGTGCTGGCACTGCACTTCCATCCTTGCGAAGAGTCGCCGACGAGGAACCTCGTCATGCACCTCTTCGACGGTCGCACGGTGCATCTGTGGCGTTCCGCCGCCCATACCTGCCTCGTGCTGGCGCGCTATCAGACGAGCTCGTCGCTCGCGGTGCTCGTCACCATCATGTGAGTGTGCCTGGCGTCGTACCTGGCGATGTGCGTGCGTTGCGGCGTCGCTGACTCGCTACCATCAGCCACCTCAATTTGCACTCGGCGGGCAGTGGACGTGACGACACGCGCTTCCTCTCGATTGCGAGTGAGTCGCACTCTGGCCCGTGCTGCCCGCTCGCCCGCTGACCCCTTGCGGCAGTCTCGAACGCCCGCGAGATGGGCCTGCACCGCCTCAACATGAAGGAACGCCAGCCCAAGGCGGGCGAGGAGCTCGGCGTGCAGATCCGCCGCGAGATGGCCAAGCGCATCTGGTGCGCGCAGGCCAGCGCTGTCAGCATGTGCGCAGAGGCTGACGCTTCATCGCAGGGCCATGCTCGTCATCAAAGACTGGGGCAGCGCCTCCAACGAGCACAACACGTACGCGATTCACCCTGATCGTGAGTGCGCCGTGCTGTGTATGCCGAAGGCTGCGCTGACCTGCTTGCCGCTGCAGAGTACAACACGCCGCCGCCGCTGAACCTCAACGACGACGACCTCTGCCAGCGGCCGCTGCCGGCCGAGCACCCGCTCAGCGTCTACACGGACATGAGCTTCAGCTTGATGCAGCTCAAGATCTCGCTTGTGGTGCGCGAGCACGTCGACCTGCAGAACCGGCGCGAGCGCGAGGGCAAGAAGCTGTCGCACGACGACATTGAGCAGCTCGACGCCGCATACCGACGCCTGCTCAGCAGCGACGACTGCGCCTTCTACCGCGTGGGCAGTGACGAGGGCGCCGGCACGCGTCTCGAGGTGGAGCGCTTCCTTGTGCAGCAGAGCATCTTCCATCGCCTGCTGCGTCTGCACCGGCCTAATCTCAGTTCGTCGCGCTCCAGCTGCGTGCTTCTGGCGCGCAGCATCCTCGACCTGCAGCGCCGCATCCGTCTGCGCTGCAGCATCGTCGACCGCCTCTTCCTCAACCTCGGCCAGAGCTTCTCGGCGGCCGTCGTACTTATCCTCGACCTGCTGCAGACGCGTCCCAATCCCTCGATGCGCGACCTGGTGCGCGGCGAGGTCGGCGAGGCCGTCAAGGCGCTGCGCCACGTCGCCTCGGCGAGTCACACATCGGAGCGCAGCATCCGCGTGCTCGAGGCGCTGCTGGCCGAGGAGCAGGCGCGCTGGGACGCCGGCGACAAGATCGGCGCAGAGCAGGCCGTCGGCGCACAGAAGCGCAAGCGCGACGCACCCAATGGCCAGCGCAAGAAGAACCTGCTCTCGCTGGCGCTGCGTGTGGCGCGCGCCGCCAACGGCCAGCAGCTGCCCGAGGACGTCGAGATGGCCGAGGTGGCGGCGCCTAGCGACAGCAGTGCGACAAACGACGCCGTGGCGCAGAAGGACGCGCAGTCGCGCGACCTCTTCGAGCAGCTCACGCAGGCCAACCCACGCCCGTACGAGCCGGCGTCGTTTGCGCACTTTGACGATCCCAACGCGAGCTCGAGCTACATGCCCGGCCTCGACTTCCTGCCGCTGACGCCGCCCGACGGCGATCCGTTCGACATCACAAAGTTCCTCGCCGAGTACGACTCGCCGCCCATGAGCGATGCGGCGAGCGCCCATGGCTCGACGCACGCGCCCGGCATGCAGCACAACGACTCCTTCGTGAGCAACAACAGCAGCAACGGCGCCATGCACAGTCGCAGCAGCTTCGGCGACGGCGGCAGCAGCAGCGGCTTCGACTTCAGCGGTGCCTCGGCTCAACACTCGCCGCAGACAAGCCTGGACTCGGGCGTCGGTGGTGCACCTAAGAGCGCCTCGCCGACGAACGGCAGCGGCGACAGTGCGGCCGATGCGCTGTGGGCTTGGATGTTGACGCAGGGCGTGCAGCCCGGCGGACGCCTCGAGGCTCCGCAGCAACAGGCGCCGCAGCCGCCCCTCGGCCAGCCCAAGTGGCAGGCGCCTTCGGCGGCGCAGACGCAAGCTGCTCGCATGCCCGGCCCCGCCAGCATCGCCGAGTGGGACTTCGATGCGCGTGCCGCCGCCGAGGCTGCATCTCGCGCCGGCGTCGCCACCTCATCGGCGATGAGCGCGCCCAACACTGCTGCAGCCGACCTCAGTCTCGCCGCCGCGCCTTCGCCTGCGAGCCTCGCCAACATCTTCGCGCACATCGGCGGTGGCGATGCGACGACTGCGCCGTCGAGCAGCCCGCTCAAACGCACCATGGCGACGACGCAGGACCCCGCCTCGTTGCAGGTCAGCACGCCGAGCGCCAACCTGCCCGGCTACAACCCCAACTACCTCAGCACACCCGGCGGCTGGGAGTTCAGCTTCGACCTGCTCTCATAGGCGCCAGGCACCTCGCTCGTCGACAGTCACCGCTTCTTATCTGAGCCGTTGCTCCTCTCTCTCCTCATGTTCGCATCCTCTTCTCCTTCGCGGCCGACCCGCCGGCCCTCTGTCTTTCTAGTCTCCTCTGCCTGTCCGCTATTTCCGCTGCGCATCTTTCTGTCGCAACCGCTGTCCTCTCTCTCTGTCTTTGTACCAACACCTTCGAATCTGACGGTCCTCTCGTCTCGCCTGTCGAGTGTCGCCGCGCGCAACCTCCATCGCTTCCCCTCTGACGTCAAGTCGTGACAAGGCAATCTGTGCAATTTTGTGTGCTGCCCTCGTCGTGCAAGAGAGAGCATCATCATCATCATCGTGCGCCCTCGCTCCCCCACCCAAGTCTCCTCCGCGCAACCCGCCCGCGCCACCTGCCATCTCCAGCGCACATCGCCCGCCCATCAGCACACGAGACCGCCCTACGACAGCAGCGTGAGGCGCGAAGCCACCTCTGCTTGTGCGCGCACGACGTTGGCGAGGTACGAGACCATGAGGACGTCCTGTGTGTGCGTCGCAGGGCCAGAAAGGAGGAGACAGAGTGAAGAAGGGCGAGAGCGTCAATAAGGAGGAGCTGATGGCGCACGCGACACTGCTTTCTCGATGCGGCTTCTGAGGCGCGAGAAGAGCCGCGCGTTCCTTGTGCTCTCGCGTCCTCTCTGGACAGCCTCCGAACCCGCGTTGCTTTCGAGCAGCACCGATGTCTTGCCTCGTCTGCTGCCCCTCTTTGCCCCGCCTTGTGTCGAGAGCCGCGAGTCATGCGCTCCCTTGTCTTCTACCCGCCGTAGAGCGGAATCAGACTCACCTGCAGATGGCTGTTGAACAGCGTCTCGAGCACGGTAGCACCCTCCTCATCCGTCTTCGCCGAGATCGGCACCGTGTTGACGGCATCGATCACAAAGCGTCCGACGACGGGATCGCCCTTGATCTCGCCCTTGATCACGGCGCGCACGTACTCGAGCACGCGCGCGAGCTGAGCCTGCACGGAACGCAAGGAAGAAGCCAGCGCTTCCATGTCCGTTTGCTGCACGCCGCCCGAGGAGGAGAGGAGGGAGAGAGCAGGCCGCTCGGACGGGGAAGAGAGCAGAGAGACGGGCAGAGGCTGGAAGAGAGTGTTCTCGGCTTTCGGAGTGAGACCCAATGGCGAGCTGATGGAGGAGCGAGTGTGAGTGGACAAGCGCAGAGGGAAGAAAGCGGCTGTTTGGCGAAGATGTAGACCGCCGAGGTTGAGTTCTCTTTGGAGACATCTCCTGCTGCTGAAAGCACAGCATGTAGCGCAGCATCTCGTCTCTGCACAAGACCACTCCCAGCCTCTTGCGTGCCATGCTGCTCCACCGCATCATCGCTGCCTTCCTCCCATCCATTTGCGCCGCCTGCCCCAAGCAGCCATCTACGCACCTAGTGTAAGCCTTGACGCCCACCTCTCCCTTCTCCACCGCAGTGTCCACCGTCAGGTGCACCGCGGGGTTGACGCCGCACTCCCGTGCGTAGAAGTCGTGGATGAGGGCGCTGTATGTGTTGAGAGTCGGCGTTGTCGCGTACCTATGCGAAGAGAGGAGAGGAGTCAGTCAAGCGCGCTTCGGGATCCGAGCTGGCACAACGTGCGCAGGCCACAAAGGCCGAGACAAAGGCGCAACCCGCTCCTCAGCTGACAAGTCTGCTCCCGTTCGGCAGGCCTTCCTGAGTGGAGCAACCACTGCATGGGCTCTCAGTCGCCTCGGTCGCCTCGTGCTGCCTCCGTACGCTTCAAGCTGCACGTCTGCCCTTCAATCGCATGCACGATCCCTCAGTCCGACAGCGCCGCATCTCCGTGCCTCCACCGCTTTGCGGCCCGCTGCTCGAACGGGGGGGGGGGGGGGGGGGGGGGGGGAGGGCGGCCAAAGACATGCACAGGGCGCTCCACAGCCCCGCAAGATGCGAGCTGCCAGCGAGTTGCAGACTCGCTCGCGCCAGCGTCTGTGCGCAAGCCGCATGATGCCCAGGCCAGGCCGCAGCGAGCAGTCGAGCCCCCCCCCCCCCCTTCGCACCCTCGCTCCGCACTCGTTCACAACGCAAGCCTCTCATGGGCAATCTGTCACTGCCCTGGCCCTCTTCCATACCATCCGCCATGCCCTCTCTCTCGCGCAGCAGCGGCGCGACTCACCAGCCAACGATGACCTCCTCCGGATGCACCTTGAGATGCAGGTCGAGCATCTGGCGGTGGTAGTCCATGTCGACCTGCACCTGCTCCTCCGTCTCGTTGTGCGGCACGGCAAACGCCGCGCGCACATCGACATCCTGCTCGCCCGCGCCGTTGCCGCTGGAGCGCACGCCGAGCAGCGTGCCGATGACGCGCGGGCCCGCGGTGGACGAGCGACGCAGGTAGTGGTCGAGGATGGTGAAGAGCGCGGAGGGGTGCAGCGAGACGCCCGAGGGCTGCCGGCCCGACGAAGCGGTCGGGGGCGTGAGCGTGAGGAAGGTGCGAGGACCGGAGAGAGACATGCTGGGCAAGTCGGCGAGGGGGAGAGAGGGGTGGAGAAGGATGGCCGAGGCGCGCAGTGGGAAGCCAAGGCGAGACAAGGCCGCCGCGAGAGGCGCGCACGTGACGGGAAGAAGTCTTCGCGCTCGCGGCGCTGCTGCGCGCGGCAGGCCGCCTGTCTTCGCGCCTCGCAGCCGAGCCGTGCGCGCCGCGCCAGCGAAAGTCGGCGCCGGGCAGCCGCGCCTGCTTCTGTCTCCTCACTCTCATCATCCCTTCAGGCCAAAGGCCGCCGATACTCGTCCTTGCCATCCCTCCCACGCATGCGTCGGTACGGGCGGTCTGGGCGAGTGGGAAGGTCCGCGCCCTCCTCCTCCCCCTGTTCCTCGCTCCCTTGACTCCACACCTCGCCTTTCGAGGCAACGCGTTCTCTACTTGCTGCGCAGAGGGACAGGCAATGTCTTCCAGCCGGAGCCGGCCCTTATGGGCCGAGTGGAGCGCACTACCAGAAACGTCCCTTGTCTCTCATCCTTCTTTCTCTCATTTCTTCGGGAAGCGAAGCACGCTCCGTCGCCGAAGACGCCCGCTGGGCCGAGGCTTGGACGTAACGAGCACTTCTCACGCGTAAGGACGCCGTCCTCCAGGATCGGAAGAGCGCAGAGTCGACTACTTCGGAGAGAAGTTGAGGAGGGCAGGGCTGAAACGGCGTCCACTGCCTTGTCTCCTGCTCGGCGAGGGAGAATGCGCGGGTGTGGGAGTCCTGGGTTTGGCGAATCGAGGTCCCTGTCTCCATTCGGAGACGCAGAGGAGGATGCAACGTCCGTTCGTCCTTGCTAAGTTCAAGAGGCGCAGTACGTCTATGCTTCAGTGCAATCGGTGGCGCCTCGTCTTGGGTCCTTGACGGGACACCGAGACGGGACAACTCGACGCGAGACTATTCTTGGCCTGAAGGGCTACCCGATGAGGGTTCTTGCGGTGAGAGGCTTGCTGCGTCGTCGCGCTGCAGGGCTTGCGTGGTGTACGCCGAGCGTGTGCGAATGCAGAGGTGCGGGCCCTGGCATGCTCGCAGCTCTCAGTCGCATGCCCTCGAGTACATCGGACGCACTCCAGCTCGACGGAGACCACAGGCTTCTCATCCCAACTTTTTCTTCACCCTCACGGAAGCTAGGGCTGTGCCATCGCTTCTGTTTCTGCCTGCTGTACAATGCAATCTCGTCTTCCTACTCTGTCCGTGTGTGCCGCTGCTTGATCAACACCCATTCGCTGGCTCTGCAGCTCGGCTGCTTGTCCCCGCGCCGTGCGCAGGCCGGGGCACCTTTCGCATGCGAGGCGGGGAACGGGCATGCTCCGTATCTAAGCTGAGCTTTACGGCACTCAGGCCTCCTGGTGCGGGCGGTGCGCCAGCGAGACTGCTCGATTCGGCCCGGCGACAGTAAGAGTCAGGGAGGGAAAAGGGCAAAGACACGATCGCACAATCTATTCCCATCCCCCACCCTCAGCCTCGACGAACAACAAAGAGCATCATCAGAGAAGCAGCGCAGCCAGCGGGCTCGCTGGCGCCGGCGCTGCACAGCAGCAAGCGCTCCCGCGGCGCGCGCAGGCGCAGCGCCTCGGCTTTACGAGCGGTAGAGGGCGCGCTTGGCGACCTTGACCACCAGTGCGGCATCCGGGAAGGCGAGGTCCTCGAGGTTCTTGGCGTACGGCGTGCCTAGAGGAAGAGACGAAGAGAGATGGGATGGGCGTGGCGCGTGGTCAGTGGGATGTGATGGGATGGCGGGAGTGCGGGAGAGGGGGAGGGGGCAGAAGGAGAAGGAAAGGGGAGCGCTAGTCGTTACGCCTTCGCCCGCCCTACGAGCTGTTCCTCGCTCCCCCACCTCGCTTCCCATCTCCCCATATATACGCCCTGACCAATCCCTCGAGCTCGTTACGACATGCGACTCACCGACATCGGCACCAGTGACGCGCTCGACGGGCGCGTCGAGGTGGTCGAATGCGTCACTCTCCATGATCTGCGCGCAGATCTCGCTGCCCACGCCGAACGCCGGGAAGCCGCCCTCGACGGTGACGAGGCGGTTCGTCTTCTTGACCGAGGCGATGATCTGCGCGAGTAGAGAGAGTCAGACGTCTGGGCGCAGCGCGAGGGTTGCCGCGGCGGGGCAAAGAATGACAGGGCCGTCGAGCTCGCTGCACATCCATGCCTGCCAATCACCAGCGCAGCGCCCTCTCTGCATGCCTGGCCCTGCCGCAGCTGGCCCCTTTCTGCCGTTTACACTCACCGTCTCGATGTCCAGCGGGCGGATGCTGCGCAGGTTGATGACCTCGGCCTCGATGCCCTCCTTGGCCAGCTCCGCCGCGGCGTTCATGCAGTGCGTGACGCCCAGGGTGTGCGAGACGAGGGTGATGTCCTTGCCCTCGCGCTCCACCTTGGCCTTGCCGATGGGCAGCAGGAAGTCGTCGCTCAGGCACTCCTCCGAGACGGGAAAGTTCATGCCGTAGAGAATCTCGTTCTCGAGAAACACGACGGGGTTGGGGTCGCGGATGGCGGCCTTGAGCAGGCCGCGGCAGTCCTCGGCGCTCCAGGGCGAGATGACCTTGAGGCCGGGAATCTGGCCGTACCACGCCGCGTAGTCCTGCGAGTGCTGCGCGCCCACACCGGCCGCGGCGCCGTTGGGACCGCGGAACACGATCGGGCACGGCACGTTGCCGCCCGACATGTAGTACGTCTTGCCGGCAGAGTTAACTATGTGGTCAATACTTTGCATGGCGAAGCTGCGAGCGGGGGGGCCGCGTCAGCGGCTTGGCGCACGGAGGCGCTGGCGTGGCGGCCGGGCAAACGCCGGCGATGCGCCAACAGATGCCGCCCCGGCAGCAGCGGCGCCTCGGGCACCGCTCCGGCGCGTACGAGGGCTCGCTGCAGTCGCACACTGGCTTGTTCTCCGCGCACTCACTTGAACGTCATGAACTCGCAGATCGGGCGCAGGCCGGCCAAGGCGGCGCCGATGGCGAGGCCGGTGAAGCCGGCCTCGGTGATGGGCGTATCGATGACGCGGCGCTCGCCGAACTTGTCCAGGAGGCCCTTCGTGATCTTGTAGGCGCCGTTGTCTGGGATGGAAGGGTGTTAGTCGAAGTGAGGAAAGAGAGGCTTGCAGCGCCTGGTCTGCGCCCGAGCCTGCCTAGCAGGCAACAGGATGGGCGCGTATGCCGCCTGCTGCGCCCGGGCCACACTTCTAGCTGTGGCAGTCCTTGAGTTGCTGCTCCGTCCTCCGTCCACGCAAGCGCAGTGCCCGAGCGTCCGGCGGGCCTGGATCTGCGCATCACCCTCCGCGTGTCCGTCCCTCCTTCCATCTCCTAGCTGTCCGGCAAGCGCCACTCACAGCGCGCGACCTCCTCGCCGAGCACAAAGACGCTGTCGTCGCGGATCATCTCCTCCTCCATGGCGCTGTTGATGGCGTCGCGCACCGTCATCTCCTTCTTTGCCGACGACGAGCTGCTGGCAAAGCGCTGCGCGACCGGCGCAGCGGCAGCCACGCGCGGGAGCGTGCTGGCGGCGCTGACGCGAGCGGCGCGGAGAGGAGCAGTGAGGGCGCTACGGAACATGGTGGAACCGAGGTGAATGGAGGAGGTGGGGGTGGGGAGACAAGCGCTTGGTCAGGCCAGGCCAGCGGAGAGATGCGCACAGGCGCACAATTCGCGCGCGGCGCCGCGCCGCGCCGAGGAAGAAGCCCTGCAGGCTGTCGGCGTGCTGCTGCTGCTGGCGGGCGTCGGCGCAGCTGCACCCACAACGCGCGCCGCCGCCGCCGCGGCGCGGCGCCGAGGAACTTCACGTCGCTCACCGACGGCGCGCCGGGCGCGGCCGTGCGAGCAGAGAGACCCCAGCATCTGGCATCGGGCCGCCAGCAGCCAGCCATCTCGCCTCTGCAGCGAGAAAGGCATCGCAGCGTGTATGCTACAGTCGCTCTGACTCCACGCCGCCATTCTGCTACCGCTTGCCTTTGCGCAGCCGGCGCGCTGCAGCGCTCGAGAGAGGCACCTCGCACGCCGCGAGCGCGCTTGCGCTGCTTTTGCCGCGGCACGCACGCCGACGGCGCCGAGCGGTGCGGTCCGGGCCGCACCGAGGCGCCGCCGCCGCGCCGCCGTGGCGTGCCTGACGCCGCCTCTGTGCTGCAGCTGGGGCGCGCCCGTCCACGTGGCGAGCGACCGGCAGGCGTGGGAACAGCGGCTCAGCCAGCGTTGGGCTGCTCGCTCCTTCTCGGCGGTCAGCGATGCGCCTGCTTGACCTGCCTCTCTCTTGTCTGCGCAGGCCAGACTGCAGCCTCGCTGCTGCCATGAAGCACTCCCACTCGAGTCAGACTCAGCCCCTCTCGATTCTAGCCAAGGTCTTCAGTGACTGTGACAGCCGGACTCTATTGCAGCTGCACGCCTGCCTCTGCTCGGCAAGCTCGCGGTCCGCGAGGATGCGCTAGAAGTGATGCAAGTAGTGCTCCTGCTCACGTCGCACAGCGTCAGCCGTCGACGCATTCGTCCTTATCTGGCTTGTCGCACTCACCGCCGTCTCGCTAGCTCGTTGCTGGCTCAACGTCTCCCACTGCGTCTCCAGATCCGCCTTGACTACGCGGCGTCGTGACGGCTCGACCTTGCGTACGTGCGTGATGAAGCGTGCCGATCTGCGCGCCAGACGAGTCAGCGCTGCAAGGACAAGAGAGAAAAGGAAAGTGACTCACACCGGGCGATGATCGCTGACATCCGGCTCATACCGTCGATACTCGACGCATCTCACATCCTCCTTTTCCCTCTCATACCAAAGTATCCGATCGCACCAAGCGGGCGCCCTCGCTTTCGTCGAAGAGTCCCAGTCCGAGGTGCCGCGATCATACTTGTACGTCGGGGCAAAGCCGATGTGTGCTTCTCGGAAGCCGCGAAGTCGGAAGGCCGGGTTGGCGCGCAGCTCGCGGAGGAGTTGATCCTTTGTCAAGAGCGCGTCTAGACGGCCGGAGTCGACGTGAGAGATGACGCTGGAGCGCGAGTCCGAGATGCGGTAGTTCAGATCTCCACTGAACAAGACGACCTGGGGCAGGGGGTCAGGAAAGGTGAGGCGCGACAGTGCGAGCAAACACACAGAATGGTCCAAGAGCATGGCCCCATCGCCACCGTTGACGAAGACATCGACGTCGGAGAGGGCTCCGTCGAATGGCGTCGCCTCCATGATCTGGTGACAGAGGGATGAGTGACAGAGCAGCAGGCAGGACTCCAGCCACACGCACGTCTGCGACATCCGCCACGCGCTGCTTGACCTTGGACTGTCCGGCCGCGAGATGGCAATTGGCTAGAGAGCAGTCAGCACAGCAGCTCAGCGACGCCGCACTCTCCCCAGACTCACCAAAGGCAAAGCTCGTGTCGTCGATGGAGAAGCGCGTAATCGTGGCGCCCTTGTTGCCTGTGCGTCCCTTGAAGCCCGTCTTGACCGTGGCAGCTGTCAGGGCATCAGCGTCGTGTGACCCCTGTGCTCTCTCGGGCGCTCCACTCACCAGCAGCGTGTCTGACCTTGCCCACCTCCTCGCCTCTCACAAAGACCATCTGCCACAGCCCGACAAGGAAGATCGGACTACCAGGCAGCACCTCGTAGTGCTCTGCAAACGCAGCTCGCACAGCGGCAGTCGTGCGCGCCGCCCAGGCTGCGTATTGGCTGGAGATGCGCGCTGCCAGATCCGGAGCCGTCTTTGCTCGCTTGCCGAGCAGCAACGACTTGGCGCCGAGGCGGTGATCACTGAGGTCGATCAGCTCTTGGAAGCCTGGCAGCAGAGGTGAGCGGCGGCATGCCTGGAGTCGTATGAGAGCCGAGACTCACCGAACACGATGACGTCTGGCTTGCCTGCCGCGACGAGCATGTCGTGTAGCCAGCCCACGCTACTTGGCGTCTCAAAGGCGCTCGGCGCTGCAGCATCCACGTTGTAGGTGACGGCAAACACCTGCAATTCGCGCTGCGTCGAGTATCTCGCTTGCATGCTCGGCTTGCAAAGGTTCCTCTCGATCCAATCGACGTGCAGGAGGCCATCGTATGCGCGTATGCCTTCCGGTCCAGACGCAAGCACGACGAGCTCGTTCTGCGCCAGACGCGAGGCATCGATGTTGAGGTGAAGCACGGGCTCGCCGCTGTTCCAGCGCTTGAGCACGCGGAAGGGAGAGGGAGCATACACGTCTAGCACGTGGATGGAGCCGTCGCGAGATCCGAGCCAGAGCGTCTTGTGGACGCCTAGGATGGCGCAGATGGAATGGGAGAGGACTCGCTGCACGGCCAGGCAGGTATGCGTCGTTCGTGACCAGATGGAGATCTGCGAAGCCGCATCAGCACTGCTGCAGAGAGAGGCGCTCGACGCTCAGCTCACATGGCCGCTCTCGTGTGCAAGCCACGCCTCGTCTTTGCCCACCACTGTCGTGCCACCGACCACGGCACCTACGCCCGCAGCCATCTCGGTGGGCAGGAAGCACGGTCTCGAAGTGGCGTTGAACGGCATATTCTCCTCGAGCGGGTTGTACATGCGGATGCGCACGCCTGCGCTCTTGCCGCCCAGCGCCGCAGCGCCAATCGTACGACCTGCGTCGGCGCTGCAGATCCAGAGTTGATGCCCGATCAACAAGGGCAGACTGAGGCGATCCAAGGGCACACGCTGCGTGATGCGCGGCACGTCTAGCGTTGGCTCTGCGCCGGACGAGGGCCAGACGCTGATCTACTCGCAGTCGCATCAGCTCTGCTGCACGTGGCCAAAATCTGCGCACTCACCTTGCCGCCTTCGTCAATCACCACCACTCCCTTATTCGTGCTCCACATCTTGCGCACCGCCTCTCCGTGCAGTCCAACTCTTCTCAACATCGTCTCCTCCTTCAAGCCGAGCGCCGCAAGCGTGCCATCCTTGAGCGCCACCCACGCTTCGTTCTGCATCAACAGCAGCGCACATGCGACTCCGGGCTCGCACAGCGTCATTCTGCCCTCGGGCACACCTGCGCGAAGGAGGCGAACGCCCGCGTGCCCGTGCTGCGCGACGAGCAACGTTGTGCCGCGCTGTGCTGAGAGGGAGAGATGCTTGATGCGCGTGCTGCTGCTCTTGATCTCAGGAGCGCGTCGATTGGAATGTGAAGCGTCGGGCAGGGAAGAGGCAAAGACGGAGGCGGCGCCTGTATGCCGTGCGGGCGAAGAGAGGGAAAGATGTGCGGCCAGTCGAGCGCGAGAGGAGGGAGGTGGTGGGAGAGGGGGCAGATCCATGGGCAGAGAAGACGGCGATGCATCCGCGCTGTGCGGAGCTGGCGGGAGGTCCTCTTCCTCGTCTTCTTCCTCATCGGATGAGGCTGAAGACGAAGCGCTCCGGCTCGGTGATGCAGCCGCTGTCGGAGGCGCGGAACGAGAGAGTGTTGCGCCACCTGACGGACGCAGCGACGGCGGGAGGAGGTGACTGACGCCGGAGGGAAGATGCGGATGCAACAGCGAGTGCGAGTGCGAGGATGACTTGCTGCTGGAAGCAGTCGCACTGCTTGGATGCGAAGGAGGCGGCGGAAGTGCTCGATAGATAGAAGCAGCAGGCGCAGCCTCCAGAGCTGAGGGCGCGGAACTCGCCGAAGCAGCCATCCCCTCCACTTCCAGCCGTGGTCGTGCCGGCACCGCAGGCGCCGCAGCAGCCGCCAGTATCCTCTGCTCTGCCGTCATGGGTGCGCTACTCGCCGGGATGGCCACTGCCCCTGCTCCTCCCACCGCGGCTCTGCTCCCGCTCTCGACCCCTGAGGTTCCGTTTGCGCCCCCGCTGCCGCCAGAGTCAGCCCAGGCGAGCGCAGCACGTACGCCGGCGAGCGTCGCGGCTGACACTTCTTGCGGCGCTGTGCGTGCTGGCATCGAGGGGCGAGTAGGCGGTGGCGGTGGTACCGCTGCTAAGGCTGAGGAAGCCGGGGCTGAAGCGGCTGAGACTGATGGAGACGAGGAGGCTGCTGGCGCTGGTGCGGTGCGCCAATCTCGCGACGCCGGCGCCGCTGCCGCCGCCGGTGAAGGAGCTGGTGCTCGTTGCGTCGAGTGCGGCGAAGAAGTTCTAGCTGACGAGAGCGCAGGCGAAGGCTCGCGGCTCGAGCTCGCGTAGCTCTGCCCTTGCGACTGGGAATGCGAGGAGAGGTACGAAGGCGAAGGGAGCGGCGATCTCCGTGCCTGGTCCGCCGCCTGTCCCGGCGCTTGTCTTGCCACTGGCGCCGCAGACGATGCAGGAGAAGCAGAAAATGGAGCAGCAGGCGAGAGCAGCGGCGAAGGCGCTCTCGGACCCCTCGGCGCGCTGCGTGAGGATGCGCTGCTGATCGAGAGGCTCGGCGAGAGCATGGGCGCATGCGAGCCGCCCGTGCCTGCCGAGGCATGCGCTGTGGCCGAGCTCGAGCTCGAGACGCGCGCTGCATGCTGCGAGCTAGATGCATGCGAGGCATGCGTGGCCGATGGGAAGGCACTCGAGCGAGGCGCAGCGCTGCCGAGTGCTTCGAAGCGGGCGCGCAGGGAGGAGACGCCTGCGGGTGGAGAGCTGCCGGACGCCGAGGGCGAGGGGTCGCGCGGCGGGACCATCGTGCGCTCTACTCGCTGCTGCTGTCGCTGCCGAGTGAGGCGGTGTCCGAGACGGTGGTGCAGGTGGTAGTGGTGAGAGGAGAGGCCAGGCGAGGCGCCAAGCCAAGCACCCCTCGAAGCGGTGCCGGGTCTGGGTGTTGGAACGGCTTACGTCAGCTGCACCTCCACCCCGCATTCGTGTGGGCCGTGCGCACTTGTCGCCTCGCTTCCTCCCTCTTCTCCACCACCTCATCCCTCATCACATCCCTCTCGCAATGCCGCACATCCACACAGTGCACTACGCCTCCGTCTCCAACTCGCATGGGCGTCCTCGCTCCTCATTGCCTCTCGACATCCACGTCCCGACGGCCTCTGCGTCTCAGCGCTTCCACGGGAGAAAGGAGACGCCCGTCGTCCTCTGGTTCCACGGCGGCGGCTGCGTGCAGGGCACGCGCACGGGCATGGCGCAGCATATGAGAGACGCCGTCGACAAGCTGGGTGTCGTCGTCGTTGCTGTGAGTGCGCTGCGCGAAGCGTCACAGCAGACACGGAATAGTGCTGCGAGCAAAGGGACTGACCGTTGAGCTCTCTCGATCGTGGTTGGCAACGTGCAGCCAGACTACAGAGTGAGTGACGCCGGGCAAAGTCTTGAGCACAAGGCAAGGCAGGAGAGACAAGGAAAGGGGCAAAGGCTGATGCGTGTCTCTCTCTTGCCTCAGCTGTGTCCTCAGGTCAAGCTCCTCTCCGGCGTCCTGCCAGACTGCCTCGCGGCCTCGCAGTGGATCTCTTCCCACCTCTCGACGTTCCTCTCGCAAAGCGCCTCTTATCTTCCTCCACCTTCTCCCAGGCCACTTCTCTGCGGCTCTTCCGTCGGCGGTTTCCTCGCCCTCCTCCTCTCCCTTCCTCTCTCGCTTCCCGATCTGCCTTCACCCATCGTGCAGGCTAGAGCAGTGGCGGGCATCTATCCGATCACGGACATGGGCGCGCCGTTCTTCATGGAGGAACAAACGCCATTCATGGGGCGCTTGACGCCAGAGGAAGAGTGGAGCCAGAAGTTGGAGAGCTATTTGGAGGAGACTAGCGAGGTGATGAGCAGCACCGAAGGAGGCCCGAGCAACGACAGGAACAAGCTGTACATGTGGGGTGAGTCGTCGCTCGAGCTCATCATCTAGATGCCACCTTGGCTATGAGCTGATCGTTCCTCTCGTCAACAGCTCAGCAGAATGCTCTCTTCCCCTCTCTCCTCTTCTCCTCTCCCACTCCCACTCCCTCCTCCGACGACGTACTCGGCACGCGTCTCCCCTCGCGCATCACTTCTTTCAGCCCCGCTGAAGCGAGCGCCATACCGCCCATCTACGTGGTGCACGGCACGAAAGACGCGGCGGTACATGTGGATCAAGCTACGGAGTTGGTCGAGGCGCTCAAGCAGAGGGAGAGGGAGGTGGTCTATGAAGAGCGAGCAGGGCTGGATCAGTGAGTCTACCAGCTGCTCGTCGCATTGTGCCTGTCGCTGACGCAACTCGGCGCACGCAGTCTCTTTGACTGTAAGCCTGCCTATCTTGCCTCGCGCCAGGCTGGAGCTCGTGGCGCGCTTACGATGCTGACGAGCTCTCCGCGCAGTGTTCGATGAGGAAGAGCGCATGGAGGACATGTGGCGCTGGGTCGCTGGGCAGTTTGGCATCGCGTACGAGTGATGCTCGTCGCTCACTTGTGACAGGAGCGAGCGAGAAAGGTCTCATTCTCGAGGCATGCAGGGCCTCGCGGAATCGATGCGCAATCAGCTTCAGCGACGGGGACTCGTGCAAGACTTGACTGCCTCGTCTCGTCCTTGCGCTCGCCGCCGCGGCGCGCGCTCTCACTCGCATCATCATGCATCTCTCGGGCATGCAGGTGGAGTTGCAGCGCTGGGCAGCTGGATGTGATTGACAAGAGTGATGGTACAGGCGCACGAGAGGCACTGGATGTGTGAGTGTGTGTGACGAGGCATCAAGAGCGGCTGGGACAGGACTGGCGCTGCGACTCGCGCGCGCGAGGGCTGGGGAATGAGTGTGGTACGGAGCGTGTTGCAGAGCAGAAGAGACGGTGACGTGCCATCGATTGGCGAAGCCCATGGCCGGCCGAGGGAAGCGAGAGAGGCTCACTTCGACTCGCCGGCGTAGTAGTCGTAGATGTCGGTGTCGGTCGACTCGAAGTCGTAGTCGCCGAACCCGAAGCTCGCCGGCTGGGCGCGACGCGGAGGCTCGACACGAATGCTGGTGGCTGCGACATTGAGGTTGTCGGGGTCATGCAGCGAGGTGACCGAGGCAGCCTGACTGGGATTGTCGTAGAGACTGGTACGGCTCGAACGACGACGGACGTAGCGATGCTGCTGTCCGGGCGTCGACGACGGAGGCTGTGCGGCATTGCGCAAAGCAGCTTGCATGCGGTAGTACTCGTCGGTCGTCGACATGCGGCGCTGCTGCTGATGCTTCGGTGCCTCGTACTCGTCGCCGACCTCCGTCGTGGGCGATGTGCTGCTGGCAGGCGTGAAGGCTCCCTTGTGCTCGGACGGAGAGCGCTGCGCCTCTTGAGGACCCTTGCTGTTGCGCGTGCGAGCCTTGACGGGCGCACGCAGGCCGTTCTGCACCACAACTGCGCTCGGTGCACGTGCCACACCCTGCTTCTCGCTGCCGCCGGACTTCTCGCTGCTGGCCTGCATGAGATGCAGATTCGGGTTGTCCTGGCCGACGATGCCGTGCGCCGACTCGTTGAAGTCCGGCAGCGGCAGCTCCTTGACGAAGAGAGAGACGAGCAGGCCCAGCACGGCGAAGGGGATCAGCACGATGAAGGCGAAGCGCAGGCCGCCCATGTAGGCCTCTTGCACCGGGCGGATGAGCTCCGCGGGCAGCGAGTGCAGCTCAGTGGCGAAGGCGAGTGCCGTAGAGCCGCGCAGGCCAACTTCTGCGGCGCCGGGAATGGCCGCCAGGCGCGGGTCGACCTGCGCGACAAAGGCGGTCGTGGTGAACGCGATGCCGAAGACGGAGCCGAGCGAGCGGCAGAAGGCAAACGTAGCCGTGGCGTGCGCCAGCTCGACGACGGGCAGCGAGGACTGGATCGGCGGCAGCGTGAGGGCGAAGAGAGCGCCGACGCCGAAGCCCGGCACGAGCTGGATGACGACCCACTTCCACGTCTCGGTGTCGACGGTCCACGTCGTCATGAGACACACGCCGACGAGAATGGTGATCCACCAGAAGGCAATCTGCAGCTTGTACTTGCCCGTCGCGGCCATGACGATGCCGGCGATGATGGCGGCGATCGGGCCTGGCGCCGTAGAGGGGAAGATGTCGATGGCGGAGCGCAGCGGGTTGGCGCTCTTGACGGACTGGAAGTAGACGGGCAGGATGTACGTGGCGCCGTAGGTGCAGACGCCGTGCAGAAACGTCATGAGGAAGCACGTTGCTGCAGTGATGTTGGTGAAGAGGCGCAGTGGGAGCACTGGGTCCGGCGAGAGGCGGTTCGGGATGAACTCGAGCAGCAGGAAGAGCAGCAGGCCTGCAGCGCCGCACGCCAGCGAAATGACGATGCGAGGAGAGCCCCACGGATGCTCGATGCCGCCCTCGGTGATGGCCAGCAGCAGCGCGACCACCGAGCCGAACAGCACGAGGTTGGCGGGAATGTCCATGCGTGCAATCTTGGCGCGCAGCGGCATTGGCGGCGTGTGCAGCTTCATGGCGGGGATGATCATGGCGAGCGCTATGCCTCCGAGCGGCAGGCTGCGGCGTGGGTCAGCATGCAGGAGTTCGTGTCGCGCAGCGCAGATACTCACTTGATCCAGAAGATCCAGCGCCAGTCGTGCTCGCTGAATACGCCGCCCAGCACGGGGGCGACGAACGTGGCGACGGCAAAGACGAGCGAGATGAGGCCGACGTAGAGGCCGCGCTCGCGCAGCGTCGTCAGGTCGCTCAGCACAATCTCGGCGATGGCCTGGATGCCGCCGCCGCCGACGCCCTTGAGGCCGCGGCCGGCGACGAGAGTGAGCATGTCCTGCGCCAGTGCACATGCGATAGAGCCGGCGAGGAAGAGCACTACTGCAGTGACGAGCGCATTGCGGCGGCCGATGACGTCGGCCAGACCACCCATGAAGGGCTGGAAGGCCGTCGTGGTGAGCAGAAAGGCCGACGTGATCCACGATGCTGGAATCGAGGACGGCGGCAGCTCCTTGACGATCGTCGGCAGCGACGTGCTGATGATGGACATGTCGATCGCTAGAGCATGGAGTCAGCGGCAGTGCGAGTGCACGCAGCGGCGTTGGTCGCTCACCAGTCAGCGCCGTGACGGTCATGAGCGCGGCAAAGATCATCCAGAAGCGGCGAGTCTTCTTGTTCTTGACGGGCGGCTGCGGCGCACCGCCGACGCGGGCAGAAGCGCGCTTCATGCTCTCCGACAGCGAGGCCGGCTTGTTGGCCAGCGCATCGTTGTACTGCCGGCTCATGCGGCGGTAGCGATCGCGCTGCACTCCGGCCTCCCACACTTCTGCCTGCGGGTCGAGCACGCGAGAGAAGGCAGAGCCACGACTGACGCTGCGCTGCACCCCTGCGCCACCGCCCGAGCCGCGCGAGTGCACGCCAGAGAGCGCCGTCTGGATGCCGTAGAACTCCTCGCTGGCGGTGCTGACGAACGTCTCCATCGAGTTGCGTGCTCGTGTGTTCTGCAGGCGCGAGTGCTCTGCCTCGGCATGGTCGAGCTCCAGCTCCTCGACGACGTCGACACGCGACGAGGGCGTGGCGTAGCGCGAGATGGGCGCACCCAGCGGCGTGTCTGCGCCGTTCGACGGCGGGATGGGCGAGTCGAAGCCGTAGGGGTCGTCGGAGGGCGTAAAGGCACGAGCGCGGGCACCGCGAGCCTCGCCGACGCCCAGACGCGAGCTGCCAGGCACGTCGCCCATGGCAGCGTGCGGCGCCGGCGGCAGGGGACGCGAGGAGCGGCGCGCGTGCATCGTCGACGAGCCCGAGCTCGAGGCGCGCTGCGTGAGGGCTGGGTGCAGGGCGCTCGAGTACTGCCGCAGCGACGAGGGCAGATGGTAGCGGTGGTGTGGCAGTGGTCGGGACGATGGAGGAGCGAACGTCACGCTCGGCTGCGCCTCGTCGGGGAGCTTGCTGTAGCGGTGCCCATGGCTGCGGCTGCTGCCCGTGCCGGGACGCGACATGCTGCAGCGTGCGGATCGTAGACGCCGCGCGGGGAGCGTGCGTCCGGGGCGATGGCACGCTTGGCGCAGCGCAGGCAGGTCGGCCCGAGCGCAGAGACAGCAGCGCCGGCGATGCAGCCACGCAGGCACGCAGGCACGGCCAAGGGAGCCCGTTGAGGCGCGTGTGGAAGCGCCAACTGCCGGGCGAGGCAAGTGCGGAGTGCAGCCGCGGCGCGGGCGAAAGGCGGAACCGAGGCAGGGTGCGGATGGAGGCACCGCTGTGTGACGCAGCGTCGGGTGATGGCGGGGCGGCCAAGATGGCTTGGCTGAGCAGCGCCAGCCGCGCAGCGATATGCGCCCGCTGTGGCACGGCGTGCGTTCATCAAGCGTGAAGCGAGCGAGCATACAGTGCACCCCAGCGGAGTGCGTGCGACAGGGGCCGGGCCTGTCTCAACGTCATGAGGTGCCTGGCCAGTGGCCGGCAGGGCAGGGCAGGCGCAGATGAGCCTCCTCACTCGCTCGAGCCCGCCGTGCGAGCTTCGCTGCTGCTGCTGCTGCGAGGCCGACGGGCGCGAGGCACGAGCGTACGCACTGCAGCCAGCCGCACAGGCCTAGCCTAGTGCCGTCTCGGCGTGCTGGGCGCATGTGCTCCCGTCGAGCCTTGTGCTTGTCCCGCTGCCAACAGAAGGATAGAGGGCGAAGGCAGGAGGAGCTCATCGTCCGCCCACCGACGCCGGGTGCATTTCTCGCGGCACGCTAGCCCCAGACGCGGGAGCGCAGGCAGCAGGGCGTGCCCGCGGCGCAGCAGCGGCGCGCACGCCTCGACGGCGCAGCAACGCTCCCAAGACCCCCTGAGGCATGCGGGCAGTCTGCGAGGCCAACGGAGGCTGTCGCGGGCGCATGACAGCACGTCCCAGCTCCGCACGCTTGTCCCGGCGATGCGAGCGCTGCTCCCGCGCCAGAGCAGCCGCAGCGCGGCAGGCCGGCGGCACGGCGCGCCGATCATCAAGCAGCCCACGCGCCTGCCGCTGCAGATCTCTGCTGTCTGCGCTCTCTCTCACGCACGCCTGACGGGCGCAGCGCAGGCGACGCACTCTCGCGGAGGGCGCCGGCGCGCACGCACCGTAGCGCAGCTGCATCCTCCATCTCTGAAGCAGCAGCGCCCACGACTGAACGCGGCGACCAGCGGCATCTCGTTGCGAGGGTGCGCGCGCGTGGCGGACACAAGAGCGGTGACGCAAGAGCGCTCTCTGGAGAGGAGCAGGCGCCCACAGCCGCAGCCTGCTGCTCTATCCTGCCTGTGCTCAGGCCCTTCTTGAGAGCACTAGGCACGCCCCGAGTGGCCGCCCCGCAGTGCCCTATCAGCGAAATTGAGGGCTGCTGCGCCGGCACCGGCATCTCTTCTGTGAACGCAACGAGGGCACCCTCAAATTCTGAAGCGCATCACCTAGGCCTTGCTCCTGTGGCACTCAAATGAGATGGCTCAACCCCTGTGGCTGGAGGTTGACGAAGTCGGATCCTTCCGACCTTTCTGCAAAGTGTGCTGCTGACGAGACAGGAGGAGCTGGCGGCGCCGCGGCGAGCGTGCCGCCGATGTCCAGTTTGCTCGCCGCAGCGCGCGTGTCGCGAGCACGCTTGCCCGCGTCCGTCTTCTAGCGCCGCGAGGCCGGCTCATAGCGTGGAGCCTTCTCGGCGCTGCAACTCCCCTCGTGTCCTCGTCTCCGCATCGTCGCCTGCCGGGCTCGGTCGCGCACATGCCGCCTACACCTTGAGAACTTTTCTCTCATCGATCTCGAGGCGCATGGGGCCGAGCGCAGCATCGGGGCGTGGGCGGCGCACGGTGCCCTCTCCTCTCGACAGGGTCAATATGCAATCTCATTTGCCGCCACGTGTGCGTCAGCGGCAGCCGCGCGTGAAGCGAAGCAGCATCACGTCCTCGCTCTTCGGCATACGGCGTCCAAAGGTGTGCACGAGGCGCATGATGCCTCCGCACGCTTCAGCGCTCGAGAGAGAGCCGAGAGGGGCATTCACGGCGGCGGCGCGGCGGCGTGCGGAGTCGGCGTGCCGGCGCCCTGCACCCTTCCGCCTTGCAGCGTGCATGCTGCTTCCATGCATGACGCGCATGCGGCGGCAAGGCGCGGAACGACAGCAGCGGAGGCTGATCGACAGAGGGGCTCGCGTTGAGGAGGGGGGGGGCGTGGCGGCTGTCGTCCGTCGCCTCTGCTCGCGACGCCGCTGCCGCTGCCGCCCGCCGTTGTCCGCCCCGCAATGCCGCTGCCGCTGCTGCCGCGGTCCTTTCACCTCGGCCGTCGGGGCAAAGGGAGCGCAGAGACAGGCGCGAGAGCAGCGAGCTTACCTCTGGAAAGACGTTTCGCCGCAGCGCGAGAGAGAGGCGCTTAAGGCTGAGAGCGCAGAGGCCATCGGCCGCTGCGGCAGCGAGGCATGGGACACGGCGGCGCTGCCGCTTCTGCTGCTCCTCGGCCGCGGCTCCGTGCGTCTGCAGCACTGCATCTGCTGCCGCTGCGCCTGCACCTGCACTGCTGATGCGGCGAGCTCTCGCTCTCGCTCTCTTCCTCCTTTTGCGCTGCCGTACGCCTTGCCCGCGCCGCTTTCGAGGCGATGCGCATGACATGAAGCGCTCGCGCTGTCGCGCCTTCCCGCGGACAAACATCCGCTGCGGCAGATCTGCGGCGCTGCACGAGCTCGGCCTCTTAGCGCCCTCCGAGCTAGCTCTAAATCGAGGGCTGGCGGCGCGCCGGCAGTTGGGCTGCAGGCAGACCGCAGCTGCAGCAGCCATCAGGGGGGGGTGACGCGCCGCGTGCCGCGTCCAAGGGGCAACGGCTGGGCCGCTGGCAACGCAAGGACCTCGCCCGCACATGCCACGGCCTTGCCATGCCTGGCCGTGCCGACGCAGCGGGCCGCAGCTCGCGCTCTCCAGATGCGGCCGTCGCTTGTCCTCGCTTCGTGCCGCGCAGCAACACACACCCTAAACGGCGCTAGCGGCGCGATGTGCGCCGTGCGGCGCGAGCTCTCTTTCTCGCCTTCTCGCGAGCGCCGAGGTGCCTCATCTTGCGCGTGGCCGAGCATGCCGTGCTTGCTCCACAGAGCTTGCTCGGCTGGGCTGCACCTGAGAGAGAGGACGATCTCGCCGATGTGCGCCTAGCTCCCCGCCTCTGGCGCGCTCGCTGAGCGCGGCAGGTCAGCGCTCACAGGGCGGGACCGAGCTTGAACGCGCGCTTGATGAGGCAGCGCCGGCCATCAGCATCAGGCACGCCGCCGCGCTCGCTCACTCGCAACGCACAGCCCGAGCGCCGACCACGCCGGTGCGCTACCTCGTGCTGCACGCGGGAACCTCGAGATGCACATCTAGCGCCCCGAGCAGACGCGTCACAAGGAGACGAAGCGCGGAGGGAGTGATCGGCGCCCAAGCGGGATGGACATCATGACGCGCCTCCGGCGGCGAGCCCCTCTCTCTCTCTTCCTTCACGCGCCGCGGGCCAGCCTTTGTGTGTGACAGAGCACGCCGGCGTTTTGCGTGACGAGTGAGCTATATCGGCTGCTCGAGGGTCGCAGGCGCAGGGCCTGTGAGATCCGGCATCCGGCGTGGCGCACGGCAGCGCATAGGCAGCGAGCGGCCTATCGCCGCCATGCTCCCGATGGCCTGCCGGCGGCCGGCTGCCCGCGCCAAATGCTCCCGGCGCCTTAAAGACTTGCTTCCGTCCAGCCCAGCCGGCACCGCCGCCCGTCTGCCCTATCCTCTCTACCTCGTCCCTGCAGCCACGCCAGCCACCCCACGCCCTCACCGCCGTTCCCCGTGCTCCCTCGCCCTCCCCGTGCTTCTGCCGCCGCTGCACGCTCCTCATAGACCTTGCGCCCCGCCCACTTGCATCGGCGCAGTCGAGGCCGCTCCCTCGACAAATCCTCGCTGCCTCGCACTCTAGACCTTCTCCCGCTTCCGCGGCTTGCCCCTCTGCTGCGCCACTCGCATTGCGTCCGCTGCGTGCGCCTGCATCTGCGTCTGCAGCCCTCTAGCTCTCCTGCTGTGAGTCTGGCCGCACTTCGCCCACCCCTTTCGCCCCTGCCATCTCGTGTAGAGGTGCCGGGACAGGGCAGCAGAGCAGCTTTCTCCGTCCTGCGTCCGTCTGCACGCGAGGGCTCTCAGAGCTCGGGAGCTGACCGCCGTTCTGATGCCCTTCCCCACAGGCTGCCCCTCCCGCCGCGCCGCGCTAGACTAAGCTCTTCGCCCGCCGTCGGCCTGCGTCTCTCGCCGCGCTCGCACTCTTCGGCGTCCGCTCTCGGCACTTTGGCCCCACCTTGCGCCGATCTGCGCTTCTTTCGTCCGTTCTGCCATTAGCCCCCTTAGAGACGCCTGCTGCGGCCGCTCAAGCGCTCGCTCGACTCGAGAGCACCTCATCCGTCGCTGATCGGTATATAGGCCGCGTGTCTCTCCACGCCTCGCCTCCCGACCTCCAGCTTCGTCCCGATCGTCTCTCCACACACTCTTTTCTCCACACTCTCTACAAACACGCACGGCATGTCCTTCTTCTCCGGCGTGTCGCGCGCCATGTGGGAGGTCGTCGGCGAGCCGGCGCTCACGCGTCTGGGCCTCTACGAGCCCGAGGACCGCACGTACGGCCGCGCCGAGATTCCCTTCTCGCCGATGGAGAAGCGCCTGCATGCCAACCCCGACGTGACGGTGTGGTTCGGCAAGGCGATGCACCCCAACGGCCTCGACTGGTCCTGGTACCAAGTCTGGGAGGACCGTGCCGCCATCAAGCGCACCGGCCGCGTGGCCGACATGATCTTCGTGCACGGCACCGGCGTGCACTCCGGCACGCTGGCGAGCCACTCGCGCCGCTACCTCGACGCCGGCTTCCGGCTCATCGTGCCCGACCTCGTCTCGCACGGCTACTCGACGGGCCTGCACGTGTACCAGCGTCATCTGAGCGCCTACACCGAGGGCCTGCACGCCGTGCTGCACGACGTCGCGCGGCGTGACGACGACTCGGAGAACGACGGCAAGCCGCGGCGCAAGGCCGAGCGGCGCACCACGTTCATGCTCGGCCTCTCCTTCGGCGGCCTCGTGGCGCACATGTATGCGCTGCACTACCCGCACTCGCTGCGCGAGGAGGAGCAGGGCGACGACGAGGTGCCCATCGACGGCATCATTGGCGTCGGCCCCATCATCGAGTACGCGCGCAGCAACATCAAGATTCCCTGGCTGCTGCAGCAGGCCATCTGGTACGGCGACACGTACTGCGGCCTCGGACGCGTCGAGGTCATCGTGCCGCACAAGAAGTGCCTCGACAAGGACCCCAAGGTGTACAAGACGCTCGTCACCGAGGACAAGCGCAGCCACCAGGGCGCCTTCCGTGTCGGCCACCTCCTCTGCATCCACTTTGCCGCCGAGGAGATCCAGAAGCGTGCGCACGAGATCCGTCACCCGACATTCGTGCAGCAGGGCGGCCAAGATCGCGTGGCGTGCCACGGCGCCGCGATCAACTTCATCCGCGACATCTCCTCGACGGACAAGCGCATGGCCATCTACCCCGTCTGCCAGCACGTCATCTACCGCAAGGCCAAGACGGAGGAGGAGGATCTCGCTGGGCGCGTGGCGTGCGTCGAGGACAACGTCGAGTGGATGTGCGAGCGCTCCCTCTCGCTCAGCCGCGCGCGTCAGCTCTCGATTCAGAGCGAACTGACGCTCTACGACGAGGGCAACGGCAGCAGTGCCTCGGGCTCGCCGCCCGTCACGCCTGCGCTCTCGGAGGCCTCCTTCGACGGCGCCTCGAGCGTGACGAGCTACGGCGGACCTCAGACGCCCGTCACGCCCAAGTTCGACGGCGAGATTCCGCTCAAGGTCATGGCCGACGCCGATGGCGCCGCCTTCGTCGCGGCCGTCGAGAAGGCGTCGAGCGTCGACAAGAGCAAGCTCGACCACCCGCTTCTCGCAAAGGCGCACCACTCGACGCTGCCGCTCCTCGCTCGTCTCTGCCCCGAGCGCAAGCCGCGCAGCCACTGGCGCCTCCACGAGGCGCTGCGTCCGTACGACATCAACACGTCGCGCACCGTCGAGAGCGAGAAGGCCTGATCGTCCTCGTCCACGCCCCGTTCCGTCGTCTCATCGTCACTGCACCATCCATAGCCTCCAGTCCGGCGTGACTCAGCACCCACATCCATACGCGGCTCTCCGCATGCCTCATCACCACTACGCCCTTCCCACCCTCGTTCCCATGCATAGAGCTCTACCAGATTGCTCTGCAGGCCCCTCGCCGACAGACTCAGAACGCACATACCTGCCTCACACACTCTCATTCTGGGCCTTGCCGATTCGCACCGAGCGTGGGACAGCGTCCTCTTCTGCCGCTAGCAATCACACACCGCGTCACCGTGCTCTTCGTGTGTGGCTCCCGTATGCTGCCGCTGTGAAAGGCTGCGCCCAAAGGCTAGCGCAACGGACGCAGCTGTACTCGGCGCAGCAGCGACGCCGCCTCCCGCTCTCAGATGCAGTAGCGTGGGCCGCCCAGCTAGCGCATCGGGACACCGCGTGGCTGACGTTGAGCCGCAGCGACCTAGTGCGATGCTCGCGATCAGCACCCGAACTGCCAGTGAGACCGAAGTGTATTGCATGAGCGCCGTTGAGTCGTTTCAGTCGTCCAGATCGCGCTGCCGCTTCGCCCGTGCCGTCTCGGCTCTGCGAAGAGGGAGGACAGAGGTCAGCGTCGTCAGGGCAGGCGCACGACGACGAGAGCGGCAGACTCACGTCTCAAGGCCTGCACGCTTGGTGCCGCGCTTGGCGTCGTCGAGGAAGGCGTCGATGGCGAAGGGATCGGCCGTGTCCTTCTCGAACATGACTGGGCCAGAGCGCTCCTGCAGAACGGAGCATGGTCAGTCACGTGGAGCGCTTGCATCACGCGCTCGCCAGCACTCACCTCTTGCAGCTCAGCGCCATCGAAGGCGCGACCCTTGCCAAGGCCAAAGCGGTCGTTCTGCATCTCCTCTCTCGCGCTCTCCTCCGTGCCAGCATACACATCGTCGGCGCCGCCTGCGCCAGGACGTCGGTAGATGGCAGCCGCGGCACTGCTGCCCTGGAAGAGCGGCTTGTCGAAGTGTGCGTAGGAGTCCTCATCTGCGAAGGCGCCAGACAGCGTCTCGCGATTGAAGAGCCGCGAGTCGATCTGGTCGGCTGCGGCTGTGGGCTTGGCGAGGCCGAGCGCGACCTTCTCGGAGATGTCGCGGTTCTGCTCTCTGCAGTCGCGGAGCGAATGTCAGCTCGGACGCGCCTCTGAAGCCTATGGAGCTTGGCTGCCACTCACCTTGCCAGCAGTCTCGCACGCTGCTCCGTGCCCATGCTGTTCATGCGCAGCTCGCGCTCGCGCTCCCGCTTGCGCTCTGCGCGCACGCGATCACGTTCGCGCGCCGCCTCGTCGTCCTCCTCATCACTGTCGCTCTCGTCGCTGCTTCCATAGCCCGCGAGTGCCGAAGGCATGCTGCCACCCGCTGCAGCCGTCATGCGACCAGGCACCGCCGCTGCAGCCGCACTGCTGCCCGGTGCTGTGCTCGGTGCGATGCCGGCACGCTCGTCGCGGGCCCGCTGCGCCAGCGCACGCAGGTGCTCCTCGCGCGCCGCCTTCTCCTTGGCCGCGAGCTTCTGCTGCATGATGCCACGCTGGTGCACCTCCTCGCGCGAGTGACGCTCTGCAAGCTGCAGCGCCTCGCTGAAGTGTGCAAAGCCGTCGTTGATGTGCACGTCCTGCAGGCCTCGCCCGTCGGCTGCCAGACGCTTGTCCAGCGGAATCGTGTAGCCGAGGTTGTTCTTCCAGTTGGAGATGCACGGCGGGATCATCCACTCCTTCTGCTCTGCGGCCGTGACCTTGCGCGGCGGACTGCGCAGCACGGGCGGCGGAGGACTGGGCGGGCCGCGAGGCAGCTTCTTGAACTTCCACCGCGGCGGCTCCAGCGGGTCCTCCACCGTCTCCGTCATCTTGATGATGCGCTGCGAGCCCTGCGAGCCCTGTGCGCCGGGCGTGTAGCGCACAAAGGAGCTCTCGCCACCGACCTTGGGCACGTGCTTCGGCTGCGCGCTCTTGATCTTGCCCTGCGTGATCTTCTCGAGTGCCAGCCGCGTGCGCTCGGCAGTCGAGAGCACAGAGGCCTCGTCGGGCCGCTCGAGAGACGCATCCTTCATGTCGTCGCGCTGCGCCATGGGCACCATGTCGCGGAAGTGCGACTGCACGCGCTGGCCGTCCTTGCGCCCCTGCTGCACAATGGCGTCGTAGTTGACGTTGCCGTCGGCGTCGACCTGCAGCGAGAGCGACGTGCCAGAGCCAGCCTAGCGAGGGAAGGTGCATCAGCGGCGGCAGTGGCGCAGTCAGACCGGCCGGCCGAGGCGTGCTCACCGACTTCTTGCGGCCCATCTCGAGCGGGTACTGCGCGATGTGGCACTCCGGGTACGCGCCGCCATCGCCAAAGTCCTCCTGCTTGCGCGGCTTCCAGCCAGTGCGGCGGCCGTACGGCGGCGCACTGGTCGTGGCGACAGCCGACGGCGCCGGTGCGGCACCCTCGCCTTCAGACGCCGAGCCGTCGTCGCTGTAGTCGGCGACGTGCGCGCTGGGCGCCGGCAGCAGCGCCGAGAGCGTGGCGGCGGACATGGCGCGCGGCGCAGTAGCAAGGGTGTGGCGCAGCGGAGGTGTCGAGTGCGCCACAGAGGCAGAGGGAGGTGCGCTGTGGAGTAGGTGTGGTGGGAGGTACGAGCTGCACAGCGCATGCGGCATCGCATGCCGGCAGCCGCGCGGTGCCGACGAGAGCGCCCGTCACGTGCAGCGCAGGCGCGTTCCCGTGCAGGGAAAGCGTGGGAAACGCTGCACTGCGACTCGCCTCGAGCGCGCTGCGATCGCCTCTCCCTCACTCCGACTCGACACCTCAACTCTAAGCGCGGGCTAGGCGCACTCCGCTGGTGTTGACGTGCCCGAGGGACGCCGTCGGAATGCTGACGTCTGCGCTCAGCACCAGCAGCAGGTGCAGTGGAACAGCATGCCGCTCGCTGTGTGAGCGTTCTGTGCTGGCTGCGTGCACCTCTCCTCGGCCTCCGCGTCGAGGGGCTTGAGGAGCTGTCAGGGCAGAGCGGTGCCTGCGCAAGGCACCGTCAAGCAATCCGTCCAGTGCCTGGGCAGCGATGAATCTGCACCAGCCAGGCACAGCACACCGCTTGAATGCCGATTGTGGACCCAACCCGCTGCCGCGAGGGCATGGCCAGAGCGGCGGAGGCTCGGAGGAGAGGCAAGGGCGATGATCGGGCAGGCCAAGAGGAGGCGCGAGGCGCAAGATGCTCGGGCTCGGGGCCGCGCCTCGCTGCGCGCCGCAGACGCGTTTGGGCGGCGGACCGTGCCTCTGCACCCGCCTGCTGCTGCTCTCTGTGCCGTGCGCCGCGGCCGCGCGCCGCGCTGTGCCTTGCGCGCCTCTGCGCTGCTGGCCCGCCACGCTCCTCGCTGCAGCGCTGCGACGTCGCTCTTCGCCCTCCTCACCACCACCTCTCGCTCGCCGGTGTCCTTCACTGCCTCACCGCTCGGCTGCTCAGCGCAGACCGACGCCGCTCCTCCGGCACCTGCGCAGCGCCACTGCGCGCTAGCGACTGCCCTGCTCACACGCGTCATCGGGCGCGTCGCACCTCTCGAGCTTGGGCCTCCTCCCACCGCTGCACCACCTCACGCCCAGCCTGCCTGCGCCGGTCCACCACTTCGACGCGTCTGCGGTCCCGCGGTCACCGGCCATCTCTCGCGGGCCTAGCCCGCACCCGCTCTGGTGCACACGAGCTCGCCGTTGCGCATCTAGCGACAGCACTGTCTTGGCGAAGGCCGCTCCGCCACGATGGCCGCGGCAGAGGCAGGCGTGCTGTACGCGAGCGACGACGACGAGGGCGTCAATTCGTTCTTCGTGCGTGCGCTCTACGACTTCTCCTCAGAGGATGCCAGCTCGCTCTCCTTTGAGCGCGGCGCCCTCATTGAGGTGCTGACGCAGCTCGAGAGCGGCTGGTGGGACGGATTGCTGGGCAACGACGTGCGCGGCTGGTTCCCCTCCAATTACGTCGAGGTCATCTCCGACGAGGAGGCCGAGGCCGAGCTGCGCGCTCGCGGCATCGAGTTTGACGAGGCCGACGAGGAGGAAGAGGAGCAGAACGATGCGGCTGCCTCAGATGGCGCCTCGCAGAGAAGCGGCAAGGCAGTCCTCTCGGGCTTCGACCTCGGGCCGGATTACGAGAGCGTGCGGCAGCTGATGGAAGACGACGGTGCGTCCGGCAATGCCTTCGAGCAGCTGGCTGAGGCAGCAGCATTCGGCGCTGCATCAGGAAGCAGCCACAGTGCAGCTGGCGCGCCAGACCGGGCACGAGCTGGCTCCAGCGCCTCTGCGGCGCCAGCGACGACCTCGCCGGCGCGCAGCACTCCACGTGCCGGTCCCAGCGAGCGCGAGCGGCTGCGCTCGCACAGCACTGCGGCCACGGCTAGCATTGTGCCGCAGAGCCGGCCACGTGCTGCGACAAACGTCGCCTCGAGCGCCACTGCTAGCCTGCAAGCGCCGCAGGGGCGAGAGCGCGCTCTCTCTGCAGCAGCGCAGGGCAGCAGGGCACGCAGCAGAAGCAGAAAGGACGAGGCGGACTTTTGGGTGCCCAAGGTGACAGATCGCGGCGAGGTGAGTGTGCGGCAGGGCCCTGTGCAGCGCGTCGTTGCTGATGTGCGGCCAGATCATGTACTACAACACGCGCACGGGCGCTCAGTCGCACGACCTGCCGGACGGGCACGAGTCGGGCGACAGCCGCAGCGCCAGCAGCATGCACATGTCCGACGACGACGAGATGCTCTCCGACCGCTCGAGCGAGAGCCGCCGCGAGGCGCTGCAAGATCAGGCTGCCCTCTTGCCGCAGGGCGCCGCGGTGTCCGCCAACGTCTTCAATCGGCACACGTCGACTGTGTACATCGACTCTGACGGCGCCTCTGGCAGCGCAGCCAGCTCGCGCCTGCGCCGCGGCTCCATGGCCTCTTCGATGACGGCACAGAGCTCGAACACGGCCACGAGCGCGCGGCGCAATCCTCTCGACTCCATGCCCGATCCGCGCGACGTGCGGCCGCCGTGGAAGGTGCGAGAAGCCCTCGACGAGCGCTCCTTCTTCTTCTACAATACGGAGACGCGAGAGACGCGCTACGATGTGCCGCCTGGTGCGCTCGTATCCAGGACACGAGACACGCTTGAGGAGTTGGCAGACGAGCCACGAAGCGCGACCGCACGCGTCTCGTCGCTGCCGACGCTCGAGTCGGAGGAGTCTGAGACGGAGGGCGATGGTAGGCCTGTCGCGCGCGCACCGGGCAAGTCGCCAAAGCTGCGCCGCGATGGCTCGAGGCGACCGATGTCCATACCGCCGGCGATGTCCGACGCGCCGCGATCGATGATGCTCGAGGCCGAGCAAGCGCTAGCGCTGCAAAAGACGCTCGAGCCCGACAGTGCTCAGGCGCTGAGCGTGCTCGTCGAGACTGCGGCCGACGCCATCAGCCACCTGGCGTCCGTCGCTGCCGAGGCTATCGGCTCCGACGGCAAGAGCGAGGCGGATCGGGCAGTGGTGCCGGATCCGGAAGACGCACTCAGCGATCACTCGAGACTGGGCGGAGCGACGAGCGCCGTCGTGCGCGCCATCCGAGACCTGCTCTACGCCGCAGGCACGCTGGGCATCCCGCAACTCGACCTGGCGCCTATCGCAGAGCTCTGTGTGCAGCCGGGCGACGAAGACGCAGCGACGGGCCCGGTTGGCGCCTTTCATGCTGCGCTCGTGGCGCTGCAGCAGAAGAGCCCGTCGAGCTCCGCGCGCGACCAAGCGACGGTGCAGCAGGCCGTCTCTGCGCCGCCGGGCCTGCTGGCGCTCAGCAAGAAGGTCAACGCCACCGTCTCCAAGCTCGTGCTGTCTGCGCGTGCCGTCGTGGAGCAGCCCATGCTGGAAGGCGGACGCGGCACAGAGCTGGCAGAGTCGCAGATCGAGAAGCTCAGCAGTCACCGGCAGCGCGTGCGCGACGACGCCATGGACCTGGCGCGTGCCCTCGGCGCCTTGGGCTCCGAGATTGAGCGCGCAAAGGTGTCGCGCGGCGCAGCTATCCCATGGAGCCGCCGCATCCACGGCGTCGTGGACAGTGGCTCTGGCACTGCGGGCGTCGGCCTGCAGGTGCTTGGCGGCGGCTCGGCGGCAGGCTGGCGCGGCAACGGCTTCGTCTTGCCCACGCCGACTGAGGCGGCCACGCTGCGCGCAGAGGCGCTCGGGACGTTCCACAACCCCTTCGAGCTGACCAAGGACGCTCAGCAAGCGCTCAACTCGGGCAAGATTGCGCTGCGGCGAAAGCCGAGAGAGCCTCTCTCGCGCGCGCTCATCGACGAGCGCATCCGCAAGCAACACGACGACCTCGTTCGGCATCTGTCCGACCTGGCGCTCATGATTCAGCACGGCGGCGAGCTGCCGAACGGCCAGACCAACGGCGACGCTGTGGCGCCCGATGCCGTGTCGCGCGCCCTCACGCGCGCCAGCTTCCGCAGTGTGCTGGCGCAGGTGCGCCTCGTGCTCGTGCGCTTTGGCTCGCTGATGAACCTCGTCGAGGACGCCGACATCGCGGCGGTGCTGGACGTGGACGGGCCCTCGGAAGATGAGCCGCTGGAGGCGCAGGAGCGGACACGCCTCATGATCGGCATCACCAATGCGCGTCTGGCGCTCGGAACGCTCGCCAACGTCAAGCAGGCGGCGTATGACCACAGCGCCGCGATGCTCATCGACGTACAGGACCTGTCCATGTCGCTGCCGTATAGCGGCGCCGATCTGGCTGTGTCCGAGCAGCTGCTGCTGCAGACGCGCGAGCTCACGAGCGTCGTGCAGCGGCAGCTCAGCCTGCTTCTCGAGCTCGTCGACATTGCCGAGGCGCAGGGCTCGCAGACGCTCTCGCACATCGGCGCACGCTCAAAGGTGTACGGTATCGACGACGTGCTTGTCAGCACGCTGATGAGCGACGATGCCGCGCGCGTCTCGCCGGGCCGCGACGAGGGCGCTCGTGGCGCCGGCGATGCAGACTCGAGCTACGACGGCGAGAGTGCTGAGGACGAGGTGATGTACCTTGGGCCAGGCCTGGCCGTGCCGAACGGTCCGCCTTCGTCGCGCCACGACGTCGTCCGCAGCGCGCCGAGCCTGTCTCCCGCCGTGCCGCCGTCGAACAAGTCGTACTCGACGTCCGTGCGCGGCGGCCTCGGCATGCGCACGCGCTCGACGTCTGTCACGACGGGCGCCTCTGTCGGCTCGCAGGAGTCGGCTGCACGCACCATGAGCCAGCGGCGCGGCACGACTGACCACGGCGACGACGACGAGGAGCACACGGCGCGCGTCAAGAGCAGCAACAAGATGAAGCGCTTCTTCGGCGACGACCCGACGGCTGCGTCGACCGACGCGCTCTCCCTGGCGCCGTCGACCGACGCCAGTGCGCCGCCCGTGCCGCCGATCCGGCAGGTCGAGGAGATTCCGTGGTTCCTCGAGGCCGACTATGCGCCGCACGACATCGTCATGAATGCCTCGGGCCAGGTCAAGGGCGCCACGCTCGGCGCACTGATGGAGCGCCTGACGATGCACAACGCCTTCGACCCGACGTTCAACAACACGTTCCTGATGACGTACCGCTCCTTTACGACGACGGAGGAGTTCCTCGACCTGCTCTTTGCGCGCTTCCGCGTCAAGATGCCGCCGGGCCTTTCGCCGGACGAGCAGCAGGTGTGGGCAGAGAAGAAGCAGACGCCCATCCGCTTGCGGTGAGTGCTGGCTTCGCGACGTATGCGAGCGCCCGACTGACCTCGCACGCTGCAGCGTCTTCAATGTGCTCAAGTCCTGGATCGAGTCGCACTTCTACGAGGGCGAGGACGACGAGGAGCTGAAGCGCATCAAGGACTTTGCGCTCGACGAGATGGCGCAGTCGCTGCCGATGGAGACGCCCTCGAAGCTGCTCATCCGCCTGGTGGAGCGCAAGGTGAGTGTTGCATGCGCGCTGCCGGGACCGTGCTGACATGCCCCCACGCACGCCCACAGCAAGGAGACGGCGAGCAGATGATCCGCAAGATGGTCATGCCGACGTCGGCGCCGGCGCCCATCCTGCCGAAGAACCTGCGCAAGATCAAGTTCCTCGACATCGACCCGACAGAGATGGCACGCCAGCTCACGCTCATCGACAGCCGCCTGTACAACCGCATCCGGCCCGTCGAGTGCCTCGCCAAGGCGTGGAGTCGGCCCGACGGCATCGTCGTCGCCAAGGGCATCCGCGACGTCATCAGCGCCAACAACCGCGTCAGCGGCTGGGTCTCCGAGGCGATTCTCGTGCAGGAGGACCTGAAGAAGCGTGCCGCCTGGGTGAAGCACTTCGTCGCCATCGCCGACGTGAGTGAAGCGGACGTGTGCCGCTGCTGCCGGCAAGCTGACCCAGGCCCGCAGCGCTGCTACGCGCTCAACAACTTCTCCTCGATGATGGCCATCTACTCTGGCCTCAACAACGCCTCGCTGAACCGGCTGCGGCGCACGTGGGACGCCGTGAACCAGCGGCACCTGGCGCTCTTCGAGAACATGAAGGTCGTGCTGGCGCCGACGAAGAACTTTTCGCGCTACCGCCACACGCTGCGCCAGCTCAATCCGCCCTGCGTGCCGTTCCTCGGCGTGTATCTGACGGACCTGACGTTCATCGAGGACGGCAACTCGGACCACCTCAAGACGGACGAGCGGCTGATCAACTTCAGCAAGCGCCAGATGACGGCCGAGAAGATTGGCGAGATTATGATATACCAGTCGACGCCGTGAGTCGAGGAGCGCTCTCGCGCGAAGACGAGCCCCTTTGGCTGACTGCGCGTGCTTGCAAGCTACAACCTCACGCCCGTGCAGGGCATCCAGAAGTTCATCGAGGACAACATGGTCGAGAGCCGCACCGACGACGAGCTCTTTGAGCAGAGTCTGCGCCTCGAGCCGCGCGAGCGGTGAGTGTGGCGCGGGCTGTGGCCAGCCCTCTGCGCGTGCAGCTGATCCCCGTTCCCGTTCTTTCTCCAGCGAGGACGAGAAGATTGCGCGCCTGCTGCAGGAGAGGTGAGCATGCGGTGGACCTGCTATGCATACGCAGTCTCGCTGACTTGGGCTCTCCTCGCCTCAGCGGCTTCCTGTAGCGCAGCCGCCTCGCTACGCCCCACCCCTCATACCCCTCGCCGCACCGCAACATCGTGCGCACGCGGCGTCACGCGTCACGCCCCTTCGCTCGCTCTCGCGCAGTCACCCTCACTTTCAATCGACGCGCTGGACCAGGAGAGAGAGAGTGAAGATGGCGAATGGGTGACGATGAGTTGCAGAAGGCGCGGTAGTGATACAATGAGGGAGAGCAAGAGAGAGGATGCGAGCCAGATGACGGAGGAAGGGGAATCGAGGGCGCGCGCGGGTCATGCTACTCCTCCCACTGCGCGCCGACCCACTCCTCGCGCCACGCCTCGCCCTCCGCCGCGGCCTCGCGGGGGAGGCAGCAGTCCTGCTCGCAAGTGTAGACGAGGGCCGTGGACCAAGCAAGTCCTGTCCTCGCGCGCAGGGCCGCCTCTTCAGCAAGGCGCTGCTGCTCGTTCTGCGGCTTGGCGCGCGTGATGCCGTCGGCGTCCGGCTGCGAAGGCAGCTTGCGGCCCAGCGCAGACTCAATTTCGCGCCGGCGACGTTCTTCGGCCGAGGCGTTCGAGTCGAGCACGACGGCCTCGTCTGCCGCGCCAGCGATCGACGTGGGCCGCAAGAGGTTGACGAGGTTGGGCATCAGCTGCACCTCAAACGTCCGAGGACCACCGCAGGCTTCGCACGGCGGAACGGCCGAGGGAGTGTATGTGCGGCCGTTCTTGTCGCTTGCCGCCATGGCCTGACGCGAGACAGGCGTGGCGTTGCGAGAGGCTTGCGGCCAGAGCTTGTCGTACACGATGCCGGAGCCGCAGAATGGCAGCGGCACACCGCCGAGCTCGTAGCGCACGACTTGCCGGCCCTCGGAGCCTACGCGCGCAACGAAGCGCTCAAACGCCTCGTCGACGCCCGAGACCATCATGCGTTGGTAGCTCTCTCCCTCCCACTCCTTCAGTCCCGCATCGTCGTTCGGCACCGTGCCATCTCCCGCCTTGAGTGCCGCCTTTGCAGCAGGCGTAAGCTTGGCGGATGCGGCTCGACGTGCGGACGAGGAAGGCTCGGGGACGGTGTTGAGGTACTGAGCGGGCGCGTAGTGCGCGGCGGCGGCGGCCCAATCGGCGGTGCGCTGCGTGGCTTCGAGCGAGGCTTTGACGGCGAGCTCCTCGGCCAGGCGAGACTCTTCCTCGTCGGACTCGGACTCGGAGTCGTCTTGCTCGGCGTCGGCGACGACTGTCGTCTCTTGTGGCGCCGCAGCAGCCGGTGCAGGAGCGCCGAAGAGCATGCCGCCGAGCCCAGTGCCTGCCGCACCAGCGCCAGCCGAGAACGGGTTGACCTTCTTGCGAGCGGCCTCCTCCTCCTCGCGTGCCTTTGCGGCTGCTTCTTGTGTCCGTCGGCGAGCAGCGGCAGCCTCCTTGCGCGCCTTCTGCTTCTCGAGCTTGGCGGCCCAGCGAGCGTTGTGCTGCAGGAGGCGCACGGCGCGGATGCTGTACGTGCGGCATGTGTCAGCGTGTGTGCAAGGGCAACACTCCAGAGCAAGTGGCCGACGTCGAGGCAGGGCAAAAAGCATCATGGTTAAAAAGCTCGGTTGTCAAAATTTTCTCTTTTCCCTGCGCGCCCCGAAAGGCAGCGCTCAAGTGAAGAAATTCGATTCTAATCCTTTGCCCGCAGCCTAGCCCACGACGTCGATGCGAGAGAGGAAAGGGACTCACCTGCCGTGTGCCTGTCGCTGACAGACGCCGCGCGCACAGCCCCAGACGAAGAGGACGCGGTCGTAGGCGGAGCCGTCGAGCGGCGCGAAGATCTGAACGAGCAGCTCCATGGTGTTGTTGCAGTGCTTGCACGTCGCTACGCTAGCTGGCGGCAGTGTCTTGGTAGGCAGCCATGCCTGGGAGCAGAGAGAGAGAGGGAGAGTCAGACGTGCATTGCAGTGCGGCGAAGGGCACGGGCGAGGCAGACTCACTCACCGGACGGCCACCGATGCGCGAAACGAGGGGGTTGGAGGCATCGTCCGAGTCGATGGGCCCGTCCGAGAGACCCAGTTGCACATCCGTCACGCTCGCCTCGGAGCCAGCATCGCTGTCCGAGTCCGAGTCGGCGTCGAGTGGCCGAGCGGGCGCCATTGCGCACGACACTGTCCTGGGCAGCGCACTGTGTGTCAGCGAAAGTGACGCGACATGTGGCGGCGCGGTGCGAAGCAGCAGGGTGTCAGGAGTAGGTAGCCAGTGGTGAAAGCCTCGATCGACTCGCAAGTACCTCGGCGCAGCAGCCTCGTGAGAGGCGCGCACCTCGGTTGCCTCTTGCATAGAGCACGATCTCATACTCGTCATCTAGTGTTGTTCATCATACTAGACGCTGCCGCCTCAGGGCGCGCGCAGAGGAGAGCTACTCACGAGAGGAGAGGGTGTGGTAGGGAGGGAAGCGGCGATGCCTGCCGCTGCGGCCGCTTCTTCGCGCCGCGCCGCCGCGCGCAGAATTTTCGCCTCGGCCGGCGCCGCCTCGCGCGGATACAAAACGGGCATTTCTCTATTGCGAATACAACTCAGCCGCTCTAGCACCTCTCGCCCCTCCCCTCCCTCCTGCCTCTGCTCGGCAGCATCCTCCATCATGGCGCTCACCACGCATCTCCTCTCCCTCTCCGCCTCTTCCTACACGCATGCAACGCAGCATCTCTTCCTCACGCGCGCCGGCACGGGCGAGCTGACGGCCGAGCAGCTCGCGCGCTGGCTCACGCAGGACCGGCTGTACGCCCTGGGCGGCTACGTGCGCTTCCTGGGCACCCTCATCGCCAAGTGTCCCGTACCGCTTGGCGGCGTGGGAGAGAAGGGAGTGGAGGGCGACAAGGCTGAACAGTGCGCCAGGAGGAGGCTGATGGTGCTCGGCGGCGCCATGGCAGTGAGTCCCCCCCCCCCCTCTCTTCTCCCTCGCTGCCCTTGTGTGCTCATGTCGCGGCATCAGAACATCACGCGCGAAGTAGCCTTCTTCGAGGATGTCGCAGCACGGCATGGCCTGTCATTGCAGACGCCTCCGGTGTCGAGCTCGAGCGACGACGCACTGCTCGGCCTGCTGGCGCCGACGACTCGCGCGTACATCGACTTCCAAATGGCCACCGTTGCATCGGGCACGTTTGAGGAGGGCCTGGTCCTGCTGTGGGCCATGGAGGTGGTGCGTTGTCCACCCCTCCCTCGCTCGGGCGCCACATCGCTACGCGCCATGCTGACGGGTCTGCGCACACAGCTCTATCTCGAATCATGGCGCCACGTCCGTTCCTTCCTCCCTTTCCCTAGCAACAGCTCGTCGAGCGTGACGTCGGCTCTCTCCGAGTTGATCCCGAACTGGACAGCACCAGAGTTCGAGCACTTCGTCGCCGACATCGCCGAGCTCGTCGACGAGCTGCCGGAACTCGACGGCCGCCTGAGCCCGCAGGCCGGCACGAATGCGGCGAGGCAAAGAGTGGAGAGTATCTGGAACGAGACTTTGTTCTACGAAGTAAGGTTCTGGGAGAGTGCAGGCGTGCAGTAGGATGCCTGGGGCATGCTCTACAAGTCGAGCTTCCTCTCTGCACAGAGGGCACGACAAGGGTGGGGATAGGCAGAGGACGTGATGCGCAAAGAGAGTCGAAGTCAGACAGTATCGATGGGCAGCTCTCCTTTGCGGAAATCGAACAGTCGGATGCATGCATCGCCGCCCGCACGTCGCCTGAGCACAGCAAAGAGTGTACGCATCGCAGAGGGAAGCTACGCTGCTGCCGCTGCGTCGTGATGGCAGAGCAGGAGGGGCCGAGGCATGCCGGAATGGCTGCACGCTGTTGCTGAAGCTGCGGGATGACGAGGCAGGAGTTTTGGCGGGTGAAGAGACATCAGACATGGCTCGCCTTCTTGCTGCTGCATGGTCCCCCGGCATGCACTTTGGTCCTCAAAGGGAGAGAGAATGCCACACCATCGCTGCCAGCTGACGGAAGGAGCAGGGAGGCGCACGCGGCGGCGGCGCGCGCGGCGGCTGCAGGATCAGGGGCAAGCTGCTCACCACGGACCTCCTGAGCGGCCAGGGGCGCGTGCGTGAGGCGCGCCGAGCTCGATGCCATGCGTCTCGCAGATGTGTCGATGGCGTGGTAGGTGGCGATCAGTCTGCCGCCGCAACCGGCTGCTTTGCGCTGCTGGCTCAGCGCTCCGCTCGTCGGCGCTGCGTGTGAGGGGCGCGAGACACGGGCCTGTGCGCACGCCGAGCCGTTAGGTTGGGCCGCGCTGCCGTGCGGTGCCCCGCGCATGTGTTGCCGGACGCGCCACGGCGTCCCTCCACCTTGCCTCGCCTCCACGTCCCCTCTCGCCGGCAGTGCGCGTCTCCCTCCTTCTTGCCCACCTCCTCGCCTCATGAAGGGCATCTTCGGGCGCTCCACCCGGCCCGTCGGCGCCGGCGCTGCCGGCTCGGGCGCGGCACTGGCCTCCTTCGCTGTGCCGCCGTTCCCACAGAGCACGCCGGACCGCCTGCTCTCGCTGCACGTCTGCTCCAATGGCCTGCTCCTTCTGCCGCGCCCGTCCAGCGGCGCAAGCAACACACACTCTCGCACCTCCTCTGCCAGCTCTGCCGCCGCTGCTGCACTCGGCGACGCTGCACCGCTGGCTACGACGGATGAGGCGCGCGCCCAAGATGTGGCGCACGAGCGTCGCAGAGACGGCGCGCCCACCGCAGGCGCACTCATCGAGTGGGGACGCAAAGGCAAAGTGACTGGCATCAGCGCCAGGGATGCAGCGCTGGAGCTGGAGCGCTCCAAGGTGGATGCCGAGGGCGCAGAGACGCTCTGCTATGGCGTCGTGGGCATCCTGCGCGTCTTCAACGGTGAGGCAGGGCACGGGGCGTGAGGGCGGGTGTCCAAGGCTGATCCGGTCTACCAGCGGCCTACCTGCTCGTCGTCGTCTCTCGTACGCACTCTGGAGACTTTCTGCACACGTCCTGTCCCGTCTATCGCTCCACCGGCGTGCTCAGCATCCCACTCGAGCTGGCCCGAGCGCGCGAGGCATTGCACAGCGAGGCGTTACGACAGGCAAAGGTGCCCGCACCTCGTACTGACGCGTCAACCAGCGACGAGGAATCGAGCGACGAAGAGTCAGATCTGGACGATGTGCATACGCCTGCGCCAGTCGATGGTGCTGCGGCAGCTGCCAAGGCGATCGGCGAGGCGGCGACACTGCGGCCGGCAAGGAGCGGACCTTGGCTGAAGCGTCTGGCGGGCAGAGCAGCCTCGGACGGCGGCGCACCGGGCGCAGAAGCAGCGGCGGAGCAGACGGCCGGCGTTGATGTGCCGTCGTCGATCACGCCCGCTGTGGCAGCCATGTTCGACCCCGCAGGCGGCACGGTCTCCGCCGTGACGGCCGACGAGGCAAAGGAGATGACGGCCGACGAGCGTTACCACGAAGCGTCCAAAGCCGAGCTGGAGGAGAAGGTGGTGCGCGAAACGGCAAAGCAGTACAGCCGAGGAGAGATGTGGTTCGCCTACGACTTTGACCTGACGACGCCGTTGCAGCGGAAAGAGGAGGCAGCTGCTGCGGCGGGCCATGCTAGGATGTCGTCCGCTTCGTCTGACACGAGAGCTGGAGCAGGACCGCCGTGGGATGAGCCGAACCAGCGACTGCCGCTCTGGCGTGAGTGCACAGCCTTTGGGTGTGCCACACGCTGAGCTGCATAGCTGATGGCGAGCTCCCTTGCAGGACGTGCCGATCGCCGCTTCTGGCACAACGAGCACCTCAGCCGCGACTTTGTCCAAGCCGGAGTGGGTGGACGTGTGGGGCACGGCCGTGCATTTATCCGTCGGCTGACCTGTTGCCCTGCAAGCTGCACGGCCTAGTGCTGCCTCTGATGCAAGGCTTCTTCCAGATTGTGCCCCTGCCGCTCGGCGAGGCGGGCGCCGACACGCCGCCCAAGTCGCCCGATGCTGCAGGCGAGGCGATGGACATGGTCAGCCAGGCCGCCGCATCCGAACGACTGAGCGCCTACATCCTGCTCGTCTCTCGACGATCCAAGGAGCGTGCCGGGCTGCGCTATCAACGCCGCGGCATCGCAGACGACGGCACGGTGGCCAACTACGTCGAGACGGAGCAGATTCTGCTCGTCAAGCGTCCCGGCTCCACGCATACGCTCTCCTTTGTGCAGTTCAGAGGCAGCATCCCGCTCTTCTGGAGCCAGAATCCGTTCCACCTCAAGCCTCCGCCCATCCTGGAGCGCAGCGCAAAGGACAACACGCAGGCGTGCAAGCGACACTTTGACGAGCAGACGGCTCGCTACGGCAGTGTGACGTGCATCAATCTCGCCGAGCAGGGCGGCAAGGAAGGCCAAATCACCGAGGCGTACCGTCAAGCGGCAGAGGCCTACGGCGGACAGGTGCAGTATGTGGCCTTTGACTTCCACAAGGAGTGCGCCGGCATGAAGTTTGAAAACGTGGCGCGCCTGCTGGAGCGCATGAAGGAGGAGCAAGTGCTGGGCAAGATGGACTGCTTCTGGCGCACGGCTGCTACGTCGGGCGCCGGCGCACAGACACTGTGCAAGCAGCAGGGCGCCTTCCGAGTGTCGTGTCTCGACTGGTGAGTTTTGGCGTCCTGCGAGGCCCCCCCCCCCCCCCCCCGGTGGGGCATATTCACTCATCTACTTCGGCCATGGCGCACAGTCTCGACCGCACAAACGTCGTGCAGTCTGCGTTTGCGCGCCACATGCTCGGCGTGCAGCTGGAGCGCCTCGGCGTTGCCGTGCCCTCGCTGCGCGGCGAGCGCGACGAGGCCTTTGACTTTGCCTTCAACGACTCGTGGGCGAACAACGGCGACATGGTCTCGCAGATCTACGCCGGCACACGTGCGCTCAAGGGCGACTTTACACGCACTGGCAAGAGGTGAGAGCTGCTGAGCGCGACGCGTGCGGTGCGACACGCGCGCGTGCCCCCCCCCCCTGCTTGCTGACGCGCGCTATCTCTGTGCCTGTAGAAACCTGCTCGGCATGATGAGTACGTCGCATGGTCCCCTGGCACATCGGTTGCGCAGCGCAGCGCTGACCTGTTCCTGTCCTCTAGACGACGCCACGGCGAGCGTATACCGCATGGTGCAGGGCGCCGTGACGGACTTCTTCAAGCAGACGGTGATGGACTTCCAGGTGAGCAGATGTCGGCCGAGGCATGGGTGGTGGGGCCGAGCGCAGCGGTGCTGACGCCGCTTGCTGCTGCTGCTCCAGTACGGCCAAATGTCGCTCGCGGCGCTGGAGCGCTATAACGACGAGCTGGTCGCGCAGGACCCCTCGGAACACCAGAAGCTGGCGCGCATCCGTGCACATGCCATCGACAATTGTGCGGCCCTCGTGCTGGCCGACGGCGAGACGAAGCTGGGCGGCTGGACGCTCTTCTCGCCCATCGAGGCGAACCGCGTGCAGAGTGCCAAGCTCGAGGAGAAGGTCGTGCTGCTCACCTCCAAGGCCCTCTACTCGTGCGGCTGGGACTTTACCGCCGAGAAGCTGGGTGAGTCGTGTGCGCGCGCCCATCGCTGCCAGAATTGACGAAGCGCG